TTGATGTGCAGGGGAAACTATGTGGTGTAAGGCCTAGAGGGATTTTTGAAGTTTTGAGAAACGGCATTTGTGAATGGCGGGCTAATCTCGGATTTGGTCTGGAGCAAATGTTTATTTATTTATGAGACTTGTATACCGCTTTAAGTGCAAGCACTCTCTAAGCGGTGTACACCAGTAAGCAATGTATATATATATTTACATTGCCCCCAACAGTCTGGGTCCTCATTTTACCTACCCCGGAAGGATGGAAGGCTGAGTCAACCTTGAGGCGGTGAGATTTGAACCGCTGACCTGCTGAACACAGTCAGCTAAAGTGGCCTGCAGTACTGCACTCTAACTGCTGTGCCATCTCCCAAATGTTGGGAGACGAAATCCCAGCCTCTAAAGTTGCTGGTGATGTTAAAGAAAACTGAAGTTGTATATCTGACACTTTACAGAACAGCGGAGTGAGAGCGACTAACTTAATGTGATTTCATACAATGCACAGCCCAAATGCAGCTCGGTTTAGGGGCGAAGGCACCAGGCTAGAAACCAAGAGACAGAAAGTTCTAGTCCTGCTTTAGGGATGAAAGCCAGCTGGGTGACTTTGGGCCAATCACCAGGAGACAGAGTTCTAGTCCCTCTTTAGCATGAAGGCCAGTTGGGTAACCTTGGGCCAATAACTAGGAGACTGTGAGTTCTAGTCCTGACTTGGGCATGAAAGCTGCGTGGGTGATTTTGGGCCTCTTTCAGCCCAGTCCACTTTACAGGGTTGTTGTGTGGAAAATGGGAGGAAGAAGGAGGAGTATTAGCTATGTTAGCTGCCTTGAGTTATTAAAATAATAAAGGCGGGATAAATATTTATTGTCCGATGGGTCCTTTCATTCTAGTCGTTATTTCTTGTCTGCTAGTATTTAATGCCACTTTGAATGCCGAAGAAGCATAATTTTGACGTGTTGTATCTTGCCAGCCCAGTGTTCCTCTTTCTTGGTAATTAGAACTCATAAGTGGAGCTAGGTATGTGGAAATCTTGTTAAACTCCTGGAGACTGAGATTCTGTTGGTGCTGTTTTGCAGGATGTGTTCTTAATTTGCTTTTCCCTTGTGAGCCCAGCATCCTTTGAAAATGTCCGTGCAAAGGTGAGTCAAAACGTCTTCATTGTTTCTCCTGCCCTTTCTTTAAGAGAGACCTAGGCTATTAATAGCAGAAAAATGAATTGGTCAAGCAGTTCAGTGAATAGCAAAACGTGGCTTTAATAAGTGAAACAATTTTTTTGGGAAATGGAACCAGTATACAGTCTGCTACGTTGTGTTTAATATTAAAGATAAAAGCTAGTGGCAAAGGTTATTTTTCTTGTCACGGACTGTCAATCAAGCTCACAGTGAAATTATACTTTGAGCTCGGGTTTTTTTGCTTCCTTTTGTTTATGTGTGGATTTTTTGAAGCAGATTTAGTTGGCATGCCTTAAGAGCCTGGCTCGTGGCTGGGAAGTTGGATTGATATCTCTTTTGACTGGGTTGGTTTTCCAGGCCGAGCAATTTGACAGTTTTTTCCCTTTTTCTGCAGTGGTATCCAGAAGTGCGACACCATTGCCCCAATACCCCCATCATCCTAGTGGGAACCAAACTTGATCTCCGAGATGACAAAGACACTATCGAAAAACTCAAGGAGAAGAAGCTGACTCCGATCACCTACCCACAAGGCCTTGCCATGGCGAAGGAGATTGGTAGGCCTTGGGCCCCTTTGCAGGGTTGTTGTTTAGAGTCTCTTCGGATTGAGGCTATAGAGCAGTGTTTTCCCAAGTTGGCAACTTTCAGAGGTGTAGACTTCACACTCCCAGAATTCCCATTCCAGAAGGGGAATGGGAATTCTGGGAGTTGAGAGTCCATACTTTTTAAAGATATAAGATTGATGGGTAGAGAGAGAGAAAGGGAAAGGGAAAGGGATAGAGATAAATAGATACAGATATATGTTGATAGATATAGATACAGATATATGTTGATAGATGATAAAGAGATAGATACAGATATGTTGATGGATGGATATAGAGGGATAGAGATAGATACAGATCTATGTTGATAGATGATAGATAAGATAGATACAGATCTATGTTGATAGATGATAGATAAGATAGAACTAAATAGATGAAAGTGATAGATGAGAAAGATGAGAAAGCAATAGATGATAGATAGCTGGGTAGATGATAAAGATGATAATTTGATAGATGATAATAAGAGATAGGTGATAGATTGATGAGAGATGAGAGAAAGATGATAATTTGATAGATGAGATAAATAGATGATAGATGAAATGGACAGATAGATGAGAAAAAGAGAGACACACAGATGAGATGTGATATTTAAATCCTTTTAGGCGATTGCAATGTGCCGTCTCCCTCGTCTCCTATGGCCAGGAATGCTGCTGCTGCTGCTTTTTAATTTTAGGACTGGGGGAATTCCATAATTCTTCATCCAGCTGGTCTTTCCTCTTGTTGCAGGTGCAGTCAAATACCTAGAATGCTCAGCACTTACACAGCGGGGCCTCAAGACTGTCTTCGACGAAGCCATCCGAGCTGTTCTGTGCCCCCCTCCAGTAAAGAAGAGGAAGAGGAAATGCTTGCTGCTCTAATGACCCTTAGCACCTCCCCCCCAGCCCCATTCCAAAACCTTTTGTGCTTTGCTTGGAATAATGGAGCATTCCTGCATTTCTGTTTTTTGGTTTTTTTAAAAATTGGTTCTCTCCCCTTCAGGTTATCTTAAACAGCTACCTTACATTTCCCTTTGTTTAAAAAAGTTAGCTTCTCCTTAATTCACCTACAGAGATTTTTTTTAAAAGACAAACTTATATAAAGGCCTTATTTCTCTCCCCCCCCCCCCTCCTCCTGTTTTGCTCCGCTTAACCAACTGTTGCCAAATTTTCTGCTCCTTACTCTTCTTGGATTGCTGTGCTTTGTTACGTGAAGCACCAGACCTGTCTTTTTCCTTTAAAAAGCCAGGCAGGTGTCTTTAAAAAAAATACTAATGTTTATTAGCAGTTGCAACACTTTGATGGGGTTTTCCCTGGAAGAAAATATTCCTGTCTTTAAAAAAAAGTGCACTCGTTCATCCCACAGCTTCTTCACATCCATCTTTCAAGCTTGAACAAATGCAATAATTGACAACTCCAGATTCACCCTTCCCTTTTTAAAAAAAAACACAAAAAAACCAAAAAAAAAAATATCTAATCTACTAAGGTCTGCGATTAAAGCTATTTTTTTTCCCCCCTCAAAATGTATTTGTCTTCCTTCCCAGCAAAATACTATTTTCTCGAAGGAAAGACGGCTAACTCGGTCAATGGAAACGGCCAGACAGTATTTTGACACTATCAAAATCAATTTACACTACATTGTCAAGACACTAGGTTTTTTTTGCTCTTGTACTATTAAAAGCCCACAAAAGGAGGCCACTGAAGAGCAGATTGGTGGTTTTTCTAGAGTATTCATACATATTTTTCTGGTGGGACTTTAAGCCTATTACAACTTTTGAGCTGGTCCTCTCTTCGTGTGTTCTTGCTGGACACTTTTCTTATAGAATCTCCTCCTGATCCATATAATTTGTATTTTAAAGCATTTTTTTGGTTTATATTAGCCACTTATTTTTTGATAAGATAGAGTAGTCCAACATAGCCTTCTCTCTCTCTCTCTCTCTCTCTCCCCCTCCCCCTCCTAATTATATTCATGGTTTAAAAGGCTTTCTTCAGTCTTCCAAGATAATTTGGTGTAAAAATTGAGGGCAGCTGATCTACCACTATATATTTTTTTTTAATATTTCACTCCGCTTTTCCCCTCTGGCTAATGACTCTTATCTACCAGGTATCCTGAAGCTGTATTAACTTTACTAACACTGACACAGCTTGTTTTAGCATTTTTTCAGGAACCAATCAGGCCCGTGAGGTTCTGTACGTCAGATGCTGGCAAGAACATGTTGATTTTCCCCCCTCCTCCCCCTTTCAATTACTAGAACAAATATATACATATATATATATAAATATAAATATATATAAATGGAGTTCGCAAGATTGTGAAGTTTTTACATTGATCTTTTTTGGTAATGCAAGTTAGCAGTCTGTTTTGCATGTATGACTTAATAAATTCTTAAATCACACCCGGGTTACTGTGTGGGCTCTCTTGAGTTGCATTTGTGGGTCAAAGGTGTCATCCTGTTGCAGGACTCTGATCCCCAGGGATGATGGGAATGGAAGCACTTTGCGAGTTAGAATTGTGCCGGTGGTGCAGATACACAACGGGACTGGACCTTTGTGCTGTGGTTTCTTTCCCTATCTCTTAACCCAGTCTAGTTTTGTTTTTCTTGCTTCCTAATTATATAAAAAAAACTCTCCACAGGTAGCTAAAACTCATTTAGCGACTGTTCAAAGTTACAACAGCACTGAAAAAGTGACTTAACGACCATTTTTCACACGGCCACTGTCAAGTGATTAAAATTTGGACACTTGGCAACTGACTCACAATGGTTGCCAATGTCCCCGGGTTGTATGATCCCCTTTTGCGACCTTCTGACAAGCAAAATTCAATGGGGGAAGACAGTTCCACTTAACAACCATGTTATTAACAAGTGAAATGATTCGCTTAAGAACCGTGGGACGAAAGGTCGTAAAATGGGGCAAAATTCACTTTAACCGTCTTAGCGACTGAAATTTTGGGCTCCGTTGCAGATGTAAGTCAAGGACTGTCCGTATGCTGGTATTTTCCTTATGAGATCTGGCAGACCTGCCAGAAAATTACTTCAACAGGAGCTAATCAGACTTTCAGTCCATTCACCGTTTCTCGACCTTAACAAACTCTTTTTAAGATGTGTGGACATTTCTAGAGTTGCTAAGGTCCAGAAACATTGGTCTAGCCAATACGGAAGGAGACTTTTGTGACTCTTCCTGTACAATTTCTAATGTCAGCCGTGTCTGGCTATGACACTCTGCCAGCATTCCGCCTGTTTATGACCCTGAAAGATAAAAACACACCAAGCCGATCAGGTGGAAAACTTATTTTTAATGGGGGAAATACCAGCTGGTTATCTATAGATGATGATGCTTCTTAGACTAGCAGTCCTCATTTCTTCCATAATTTTACCTTGTGCGTTTGCAGCACAAACAAGGATAAAGTCCAGAGCATCACTTTTTTATCTATTCTTCCAACAAGGTTGATTTTATACAGGAACACTGCTTATGGAGCCAAAAATGACAACGGTGAGCTTTAGGGAGCTGACATGGAGATATTTGACTCATTTTGGAGGGGAGAGTGACCCCCTCTTTTGTGAGACACCCTCCTTTAAAATTGCCCAGTGCGAACTGAGCACATAACACTCGTGTATAGCATGAGTAATGGTAGATAAAATTAATACAAAAAACCCCCAGTCAAGTTTATGTCTTGGCTTTAAAGGTGGACCTTGACTTACAACCAATTTGCTTAGCAACCAAAGGCCAGCGGCACTGGAAAAAGTAATTAAAAGGGGTCCATGCACTTAACCATTGCAGCATTCCCAGTCACGTAATCAAAACTGGGGTGCTTAGCAATTGTTGTAGATTTAGGGCAGTTGCCATTTGTGATTTTCCCAGCTGCCTTCCAACAAAAAAAGCAATGGGGGAAGCCTGATTTGCTTAATGACATTATTCACTTCACAACCGTGGCTTAACCGTGGCCAAATGATTGTAAAATTGGGCACAACTCAACCGCCTTGCTTAGCAAACAGAAATGTTGGTCCCAGTTGTTAAGTCAAGGGATACCTGTACTCAAAATGGTTTTATTTTTTCTTAAGCCCATTACTGACCTGCTTCTTATTTGCCACTGAAACCAGAATGAGGTTAAAAAAGGAAGGCCAAATTCAAATTTAGTTCACTTCCCGATCAGAAATACATTTTGTTTTTAATACCATGTACGTTCCTTGATTGGCAGACTTTCTCTCCAGGAAGCGAATGCATTGAAAATAAGATCTACTAGAACAGTGTTTCTCAACCTTGACAGTTTTAAGGCATGTGGACTTCAACTCCCAGAATTCCACAGCCAGCTGGAATTCTGGGAATTGAAGTCCATATGCCTTAAAATTGTCAAGGTTGAGAAACACTGCTCTAGCAGAAGGAGAAATAGGCTATCAAAAAGCATCACCAAAAAAAGTACCGTTCCTCACCAACCACCATTAGGACAGCAATTAGTTTTGAAGAATCCTCTAATCAACTTGATCTGGATTTGTTTCTAGACAATCATGCAAAACCTTACCAGCTCTATAGAGTAAGCAAGGATTGTTTCTCCCCCCTCCCCCCTCAAAAAAATTACACAATCTTGATACAGAGCTAAAATGATCTTTCTGGTTTGTGCTAACACCAACCAAAGACAGTGGCTTTTACATTTTCTATAATTAATTGCACATTCAGCAGTCTTAAAGAACTGTAAACAAAAATGGACATAATTGCACAGATATCCAAGAATAGATCTAAAATATTCTTCTTTCAAGAAGAAAGAAAACCCAAGACATTTCTGATCATCAGCAGAAACATGAGAATCATAGCCAACTAGGCGATGACTTGAAGTTAATTCTCACCAACACTCCTGATTTACACATTTACAAGTAAGTCATAACCCTGCGGTCAGATGTCACTAAGCCACAGGGAATTGGTTTGATGGCACATCGTGTGCTTAGAAAAACTTGTAACAGATCAGATGGATCTAAAAGGTCTTCAGGAGCACATCAACCATCACTTTCCATCAGTTGGGTTCTTCTCAGTCAACAGCAGTCCCCGGGCAGATGTGACCGATTAAAACTTCCATGAAATCACATCTAACAATACGAAACATCTCAATCCGTTACAAGCAGTCCAGAAGACGTTACTCCAACCGAATCTGGTCATCCAGAAACATCTGAAGGTCTTGCTCTGGTTTCTGCTTTAGACACAAGCAGCTGAACTTCTAAAGGCTGTTCTTGTGAACACCTGGGGACAGTCCGGTTGTGCTTGTCCAGTCTCTGCCATCAATACAACATTCAGAAAGCTTCACCTTGTGATCGGCACGAAATGCAAGATGTATCGCTTTGGACCAAGCTTTGGAGAGCTCTGAGGACTGTATCGGGCCAATGATCGGTGATCATCTTGGGGCTGATTAAAATACTACCAAAGGCAGTTTCTCTGGACCAGTTGGCTGAATACTTGACTTCAGAAAAGCACCAACTGCAAAAGAAGACAATGTCAATGCTGAATCTGAAGCCTTATTTAGAAATATTTAACTATGTTTTGTTCTCTCACAGGAATGCTTAGTAAGTCATCGGATTCTGGATATTGTTAATACTTGGGTGCAAAATTTTTCATGCCAACTTTGGCAAACCCGGGTTTCAACGGTAAAATGGGCCAGCCAAGAAGACCTGGAGAGTAAACCACTAGCAATACTTCAGTCAAGGAACTACCAACTCAGACCCACAGCTTAATCAAGGAACCATGGAAGCCACTTGTATATAAACAGAGATCAAATCCCCACTCCTTTCTAGCACTGATGAGGTTACCTAGCTGGGTAATGAAATGTCAGCAACAAAACAACCAAACTTAGAGAGCACCAGGAACCCCACAGTTCAACCCTAAGCTACAAATATTACCTTCTGTTAAGATCTAGAAGAGCTTCAAGTTGGAAACAAAAACAGATGCGCTCACTAGAACACAGAGACAGGCCCTTCACGCTAAAAACAAACAAGCAAGCACACCAACTGGGAAGCTTTGCAAAATACTACCCCTGGAACGCCTCCAAGCAATTTGTTTTGCACATTGCACAGAATGAAATTTGAAAAGAGTTTCCCAAGGGCAAAAGTTTATCACGGTCTCCTGGTGATCAACTCAAAGTCACCCAGCTGGCTTTCATAGCTAAGGCGGGACTAGAACTCACCGTCTCCTAGTAATGGGCCCAAAGTCACCCAGCTGGTTTTCATGACCAAGGTGGGACTAGAACTCACCATCTCCTGGTGATTGGCTCAAAATCACCCAGCTGGCTTTCATGGCTAAGGTGGGACTAGAACTCACCGTCTCCTAATAATGGGCCCAAAGTCACCCAGTTGGCTTTCATGGCTAAGGTGGGACTAGAACTCACCGTCTCCTAGTAATGGGCCCAAAGTCACCCAGCTGGTTTTCATGACCAAGGTGGGACTAGAACTCACCATCTCCTGGTGATTGGCTCAAAATCACCCAGCTGGCTTTTATGGCTAAGGTGGGACTAGAACTCACCGTCTCCTAGTAATGGGCCCAAAGTCACCCAGTTGGCTTTCAACGCTAAGGCGGGACTAGAACTCACCATCTCCTAGCAATTGGCCCAAAGTCACCCAGTTGGCTTCCATGGCTAAGGACTAGAACTAGAACTCACCATCCTGGTTTCTAAGCCAGCCCCTTAACCGCTCCACCAAACTGCCTGAGTATTTCTGCAGCTTTCCTCTTTTCGTGGGGCTTGAGGGGAGGGCTTCCCCCCCCAGCATCCAGGAGAAGACTTGAGAGACTACAAAGGGACACCCTGGCTGACGAACACGTAAACACAACCTACCCTTTTGTGCTGTGTTCTTCGACGATGTGGATGACTTTCCCAGGGAGAAACAATTGAGGATACTGAGGGCTGGATCCCAAAGGGGAATTGTCATCCAAACTTGTGTACAAAGGCGACTGCTGGGCCATCAAGTTCTCTTCGGCGAGGAGAGGCTGGGTCAAAGCATCCTGATTCCTGCGGTCCAGTTCTGTCGGAAAGTTATCAGGTTTTCCTCCAAAAACTTCGTACCAGCATCCATGCAAGAGAATCTGGTACTGAATGTTCGAGCAACAGACAGGACAAAAGGAACAGAGAAGGGAATGGTAAAAGAGTGGCATTTTATAAGATAAAATAAGCTTTATTGTCATTTTTTTTACTGTGGGCACAACGGCACACCTCAGAAATGAAATTTAGTTGCCCGCTCTCAAAGCGAAACCCATACATGACACACCCCTAAAACATCCTATGTACAACGTATGTATAGACCCACACCCCTACATATACAAAGCAAATAAATATTAAATACTGTCCATCTTGAATATATAACGGAAGGATCAGATTGCGGTAGCCCTTGACTTATGATGATTGCTTTAGCGACCGAAGTTACAACGGCCTTCCAAAAATGACTGGCAAGCAATTCTCAGTTATGACCATTGCAGAGTCCCCGGGGTCATGTAATCCAAAGGCATGTATTTATCACAGTTGCACTAGCCTGGGGTCATTGCAAGAGCCACTTGGGACCTTCCCAGCTAGTTTCCAACAAGCCAAGTGAACGTGGGAAGCCGGATCGACCAACTTTGTTTGGCCAAGTGGGATTAGGCCCCCAAGGAATTTTGTCAGGCCCCCAAATGCTTCTTGTTTTCCTTGCCTATGTGCTCTTGTTTTGGGGCCGGCCATTCTTCTGGGGGGGGGGAAGGGGGGGTATTGGCTTTCCCTTGGGATAACTTTCACTTTCCACCTTTCCTTCCCGCCTCTCTCCACTTGAGAAAAGAATGTGTCTCCCTTATCAGGGAGATGGTGGCAGAGAAACGAAAGAAGACCGCCAACTGTACCAGTTACCCCAACATCGTTGCCACCTGTGGATTGGCTGGATTTCAAATGAACATTATGACTCTGGGTGGGAGGAGGAATATTGGTAGTTTAACTATATTGTTTGTGCGGGATTTTCCCCAGATCTTGCTTTGACTTCCTTACTGTCACTAACCCCTAATAAAAGTTTCCTTTTGAGACGATACCTGTTTCAAGAGTTCTGCTTTTGTGGGTGGTTAACTCCTTACAGAATTTGTCTCCAGGTGCAGTAAGAGTAACAGCAGAAGAGGCTAAGAGCAATAGCTACCGCTGTGGTTATTCCCCCCCCCCATACATCTGGGCCATTAAAGTAAGAAACAGCCCGTTTTAGTTTTCCATCCCCAAAGCCCTGTTTAGAATAATTTACCTTGGGTTTGTTACAGTTGGCAACTATTCTAACGATTCTCTTTTTCAGCTCTTCCAAATTGAGCATGCTTAATCTGTTTCGGGCCCAACAGAAAGGAAAAAAAAAAAGAGAGAGATCCAAATTCAAGACAGGGCAAAATTCAGGAGGCTGATTTCAACACAAACGACACGTCGTCTCCTTACCTGGGAATGATGTCCTTTCCCACAATGACTGACACAATAAACTGCTTTGTGTAGTCTGCGAGGGATTTGCTGAAAAAGAATAACCGAGGGAAACAGGATTACGGTCGTTGATCTTCCACGACCAATATTGATAAAGACAAGTGTTCATTCGTGTATACAGGAGGTTCTTGAGTTGTGGCCACAGCTGAGCCCAAATTTTTCATTTCTGAGACTGTTGTTAAGTGGGTGTTTGCCCCATTTTGTGACCTTTCTAGCCACAGTTCTTAAGTGAATCACTGCAGTTGTTAAGCTAGTCACACGGTTGTTAAGTGAATCTGGCTTCCCCATTGGCTTTGCTTGTCAAAAGGTCATAAAAGGGATCACATGATCCCGGGACACTGCAACCGTCATAAATAGGAGTCAGTTGCCAGGAGTCTGAACTCTGATCATGTGACCCTGGGGATGCTGCAACGGTCGTAAGTGTGAAAAACGGTCATGTTATCTTTTTTCAGCGCCGTTGTAACTTGGAACTTGGAAATGAGCTGTTGTTAAGTCAGGGACTACCTGGACACATAATCCCCTTCTCTACTTTTTAGAAAGAAAGTTTAAAAAAAAAAACCCTCGTCTTTATTTCGTCCAGTATAAGATGGGGCAGAAAGATGCTTCCTGGGAAGCAACTTGACTTCAACAAGCTAGATGGATGACCTCGGGAACCCCCAGGTTGAATCCCAGCTCCACCTGGCGCCCTGACCTCTGCCCTGATGGATTTAGGATCTTCCGTGGAAAAGAACTTAACAGGATCCCAAAGGTGCTTTTTTTTTTTTTTCACGAGGCAACTGGACTTTCTTTCTTTTTCTCTTTGAAGACGTTTCGCTTCTCGTCCAAGAAGCTTCTTCGGCTCTGACTGGATGGGGAGGGGGGAAAAAAACAGGAAAAAAAAAACAGGAAAGTCCAGTTGCCTCGTGAAAAAGCACTTTTGGGAGAACTATGACCTGAATTATCTCCCCAGACGAAGTCAATGGGATCAACATGAAGGCAGGACAAGAAGCAACGGAACTAACCAAGGAGAGAAGCAACCTAGAACTAAGGAGGAATTTCCTGACAGTTAGAACAATTAACCAGTGGAACAACCTGCCTCCAGAAGCGGTGAATGCTCCAACACTGGAAGTCTTTAAGAAGAGACTGGACAGCCATGTCTAAAATGGTGTAGGGTTTCCTGCCTGAGCAGGGGGTTGGACTAGAATCTCAGGGGTCCTCAACCTTGGCAACTTTAAGACTTGTAGACTTCAAGTCCCAGTTGAAGTCCACAAGTCTTAAAGTTGCCAAGGTTGACCCCTAGACTAGATGACCTCCAAGGTCGCTTCCAACTTTATTATTATTATTATGGATCATCGCACAATAAGCCAGATGTTCAGACTGGATTTGGCATTTTGTCTACCTATCGAGTCCTTACCAAGGACCTTGAATAGGCAGATGTGGATTATTATTATTATATTATTATTATTAGCATCATCATCTTTTATTCATTAAATATGAACCTCAGTCAACTGAGCATTCAAATTGGCTGGCGCTGATGGTTGACATCAGCATCCTAGATGTCAACCAGGTACCTCCTTAAAATATAAGATGTTCCGAGTAGCGCAGTTTATTATTATTTATTAATTATTATTACATACCTCAATAAACCTCCAGGTGGAGAAAAAGCGTAACATCTCAGGTTGGGAAAAGAGTTTCTGAGCATGATGGACAAGATGGAGGCAACGCCCCCTCCTAAGCTGTGGCCAGCCACCACCAATTTATATTCCTGGGGGAGAGAGAACAAGCAAGGAGAAAAGCAGAAATCCCCACGGGAAGCAGAGCCAACCCAGAGAGACAGGTGGAGTCCCAAACACCACAACTTACAGGTGCGATGCCGAGCGCCTGGTTCAAAATCCCATCGTTTACCAGTCTCCTATAAATGTAATTGGCAGCCTGGGTTATCCCCTATAAGGGAAAACGGTAGAGGTTAGCAGCCCTTGTTGAGACCACGCTTGCAAGTACAGATAGTCCTCAAATTACAACCAGAATTTCAGTCGCTAAGCAAGGCAGTTGTTGAGCAACTCCTGCCTGATTTTACGACCTTTTTTTGCTGCGGTTCTTAAGCGAATCATTATTGGTAAGTTGGGCATTCAATCCGGCTTCTCCCACCGATTTTGCTTGTCGGAATTATTGCTTGTAAATTCAAACGGTCACTAAACAAATGATGGTAAGTTACTACCTGTAATGAAGTAACTAGCTTCCTCAACTTACATCCAGTGGTGGGATTCTGCCAGTTCACACTACGGCAAAACCAGTAGCTAATTTTTTATTGCCCAGGCCCAGAATGGACTTCCAGAAGTGGCATCCATGCAGAGAACCGGTTGTTCACATATTTGAATCCTACCACTGCTTACATCCCCATCCCATAACTTATTAGTAGTACAGCCTACTAGTTCGTTCAGGAAGACATTACTCCACGTCCTGCTACTATCTGAGTGGCATTGAGGGTATTACAGACAGTCCTCAACTTACAGTCGTTTGTTTAGTGACCAGATTTACAACTTACCCCTTGCTTCCCAGTCATCATAAGTCAATTGACTACCTGTAGGCCCAATACAATACGCCCTTTTCAAGGACGGCATCCAGCCCCTGAAGCTATCTCATGAGGTTCCTCTCTCCGTGTAACTTTATGGACTAGCAACATTTAATTTTCTTCAGAGGAGTACCGCAGCATGCCACGGTTGGGCAAATCATAACTGACCGAGCTTTATCGACCCCCCCCCCCCCGGGCTCAGAGATTTGCCCATATTAATATTCTGCGTTATTGATTTGTTCTTATAAAGATTACTGGTGGGCTTAAGGTTTCTAACTGAGGCCAGGAACGTGAGATAGAAGTACATCAAAACAACAGCGGGCAACTAGCCAAACGGCCCTTTGGCGACTCTCAAGTCAATAACAGTTCTAAAAATATTTGCCAACCTTATGAACAAGGCCATTTTCCAGGACATCTTCAAGAGTTAAGCTTTCGCAGTCTGCCGAAAGGTCCGTGAGGATATCCTAAATGCAATAATAAAAATAAAATAAAAAACATATCAGGTCACAAATCTTCTTTGCCTGTCAGACAGATGCAAGATTATTGTTGCAATTGATGTGAGCGGCGTATTCCTTATTGACTTGCTTCACAAAGCCAATCAGGTCCCATCATTTTCTGGGTTCTAAATATGTACGAGCCAAACTTGAAAAGATTCCATAAGCAAAATCTTAAGTCATAATTATATCACACGAGCCACACGCAGGAAGATTACCTCACACGATAAAGTTCCTCTCACGGCTACCACGATGGCTTCTTTTTGATGATCCAAGGCCACGAAGAAAGGTATCTCAAAAATCTGAAAGCACAAGCATCAGAGGATAAAAAGAAGAGTTATTTTAAGGCTGGGCTCTTCTGATAGTCCGTTCAGCCCTGAAGGCTATCAGATGACAACCCTATCTAGGCAAGATGACAGTCTGCTTATGGGAGCTTGGTTGTTCTCTTGCAGACATCTCATGATCCAAGTAGGTAATATCATCAGTGCTAAAAAGGGGTTGGGATTCATGGGGAGGAGGAAGAGGAAGAGAAAGAAAGAAGGACTATGGGGTCATCAAAGCTCTCTGCGCTTGGTTGTTCTCTTGCAGACATTTCATGACCCAACTAGGTAATATCGTCAGTGTTAGAAGGGATTAAGATTTGCTTTCATTTTATATACTAGATTTAATTAATTTGGTTTCACTAACTGCTGGGCTCTCAACTAGCATGCCAATGTGACTCAGAGGCTTGCTAGAGATGGCTTCGAACGACTTACTTTATTGTGTAAGCTGATGTGGATGAAATCTCGGTTCTGCAGGCCCGTGGTCTGGAGGATGGACCCAAAATGCATGTTAAGGTAATCACTGCCGATAATCTCCGTCTGCTCTGGGCTGTTTCTGCAACTAAAAAAACCAAGAAAGAAACCGAAAACAGCCATTAATCTTCCCATTTTTACAGTTCTTCAGCAACCCCTTCCTCTATGTCACACACACAATGTGTAGAATTGGCACACATTCTGCTTTTGTCGACCTACCAGAACCCTCTCAGTTTGCAGAGGCCCGTGAAAGGATTCACCATGACGTAGTAAGGCCAGCCATACGCAGCTGCTGCAAACTTCATATAATGAGCCGCGTTCTCCAGTTCAACCTCCAACTCGGCCTGTGAAAGAGACGATTTCACGGCCTTTATGTGGATTCAGTCAGCAAACCTGCAGTTGTTAAGCGAACTCACGGTTCTTAAGTGAACCCTTTGCCCGCTAGGGCAGGTTTTCCCCCCCGAAAACTGGAAGTGAAGTGCCGCTTTTCAGAAGCGCTGTCACAAAATGAAGTCACGTGACCGTAAATGGGGCTGTGTTGCCGAGCACCCCAAGTTTGGTCATATAAGTGCAGAGGGTCCCCCAACTTGTGAGATAGGCAGCAAGCAAATTTAATAAGTGACAAAATGAAATAAAACAATAAAATAAATAATAACTAAAATTATTAAAATGAAATAAAGCAATATATTGAAATAAAATAATAAAATTAAATAATAAAATAAAATAAATAAAATATTAAAATAAAATAACGAAACAATATATTAAAAAATAATGAAAATAATAAAATAAAATAATGAAATAAAATAAAATAATAAAATAATATATTAAAATAATGAAAATAAAATAAAATGAAATAATTAATAAAAAATAGAATAAAATAATATATTAAAATAAAATAAAATAAATAAAATATTAAAATAAAATAGCAAAATAATATATTAAAAATAAAATAATGAAATAAAATAATAAAATATTAAAATAAAATAAATAAAATAATGAAATAAAATAATATATTAAAAATAAAATAAAATAATGAAATAAAATAATAACAAAATAAATATAAAATATAAAATAATAAAAAACTGTTGGAACTTCAAACCTGGGTCCTAAGTAGCCCAAAAGGAGATCTGCTATAATTTCAAACGGTCGCTAAGTCGCCAGAGGACTATCTGGGCTTCCGTCATGTGCACCAAAAGGGCGGGGTGTGCAGGTACAAAACGGCACCAGCGCAGACCTGCTGGAACGGATGCAAGAGACTTACTGCAGGAGGCGACGGGGGCTGAGTTAAAACTTCATCCGGGTCTTTTGAATGTTCGACCTTATCCTGCTCCTGGTGAAGCAGAGTTAGGCCTGCAGCTATGTCGCTTGGCACTAAATCGGTGTCCTGCAGAGAGAGAGAGAGAGAGAGAGAAGGACAAATCAATCCACATTTATCTGGAAAACCAGAGAATCAGGCTGAAAAAGTCAGGGTGGGTGCATAATTATGGCTCCTTATTCAAAATACTCAGAGCTGAACAATCTCCGTCTTTGTCCCTCGCCTTGCCCTGCTTATTTTTACGGTCTGATTTCTTTTTTCCGGCTACGCAAATTAAAAAAGCATTTTACTACTTCTCCAGTGCTGTACTATACATCACTGTGGGCAATTTAACAACTATAAACATGGGTACAAGATGTTTCACGATGAGGTCCGGATCACAGCGTTAACAAAAAGGTGTAAAAAAAAAAAGAAATCATGATGGGATTTCCAGAACTCATATATCTGTTAACATACATTCAATCGGGAAAAAGCTGCCTAAAATCCTTCAAAAATTTGGACACCAGCAATGGGAACTCAAACAAACATTTTTGCGCCAACAGTGGGAGCTGGAATCTAATCTTTCTCAACTTAGGACTACAATGGAGACTGCCGTTCCCATTGCTAAACAAGGTGGTTGTTAATCAAGTCACACACAATTTTATGCCCAGGTTGTTAAGCAAATCGCTGCAGTTGTTAAATGAATCATTTGGTCGTTAAGTGAATCCAGTCCCCCCCCCTTGACTTTGTCAGAAGCCAGCTGGGAATGGCAATCACATGACCCGGGACAGTGAAGCCATATCTATAATAATAATAATAATAATAATAATAACAACAATCTGCCATAATAATAACAACAACAATGTTGGAAGGGACCTTGGAGGTCATCTAGTCCAACCCCCTGCTCAGGCAGAAAACCCTATACCATTTCAGACAAATGGCTGTCCAGTCTCTTCTTAAAAACTTCCAGTGTTGGAGCATTCACCGCTTCTGGAGGCAGGTTGTTCCACTGGTTAATTGTTCTGTCAGGAAGTTTCTCCTTAGTTCTAGGTTGCTTCTCTCCTTGATGAGTTTCCATCCATTGCTTCTTGTCCTGTCTTCAGGGGCTTTGGAGAATAGCTTGACTCTCCCCTCTTTTTTGCGAAAGCCCCTCAAATATTGGAATACTGCTCTCATGTCCCCCCTCTTCATCAAACTAGACATGATCAGTGACAGTTGCTAAGTGTGAAATAACTTTTACCAGTGGTGCTGTAAGTTCGAACGGTCACTAAATGAATGATCGTTAAGTCGAGGACTACGATGTAGTTCATTCTGCTCTCCCAGAGTTTCAGAGCGAGCATAAAGACAAAACCACAATCAAGGCCTGACGTCTTACCGAGAAGTAGGAACTAAAAAGTTCGGCGATGCTCGTAAAAGCCACGCGGTGATCGTCATTTTGCATAATGCAACAACACAACAACCGGATTCTTTTTTCCCAGACGCGGGTGGCCCTCTTCTTGAGGTTGAAGAACAGCTGCTCGGACTGGCTGCTCTCCAGATTGCGACTGGCGTAGTCAGCCAGGTAGACCGACTTCCTTCCAAGAGGATCGAAGAAAATGAAAACTGCCACCACGGTGAAGACGATGATCACCCAGCTGACAGGAAGAACGGAGGAGAAATTCCATAAAAACCAAGGAGACATCATTGCCTGCAACGCTTGTAGCTCTTGAAGCTTCCCCCAGATTCTGCTGCCAAAATACGATGGCACCTAAAGTAACAACTCAAGGTCCACCACTCTACGATGAATGTCTATGGGATATGTCTAGTGTAATGAGAAGAAGGAACTAGGGGTGACGTGACAGCAGTGTTCTAAATATTTGAGAGGCGGCCACAAAGATGAGGAGGTCAATCTAATTTCCAAAGCGCCTGAAGGCAGGACAAGAAGCAACAGATGGAAACTAATCAAGGAGAGAAGCAACCTAGAACTAAGGAGAAACTTCCTGACAGTTAGAACAATTAACTAGTGGAACAACCTGCCTCCAGAAGTTGTGAATGCTCCAACACTAGAAGTTGTTAAGAAGAGACTGGACAGCCATTTGTCTGAAATGGGATAGGGTCTCCTGCTTGAGTAGGGGGTTGGACTAGAAGATCTCCAAGGTCCCTTCCAACTCTGTTATTCTATTATTCTGGGTCAGCCTATTTTCCAAAGCGCCTGAAGGCAGGAGAAGAAGCAACGGATGGAAACTAATCAAGGAGAGAAGCAACCTGGAACTGAGGAGAAACTTGCTGACATTCAGAACAATTAATAAGTGGAACAACTGAAAAAGAAAAGGACCAGGGGGTGACATGACAGCAGTATTCCAGTATTTGGAAAATATCCAGTTGTATCCCAAGCAGCTGAGTACCCCTATTTAGAATGCCATATAGCCAGCCCCGCTCTCTAGCGACAGAAGGCAGAACAGCCTCACCTGACAATAACAGTCCCCAAAATGGCGTCGATCATAGCTCTTTCGCAGTTTGCTCGGTTGTTGGCTATCCACACCGTTCCAACCACAGCCCAGACCAGCTCTGGGACGTAGAGAGCCAGACGGACATACAGAAGCTTGGGAAGGGATTTCCTTGGACCGGGATTGGAAATAGTTCCTGGAAAAGAGAGTCACTTGACTTAACGAGCTAGAAAAACGACGGCCATGGCTGGTTTTATTTTAGACTGTTTATTTGTTTCATGTTTGTTAAAGATTAGAACATCACCTTCAACATTTCAGAACAGAAAGAGGTTCCCTTCCTATGGATCTATTGACAATGTGCCATCTGCAAGCAGTCCTTGGTTTACAACAGCTTGTTTAGTGACTGTTCAACATTTCAACGGCAGTAGGAAAAGTGCCTTACGACCCTTGCAGCATCCCCAGGGTCACGTGATCAAAATTTGGACACTTGGCAACTCACTCCTATTTAGGACGGTCGCAGTGTCCCGGGGTCACGTGATCCCCTTTTGTTCTGACCAGCAAAGTCAATCGGGGAAGCCAGATTCACTTAACAACCGTGTTACTAACTGAACAGCTGCAGTGATTCACTCAGCAACTAAGATAAGATAACCTTTATTGTCATTTGTTTTACTGTGGGCACAACGGCACACATCAAAAATGAAATTTAGTTGCCCGCTCTCAAAGTGACACACATACATGACACACACCTAAACATACTATACACAACATATGTATAGACCCACATCCCTACATATACGTAGCAAATAAATATGAAATATTGTCCATCTTGAATATATAACGGAAGGAGGAAGCTTGAGAGTTCGCAAGGTTAATGCTGTAGGAAATGAAACTCTGGCTGAATCTGGATACCACGGAGACCCCTCCTCCCATAAGGGAACAAGGAAAACAGGTCGTGAAGAGGGTGTGTAGTGTCCCAGATAATCTTACGGACCCTGCTCAAGCAGCGCCTCTGTGCTATGTCCTGGATGGGAGGGAGGGAACTGCCAATAATCTTTTCGGCCATTCTCACTACTCTCATAAAATGGGGCAAAACTCATTTAGCAACAGAAATTTCAGGCTCAATTGTGGTCATAACTTGACGACTACCTGTAGTTGGTGTCGTATCTTAGTTACCACATAGAAGATCAGTTTCCTAGATAAGAATGTAGGTAAAGAAATTCCTAGACTATACGTATGTGCTACAAAATTATAACACAGGTGTGTACGCGCGTCTGTCTGTTTACAATTATAATTACCGCTTGGGCAGACAGATGGCTGTGCTAAGCAGCTTCTTGGTGTGACTTTTGTATGACTGATGCTCAAGCCCGACACTACAGTGGATTTTCTCGATCCAAAAGCTAACGCAGAAAGCAAATTACCTTGCATGCTGGTGTATATAACAGATGACAAAGCAGCTACGATGAACGCCAAGAGGATAAGGAGGATGAGAAGGTAGTTATTCAGCAGAACACTTCCGGTGCAGTTAAAGTGTCCTTTGTGTATAGAATACAAAACCAAAATTCCGATCCACCTGAGAAAAAAAAGAAGAATGGATGGATGGATGGATGGATGGATGAAAGGAAGGAAGGAAAGAGAGAGAGAGAGAGAGAGAAAGAAAGGAAAGAGGAAGAAAGAAAGAGGGAAGGAAGAAAGGAAGGAGAATGAAGGAAGGAAAAGAAAGAAAGAAAATAAAGAGGAAGAAAGGAAGGAAAAGAAAGAAAGAAAGAAAGAAAGAAAGAGAAAGAAACAATCACCCAGAACATTCTCAACAGAAGTATTTTCAGAAGATGCAGCTACTTTCCACTAAAAGTCGAATCACAAAGGGTTTCACAAAATCACAATATGTTCTACAGGCCTCCTTTGCACAATGGCTCCTACAAGCCTCTTTCGTTGAGGTCTCCACTCTAAGCAGCTACAGAAATGAGGTTCATCCTGAAAGCGATGGAGCCAAGTCACCCTCCTTGATATTGTTATGCAAAGAGTCTTGGCCAAGTTTGAAGATTACAACTCAGCTTCCTAAATCCTGGAGGCCTACCACCCATACAGTGGTGACAGTGTAAGAGCCTTACGGGTTGTGGCTGAAATCCTCTCCCTTTTGTGTTTACTAGGGGAACGTTTAAGGTGGGTATGAAAGAGAGGGTAGAAAAGGCCAACGTTCAACCACAATTAGGTGCCCATCACAGGATGGATCACTTTCCAAACATCCACGGGAGCTGAGCTGTTCTAATCTACGGCCTACCTCCGAGAACAGGGATCTTACCAGGTCACTCTGATGAACAATTCAAAGGTTCCAGGGAAGACAAAATCATCACTTCCAATGCCCCAACGCCGGCCAAAGAACACCAACCCGGGCATAGCGGAAATTGAGCGGCAATTCTTCTACCACTGTAGGAGAACAAGGAGATGCAACACCAGGTGAGGCCTTTCTTTCCAAGGCAAAACAAGAAACTCTGAGCCTATTTGCTTAAAAACATTTTTATGTATTTGTCTTAATGGGTTTTACAGAAAAAAATTGAGAAAAGACGCCAAAAGCAATCGCAGCTAGAAAAGGAAATACAACGTTATCTTGGTACTCAATGGCCTTGAAACTCATCAAATTTGGTACTCAATGCATTTTGAGCTGAACGTTTTGTCCCGGAACTCATTGGTACTCAACGCACAAGCTAGAACTTGCCAGTGTGGGCTGCCTTGTGACTCACTACATTATTCCTTATGGGAAATTTTTATTTGGTAGTCACCAGTCAAAGCTGGTAGTCACCAGCTTTGTTGGCTGAGGAATTCTGGGAATTGAAGTCCACAAGTCTTAAAGTTGCCAAGGTTGAGAACCCCTGCTCTAGAACGTCTCCAGCAGGTGCCACCCAAGCTTCAAGTGATGAAGGATATCTACTGTTGTTCTAGAGGACAGATCATCTCATTGCTTAACAGCTGTCACAGTTAGCCTGACCCTTTGGATATGTTTGGGCTTTCTCAACCTCCTTCCTGCTCTTCAAGCCCAAGCTTCTTGAGCACACCCTGAGCATTGACCATTGAGATTGCCATCTCCTGCTTTCAGCTTGATTGGTTGCACCTTCCAAAGAAGCTTTGGTGAAGAGTTTTAAGAGACCTCTTCTGTTTTTCATGGCCACCACATACGTTCTCAAGAACTTTTTTGGTAGCACCATAAAAAACGGAATATTTATCAACTGTTGGACAGTTGAAGGAGATAGGTGTAAGAGAGGACAGCTTCGTGCCTTCTACATGTTTTGGACAAAACCCATATAGGTCTTTATCACCACCTAAGCTGACCAAGACTGACAGGAACAAAACAGGTAAACACTGAGCTAGCATTGTTGTTGTTCGTTGCAAAGTCGTGTCCGACCCATCGCAACTCCATGGACAATGTTCCTCCAGGCCTTCCTGTCCTCTACCGTCTTCTGGAGTCCATTTAAGCTCACGCCTACTGTTTCAGGGACTCCATCCAGCCACCTCATTCTGTCGTCCTCTTCTTCTTTTGCCCTCAGTCTTTCCCACCATCAGGCTCTTCTCCAGGGAATCCTTCCTTCTCATTAGGTGGCCAAAGTACTTGAGTTTCAACTTCAGGATCTGGCCTTCTAAAGAGCAGTTGGGGTTGATCTCCTCTAGGACTGACCGGTTTGATTGTCTTGCAGTCCAGGGGACTCACAAGAGTCTTCTCCAGTACCAGAGTTCAAAGGCACTCCGCCTTTCTTATGGTCCAACTTTCACAGCCATACATGAGCTAGCTTACCTGCTACTAATCTATGAAGCATGCATGACTGTCACCATGATGTCCCGCAAAGCCTCCCATCATCAACAAAGGTGGCCAGAAGCGCATCTGGGTCAAGGGTTTAAGGCTGTTTTAAATCAGCCTTAAGTTTGGACAAACTTCTGCTTTTTTCCTGGGGGGGGGGACAATTCGTCCTTTCAAGAACAAGCCTTCCCAGTCCTGTCCCCCTTCTTCAACATGGGGGCGCTCCCAGAAGCCCCCCCTCAAAGCTTTTCCCCCACTTTTGCAAGCTTTCCCTTCCCGCCCCCAAAAGACCCATGTCCCCCACCTCCTTCCACGCCCCCCCATACCCGACCCCTTCCTGTACCCCTTGCCAATCTCTTCCCCCTAGCAGGAAAGTCCTCTCCCCAGTCCGGGCCTTTGCAAAAACCAAGGACCCTCCCCCTTCCCAACTCGTTGGACCTCCCTATTTCCAGCCCCCCGGCCCCGGGCTTGCAACCCACCTGTCCGGCTTTGCACCCTCCGCGATCAGCGCCTTCGCTGCAAAAGCCAGACGCCTCGCGCCGCACCGGAGTCAGGAGGCCGTGACGTCACTCCAGGATCCCCGGGCCGACTGTTCTTTTGGCTGTTTTGGTGGCCTCTTCCGGAGTGGCGCATGCGTAGAGCTTTCCTTTGCCCTATCGGCGCCCCGGCTGAGCGGGGTTGGAAGGAAGGAGCATGCGCAGACCCGGAGGCGGAAAAGCTGCGTCAAAGAGGTATTACTCAAGGGGAGTTTCAGGCACGCTACACTTTCGGTTTCGTCCGGCTGCTTGGAGACGCAAGGTCAGTATCTTTGCTCGGGGTTGCGACTCCGCGTTAGACGGCCTCTTTTTCCACAGGGAGTTGGACTACAGTCCCCATCGGAGCCAGGAAAGGGCTCTTGCCGAGTGGCTCGTCCGTTAAGAGGCGAGGTGGAATCGGTTCCCGGGGAATTACATTGAGAACCCTGAACTGTAGCGCTTGTTTTCATCCTCTTGGGGAACAAAAGGATGCTCTTTAACAAGCATCCCAAATTTGTACATGATTTTTTTTTGTTCTCCCTCCACTTTAACAGAACGTCCCCAGTGGAGGAAGGCATTGGAATTAAAATTAGGGCGGGGGGTGTTTTGCAAGCTTGGGGTGGACTTTTAACTCCCAGAACCCCTAACTGAAAGAGTTGTGAAGTCTACACTTAACCTTGCAAAGTTTTGGAGGGGAAAAAACAATTTAGGGCATTTCCTGGCCAAAACTTCCCATTGAGTGCAGTGTTCCCATGATTTGGCCAGATATTTTTATTTCTGTAGTTTATCCAAGCCGAGAAACTCCAAGTTTTTCTTAGCTGTCCGGAAAAATGTGACAAACTACATTATAGGTAGTCCTCAACTTACAGCTCATTTAGTCACTGCTCAAAGTTACAACAGCATTGATTTATGACCGTTTTTCACACTTTATGCAGCATCAAAAATTCAGAGGCTTGGCAACTGACATGTACTTGACAGTTGCAGTATCCCGGGGTCATGTGATCCCCCTTTGCAACCTTCTAACAAGCAAAGTCAATGGGGAAGCCAGATTCATTTAACAATTGTGTTCTAACAACTGTAGTGATTCACTTAACAACTGTGGCAAGCAAGCTTGTGAAATGGGGCAAAACTCACTTAGCAAATGTCCCACTTAGCAACATAAATTTTGGGTTTAATTATGGTCGTTAAGTCAAGGACTACCTGTATTAACAAAGATTCACAGAGGCAAAATTGAAAGCCGCAGCAGACTCGGCTACAAGTTAAAAAAAAGGCTCCGTTTCTCAAAAATGAGGTACAGTCCATCCTCGGACCTCCCCCCCCCCCAAACCCTGCATTTCATGAATAACACACAGTGATAGTGAGAAATATATTTGGAACAGAAAATTATACATAACCAAAATAAAAGCAAGGCTTGAGCTGAGGGGCTACCGATAGTCCTCAACTTAACAATCACAATTGGGATCATAATTCCTGTGGCTAAGCAAATTTGGATCACATGACTAGGAAGATGCTGCAATGGTTTTACCTGCATGAACAGGTCAAATGCCACGTCCTCCATTGCTGTTGCAACTGTGAAATGACTAAATCCGTAGTTGTAAGTCAAGGACTACCCGTGGATGATTAACCATTTTGCAAATATTCAAATATTTTTCTTACTTTTTTTGCCCAGTTCTTTTATCTCTTCGCCCATCAATCCTTGCTTCCTTCAATTTATGAAAGGATCGCCAGCCTCTTCGTTTGAAACTCATTATGCAAATGATCCAAAGGCTTCAATTAACTGGCCAAGAACAATTATTTGCTCTTTTCCTTCTACTAGTGAGGGAGATGATCACGTGGAACAGGTGAGACGCAGTGACTCCTGCATCTCATAAAACTTTCTGCTCCAGCCATTTTATGGCAGAATTATCTTAACATCGCTTCAATGAATTCTAATGTTTTATTTGCAGCACTCGTAATTTAAAAATAAAAAAAAAATACTGCCAATGTTTTTACAATTTCAAAGCTACAACTATTCTGCAGATAATAAAACGGGAAGCTGCCTTTATCGTATAACTAAAGATGTAACCGAGCGCCGGTTTGAACCCTTGCAAGTGACAGCAATTCACAGAGAAGAGCAACTGCATCCTGCGAGGGCATCGTTTTACATCACCACAACGGAGAACCACTTCGTAAAATGTTTATTGAGGATGGTAACACAGGAGAAATCATGCAACAGCTCAGTAAAAAAATGAAAGCTAGAGAACAGGACTCGATGCGGCCAATTCAGGAACAAGTCTATAAAAGGGACAATTGATCGTCCAAAAACTGGCACATCTAAAAGCTAAACAAAGACGCTTTTACTTCTAAAAGGATTCTGTATTAAAAAGTTGGAGACGCCGTTAAAAATTGCCACTTATGGATGGCTTCCACTGGACGATGATTCGCAGGGCTGGCATGAACACTTCTGTCAATAAAAAACGGTTTAGAAACGCGCACACACACACCCCTCCAAAAATTACAGAATAATTTTAGTCTGAACGGGGCGCATGCAAACAGGAATGACTGCCGCGAAACCATTACATTGGGAGAGAGGGGAAAATGCATCGGGACCAGATAAGTCTTAACTCGTGTCTTTAAGAGGTGAACGGAAATAGAGGGGAGTTAATTTATTAACAGATGCTACGGAAGCATCTTTCGTGAAGGGGGGGGAAGCAAAATGAGTAATTGGAGACATGGATGAAACCGTGACCCTTTTCCCACAAAGAGTTTTCCGACAACGGTAGTTAAGATTTCAGCCGACATAAAACAGGGAACAGAGGAAAATAAATACAGTGGAATGAAATTTGAAATCAAACAGGGAACAAGGGAGTTACCATCCTTCAATCAAGCCCAATCCTGTGTGTGCCAAAATAACTCAGCAATTGACAGGACAGTTGTTTGGAAATAAGTGTTCTGCGCTTATTCCTGATCCCCAAGGACATCCCCCCACCCCACCCCCAAAAAAACCTCAGCGTTTTTTTTATTTATTTTTGGAACTACTCCAATTTGAAACTACACGCTGAATTAAATCCACATGGTATTAAGTTTCGCTCGTGTAAAAAATCTTTATACATAGTAATAAAAAAAGAAGGGGGGGGGATAAGGCGAGATGCGTCAAACAGAAGTCAGCTGGGTCTCTGGTCCTACAGAGCCCCATTTGGGGGGGACTCTCTGCAAGACGAGGGCAGGAAGCCATCTGTTCGAGCATTTTCAACCTCTTGACGGTCAGGATTGTTCTCTCTACGCATCCAGGATGACCACCCTTGGCACTTTACGCTGGCAAACTCAGCTTCTTCCCTTTGAGTACTGAAAAAAAGGAATCAAGGTCAATTCAGAGATATATCAAGCCTTCCCCCATCTAAAGCATTGTGGCGGGTTGAATAGGATTGGAGAAATTCTCTTCTACAGATAGTCCTTGACTTATGACAGGGGAATTCTCTTATAGTCCTTGACTTATGACAGGGGAATTCTCTTATAGTCCTTGACTTATGACGGGAATTCTCTTATAGTCCTTGACTTATGACAGGAATTCTCTTATAGTCCTTGACTTATGAAGGGAATTCTCTTACAGTCCTTGATTTAGGATATGAATTCTCTTAGTCCTTGACTTATGACAGGGATCCTCTTATAGTCCTTGACTTATGACGGGGATTCTCTTATAGCCCTTGACTTATGACAAGGGAATTCTCTTATAGTCCTTAATTTATGACGGGAATTCTCTTGCAGTCCTTGACTTAAGACGGGGATTCTCTTATAGTCCTTGACTTATGACAAGGGAATTCTCTTTTACTAGTATTCCTTGATTTATGATAGGGGAATGCTCTCACGCAGTTAGTCCTCAACCAACACAGGGGAATTCTCTTATATAGTCCTCAACTTACAACTGTATGATCATAAGCCATTTGATCAGTGTGACTGACCCAATTTTGCGCAAAAAAAAAAAAAAAATCTTTTGCACCAATCACCAAGCAAATGCTCCAATCCTTAAGCCAGTTACTAGTTATTAAGCAAGGACACCTGTATTTTCATTGCAAACAAAGGCCTTCACTGTAAGACATGAAGAGGAGCCAGAAAGAAATGGAAGGGTATGTAGTGGATAATTGAATAAAAGTTATGGGTCATCCTTGCTTAGCCACCACAAATTGAGTTCCATGAGCAATCGTGAAGCAGTCACTCTCTCAAAGCCTTGCTTATGAACCGGGATAGTGATGCTGGTATGAGGAGAGGCCGAACGCCTATGTTCCTGCTTGCAGGATGCCCACAAAAAAATCAAGTCTATTTTATTCCTCTGAATTTCTTCGGCTCTCTAAAACTGGCCGGCATCTCAATCCAAATTTTTGTTTGGGACTAAGGCCACATTTTGCCAGGCCAACACGTCTTAAGAAGCTGAATTTCCTTCCCTTTTAAAATATTCCTGTGCCCGTGGATTATTGGTATATTTGACAGAATTAAATATGCAAGGGAATGGCACCCGCAGCCATCCAGCTGGGAGAACCGGTTCCATCACTACTATTTTTGTACACAGGAAGGTATTCACTGCATCCTCCACATTTGCAAAGAGAGTAAGTTTAGGCCTAGGTCCTTCCGAAAAATTATTGTACCCACTCCACCCCTTACTATAGGAAATATACAGGTACCTGAGACCAGATGTCAGGTTATTTTGTGACTGCAATTGATTTTAAAAAATGCACTAATAGAGACAGGATAATATTCAAATTACCTAGGGTGCTAAACTTAGGGGGAGATGTATCTCCCAGTCTAATCCTAGTTCCTCCCAATCCTAACAGACCTGTAGGGTAACAAGTCAGAAGGAGAATGACAAGCCCAAACTCATCAAAGGAAGCGTCGGCAAAGGTCCACCCCATTTCCAAGCTACTTTAATCCAAACTTAGCATGCATTAAAAAAATGCATTGCATTAAAAATCCAGAGTAGCTTGCAGATGGTGTGTTTGCGTGCACACAAAATAACCCAAACAGGGAAGGAAATTTGCTATTCAAACTATATTGTGACACCTCTCCCAACTGTTTCATGACCCTGAATTATTTATTTGTGGTTAATGTGGGTTTAAAAAAAAAATTGCAGTCCTCAAAAACAGTGTTTTGTCATAGAAGGACTATATTCCATAAAGCTGTAGAAAGAAACGGGAGAAGACGGGGGAGGGAGGGACCTCACAGTTTTTTTCATTTCCTGACAATGAGATTGAGGGAAGTCTGCACCAGTGTGTCAACTTTGGCAACTTTACAATGGGAGGACTTTAACTCCCAGAATCCTCCAGCCAGCTGAATTTTGGGAATTGAAGTCCACCCACCTTAAAAGTTGAAAATACTGGTCTACACCTTTTCTTGCTTTGATGCAAGTTCTAATGTGAGCCATATAAGGCAGTGGTGGCGAACCTACGGCACGAGTGCCAGAGCGGCATCAGAGCCTCCTCTGTGGGCACGCGCGCCGTTGCCCCAGTCCTAGGCCTTCAGCTGGGTTTTATAAAACCTTTTCGCTTTAGGCGTCCGCCGTGTACAAAAAAGAAAAACCAGGTTCAATCAATAAGTCAATTTCAACTTCTCACGGGAAAAAAATGATCTTGCAAAGTTGAAATTGATTGAACTTTTTAGTCCCACCCAGTCTGCCGTTACCACCGCAGCCATGCCCACCCAATTGGCAACACCCAGCCAATAGGCCACACCCACCCGGCACTCGACGATGCATAAGTGGGTTTTGGGTTGCAGTTTGGGCACTCGGTCTCTAAAAGGTTCGCCATCACTGATATAAGGTATCAGATTTATACCCTTTTCCATCATGGTACCCTGTAGGTGAACAGGACTATAATTCCCAGCATCTGCAGCCACAGGGAATGATGGCAGCTGGCATCCAACACAACCTCAAGATATCAAATTGAGGAAAGATGCTGCGTTACATGTCGTAACGTAGTGCTTCTTAACGTTAGCAACTTTAAGATGAGTGGACTCATCTTAAAGTTGCCAAGGTTGAGAATACGCTGTCATAATATGGGTTACCGTGCGCCTCTTACCTTTCGTAACATACAGATAGAAGAAGTCACAGTACAGAATGGTCTGCACCACCCCAGCCACCACGGCTATGAGGTCAAAAAACCCCTCAAAATAGTAGCGCCAAATCCAGTTGATGAGATACAAGGCACGGTAGAGGCCCAGGAAGAAGAGATAGTGAGTAGTGATGGTCTCAGCTTCCCCAGTTTTGCTGATCATAAAAAGTTGGGGAAGAATCGCAACCGACTCCAAGTAGATGGAGAAAGTCCACAAGATCTGAAACGACAAAACCTGGATGTTCAAGTCATACGCTCCTCCAGATCTCATCAAGGAAAGAAGCAACCTGGGACTAAGGAGAAACTTCCTGACAGTTAGAACAATTAATCGGTGGAACAACCTGCCTCCAGAAGCGGTGAATGTTCCAACACTGGAAGTTTTTAAAAAGAGACTGGACAGCTGTTTGTCTGACATGGTATAGGGTTTCCTGCCTCAGCAGGGGGCTGGACTAGATGACCTCCAAGGTCCCTTACAACTATCATCACCATCATCATCTTGGCAACCTTAACACTTATGGAGTTCAACTCCCAGAATTCCTCAGCCAGCCATGCTACTTGGGAATTCTGGGAGTTGAAGTCCACAAGTCTTAAAGCTGTCAAGTTTGGAGACCTCGGAGTTAGAGGTGCCTTTTAAAAGTGATTTGAAAAATAAAAATGTAGATCTTGTTCAGTCCTGCAGATGTCATCCAGCGCTTCTCAAGTGCCAGCTAAAGAGGGAAGGGAGGGAGGGAGGGAGAGAGAGAGAGAGAGAGAGAAGGAAGAACAAAGACGAACACTCACTTCCCCAATGTTTGTTTAAGGAAATGAAAAAAAAAATGGCAATTCCATATGTAGATTTGGGACAGGAGGAAGTTCTCTTGAATTCAGTCCAGTTTGAAGGAGGAAGTGCACCACCCCAATTGAAGCTCAGCTGAATTGGGAGAGAAAGGCGGGGGGGGGGGGGGAAGGATATTCTTTTCTTTGTGTGTGCGCGCGCGTGTGTTTTTTTTTAAAGATGAACCGGCGTGATAAATGCAAACACTGCCACGTGCTGAACTCACCTCCAGAGGAGAGAAATCATGATTGACAAGGAAAGACAGTCCGCCGACGGGCACCACAAGAAACTCAATTCTAAAGGTATCGTGATTCCCATCGTAGGTCGCCTTGAATTTCATATAGATCAGGTAGACTGTAGCGTATGAGCAGGCAACGTAGATGAGCTGAAAGGAAGAGATTCAGAGGATTTACCCAGGTTGTTAAAGCAGGGAGGAAGCACAAACATTTCACACAAACGGCTGTCCAGTCTCTTCTTAAAAACTTCCAGTGTTGGTGGTCATGTAGAGAGATAAAAGCATTTTGGATCAAAATATGGTGGAATATCCAGAGAATTTTTAGAAGGAGGGTAAAATTTACTCCGCAATTATTTTTGTTAGGTATTGTTACAGATTGTGATACAAAGGAGGTTGTATTGATGTTAAACTTGATCACAGCCGCGAGGCTGTTAATTGGACAATATTGGAAGAAGGAATCTTTGCCTACATTGCAGGAATGGTTTTTTAAAGTAGCTTATCTGGCAGAAATGGCAAAGATTTCGGCTTTCTTAAAGCAACAAACGCAAGAGAAGTTTTTTGCTATCTGGGACAAATGGATAAAATTTATACAATTTAGATTGGGTATACAAAAATATTATATAGCTTTTTCATAAGTTTTATTTTTATATATATTATAGATATCTTTTTTATATATATAAATATAAAGTTTTTAATTTAATTTTTAATTTTTTTTTTTTTTTTTTTTATTATTATTTCTTAAGCCTATATTCTGCTCTGGGAAGCTCAGGGGGGGGGAAGGGAGGGTTTTTGGGAGGGGTGTGGGGTGGGGGTTTTTTTTATATGTATTGTTTAATTTTTTTTTCTTTTGTATATGTTGTTTTTTGTTCTGTATTGTTTTGTTTTTTTTTGTAAAATTTATAAAACTTTTAATAAAAAAAAAAAAAAAAAAAAAAAAAAACTTCCAGTGTTGGAGCATTCACAACTTCTGGAGGCAGGTTGTTCCACTGGCTAATTGTTCTAACTGTCGGGAAACTAAGGAGAAATTTCCTGACAGTTAGAACAATTAATCGGTGGAACAACCTGCCTCCAGAAGCTGTTAATGTCCCAACACTGGAAGTTTTTTTTAAAGAAGAGACTGGACCGCCATTTGTCTGAAATGATATAGGATTTCCTGCCTGAGCAGGGGGTTGGATTAGATGACCTCCAAGGTCCCTTCCCACTGTTGTTGTTATTTTACAGGTGGGAAAAGGCACCTTTGTGGATTGTTGTGAGTGAGGGCGCCTCCCCCTCATTTGCTTAGAAGCAGACGTGGTCAGTTTTAATCCTCTCTGAACTCTTGACCATTGAGTTCCCCAACTAGATAGGGAGCTCAAACTGTGATGAGATTAAATGAGTCAACGATTGCAGATAAGCACCCATTTCCGCCATCAGATGTTACCACTTTGATCCACTGTTCTCAGAGTTTTATGTAGTCTTCTCTCCAGAGGACAGATGTGACCTCTCTACCTCTTTTAATTACAGCCTCTAAGCAACTGTAAGGCATTCTCACATCATTCCCTCAACCGGTTCTTTTAAAGCAGAGGTCTTCAAACTTGGCCTTTTTATGACTTGTGGACTTCAACTCCCAGAATTCCTCAGCCAGTGCCTGGCTGAGAAATTCTGGGAGTTGAAGTCCACAAGTCATAAAAGGACCAAGTTTGAAGACCCCCATTTTCAAGCATTGTGGGCTAGTGGTCCAATACTATTCAGACCCCGAGCTGGGTATAAACCATTTCACGGTCAAAACCTTCCTTTCCGACTAGGAAAACATATATAAGGAGTACAAAATACAATTTAAATATTTTGCTTTGGCAGACACCTTGTTAGAGGAATGCTTTGGATTGGAACACTGAATATTATTGTCAGTATCCAGGGCAACAGCACAAGTCACCCTACCAATGGGTGGGACTTGATTTCAAATTGAGCCACCGCGCTCAAAGCAGACTCAAAAATCTTTTTAATCAACTTTTTACCTTTCCAGAGTAGCCTGGGGGGGGGATCTAGAAGAGATGGCTCCAGACCCCGGGTGTCATTAATGGCCCGTATAACCATCTTACTTATTTAATATACTGTACCTTCATGGAAGTGTTATAAAGTGAAATGAACGACGTGAAGAGGTCCAGGTAGCGCGTAGTAAAGACCAGTGCAAACAGAAGCTGACTTTTTCCAGATATACCTAGAGCAAATTAAAAGAAAAAAGAGGGAAGTCTTTAAAAAACCAAAATTGCTCTACTTATCTTTAAATTAGGCAAGGCCACTATGTCCCCAACCAAAGTTTATTGAAAGAGCCCGTCCATCCAAATCTTTGGAAGCCTCAAGATGGGAATCTCTCTATTGGTCACTATTAGTGAAATGCTTCTTGTTTGGTTAACGGTCTATGGAGATTTTCAGCTATCCAGGTCACAGTTGTTTCAAAAGGTGCTCTTTTTTTAAAAAAAAAAAAAGGCAACCAAACTGTGTTTTTTTTTCCTGGAGGGGGAGGGGAAAAATAACACCTTTGAGTTTCTCATTTGGTTGTTCCACTTTTCAATTTCGATTCCATTCTAAACTTGCAGTCTGTCAGGCACTGTACTGAAAGGGCTAAATCTTCATTCTTTTGGGGGGGGGGAAGCAACTGTGGGACAACAGTGACCTGGATGATTGAGAATCTCCATAGCCCTTCATTGGAAAAGACTTCGTAAATACTGGTAAGAGCCCAGGGCAGTTGAGATGAATTAAAAGTCGCTTCTGTTGGCAATTTCTCAAAGAAGCAGTTCCTGGGCAGGTGAAAGGCACACGGGGATTTAAGGTGGTGCTGCCAGCTGTGTGCTGTGCACATTCACATCGCACGTGCTCTGATTCAACTTTTCCTCCTCTGAATCTGGATCACTGTACAGTTCCAACATTTACAAGCTGGCAAGCGTGGTGTTTAAACAGACACCCGCTTCCCACCACACACACACACACACACACACACACACACACACACACACACACACACGGAGTTCGCAGGTCACAATTCTGCAAAGGAACACCTCCCGGCCAGAAAAGTTAGGTGTTGATCACAGCACATGCCCCATTAACTGAACATAATGTGGGCTCACGTGCTCCATTGATCAGGGCTGCCATGCGTGCTGCCTTCCTGTGAACAAAGCTCCCAAATCATAAATAAATGCTGCATATTTCAGCAAACTGCGGAGTTTCTGCATTGTCAAACCTCCTTTTGATGTGATGGACGAATATGGCTGTTTTTAGACTCGTGCCTCGGCGTGCATATTTGCCAATGAGACAAACCGAGACAGGAAGATCGTTCTATTACAGTTTATCAGAATATTCAGACAAAAGAGAGTCAAAAAGGGGAAAAAAACCCCCCATCTTTAACTTGCAATACCTTTTACAGTTAGCATAACAAAGAAAAATCCCAGAGGAAAGTTGATTGGACAGGATAAAAGTAACCTCCCCTTTGCACAGAAAATCAAGTTACATGTGGTCTCAAGCATGTTACATATTTGCATCCCATAATATCACGTGTTCATTAAAATGAGGCCTGACAACAGGAGAGGTGTAAATTGGGAAGGAAAGGGGTTGTTTAGAGTTCTCTAAAGAGATAATAAACTAGACCCCAATCTGTACTAACAAACCTTTTTCCTATCTTCAGATAATCTTCAGACCTGTTTCTCTCTTCACTTTAGGAATGTTAAAAGCTACTCCTAAATTCCTTGGACGTTCTTTTAAGACAGAGAAAATAAGTCAAATTTCAAATTGAAATGCTAAATAACTATGTTAAGATATAAAGTTAATATTCAAAGTGTCTATGTTAACTAACACTTACAAAACCCTGCCATTTGTCCCTCATATGTGTGCTGTGGAAGATTAGGCTAAGACTGGAGAAAAACCCCGTTTATAAGCTTAGAACTCGGTTTGAGCATGACCCTAACCCCAAATGCTAGTTTCCTAGTCTTTGGCTTAGACTCGTAGGGGTAGGCAACCTTGGCTCTTTTATGACGTGTGGACTTCAACTCCCAGAATTCCTGAGTCAGCATGGATGGTTCAGGAATTCTGGGTATTGAAGTCTACATGTCATAAAAAAGCCACGGTTGCCTACCCCTGCAGTATTTATCAACCGTAGCAACTTTATGAGAGTGGACTTCAATTCCCAGAATTCTCCAGCAAGCATGAATTGTGGGGTGCTGAAGTCCACCCATCTTCAAAGTTGCTGAGGGTGACAAACACTGGCTTAGAATGATAAACGGACCTAGCCGTTAAATGTATATACCCCACACACACACACACATAATTTTGATTTTCTGTAAAACATGCTCCCTTGAAGTCTCTCATTATATATTTGTTTTAAAAACATCAAGGCAGTAGATTAAAGAAAATAGCATTGGGATAATGTTCATTATCTTTTTTCTTAAACACTTTCCTATCGGCCTTGCCTCATCCTTTTAATATTGTTATGTTTCTTGAAAAGTTCCTGTTTTAGATTCAAAAGATCTGCATAAATAAAGCCAGAAGTATTCATACAATTTGTTTCTCCTCTTTAACTATTCTTGAAGGTCTGTGTCTAGTTGATTGTTGCCAATTTACTTTAAGGTAACTTATAAGTAGTATTGTTATTTATACAATTGTAAAATTGTATTTTAAAGGAATACATTTCAAGCTATTCTGAGAACAGTAGCAAACAGAACTTAAAAACAGGCCCTATAATAGGCATAATTTCCTACTTCCCAAATGCTTCCAGGAATTGGATTTCCAAAGATCACTTGCATCATTTATAAAAGAAACAGGCTTAAGCCCCTATACAAATCATTCAATAAAGCCCCATAATTTTCTCCAACCAGCTCCTTCCAATTCAATTACCGCAATTCCCATTCAGCACAGCCCTTGTTCAGCCTACCTAAAAATTATGGGCTCTGAAGTCCCCCCATCTCTGGGCTGTTGCTTGCGGCAGCCTCTTTTGCAGGAAAAAAATTCTGCCCTGGTGATTTTTCTCATGGAAACGAGGACGACAAGACCCAGATTGCATTTGCTCTTGCTGTTTAATATTTAACGCCACACACAAAAGCCACGTTTTACAAGATAGATATGAAAAAGTTAACAGCAACAGGCCGCACCACAGCTATTGTTAAAATGGAATGGCTTGCGATTTGTAAAAAGAGGCTAGCCTTCCTAAATCTCAGCTGTTCCCAGGCTGCAAAACAAAAAACAACCAACCTGATCAAGACATTTTGTAATTCTGCACAATCCTTTCTCCTATAAGGCAACACGTGGCTCTTTCAGACACTGCTTCCTTCTCCACTATAACTCAAGTTCCGGCTTTTTTTTAAAAAAAAAAAAAAAAAAACAACACCTCTTCCCGTAAAATGGCAAGGAAGACTGATTTATTTCAGCCAGACCTGGCATTTCATTCTCCTTAATTCCGCTGTTCAAAAAGTGCTGAGGTTGCTTGCCAAGGGTCAAAGCACGTTTGCACACAAGACTAGCCTGGAGGCAGCAAATACAGTTCAGTGTCAAGTCACTGATGCAAGTTAAACAAACAAGCAAACAGCACTTAAGCTTAGTGGGGAGGGGGGTGTATGTGTGTGGCAAAATATCCCAAAGTGAGTGAAAATGCTTAAATGCTCATGCAGGGAAGGGAGGCTTTAATAAAATGGAATAAAAGGGGCTCCCAGACTACTTCTGATTATCAGTAATAAAGTTACTCTCAAAATAAGATAACCAGAGACAAGGTGGCATTCCGTTTCTTTGGGGAACGGATGGTAAACAACCATCTCTTCCATAATCAAGGAGATTTTTGCTTTTCCACCGGAGAAAGGTTAATGTGAAGGAGGCCCCTTTCCCAGGGAGTTTTCTGTTCACCACACCTTCTCTCGGCTGCCACGTCAGACTAACTCCGGCCTTCCAGTTGAAAGCCTATTCTTTCAAGCCCGGATTTGTTTGCTTCCAGTTTTCAACAGCAGTTGGCAGGGCAAAAAAAGCTAAGCCTTTATATGGGATGGCTCCAGCAATTCAGGCCCATGTGTTTCGGCTTTACAAAGTCAGCAGGAAAGCGAGATCATTCTGCTCTTTGCAAGCAGTCAAACTTCACCGCTAAAAGGAGAATAGGTGGAGTCCAACATCACATATAACTCTAGAACCCCTGCTTGTTTTTTCTTTCCCCTAAGTCCATTCGCTGTTTTTGCAAATTAGTTCCATAAGGAATCCCAGGCACGTGGATCAGTTTCTTTAACCCTGAAAGACTGATTTTATTTATCAGATTTCACAGTCAAAAAACAAAGCATCACTGGAATATAATTAATTCTGTCGATGAATCCAGCAGCACTTCACTTTTCTAGGCTAATAAATATACAATGCAGGTAGAACGTATCCTTGCATTTTAATCTACAAAGGTTACTCCCTGCCCTTGTTATTTCCAATTACTTTTCAAGTAAACCTTTTAGAATATTTTTAATAGCTTGCCTAGATTTTGACCCCTTTCTGAGTCTCTGGACTCAATCGTCTTCAATGTCAATTTAGAGTATAGGAGCTCTGCATTTGTGATACAGAAAACTGCCATACAAGAGATTAAAAAAGCAGTAACATTTTTCTTCCCAGTTAATTCCCACGAGATCAGTTTCTCCTTTGTAGTACCAAGGGAAAACGTCTCTGTGGAGTTCCCAAATGGTAATAAGTTGACAGCTCTCTACCGTTAAAAATGTGGTACAGAAAAACTGCAGAAGATATTTCTGGATTGCCCTATATTTTTCTCTGTGCTTGCTTTTAGTTTCAGTATCCTAACCAAATCCCTGGTTCACAGTACAGCATAGGCTATAGGAGCAATACATCTTCAGCCTTCAAAATAGAGATAATACTGTATAGTGACAGGGATGCCCACCCCATTTTCTGCAAGACACTGAATCTTAACATTAATCTTTAGAACTGAGAACTCACACCGACTCCAATTCTCACACAAACCCTGGGATAGATGCTAAACTGAGAAAAGCCTGAAAAAAACCACACTGGGAATTTGAGCCTTCCTTCCTAATATTAACTGGGAGTTTGAATCTTTTTTCCTAATCTACACTGAATCACTTTAATGGGCCCTACCATTTAGCACCCCCAAAATATCCCTTTTTGTAACTGCTCCAAATTCTACTTCATCTAAGGCAATACTGCCCATCATTTGCATGGATAAGAGACCGTGCAACTCTATAAGATGCATCTCAAGGACCAAGTGATGACTTTACTGAATGCAGGAGCCAGCCAGGGAAATTAAAGGTATCTACCATTTGCCTTGCTTTCCCCTAACCACCACCACCCCACCCTGCACGCAAACTCAACTGACCCACCACGGATGACTTAAGATGCTACATCTCTCCCACTTCAATTCTACATTCCTTCAGTTGGTGTTTCTCGACCTTGGCCACTTAAATCCCCCCCCCCACACACACACATCTTCAGGGTTGAGAAACACTGCTTTAAACTGCTCCTTTCCAGAATGCAAAGTCCAGCTGAGGGTAGGAGGAATTATTCAGGCAGGGGGAGAGGGAATCTCCAGACAACCCCTCCCAGGAGACCCCCCCCAACCCTCAAGATGCAGAACCTCCTCCACGTGTCCCTGGAAAGCTCTCCAACCCTACATTACTGGGATGGGAGGGCGGAGATCGACCTCCCCACCTGAAATCAAGGGCCTCCCCCCCCCACATGGACCATGCAAGCACGGGGATTTTTACAGACACACACACAGAGACACGTCATGGGATCCCAGGAAGTGTCAGAGAACCCTACCGCAAAAGGAGCACTAGCTCCCTTCTGAGTAACCCCACGTGCATGTGGGGGATGGCGGGGGAACGCCCCCCCAACACAACACCCCCAAGATTGAGGAGGAACTGAACCCTAAGGCGAGATACCCCCAAATCATTCCCAACCTGCAACAGGACACAAGAATGGGGGGTGATCCCTCTCCCAGTCCTTCCCAATACTCCCAAAGGGAGAGTATTACCCCCTCCCTCTCTCTAAAGAACCCTCTTCCAGCCCTCCTAAAGGGAATGCATTACCCCCTCCCAGTCCTTCCCAGCCCCCCAAGGGGGAGCATTACCCCCTCCCTCTCCTCTGTGGGACCCCCACAGCTCCCCTAAAGGGAATGCATTACCCCCTCCCAGCCCTTCTCAACCCCCAAGGGGGAGCATGGCCCCCTCCCTCTCCTCTATGGGAACCCCACAGCTCCCCTAAAGGGAATGCATTACCCCCTCCCAGCCCTTCTCAACCCCCAAGGGGGAGCATGGCCCCCTCCCAGCCCCCCTAAAGGGAGTGCATTACCCCACCCCCTCTCCTCTAAACGAACCCCCAAAGGGGCCCGGGGTCGACCTCCCGAGAGCCCCAGCAGACCCCTTGGGCCCAACAGGGACCCCCCCCCAGCCCACCCCAGAGGAGGGTCCCGGGGCCCCGCCGCCCCTCACCGGCGCACGAGCGGGTCTTCCAGATCTTCAGCAGCAGGATGATGATGGCCGCCAGGTGGGAGAGGTCCCCGGTGAGGCGGAAGACGTTCATGGCGGCGGGAGAGGGGCCGGGGACCGAGGCGAAGATGGCGAGCGCGCAGCGGGCACCGAGCGACGTGGCCCGGGGACGTGGCCAGAGACAGCCAGCGCCGGCGCGGGGCACGCCGGGAAGAGCGCGCGCCGCCCCCTGGGGGGCGGGGACGAGGACGGCGCCACGCCCACGCGCCCCGCCCTTGGGGCGCCCGCTCTGCGCGCGCGCGCGACGACGACGACGACGACGGCGGCGGCGAGGATCGACCAAAGCCACCCATTGCTCTGGCCTCTTGGCTTTCCTTCCCCCCCCCACCTCTGTTGCGCATGCGCCTGATTTGGCTCGAGCTGACGCGGTAAAGAGCCGGCACTAGGCGTCGCTCAAGCCCCGCTCTGCGCAGGCGCGGCGGCGGAGGACCTAAGCCGCCCGTTTCTCTTGCCTCTTTTAACAAAAAAAAAAAAAAAAAACCCCTCCTGTCGGCTGCGCATGCGCTCCTGTTACAGCTGACAGTCTATGAAGTCACACGTGGCGCCCACTCTGCCTATCTATCTATCTATCTATCTATCTATCTATCTATCTATCTATCTATCTATCTATATCCATCTACTATCTGTATTTCTAACATCTATATATCTATATGCATCTATTTCTATTAATATCTATATCTTCTATCTAAAATCTATATCATCATCTATCAAACATCTATCTCTATCATCTAACATCTAGTTAGCATCTATCTATTTGTAGGTCTTTGGTTATTCGGATTTTCTCCCGCGTCAAATTGGAAGTGTCTTGGCGACGTTTCGACGAAGTCCCATTCGTCATCTTCAGGCTGGTGTTTTCAGCTTCATGCTTCTAGGAGCACGAAGCCAAAAACACCAGCCTGAAGATGACGAATGGGACTTCATCGAAACGTCGCCAAGACACTTCCAATTTTACATGGGAGAAAACCCGAATAATCAAAGACCTACATACAAACACCAGCGAAAACCTCAGAAAACATCTATATATTTCTATATATCTCTGTCTTTATCTCTATATCTCTATATGATAGCTATAGATAGATTGATTATCTATTGTAACATATACCTATCTACTTACCTATTTTCTATCATATAACATCTGCTCCTCGTCCCAGTGCAAAATTAAAAACCTGCCCTAAATGGACGAGGCAGCCCAGAATGAGCTCCCTGTAATAGAGGGTGGATGGAGTCATTTCCCTAGTGCAGTGTTTCCCAAACTTGACAATTTTAAGGCATGTGGACTTCAACTCCCAGAATTCCACAGCCAGCGTTGCTGGCTGTGGAATTCTGGGAGTTAAAGTCCTCATGCCTTAAAATTGTCAAGTTTGGGAAACACTGCCCTAGTGTTTCTCAAAATTGGCCACTTTTAGACAGGGACTTCAACTTCCAGAATTCCACAACCAGTCAATTTAGTGCTGACCATGAGTTGATTAGATTCTTGTCTGTCAGCATGAGCAATAAATCAGCTTAACTGGAATTTATCATGTCCTGATTCTTCGTGCTTGACCACCCACCAGAAGAGCTATTAGCAGCTATCTCCGTTCATATAGACCAGTGTTTGTTAAACATCTTTCTCCAAGGACCCCTACACACCTTTTAACAAACATGGAGGATCCCAACAGAGTGTTTCTTTGTGTAGGCTATATTTATTGATATTTATCTTATTAAAAATTAAGGTGGACACATTTACAGGCAGTCCTCGACTTAGAACCCCAATTGGGAGTTCTAAGCAGTTACTAAGTGAATCGCTGAAGCTAAGCAAATTGTGCAACTGTCCAGCGAATCTAGCTTCCCACTTTGGTTGTGGGAAAGTCGCAAATGATCTTGGGAGGCTGCAACCATCGTACATGCATGCCAAGCCCCCATAATTTTGGTCACATGACTGGGAACGCTGTAACGGTCATAAGTCTGAGGATCATATGTTACTTTTTTCAGTGACATTGTCGCTAAATGAATGTCTGTAACTCAAGGACCATTTGCATTGAACCAAGTTAAAATAACAATATTAAATCCATTAGATGCTAACATAAATAACTTATTTTTCCAGAAAAAAAAAACCCTTTAACGAATAAAAATAATAATGAGAGAAGAGTGGTTCCGGGGCTAATGGCCTCTCCTTGCGTTCTTCAAGGCCATCTCTGTGGTTCTTTGTACTCCTACATTCTGCCAATAGTCTGGACAGGAAGTCTCCTGATTCCAAAACTTAATATTTATACATTTGAAATCAAAGTTACATTCCTGCACTGAGCTGTTTTAAACAAGTAATGCTTGCACAGTCTTCTTCTAGGTTCATCTAAAAGCTATTGATATTCTTTTATGAAAGTTTTTCAATGCTTCAACAGACATTGCTGCGCCTGCAAATGTAACATGCTTGCAAATATTGAAGGTATTCCTGGAACTGACCAATTCCCCAAGTCGGGAAAAAAAAAGGGCATTATTTTAATTCTTCAAACATCAGCAGGTTTTTTCAAAGGCCATTCCTCTATCTTTGCCATGTCAGCTGGAAACTTCTGGGGGAAAAAAAAATCAAGGTAAGAATAATGTGGAATAAATAAATACAGGTAATTCTTGACTTACGACCACAATTGGACTAGGATTTCCGTTGCTAAGCAAGGAGGTTGTGAGTTGCACCCTATCTTATGGCCGTTTTTACCACAATTGTTAAAACATTCTCCACCCATTCTTAAATCTGAAGAAAACCACCCATTCTTGAAGTCTGCTGTTCCACCGCTGTATTCCCAATGCATATATCATTACATCATCAAACAAGAATCAATGCAATCAAGATAAGTTCAAAGAACATTGTTTTGAGAGGTTGCCAACATCATATGCAGTAATTACAACATGTGATGTCTTAATAATAATAATAATAATAATAATAATAATAATAATAATAATAATAATAATAATAAGCAAAAACTGGTGGGATCATAAAATAAAGAAAGTCATAGAAAATGATAAAATTAAACTGCTCTGGGACTTCAGAATTCAAACAGACAAGCACCAGCAACATAACACCCCAGACTTAACAATTGTCGATAAGAAAGACAAAAAAGTCTGGATAGTGGACGTGGCAGTGCCTGGAGATAGCAGAATAGAAGAGAAAGAACTGGAGAAGATAACAAAATACAAAGACTACAAATAGAAATAGAAAGACTGTGGCAAAAGCAAGCAAGGGTAGTACCAATAGTAATAAGCTCCTTGGGTGCAATCCCAAAACAACTGGAGCACCACTTGAACACCATTGGCATTGACAAATTCGCTATTAGTCAATTACAAAAGGCGGCCTTACTAGGAACTGCTTCCATCCTGCAACAATACCTGTAATACCATCAAACATCCACATCTGCCTATCCCAGGTCCTGGGTAAGGACTCGATAGGTAGACAAAATACCAAATCCAGTCTGAACATCTGGCTGACTGTGCGATGATCTATAATAATAATAATGGCTTACTGTATACTTCAGCAGTGGTCAGTTCAGAAGATGCAGGACTGAAACAGCAGACATCCAAAGGTTTAACCTGTAAGGTAAGGAAGCTCCTGAAAAAGAAATTGAGGATAGGGGGTGAAGAGAAGATCCAAAGAGTTAGTAGTTTGGTCTAGTTCAAGGGTAGGCAACCTTGGCTTTTTTATGACTCGTGGACTTCAACTCCCAGAATTCCTGAGCCAGCCATGCTGAGGGGAAAGGGAGAGTTTCCAAGCTGAGCCATGCTGGCTCAGGAATTCTGGGAGTTGAAGTCCACGAGTCATAAAAGACCCAAGGTTGCCTACCCCTGGTCTACTTGTTAAAGCACCAGGCTAGAAACCACAAGACTGTGAATTCCTTGTGGCAGCCCCTGAGATATTGAAACACTGAACAAAATAACAGAGTTGGAAGGGACCTTAGAGATCTTCTAGTTCAACCCACTACTCAAGGCGGAAACCCTTACTGTTTCAGACAAGTGGCAGTCCAGTCTCTTCTTAAAAACTTCCAGCGTTGGAGCATTCACCACTTCTGGAGGCAGGTTGTTGTTCCACTGGTTAATTGTTCTCCCTGTCAGGAAATTTCTCCTTAGTTCTAGGTTGCTTCTCTCCTTGATTAGTTTCCATCCGTTGCTTCTTGTCCTGCCTTCAGGTGCTTTGGAGAATAGGTGGTCCCTTCTTCTTTGTGGCAGCCCCTTAGTCATTGGAACACTTAGATCAGGGGTCTTCAAACTTGGCCCTTTTATGACTTGTGGACTTCAACTCCCAGAATTCCTCAGCCTGGCTGAGGAATTCTGGGAGTTGAAGTCCACAAGTCATAAAAAGGCCAAGTTTGAAGACCCCTGACTTAGATCTTGGAACAACCAGGGGCCAGTTGTAACATCCAGTTTCTTCATCTCATCATTTCTGTTGTGTCTCCCAGTTGCCAGCATGACTATCAACCGCTGCCCAGCCTTTCAAACCAGTGAATTTCCAACCTGATGCTCTGGGAAATAAATCTTCAATGTTGTCAGCAGCAAAACCAGATGGGGGAGGCTGTCCTGGATGAATTAAAGCTGTACAAGAGGTCAACGGAGACAACCTCGCCTTGAAAGATAAAATAAAAGGTCAGCTGCTCGCAAGACTAGGAAGTAGCTGTCTTTTCCCACTGGGGAATCAATGGCGAGAGCATAGCCAACTCCCCGACTCAAAGAAGCTGTGCTGAAGAAGAATTAATGAAGCATTGTGTCACTTTGCAGCTGTTTTTGCTCAGCGAAAACCCAGAGGGAGAAGTTAATAGACGCAGCACCTGTGAGGTCCCCAGAGAACAACCTGGGAGAAGGAAGCAGCCGCTGACTTCGGGGAAAGTGATGGATTCCCAGTTGGACCGACCTGTTAAGCATTGTAGCCATGATCCACATTTCTACCAGGCACAAACTGGGCACTTTTGAAGGCTGGTAAGAATAGCGAGGACCAATCTTAGTCTAGACCAGTGGTTCTCAACCTGTGGGTCGAACGACCATTTCACGGGGGTCGCCAAACAATGCAGTCCGCCATTTTCCCCCCTTTTTCTTAGCTGTGCTACTCCCTTTTATTCTATTGGCTTTTGAAAGCCAGTATAGACTCTCTTGAATAGAGTCTAATTCTATTGGCTTTCAAAAGCCAATAGGAATTGTCCAGGCTGTCTCTGCCCTGCTGAGCCCGCCAAAAGTCCCATTCTGCAAATGGTGTGCACCAATTGAGTAGTCCTCGACTTACGACCGGTTGAGTAGTCCTTGACTTACGACCGGTTGGGGGTCGCGGCATTAAAAACCACTGAGAACCACTGGCCTAGACAGTGTTCTTCTCATTGGTCAAAGCCTCTCAAAATCAATGTCAGTTCTTAAACCACTTACAGTTGTGGATAACTGATGCTTTACAGGTAGTTCTTGACTTGCAATCCTTCATTGTAATTTCAAAATGACAAATTAGAACATTATTCAGGACCCATCCTCACACTTAACAATGTCACAGCATTCCCACAGTCAGAATAATCAAATAATAGAACATCAGAGTTGGAAGGGACCTTGGAGGTCTTCTAGTCCAACTCCCTGCTCAGGTAGGAGAGCCTATACCATTTCAGACAAATGGCTGTCCAGTCTCTTCTTAAAAACTTCCGGGGTTGAAGCTTCTGGAGGCAGGTTGTTCCACTGGTTAATTGTTCTGTTAGGAAGTTTCTCCTTAATTCCAGGCTGCTTCTCTCTTTGGTTAGTTTCCATCCATTGCTTCTTGTCCTGCCTTTAGGGGCTTTGGAGAATAGCTTGATTCCCTCTTCTTTGAGGCAGCCCCTGAGATATTGGAAGGCTGCTATCATGTCACCCCTAATCCTTCTTTTCACTTGCTGTTGGGCAGCAAAAAAAAAAAAAAACCCCATGAAATTACGATAAGAATTATACTGACGATCAAATCCGAGGGTGCTTTTAAAGAGAGCAAACTCACCGTTCAAAAGAGGTGCAGATGTTGGGTTGTTTGTACTTTCATTCAAGGTGACTTCTCGGATTCTTCTCCTTCCACCTTCCAACGCCAATCGGAGACTCTGAAGCTGCTCTTCATCCAGATGTTCGCGCTGCAAATCCGTCACCCTGGCTGCATTTTCGGGGCCCAGGTTTGCAAGCTGGTCCGGAGACAGTTCCTGTGAAAATAAATGCAGGTAATCCTCAACCTAAGCTCCCCAAGGCTAAAAATTCTGTTGCTAAGTGACGCAGAGCAGCAGCTGTGTGCAGAGTGCAGAGAAGAGCAACAAAGATGATTAGGGGACAGGAGGCTAAAACATATGAAGAACGGTTGCAGGAATTGGGTCTGTCTAATTTAATGAAGAGAAGGACTATGAGTGACATGACAGCAGTCTTCCAATATTTGAGGGGCTGCCACAAAGAAGAGGGAGTCAACCTATTCCCCATCATACTTGAAATTAGAACAAGAAGCAACGGATGGAAATTAATCAAGGAGAGAAGCAACCTAGAACTAAGGAGAAATTTCCTGACAGGGAGAATAATTAACCAGTGGAACAACCTGCCTCCAGAAGTTGTGAATGCTCCAACACTGGAAGTTTTTAAGAAGAAATTTGTCTGAAATGGTATAGGGTCTCCTGTTTGAGTAGGGGGTTGGACTAGAAAACTCCAAGGTCATCTGTTCATTTATAAGCTTCAAAATCTATCTGCTTTCATTCCTGTAGGCATATGGTGACTTTAGAGCTTTTCATGGTGACACCAGTCAGACAATAAAGAGACTAATGCTACCTGAAAGTTGCTTCCCCCCCCCCAATTCCAGTGCAGAATATTCTACCAAATATAGTCATATGATTATGGCTACTTTGGAAGCCAAACCCTATGATTAGAACTGCACAGTCATTATCTTTCTTTTGTAGAACAATGACAGCAAATGTGAACAAGTGACATTTAACAACAATGCCGAAGAGTTCCTCTGGGTTTTGTGTTGAATTTGCCTTTTTTTTTTCCAGTCTCCCAAGGCAGCAAGCAATTATGAGGTATACATCCATCCCTCTCTTTTGCCCTTTCTGGTTCAGGTTTGAACCTCTGCAAAATTTCACTTTAGATGATGAAGTGGTGGGAGGAAACTGAGTGTGTGGAGACAGACAAAGAAAGAGAGAGAGAGAGAGAGAGAGAGAGAGAGAGAGAGAGAGAGAGAGAGAGAGAGAAGAGAAGAAGAGAGAAGAAGAAGAAGAAGAAGAAGAAGAAGAAGAAGAAGAAGAAGAAGAAGAAGAAGAAGAAGAAGAAGAAGAAGAAGAAAGAAAGAAAGAAAGAAAGAAAGAAAGAAAGAAAGAAAGAAGACAGGAAGGAAGGAAGGGAAAAAAGGAGGGAGGGAGGAAAGAAGGAAGACTAATTTTGAAGAAGAAGGAAGGAAAGAAGGAAGAAGGAAAGAAGGAAGACTGATTTTGAAAAGGAAGGAAGGAAAGAAGGAAAAGGGAAAGAAGGAAGACTGATTTTGAAAAGGAAGGAAAGATTTTGAGAAGGAAGGAAGGAAGGAAGAAGGGAAGGAGGGAAGGAAGGAGAGAGGGGGAGAGGGAGGGAAGGAAGAAAGGAGGGAAGGAGAGAGGGAGGGGAGGGAGGGAGGGAGAAATAGTAAGTAAATTTTGGATGTCTTCAAGTCAATTGCCTGGATGAATCCCTGCAGTTTTCTTGACAAAACCTTTGGAAGCACAATATTGAATTCTTCCCAGGGTTGAGAGAGAGTGACTGGCCCAAAGTCACCCAGCTGGCTTTTACGCCTAAGGCAGGACTAGAACTCATGGTCTCCTGGTGTCTAGCCCAGTGTCTTCAACCCCTACACCAAATCGGGTATCTTAAATATGAAACCAGCCACAAAGCCGTACATTCCTCCCCACACCTCTGTTGTTGTTTTTTTCCAAATAAAGTTTAAAAAGATGGAGTAGGCAGCGAACCCAACGGAAAGCTTTCTGACTTACGTTAAAGATTTCACTGGGGATGGATGCGATGGCTGCAGGCTGGAAATAAGCCATCATTTTGGGATCGAAGGCTCTCCATTCCTTCTCATTTAAGCCAGCTAGCAAGAGAGAGAGAGAGAAAGAAAGGATCAGAACGCAATTTCACGCCGTTCCGATTAGACGGAATTTGGAGCATTTGAGGGGCACCAGCCCTTAGCGGATCAATATTTGATTCTAAAATCAGGATTCCGGGCCCCTCTGGGAAATCAAACCAGGGCTTGCAATTAAATGAACGTTTAGTGGGAACCAACTTTAGTAACATTGCATGCTTAATGAGTGCGATTCCCATGTTTGCTGTTTTGCTTTTAATAAGAGCTCCAAAGAGACCCCTTTTCTATTTTCTCTTATTTCTTCTGCTGCACAGAAGGTGAATTAGATCAGAATAGAATAACAGAGTTGGAAGGGACCTTGGAGATCTTCTAGTCCAACCCCCTGCTCAAGCAGGAAACCTATACCATTTCAGACAAATGGTTGTCCAGTCTCTTCTTAAAATCCTCCAGTGTTGGGGTACCCACAACTTGTGAAGGATTGTGGGGCAAATGATGGTTTGGAGCAGTTAAGTAACTTCCTTACCAGCAATAGTCCCAATTTCTTGCAGAATTGCCTGGTTCCATTTCGTGGGGTTCCCAAATACAGATTCGACTTTCTTTTTAAACCTTTGCAGAGTGCTTGAGCTACAGGGCAAAGAACCCAGTCTGGCTAAAACCACACTATAGAAAAAGTAAAAAAACATCTTATCACAATCATGGTTGGTAGGGAGAAAAAAGAAAAAAAAAGGAAAGATGGAAAGAAGGAAGGAAAGAAAGGAAAAAAGGAAGGAGGGAGTGAGGGAAGAAAGAGAAAGGAAGGAAGGAAGGAAGGAAGGAAGGAAGGAAGGAAGGAAGGAAGGAAGGAAGGAAGAAAGAAAGAAAGAAAGAAAGAAAGAAAGAAAGAAAGAAAGAAAGAAAGAAAGAAAAAGGAAAATAGGAGGAGGGGAAGGGAGGGGGGAAAAGAAAGAAGGAAGGAAGGAAGGAAGGAAGGAAGAAAGAAAGAAAGAAAGAAAGAAAGAACGAAAGAAAGAAAGAAAGAAAGAAAGAAAAAAGAGAAAGAAAGAAAGAAAAAGTAGGAAGAGGAGGAAGGGAGGGAGGAAGGGAAAAGAAGGAAGGAAGGAACAAAAAGAAAGAAAGAAAGAAAGAAAGAAAGAAAGAAAGAAAGAAAGAAAGAAAGAAAGAAAGAAAGAAAGAAAGAAAGACTTAATGATACAGCCAGTAGGAAGTTTTTGTCCCTTCAGATGTCAGCGAAAATAAAGAACTAAATAATCAGAGCCTGTAAGATTTCAAAGTATCTCTCTTTTGCTGTGTCCAAACACATTTCCACACTGGGTAAATTTTGCAAACTGCGCTATCTTCCTAAGTAGACTTTGAACTGGAAGGACATGATGCTGCAACAGATCTAGACAGGGAATGGAAAAATCACACCTCAAAAGACAGTTCACATTTTGCTCAAATCAGTTATTTTTATTAATTTGGTCGGTCGGCATTTTAATGGCTAAACACAACATTCGAGTCCTGATTGGCGAGGATAGCTATTTCTCCATGTTCTGCAGCTTGCTTGCAATAATATTTTGGTCGCTTTGCAAGCTGGAGAAATGTGCATAAGAAACATCACCAGAAAGCAGACTATTCTCTTGAAGAAACAATATCCTCTTATGGGATCATGTACTTCTTACAAGCATTTCACGGATAAGAGAAGAGCAGAGCAGAGGGGTACCTGAATTCGGTGGCATTGATGGATGCGATCTCTGTCGAGTTTAGAGTGCAAAGACTGGCATCAAGAGCTAGCAGATCAAAACTTCTGAGACTGGCAATCTCTTGTCCTGAATGCTCCAGAAAGCCTCGCAAAATGGATTTGGCCTGGAGAGAAAGTAAACAACAATCACAACAACACAGATCCCTGTGTTTCTCTCTCCCCCCCCCCCCAAAAAAAACACCCATTATTTTATTATGCAAACTGACCTCAGAATAATTTACAACACAAATACATCCTCCAGAATATTTGAGGTCCAAGGTTGAAGAACTAACTCTGAAGGCTGCGTTGCTGGGCCCAAAGATTTCCAAAAGTTTGTTTTTCCAAATTGTATTTTTTTACGCAACCAGAGGAGACTAGCCAATGCGTAAGAGTGATCGGTTTGTTCACTAAGGGTACGCCCACGTGAAATCAAAGACTGTGAAATCACGTGAAATCAAAGACTGGTTTTGGCCCAATTGCTACATTTTGAAGAGAGATATTTAGTTGGGTGGATGCCGGTAAGTTCCAGCACCCTAATTTTCAACTGTCTATGGAAGTTCTCAGTCCTCCACGTCCCTGATGGTTGTTTTTTCAGGAAGCAACTGGACTTTCTTGTTTTTCTTTCAAGACGTTTCTCTTCTCCTCCAAGAAACTTCTTCAGCTCTGACTGGATGGTGGGAATGGAAAGATTGATCTTCTTTGCAGATCATTTGCATTCTTTCAGAGAGCCCTTAAGGCCATTTGGAGATGTATCTCTGTCTCAGGGACACATTTGCACTACCCTGAGGACACCGGATAAACCTCCAAGTGGCCTCAACGACTCTCTAAAGGGATGCAAATGACCAGCTGTCTGCAAGGAGTATAAATCCTTCCACTCCCAACCACCCTGTCAGAGCTGAAGAAGCTTCTTGGATGAGAAGTGAAACGTCTTCAAAGAAAAACAAGGAAGTCCAATTGCCACGTGGAAAAAGCATCCTTGGGACCCTCTTAGCGATGGACTCTCGGTGTGAACTTTTACTAACCTGAGACGGATTCCAGGCTGTTTGCTGTGTCAAGGCTGAGACGGCGTCTACCGAGCTGAGATCCAGCGTGACAATTTCACTCTCGTTCAACGCTGTGACAATGCGACCCAAGGAGACAATGTGGTATCTCTTCCAGCGTTCGGGCAGGCCCCAAACCTTTAGAAACACACCCACACCCACAATGTACAGTGACCCATTACAGTTAGCCCTCGACTTACGACTGACAATTAAACCCCACATTTTTGTTGCTAAGTGAGACCATCGTTGAGCTGGAAAAATTGGAAAACTGGAAAAATCGGGGAAAAACAGGGGGGGGGGTTCCTGTTTTTTTCCAAACGGCTTTGGGAAAAAAAGGAAAAAAATAATAATAAAACCCCATTTTTTCTGGGTTTTTCTCCAGGCCTTCCCATCTCTATGCCCAGGATACTGCAACTGTCATAAATACGTAACAGTTGTCAAGTGTCTGAATTTTAACCACGTGAGCACGGAGAGGCTGCAACGGTTGTATGAAAAGCAGTCATAAAACACTTTTTTCAGTGCACTTTTTATAATAATAATAACAATAATAATAATAATAATAAAGTTGGAAGGGATCTTGGAGGTCATCTAGTCCAACCCCGTGCTCAGGCAGGAAACCCTATACCATTTCAGACAAATGGCTGTCCAGTCTCTTCTTAAAAACTTCCAGTGGAGCATTCACCACTTCTGGAGGCAGGTTGTTCCACTGGTTAATTGTTCTTATTGTCAGGAAGTTTCTCCTTAGTTCTAGGTTTCGTCTCTTTTTGATTGGTTTCCATCCGTTGCTTCTTGTCCTGCCTTCAGGTGCTTTGGAGAATAGCTTGACTGCCTCTTCTTTGGGGCAACCCCTGGAATATTGGAAGGCTGCTATCCTGTCACCTTTCATCCTTCTCTTCATTAAACTAGACATCCCAATTCCAGCAACCATTCCTTATATGTTTTAGCCTCCAGTCTTTGAACGGTCACTAAATGTTGTAAGTTGAGGACTGCCTGTACCACATCTGCTTGGGAAGCAATCGAGCAGAGCCTCGACTCTCCACTGCCTAGGCAGCCTCCACTAATCTGATGTGTTGGAGAATAGATCCCATCATCCCCAGCCTCTCCCAACTTGAGCAAAGCACCCTGAACCAAGGTGTCATTTCAGTTCAAAAGCTGAATCACATCAGCTTCGTTTTCCCAATTGATCAAAGGGCGGAGAAAAGAAAAAATCTTTTGTGCAGATTATTTCGGAGACCTGAGAATTCCCCCAAATTCTTTCTACAGTCTTAGTAAACCTGTTGTATCATGCAGTGATTTTTTCCCCTGCTTGGGAACAAACATGTAATGTAGAAGATTTTATGTACCTATTTCTCATCTTAGGCTATGGAATGGAAGCTAGTGAACATTTTCACTTGCCCGCCTTACTATATATTTCACGAGAGTTCCTAGGAAGCCTTACCCGGAATTATAGATTTTTATTTATTTACTTGTTCCCCTTGAGCAATACAATTCGAGGACATTAATGTGTGCGTTTTCAAATCATTATTTATTTCTATTTTTTTTCTACCCTCTGCCTCGGTGGCCCTGTCACTCCCAGTACACTTAACAATCCGGGTTATAATATTGCACTAATATTTTCATAGCACAGCTGCAGCCTAAATCAATGGCAATAAAACAGGAGGGCAATAGAGAAAAGAAAACTGGATTTAAGATCTCATAACAAGCGAACAAAGTTTTTAAAAAGTAAAAACAAAACAAAAAAACCGGGAGCTGTTTTAATACATTAAAAGACATAGCACCGGTCTGTTTATTTATTTATTTTTAAGGAAGGAAACCCATGAATTTAACCCTCCTTCTGTGTCCTTTCGTGAGTTCTCTCTCTCTCTCTCTCTCTCTTTTAAACTGCTGCAATCATCTGAGGGATTATGGAATGGATCCTGAAATTGTTCTAAGCTATGGTTTAATCATAGCTTAGCAAATGACCCACAATGGGTGGTTTCACCGAACAAGACACATAAAAGCCAAGTCAGTGTATGGATTTATATATTGGGCTAAAGCAAGCAACCACAGCCTGAAAGACGGAGCAGAAAAATAGGCAGTTGGTCAGCATGGGAGAGTGAGTTGGAATAAGATGATGTCATTGCCCAGACTGTTCCTGACGTTAAGATTCAGAATAGAGTTGGAAGAGACCTTGAAGGTCTTCTAGTCCACCCCCTGCTCAAGCAGGAGACCCTATACCATTTCAAACAAGTGGCTGTCCAGTCTCTTCTTAAAAGCCGCCAATGATGGAGCACCCACAACTTCTGGAGGCAAGTAGTTCCACTGGCTAATTGTTCTGACTGTCGGGAAGTTTCTCCTTAGTTCTAGGTTGCTTCTCTCCTTCATTAGCTTCCATCCGTTGCTTCTTGTCCTGCTTTCTGGTGCTTTGGAGAATAGGTTGAACCCCCTCTTCTTTGGGGCAGCCCTCAAATATTGGAATACTGCTATCATGAAATGAATGCTTTTAAGTCAAGGACTGCATCTAAAAAAACGGTTGTAAATCGAGAATGACCACTAATAAACTGGGCACTTGGAAGCCTTAGAGCAGTGGTTCTCAACCTGTGGATCGGGACCCCATTTGGGGTCAAACGACCATTTCATGGGGGTCGCCAAACCATGCTGTCCGCCATTTTTTTCCCTTTTCCCTAGCTGTCCTACTCCCTCTTATTGGTGGCCACACCCACTTGGGGGTCACCACAACATGGGGAACTGTATTATGGGGTCACGGCATTAGAAAGGTTGAGAACCACTGCCTTAGAGGCAGGTCTAATGGATCATTCTGGTTTTCATTCTGGTCCCCTCTTATAATTACCTGCTTAGCTTTTTCCTTCAAGACAGCCAGCTGCGAGGGGTTAAAACGACCGACTGAGCCAAGGATTTCCACAGTTTGGGCAAATGTCCTGCTTTCCATACAGCTCAGTTCCCGGGCAGACCAAAAGATGTTTGCTTCCGATAATTTTATAATCTCATCCGAAGAGGGTGCCATGACACCTTCACAGTCTGAAAACGGAACAACATGGAGGCAGGTTAAGATACGGATAGTCCTTGATGTACGGCCCCAAATTTCCACAGGTAAACGAATCGCTTACCCGAAGTTGAATTAGATGGTTGGGTTGGACTTCTGGAGGCATAAAGAGATTCAAATTGAGCTAAGAGAAACTGCTTGGGTGAAGAGATGGGTTGGGATGCTATTTCCGAGACGAAGTCAGGAAACTTCAGGAGGGAATGAAAAAAATAAAATGATGAGGATTTTAAGTCACTCTTGCTCTGATCGAAGGACCTGAAGGTATAATAAGATGTGTCTCCTGTTCCCCACCAGCACCTTCTCTAACTTGTCTTAGAATCATCTAATCCTTGTGGCAAAATTACAGTAATGACAACAGGGTTTAAACCAGTGTTTCTCAACCTTGACAATTTTAAGGCATGTGGACCTCAACTCCCAGAATTCCACAGCCAGCATTGCTGGCTGTGGAATTCTGGGAGTTGAAGTCCACATGCCTTAAAACTGTCAAGGTTGAGAAACACTGGTTTAAAAGGTAAGAACGGCTGCAGGAATTGGGAATATCTAGTTGAATGAAAAGAAGGCCTAGGGGAGACCTGATAGCAGTCTTCCAATATTTGAGGGGCTTTCGCAAAAAAGAGGGGAGAGTCAAGCTATTTTCCAAAGCATCAGAAGGCAGCACAAGAAGCAACGGATGGGAGCTTGTCAAGGAGAGAAGCAACCTAGAACTAAGGAGAAATTTCCTGACAGTGTGGACAATTATTCAGTGGAACAACCTGCCTCCAGAAGTGGTGAATACTCCAACACTGGAAGTTTTTAAGAAGAGACTGGTCAGCCACTTGTCTGAAATTGTATAGGTTTTCCTGCCTGAGCAGGGGGTTGGACTAGATGACCTCCAAGGTCCCATTATGCTGTTATTTCAGTGATGACTAGAGGGGTCATGAGTCACTAGTAGGGAAATGGCCTTAGGAGCATAACGAAAGAGAAGATTTACTAAGGAAGACTTTAAAGGCAAACTTAAATGGGAGTTGGTATCCATGTCTTTTATCTTCAATCACCCATTCTTCTAAGTCACATTTTATTAATTGTGGATTCCTAATCAGTGATGACTGTTGATCAGTGTTCATCTGTGATGGCAACGTTCTGTCTTAACGAAGCAATCTCTTCCTTATTTATTTATTTATTCATTTTATTCCTATCTGAACTTTATTTCCAGGAGATCAAGAAGATCAATGGGAATTCTGCCGACATTAGAAACTCTAGGGCTGTATTAAGCTAAGAAATACCATCCAAGTTTACACATCATGCTAATCATAGGTGCTCCCACTTATCCGCAACCTAGCTTCTCCGTTCTTTTTAGCAGAGCATCGCGAATACCTTTTCCAGTAGGGCAATCAAGTCATCCTTTGGCCATAACACAATAAAAGTTCTGTGGTCCTTAATTGTTTCAACCGTCCAGTTTCTTGGCGAGCTGGAAAAGCAAAGTTGGGATCTCAGTTGTAAAAAGGAAGGTTTGGATTTGCCATTAAGTATATATATATATATATATATATATATATATATATATATATATATATATATATATATATATATATATATACCGGTAAGATTCACACGTTGGAAGAACAGGTGAAGGAAGAAATATTTACAGTAAAGAGTTTTGGGCTACAAAAAAAAATTGGGTTTCTTTGCACGTAGGGGCTTTTCTTAGATAAAAAGGTGAAAGTTTCCCCTGTCCAGTCACATCCAACTCTAGGGCTGGTGGTCATCTCCACTTCTTGGCTGAGAAAGCCAGCATTGTCTCAAGACAATTTCTACGGTCACTTTGCCAGCATGACTATACGTTGAGGCACCAAAGTGGTACCCTGTTTATTTACTTGCATTTGCCTGCTTTTGAACTGCTAAATGGGCAGGAGCTGGGGCAAGGAACGGGAATTCACCCCATCCTGCTGTGCTCGAGTCTCAAACCTGCGCTGTCAGCCTTCCAGCTGACAAGCTCAGTATCTTTAACCGTCGTTAAGCCACCGCGCTCTTCTTTGGCTGTTGTGACTCAATGGGAGCCTGCAAAGATCTTACCCATGCAATTCGATCAGCCTCTGCTTAATTTCCATCTTTTGCTCGTAGCTGAGATGGGGGCACTGGCCGTATCGGTGGAGGATCACGGTCATCGCTTCTGGGGACACCCCCTCACAGATGAATGCAGGGGACAAATGGCAAAGGAGGTTGCCCAACACGTCCACGGTATATTCATCTGCCACCGAATCTTCCTGAAACGAGCCACGTCAATTCAGCAGCTGAATTAAGAGGCGGAGAAATGAGGGAGGGTCCCTCCAGGACCTCTTGCTCCACTCACTATGCATCTCTGGGCTCTGCTCCCTCTTATCTGACCGTTTCCCAGGCAGCCTCTCTTGTCTCCACCTCCCCAGGCCTTTCCCACATACCATCACAGGTAGTCCTCGACATATAACCACAAACGAGCCTAACATTTGTGTTGCTAAGCAAGACAGTTGTTAAGTGAGTTTTGCCCCATTTTATGACCTTTCTTGCCACAGTTGTCAAGTCGATCACCGCAGTTGTTCAGTTAGTAACACGGTTGTTAAGTGACTCTGGCTTCCCGGTTGATTTGGCTTGTCAGAAGTTCGCAAAAGGCGATCACGTGACCCCAGGACACCACAACTGTCATAAATATGAGTCAGTTGTCAAGCATCTGACTCATATTGATGCAGTGTTGCAGGCTGACTCTGCCCACTGCCAGCAGTTCGATCCTGGCCAGCTCAAGGTTGACTCAGCCTTTCATCCTTCCGAGGTCGGTAAAATGAGGACCCAGATTGTTGGGGGAGGCAACAGGCTGACTCTGTAAACTGCTTAGAAAGAAGAGCTGGAAAGCACTGTGTTTAAGTGCTATTGCTACTGCTATCCGAATTTTGATCACGTGACCGTGGGAATGCTGCAAAGGTGGTGAGTTTGAAAAACTGTCACAAGTCACTTTTTTCAGTGCCCTTGTAACATTGAACAGTCACTAAACGAACTGCTGTACATCAGCTGAAGGAGAAACAGACCTGGAATTGAAACAATGGATGTTCTTACTAAGCAGTGCTGGATTTTCTGCAGGAGAGCTTTTTTCTTCTGCTGGCTCCAAACGAGATGATCGAGGTCCACCTTTCCCAAACTGATTAGAAAAGGGACACAGTGGGATCCCGTGACAGATTCCAGGAACTCAGCACTAAGAGAAAGTTTTCCAAAGGTCACCTCGTGAAAATGCAGAAATTCCACAGAAGGAGATTAATTTATTTCTCTCCTTCTCTCTAACTTACACACCTCAGAGTGGCTGAATCAGAAACTTACCCTCTTTGACCGGGAGGGATTACATCCAGCTGTTCATATTACTTTTTAAATAATGTTTTATTGGAAGTAAGAGATAGTGAGAGAGAACGACAGACCAAAAACATACAAAACCAAAAAGCAAAACAACAAAAAAATAAATTGCAGGTAGTTATCCCTACTGAATTTCAAGTTGAACATACTCAGCACATATTTCTTACACAGTGAACATTAAACAGGTAATGAAAATTATAGATCAAGTTGAAATATGATTCTATAGAAATAGGGCAACCATATGTAACAGCAAAATCCAAGAATGGTTTCCAGTTTAAAGGAGAACATTTCTCCATTTCTCCCAAAAAAGAGATCAAAGATCTTTTTCAATTAAAAGAAACAACATATAGTGTAGATTCCTTGCAGCCTTTTGTCTAAGTTATATAGATAAATTTGAATGTGAAATTCACCCAGCTATTCATATTCGACTGAGCTTTGCGTCAACAAATTGAATCATGTCTCTGCCAAAGAATTAGTAAAATGGCCACTTAGCCTCAAACCCAATTAGTGATAATAATACTTTGAATATTAGTGCAAACATTTTACAATCTCTACATTCCTTGAGTTTAAATCTCAATCCATCTCAAGGTATTTACCGAATCTGAAGTGTAACTTTCATTGTACGTTTAGCTAGTGGTTATCTTATGATTACAATGAAATAATTCTTTGTCTTTCATAGGGTCCTTTCAAATCCTAATGCCAAATGTCATAATTAAAATCAGATTAAAGGGTTTTCATTATTTGTAGACACAGCAGCTATCAGAAATACTTTTTTTTTTGAAAACCATAAAAGAAATGTCTGAATATTGGCTGGAATGCTATATGACATTTACAATTGGCACTATAAAGATCTATAATTTTCATAATGTTTTTCCCCCTGGTGAGAGGAAAAAAAGAAAATAAAGGTAATTAAAAAGAATGGCTTACGGAAGCACAGCTAAGAGGTACGGAGGGAGAGACGCTTCAGAAATTGTCCAGAATTTCCAAGCCAGACAATTGAGCTGCAAAAAGGATTTTCAAAATGTGATTATGTAGAAATAAAACACATAAAGACTATAATCCTGAGTATTTTTTTCTATATATATGCCAAGGTAATATCAATAATTTTAATCCATTGTCAAGTCAATTTCACACTTAGTCAAGATGATCTCAAATTAATGCTGTCATTTGTCTGAAATGGTATAGGGCTTCCTGCCTGAGCAGGGGGTTGGACTAGATGACCTCCAAGATCCCTTCCAACTTTTTACTATTACTATTATTATTATTCTGCACATTTGTGATTAAAAAAAAAACTTGCCACATTCCCGGTAGAGTCCCTAAACACAATTTGCAAGCAATTTATACCCACAAAATAACACATTTTGGGTGTGTTACTTTCATAATGTGTGTTAAATACACACACACAAAGGTGTATGAAATTTAACATCTGTGCTTTTATGGATTTGCTTAGATAAAAGTAAGATTTTTTTCAAATTCAGAGAAGTGCCGAATTCAGGAAGCAATTGCTGTTTTTCTACTACACTATTTCCAAAAGGTGAAATCTCCTTAAAATGCAATTCTCCTTAAAAGGTGTTCTCCTTAAAATGCAAATTGCAAGAATGTCTCTGCATTTCATTTGCCCTAGGTGAGCCTCTGAAATCATGAAGCAGATACTTAACAAACCTTCTGTTAGAAATAAAACAAATGTATTAGGATATGTTCATATTTGACCTGGAAGGGAGACAGCAAATGAAGCTGCTTTTCAAATATATGGAAAATGTTCAAAAAAGTGATTGCACTCAAATTCTCAATATGCCAGCAGGCCAGTCCTTTCAACAGCTGTTCATTACTGGAGGAAAAGAAAAAAAAAATACAACGTAAGAATGTGTAAGATCCAATTTAATTCTTAAGAATGTTCCCTCTCATTCAATTAGATTTGATCTCTGAAAAAGAAGGTTTTCTAAGGAACAAATTCCTCTTTCAATTTGTGTCTTTCCAAAGAGTTCTATTACAAGGATAGATAGATATGTTGATAGATGAATGGATAGATAGATAGATAGATAGATAGATAGATAGATAGATAGATAGATAGATAGATATGGATGGACGGACGGATGGATGGATGGACGGACGGACAGACAGACAGAGACAGACAGACAGACAGAGACAGACAGATAGATAGATGATAGACAGAGATGAATGGATGGATGGATGGATGGATGGATGGATAGATAGATAGATAGATAGATAGATAGATAGATAGATAGATGGATAGATAAATCAGTAGTTCTAGGCACACAGAGTTCAAACATTCAGCAATCCTTGTCTTGGACATTCAGGTAAAATGTGAATTTTTAAGAACATTTAGTCTCAAAAAACTGGAGGAAAATGTTTAGCATCCAAACTAACTGAAGACTCATGTTTAGGTCACCACTCAATAGTCCAACACTGCCAAAGGGATGACTTCAACATGGACTCTAAGTTCCCATTGTAATGCAAGGGTTAAAGCCCAACGAATGCTTCCTTACCTTAAGAGATCAGACAGGGACGTCTTCCTTGACAACAATTCATACAGAAATAAAGCCTGAAATGAAACAGAGAAGAGATCTCTGGGCTACAGCAATTTTTCTTTCACTTTGGCAACTTGAAGATAGGCGGACTTCAACTCCCAGAATTCCCCAGCCAGCATATAACCACGCAATCAAAGCCCTGCCCTCTTTTACAAGTGATGCACATTGATTAAAAGGGGGCAAGCTTCCATCGCATGGTTGGCTGTGTCTTCTTACTTTTCTGAGCCCTCTGAGGATACCTGTGACAATGGGGATTGGGAGAATATCCAGATTAAAGCCAAGGTGTGGAAAAATTGCCTCCTTTGGTCCTCCTATTGACCCAAAGCCTTGCCTTCTCTTCCACCTCCCAAGAGCGCCATCAACCAGTAGAACTCCTTCCCTCCAGAAATGTTGGGCGCTCCATCACTGGAGACTTTTAAGAAATGACTGGACATTCACCTGTCTGAGACAGTATAGGTTCTCCTGCTTGAGCAGGGGGCTGGACTAGAAGACCTCCAAGGTCCCTTCCAGCTCTATTCTGATTGATTGATTGATTGAAATAATCAAGGAAAGAAGCAACCTGGAATTAAGGAGAAACTTCCTGACAGTGAGGACAATCAACCAGTGAAACATCTGTCCTTCAGAAATCGTGGGCGCTCCATCACTGGAGACTTTTAAGAAGAGACTGGATATTCACCTGTCTGAGATGGTATAAGTTTTCCTGCTTGAGCAGGGGGCTGGACTAGAAGACCTCCAAGGCCCCCTCCAGCTCTATTCTATTCTATCATGCACCCATCCACTTACTGCTCTGCCAGATTACCTGGCTGGTCCTCAGCTCTTTATTTTTCACCAGTGACGCATTGAGGCTGCCTGCTTTCCATAAGTCGAACAGGGAGACCTCGGTAAAAAAGGCACTAGGCAGGTCAGGGAGGACCGACGAGAGCGGTGAAGATGCCAGGATCTGTGGAAAAAAAGGGAAATCCTTTTGAAAAAGTTCCTGGAATAGCATGCGCAAACAACCTTAGGAGACAGGAGGAAGAGACACAGGCTAGATTTTACAGTGTTTCTCAACCTTGACAATTTTAAGGCATGTGGACTTCAACTCCCAGAATTCCACAGCCAGCATTGCTGGCTGTGGAATTCTGGGAGTTGAAGTACACATGCCTTAAAATTGTCAAGGTTGAGAAACATTGGGCTAGAACAACGGTCAGATAAGAGGCAGCTGAGCCCTCAGAAGGAAAGGGACACTGTAGATGTCTCAAAAGAGACCCTCCCTTGTTTCTTGGACTGTAAAGGTGGGGAGGGCAGAGATAACCTTTCAGACTAGACAAGTTCAGAGAGGAAGCACCACCCAGGAATGCTAGCTCTGTTTTTATTCTAAGGTTACATTGACAGAATCTTGCAGTACGTCAATCTTGTGGACCAATCAGTTGATGTAATGGTTTGTGTGAATGGGAGACTAAGCCAGTCAGAATAAGCCAGTCAGCTAAGAGGCAGCTGAGCCCCCAGAAGGAAAGGGAAGTGGTAAACCGTCTCGAAAGGAACCCTCCCTCCTTAGTTTCTTGGACTTAATCCAAACCTTGCAATCCAGTAGAATTAGTTACGCTAAGAAGCTAGTCCTCTTGATAAGATTGTGTGAAATGAAGAAAACGGAGAGGAAAGCTCTCTGGTTCTAAATCTACAACATCTCCGTCTCACTCGCACGGTCCTCCACCGCACAGAAATACCAGCATTTACCTTCCGGAAGATTCCTTGTCTTTGAGCCGGGGTCAAATCCATTGCCCGCTGTGTCAAGACACTCTGGATGGCTTGAGAGAGTTCATTGGGGTTCATATTGTAGAAGGATAGGGTGTCAATGCCAGGCGCTAAAGCCCCCATTTGACTAACATTGTGGAACAACAATGCCTGGCAAGAGAACATAAACCAGGATTTATGGCTGAAAGGATAGGGTGAACTTAGGCAATTGGCCTTGTTCAGTAAACCACCATTGGCACACTAAGTGGACTCAATGGGCAAACATGGCAAAGGGCTAGGAATTAATCTAACATTCCCCATCTCGAGGAATACCACAGCAAAAGGTTTTTGTTCTTAAAAGCAAACCGATGCCTTTGAAAACCAAACGTACCTTTTCATAAAGCAGGTATTTGCTGGCTAGAATGATGGTTTGGCTCTTGGCCCATCTGGAGACTTGGTTCAAAGTGGAGATGGCAGAATGCACAGCTCGGGGTGAGAGAGATTCCAGCTGGCTAGTGGCCAGCCCCATGACAGCATCTGAGAGGGCGCCGAGGATGTCATTCAAAGTCTGGTTTTGGATGGCAACGTTGAGAAGTTGGGACTTCAGCTGGAACCATTTCAAGAACACCAAGGATCACCACAGCGAAACGCACAGCTTTTTGAAAGAAGCTCAGACGCATGGTTTTCACAGAACATACAATCCTGGAGCTGGAAGGGACCCTGAAGGTTTTCTAGTCCCAACCCCCTCCTCATGGCAGGAGCCTTATACCATACCAGTCAAATGCTGGTCCAATCTGTTTTTGAAAACCTCCATGATGGAGCATCCATAACTTCTGGAGGCAAGCTATTCCATTGATTAATTGTTCTCACTGTCTGAAAATTTATCCATACTTCTAGGTTGGTTCTCTCTTTGACAAGCTTTCACCCATTAATTCTTGTCTTGCCCCAATCCCCTCTTCTATGTGACAGCCCCTCTAGTAGTGGGAGATGGTTATCATGTCCTCCCTTCCCTTCTTTTTTTAACAAATGTATTTTATTGATTTCTTAACATAGACACCTTGATATTTAGTAAATATCGTGTTGTCTGGGCTTATATTTACAAAGTAATCACTAAGAATCGGTTTCTATATTCCAAAGTCCACAAAGTTTTCTTCCAAGAATATTCTCTTTGCCAACCTTGAATTAATACAATTCTTATTAGTTTGACAGGTAGCAATTAAATATGAAGATTTTTCTAAAATTTCTACCAATAATAATCACATCAATATCAATATCCCTTCCCTTCAATAAGCTAGACCAGGGGTAGGCAACCTTGGCTCTTTTATGACTCGTGGACTTCAACTCCCAGAATTCCTGAGCCAGCCATGCTGAGGGAAAAGGGAATTCTGGGAGTTGAAGTCCACAAGTCATAAAAGAACCAAGGTTGCCTACCCCTGAGCTAGACATACCTAGCTCCCTGACCTGTTCATCCTATGATTTAGCTTCCAGACCCTGGATTATCTTTGTTGCTCTTCTCTGAACACTTTCCAGCATCTCGACACCTTTTTCTAACATCGTGAGCAGAACTGGATGTAGTTGTCCAGGTGTCTGGTCTCACTAGCACAGTATCAACTGCTATTATCACTTCTAGTGATCAAAATCAAGAGATCACTGCAAAGCCCTCACCAGGGATGTTGTCCCAGTCTCTACCTACCTTCTGCACGTTGGCCTGGAAACTTCTCAACTGGTGACATTTCATCATCTGGTGAAGCAAGGCCCGAGCCATGGTGGAATCCATCTCTGCCAAATCATGGTAGAAACAAACCAGCAAACCCAGTCTGTGCAAGAAACAGAAGAGGTTGGTTGCCTGTCCTTTCTCTAGATGTTGTTTTCTTCTGGAGAAATGATGTTTATTGTCTTTTCTTTTCTCCTCTCTTCATTAAGCCTATTTCAGGCAACTGAATTCCAGTCTGAGAAGAACTTCCTTGCGTCCTTCAAGAAGCCAGAGGCAATTCTCACACCGTAGATGGTATCCCTGTCTAGCCGGGTTGAGCAAACTGGACCCAAATTGTTCCAAATTATCTTGAGCCAAACTCAACATCCAAAATGCATCATTAAGGGAAGGACTTTGACCAATTTGAATGTTTTCCCTCATGGAACGAATCAGTTAGACAACTTCACCAAACTTTGAAGAACTACGGAGTTGGAAGACTATCTAGGAGTTGGAAGGAGGACAAAAACCTTCCAGATCAGGGGTCTTCAAACTTGGCCCTTTTATGACTTGTGGACCAACTCCCAGAATTCCTCAACCAGGCACTCTAGCTGAGGAATTCTGGGAGCTGAAGTTCACAAGTCATAAAAGGGCCAAGTTTGAAGACCTCTGTTCTAGATTAATCTTCTGCAGCGTGCAAGAAGATTCACTCAACCATCCACAAAAAGAGAGGTTTTCTCCAACCTCTTCTTAACAATCTCCAGATGGAGAACCCACAGCCTCCAAGGTTAGACTACTCCACTACTACCCAGCGCTTCAAAATGCAACCCTCAGAAAATAAAAAAGCTTGCCTGTACAAAGTGGATATGTTCTTCATATCGAAGCCAGATGCGTTGATTCTTTCCAGGAAAGCTTGGGCAAGATTGGGCGTGATATCATACACCCTATCCAGTTGCTTGGTTGCGTTGTCGTAGCTGACAAACAGCCACATCTAGGCAAGAAAGACAACTGAGACAGATGGGCCTCCTTGAGCCATAGACTAAAAAAAATCTTAAAATCTCATATGCTGATTTTACTGTACCTACAGGTTAGGTTTCGACTTACAACAAATTCATTTGATGACTGTGGTTGCAACAGCGCTGAAAAAGTGACTTACAACTGATTGGTCCTCACAGTTTACAACCGTCACAGCATCTCCATGGTCACATGATCAAAATTCAGTTGCTCAGCAACCGGTATGTATTTAGCACTTAAACTCACATACCATTTCACAGTGCTTTACAGCCCTCTCTAAGTGACCTGCAGAGTCAGCCTCTTGCCCCCAACAATCTGGGTCCTCATTTTACCCACCTTGAAAGGGTGGAAGGCTGAGTCAACTTTGAGTTGGTCAGGATTGAATTCCTGGCAGTGGGCAGAGTTAACCTGCAATACTGCATTCTAAGCACTGCCTCACCATGGCAATAGAGTAGAGTAGAGTAGAATATTGGAACAGAGTAGAATATTGGAATAGAATAGAATAGAATAGAATAGAATAGAATAGAATAGAATAGAATAGAATAGAATAGAATAGAATAGAATAGAATAGAATAGAATAGAGCAGAGCAGAGCAGAGCAGAATAGACTAATGAAGAAAAAATAGAATGGAATGGAATGGAATGGAATGGAATAGAATAGAATAGAATAGAATAGAATAGAATAGAATAGAATAGAATAGAATAGAATAGAATAGAGCAGAGCAGAGCAGAGTAGAATAGACTAATGAAGAAAGAATGGAATGGAATGGAATGGAATAGAATAGAATAGAATAGAATAGAATAGAATAGAATAGAATAGAATAGAATAGAATAGAATAGAATAGAGCAGAGCAGAGCAGAGCAGAGCAGAGTAGAATAGAATAGACTAATGAAGAAAGAATAATAACAGAATAGAATAGAACAGAACAGAACAGAGCAGAGCAGAGCAGAGCAGAGCAGAATAGACTAATGAAGAAAGAATGGAATGGAATGGAATGGAATAGAATAGAATAGAATAGAATAGAATAGAATAGAATAGAATAGAATAGAATAGAATAGAATAGAATAGAACAGAGCAGAGCAGAGCAGAACAGAGCAGAGTAGAATAGACTAATGAAGAAAGAATAGAATAGAATAGAATAGAATAGAATAGAATAGAATAGAATAGAATAGAATAGAATAGAATAGAATAGAATAGAATATGTGTCAAGCAAAGTCAATGGGCAAAGCCAGATTCGCTTCAGGTGAGGCCTTCCATAATTTATCTTCATACTCAGACGTTTTTTTTACTTACTTCATACAGGTTAATTTTCTTGATTTCTTCAAGGGGAAGGTGAACCATATACCTCCCGAGAATCCACAGGTTTTCAGCGCTGACCCAAGAGGTGGAATTGTCTGAAAGGTGAAGGCCACAATATTAACAGCGTGCTTAGTTAACTCTAGGAACATCAGCAATATAAAAAGCTGATTACAACATTATTTTTGCTCTAGTGCCCTCTACTGAACGTCATCAAAACATTGCTAACTTCTTCAGAGCAAACTCCTGGGGACGTACAAGGTATATTCATATAGTTTTCTTGGCAATGGAAAGGAACTGATTGATGTCGTTTGGTTATTTTTGCTTTTCCAGTCGAGATTACCATTCTGAAATCTCCTTGTGGTCTCCTGTCCTCATAGTAACTGGGTCCTGTTTTCCTTAGCTTTTGCAGTGTCTGTCACCTGGATGGGTGCTCCTTGCTTTTTTTTATGTGTGTGTGCAAATGACCTACAAACACACCCAGAGACCCATGCAGGTGTGCACACACAGAGATAAATACTACATTTCACTTACCGCTGGCGTTATGGAATGTTTGTAAATTCTGCATCATCCACTTGTATACAGCCCTTTGAGTACTTGCGGTTAGTCTGTCATACAGGTCTTTGAAGACTATTGACCTGAAAGACCGAAAGAATCAAACAGGATGCCCCCGAGATTCGTTTGCAAAAAGGGACCCAGCCAAAATATCTCAAAAACTGGTTAACGGAGAGGGTAACCGATATTGTCCTAGAGCAAGGGAATTCCTGAGTAATAGTCTGTGGGAATGGCATTGGAGACAGGAGGGAGAGCCTTAGAATAGCCAGCGAGTAAAAGATGTCTCAACCTGATGTGGAGTCCAAAACACAAATAAATGTAAACTGGAGCTTGACTTTGCATGAAGCCAGCTTACATTTAACAAAAGTTAGTCCCTTACTGAAAAAGAGGTAAGATGGAGCAGAATATCAGGTGGGCTCAGAAGAAGGTGTTGGGCGTTGGAAGGCGATGCCCCTGGGCGTTCGTGGACATCAAATTCCTGAGCTTTCCCTTTCATTGGGCAAAATATTAATAACTTTTTCCCTTCTGCATAATAAACTGTGAAGAAAATGACTTACAGATTCCGGAAAGCCTCTTTCTGAAGATCTTGAGGGAAGCTTGCCACGTTGTGGGCTTGGAGATACGTGGCCGAAGAAGCTTGAAGGACCTGGCTTAAGATGTCCACACATTCAGCAGAACTGAGGAGCACAAAGCACTTTTCTAACGTAACAAGGACCAAGGTACGGTTCCCTCCAGGACTTTGGAAAAATTTCTTTCTTATTCCATGTAGGTCAATCAGGATATTTCCAAGTTCCTGGTGAAGGCAAGGCATGGGAAGGCCAATGAGATCTTCAACAGGGGTTGGACTCTAGCTCTGCAGGAATCTTAACATTCATCAGAGAGAAAATGAATTATCGGTGGTTGGGAGGAGGAGGAGGAGGAGGAGGAGGAGGAGGAGGAGGAGGAGGAGGAGGAGGAGGAGGAGGAAAAACAGAAGAGGACAGGAAGGGATCAGTCTACAGATTGTCCTATTTGAAAAAGGTTCAAAAAACTGGAATAGTTTAGAGGAAAGTTTATCAATCTTGGCAACTTTAAGATACATGGACTTCGACTCCCAGAATTCCCCAGCCAGCACGGGCTGATCGGTATGGTTGACTGGGGACTTCTGGGAGTTGAAGTCTAGATATCTTAAAATTGTCAAGGTTGAGAAACCATAGTTTAAAAAAAGGCTGTGAGAATGCTCAGAAGATTAAAGTTGGGGTCTCCACACCACCCGATACCTTCGCCTTTCTTAAGAGGAAAAATTATTGGAGGGCCCAGAATGAGACTCACAATAACAATCCTTATTCAGTTTTTGTCACACACAGTGACCCAACCAACCTTACCAAATATTTCTGGGTCCTTTCAAAGAGGTACTTCATGGCTGTTTGAAAATCCTCAGGCCTCATGTCCCGGAAGATTGAAAGGGACATTCTGGGGTTGTGGAAAAGATGCTCAAAATAATTGGTGATGGATTCCTGAAAAACAGGACAGAAAGCTTTGCAAGTTCAGATGTGGGAAGATGAGACTCAAATCTCTTTTTTTTATTATTTCCAATGCCAGGGGTCCTTCTGATGGTGCTTGCTAAGCAAATCCATCCTCTAGCCCAGAAAAGTCCATCCACTTGACATCTTTTGTCTTGCCCAGAGTGACCCACAGCTTCTCCCCTTCCCTTCACCCCAAGACTAAGAGTGCTCCCCCAATCACTAAAACACAACCACATCTTGAATTACTGGGTCATAATGCTTTCGCTAAATTATACAGGAACATCTGAACATCTCAAGTCTATAAGAGACAAGAGCAGGGTAAACTCTGACATAACTAGCCAAGAAGGATGGGATATGTAACACACACACACACACAGACACACACACAGACACACAGACACACACACACACAATTTTCCACTATTTTATTCCTGAAAAATCACCTTTCTACTTTAGCCCTTACAGGAATGAAAATATGAGGTCTATACCACCTGTAAGCTGCTGTAAGTAACTGTAAAGTTCTGAGCTTGGCAATGTGCCATGATTTTGTTGAACAGATCTTTAGTCCAAATATTGTGGCTAAAAAAAGAAGAAGAAAAAAACCCAGTAATTTATCCTAAAGAATTGTATAGATGCAGCAAAATCATTCACATTATTAGGAACAATTCAATTTTTTTTTACATACTGGCAATGTTTACGCTGCATGAAACAGAGCTTGTGGGTAACTTATGTTGTTTGTTACACAAACTGAGATCATCGGGCTGATGGAATAAACAATGGTTTGGATGCCATAGTTTATTCCATCAACCCAATCATCTCAGTTAATGTAAGGAACAACCAGGTAAATTTCCCACGGGCTTGAATTCATGCAAGGTTAGGTTAAAACATCTTTAATTCATTTGTAGATGAGCATGTATTGTGATTTGCACCAACAATTCAAATGCTGGCTGGAGTCATTATTCAGCACAAAAGTTCCTTTAATACAGATGCCAGTTTTTGCATTTAGAAAGTAATTACATGATCTTATTTCAATGAAACTGGGATCCAATCCAGCTTTTATTCCTGCACCACCAGCTAAATCATTGAAAAACATATATCAGATGCTCACCTTTGGAAATGAAGAATGCTGAGGAGAGCTGAAAAAAGAGAAATATTTCAAAAGTTAATAAAATTAGATTAAATGAGATTCAAAAAAAAAAAGACAAGGAAAATTAATACCAATTACCGTTTAAATACTGCCGGGTTATGATATCTTCCTAAAGAAAGAGAATTATGTACAGTTGAACAAAGCAATGGTAAAAAATAGTTAGAAACGTTTATTTAATGTATCGCTTTTATTGTTTTAAAGTTATTCTTTATTGTTTTATTCTTTTAGTGCATGGGTGTCAAACTCGCTGCATCACATGATGTGTCGTGACATATCATGACTTTTTTTTTGCATTGCCGGAGCTGGGGGTGGGCACGACCTCCATATGATGCAACTGGCCCACTGGCTGGCAGTTTGATACCCCTGTTTTAGTCTGTCAAAACTATTTTTTTTCTTTTATGTAATTTGATGCTGTCGTAAGCTTCTCTAGGAACTCCTTGTTTTGAAGGGCAATGCACACGTGTTGAAAAGAAACAAATAAACATTACAGAAATGATCAAGCAAAAAAAGAACAAATACTGACCACGGTTCTTTGTAGCTGTGGAGGTAGATCTGGAAAAAGGAGGGGGAAAACTAATTTTTACAAAATGCAAGAAATGGCTTCCAAAAAAACTAGATAATAAATAAGGCATCTTAAAGAACTGAAAAGATAGTGATTCATGTTATTGTGTATGTCCAAATAGCAGCTAAAAGTAACAGGTGATGATGGAGATGGAGATGGAGAGGAGGAGGAGGAGGAGGAGGAGGAGGAGGAGGAGGAGGAGGAGGAGGAGGAGGAGTTGGAAGAAGAAGGAGGAGGAGGAAGAAGAAGAAGAAGAAGAAGAAGAAGAAGAAGAAGAAGAAGAAGAAGAAGAAGAAGAAGAAGAAGAAGAAGAAGAAGAAGAAGAAGAAGAAGAAGAAGAAGAAGAAGAAGAAGAAGATTTTGCAATACCCAAATGAGGCCAAAATTAACCCACAGTAACTTTGAGTTTCTCCTTGTTTTTCCTTTCCTGTGACCCAGATATTGTATCATTACTGTTCTAGCTAATCTACATGCAACTTCAATTCTTTTGTTCCCAAATTTTGAGATTTATTTTCGTGGTGTAGAAGCCTTTTATCTCACCTTGGTTACCATTGGGAGGGCTCTCGGATTCCACGGTGGGATTCACTAAGGCCAACAGGAGAAATATTCTCCAGTCCAGAAGAAACATTTCTTGGGTCTTTTCCAGGAGCTGAGAAGCCAAATTTGAAAAGGAAAAAGGGGGTGTCACTAAATTGGGAGTCAGGGATCACAGTGCACTGATTAATAGACTCAAAGTAGGCTCCTGAATGCCCAAGACAATTTATCACTGCCAAAGGTCTTCTGATGGACCTCAAGATGCCCTCTTTTGACCACAACAGTCTCCAGATGGACTTATTCCACCGCAGAGAGGCAGAACCATATCAAACCAGGAGTAGTTCTCAACCTACGACCCCAATTGAGCCCCACATTTCTGACACTAAGTGAGACAGTTATTAAGTGAATTTTGCCCCATTTCACAGCCTTTCCCACCACCGTTGCTAAGGGTGGGAACGGAGCCGAGGATCATGAGAACCTTTTGTGCGATCCTGGGAACCAGTCTGGTTTTAGATCTTCTCCTGCCCGCGTTAGCAGCCCCCGGAGTTGCTTTCTGAAGTGGCTCCATGGGGATTTCTCCAATACGACTCTGCTGTGTCTAAGTGTCCAGTTTCCCTAACAATGAGCTTGGTTGTGTGTTTGTGGCAGACTTTGCCTTATTCATTTTAGGAGGAGGTTGAAATTACGCAGCGCGGCTTAACGATCTTTCAAACGATCTTTCAAAGACACCCACAGGAGGGGGGCATTTTTACTTAGAGGCAAAGCTTCGGATTTCAACCTCTGTATTTACAAAAAAAAGCTACTCACAGGTCGTTCATTTAATGGCTGAAGTTATAGCAGCAGTTATAGCAGAAGTGACTTTTCACACTTAACGTCTGTTGCAGCATCCCCATGTTCACGGGATCCAAATTTAGAGGCTCGGTAACTGGCATGTACCTGTGACTGTTGCCCAATCCCGGGGTCACATGGTCACCCTTTGCTACCTTCCGAGTTGGTCTCCAACCTTCCCCAAAGTCAAAGTTTGTTTAACGACCGCATGATTCATTTAACAGCTGCAGTGATTCGCTCAAAAACTACGGCGGAAAGGTCATAAAACGGGAGGCCACTCATTTAACAACCCCCTTGCTTAGGATGTCAAGGTGAATAGGCATGGGTTGTCACGTGAAAAACACAGCAACATTCATGAAATCATAAAGTTAAATGGTGCCAGTGTTTCAGAGACCGGAAATCCTTTACATCAGTGTTTCTCTACCTCAGCAGCTTCAATTCAACTCCCAGAATTCCCCAGTCAGGATTCTTTTAAGAGGCGTGGATTTCAACTCCCAGAATTCCCCAGCCAACATGGCATGATTGTTGAGGGGATTATATTTGGTTTCTGCAAACTTCTTGATGGCAAAAAAAAGCAAATTTGTGGCACAGAGGAAGACTCTTGAAGGCAGTGCCCCAGGAAGGATAATACCAGAGTTAAAATTCCTGTTTCAAATAGCTGCTATTTTTTTAATGATTTTCATACAAACCTAGCTCCGAGAAACCACAAATATGACAATACAGTGTATGAATCCATGCGATCCTTTATTTCTTAAGTAATTCCATGTGAAAAAAAAATGGCTCGATTACTTACATGTTTTATGGGTACCTTCGGAAAACATTATTGCATTTACCTAACACTGTTCCTTAATTTCCCTTCCTTAGCCAGAAAGGCCAGGAAGGAAAATGAATTGTGGACATCTGTGCCATTAATTGTGTCTGCAAAATCTCTTTATCATTTAATATCCAATAGAAAAACAAACTTTTTTAAACTAAAGGGAAAGCAGAGGATTTGATTAATTTTGAACAGATCTCCATCGAAGCATCTGAGGCAAGGGGGGGAAAAAACCCACTTTTATACTTTTTTATTATTTTGGCAACTCCCTCAAAAGCATCAAGCTGTATATCAGACAGATCAACATTCCAGGAATAAAACTGCCAACATTGAAGAAAGATTTTCTCCACTCTAAAACATCCTTGAAATTGTTCAACCTACCACCCTAACCTAGAAAAGGAAAGTTTCCTTCCATCAAAAGCGAGGTGATGAATATTAATGTTTGACTCACCTGAAGTTCAGAGCGCTTCTCAGATCAAGAGTTTGCGGGAAGAATGGGTGGCTGGCGAAAGGGCAGCTCTCCAGCGAGAGAAAGGCGATGATAGAAAGAGGGTGATGGGGAGGGATCAAGAAAGAAAGAGGCTGAGCAGGGAGGAGGAGGAGGGGGGGAGTAGAAAGGAGGAGGAGGAAAAACAAGGAGAAGAGAGATAGGAAGAAGGGGAAGGGAGATACAAGAAACTCTAGAAAGAGTACAGAGAAGAGCAACAAAGATGCTCAGGGGACTGGAGGCTAAAACATATAAGGAACGGTTGCTGGAATTGGGTATGTCTAGTTTAGTGAAGAGAAGGACGAGGGGGGACATGATTGTCATGTTCCAATATCTCATGGGCTGCCCTAAAGAAGAGGGAGTCAAGCTATTCTCCAAAGCGCCTGAAGGCAGGACAAGAAGCAATGGATGGAAACTAACCAAAGAGAGAAGCAACTTAGAACTAAGGAGAAACTTCTTGACAGTTAGAACAATTAACCAGTGGAACAACCTGCTTCCAGAAGCGGTGAATGCTCCAACACTGGAAGTTTTTAAGAAGAGACTGGACAGTCATTTGTCCGAAATGGTATAGGGTTTCCTGCCTGAGCAGGGGGTTGGACTACATGACCCCCAAGGTCCCTCCCAACATCATCATCATCATCATTAAGAGAGGAAAAAGGAGAAGGGAACTAGGAGGAGGAGAGGGGGGAGGAGGAGAAGTAGAAAGGAGGATGAAAAACAAGAAGAGAGATAGGAAGAAGGGGGAGATAGAAGAGAGGAAAAAGGAGAAGGGAACTAGGAGGAGGAGGAGGAGAGAGGAAGGAGAAGGAAGAGTGGAAAAAGTAGAAAGGAGGAGAAGAGGAAGGAGGAGAGAGAAAAAGAAAAGAGAAGGAAAAGAGAAGGAGGGGGAAGAAAAGACGGAGAAGCTTCGCTAACTAGTTTGGAGATATACCGGTACAATGGCATTAACATGATACCTTCAGTACATAGCCTTGATTCACAACATTACTGATTTCCTAACTGCAGAGGTGGCTGCCCACAGGGATTCAATCACTCGCTTGGGGTATTTGTGGCTTATTCTTGGTTTGCTTCCTGGCTTCATCTGAGCGGCTAACCATCCCATAGCAGCAAAGGAAGAACCCCTTCACAGCCCAGGAGGCAGAATGGCTTTGCTTGTCTGAGGCTGGCTTGCTTCTGGCTTGTCCAGCAGGGGGTGACTAACTTAGGTTTCAAGCCAAGTTAGCAATTCTGCCAGAGGGCTCTCCAGAAAGATTGTCAACCTTGAGCTCCAGCGCCCCCTAGGGGGAAGACAGAACCAAGACTCCAAACGAGTGGAGTTTTATTTCCTTTTTTGCATCCTAAATGCACACAGGCCGCATTGCTGCGCAAACTCAGGAAGTGGCCCCACTTCTGCAGAATAAAATTTGTCTGAAATGGTAGAGGGTTTCCTGCCTGAGCAGGGGGCTGGACTAGAAGACCTCAAAGGTCCCTTCCAACTCTGATTATTGTTATTATTAAATTTAGGCACACGTTTTATCCCTAAAGTTGCTTTTTTTTTTTCCAAAAGGCAGCTGGACTTTGGAAAAACAGAAGGTCCAAAAAAAAAAAAAAAAACCCACCATGACCTGGGTGAATGAGAGCCGCCATGGAGCCTCCTTACTTCATTGCTGCAGGGAATGAAAAGTTGAGGTAAGCAGAAATTTAGGGTGCTCGTTTCACAGCCCTGGAAACTTGCCCCAAAGGGATCCTGTCCTGGGCACCCCACAGCCAGGTCCCCGATATGCTTGAAGGCCGCTTTCCGAGGGTATGAAGTTGACCCTACAAGCTGTCTCAACTTGCAACCACCGTTGGGATCAGAATTCCTGTTGCTAGGCAAGGGGGTTTTTAAGGCAGTATCATCTGATTTTAGGCCTTTTTTGGGGGGGGCACAGTTGTTAAGAGAATCACTGCAGTCGTTTGAATCAAGTGGTGGTCATTAAGTGAATCTGGCTAGCCCCCCCCCCAATGAATTTGTCAGAAGCTGACTGGGAAGACTGCAAGCGGTAATTGTGTGACCCCTGGAGGCTGCGACTGTTGTAAACACAGGCTGGTGGACAAGTGGCTGAATTTCGATTACACGACTGATTGAGGGCAAGAGAAGAAGGGAATGACAGAGAAGGAGGTGGCTGGATGGAGTCCCTGAAGCAGGAGGCGTGAGCTTAAATGGACTCCAGAAGATGGTAGAGGACAGGAAGGCCTGGAGGAACGTTGTCCATGGGGTCGTGATGGGTCGGACACGGCTTCGCAACTAACAACAACACAATGTCCTTAAAAGCGAGAACTGGCCATAAATCAGAGTCATTTTAACTCTGAATATTTGCTAAAAGAAATGGCTGTCAGTCAAGGACTGACCTGATCAATTCATCTCAAGGCCCTTTGCGTGTCCATCTGTCTGTCCATTCCCCCCCTCTCCCTCTCTTCATCTCCAAATGTGTAACTGAGACCCCCCCCCTTCGGCTAAAAGAAGCTTTTCTACAAGCACCACCTCGAAAAAAAAGTTTTATTAGCGTGATTAAAAACATGTGCTGAAGACCAACAGATCAAATCATTTCAGGAACACGGAAGAAAGAAAATAAAAATAAAAAAACAGTCTAGCCCGACTTTTGACCAGCCCAGATTCCGAGTTGAGCGGATAAGACGGCTCTACTGTCGGCGCTCGCTTTTTGCGTCCTTGAGGGGAAAAAAAAAAACCCCACCTGGGCTGGTGTTATTTCTTGGCAACTACTCGACTGGTAGTCCCGAACGGCTAGGTATAAAAATATTTCCATTTCAATCACACACGTCCTGGGTTTTTAAGAAACCTTAAATGGGAGAGAACTCTGATCTTTTACAAAAGATGTCCTTTTTTTAAAAAAAAAAAGGAAGAAAGAAAGAAAAAAAGGAGGGAAGGAAGGAAGGAAAGGAGGGTGTTCCGAAAAAATTAGTATTTTTTTTTCCCCATTTTCAGTTCAAGAAGTCCACTGAGATTAGACAACCACAAAAAAACCCTTCCTCTGCCAGGAAGGGATCATAAATTCAAAACGAAAACCACCCAAATCAACAAGAACCCAAACCCAGACGAAGAATCGAAACGTTTCCGTATGCTGGTGGCTTCCGGCCGGACTTCCCAGGACGCGACTCAGATGGGCCTGAGAACGAAGACCGCGTCGTCCAGGACGTAATAGTCGTTGTACATGTCGCCTTCACACAAGTACGGTAATCTAGTGAAGGCTTCGATGGCAAAGCCGGCTTTCTTGAGAACCTCCGGCAGGCTGTTCACCTGCTCCTCCCACGTCTGTCCTTTGATGTCCAAAATTTCGGAGGGTTTATCCCACTTGCCACCTACTGAGAGAAGAGAGGCTTTCGTTAGTTGCTGTTTGCAGGAGGGAGGGTGGACGCTGCGAGCGGGATTAAAACAGAAACGGACATTGTATGTTTCTGGGATTGCAAGGGAAGACACCAAGGGGTCCATCAGACACGATTGCCGGGCGCAAATAACCAGGATCGTGCAATAGGTTTAAAGCAGAAGTGATTTATCGTTGCAACCTATAGACAAGAAATGGGTCAACTAACGGCCAAGCTTTCGTTAGTTGCCGTTTACAAGGTGGGTGGCGAACACAGACTGGAGACCGTGAGCAGAATTAAAACAGAAATGGGCACTGTATAATTATGGGATTGCAAGGAAAGACACCAGAGGTCCTTTGGAGATGATTGCCGGGCGCAAATAACCAGGATCATGCCACGGGTTCGAAGCACAGATAAATTATTGTCGCAATCTATACGTGGGAATCTAATCGGCTAACGGTCAGCACTAAATTGGTGCTAGATAAAAGCTGACAGACTTCAAGAAACAATGGATGGAAACTAACCAAGGAGAGAAGCAACCTAGAACTAAAGAGAACCTAGAACAATTGACCAGTGGAATAACCTGCCTCCAGAAGCAGTGAATTCTCCAACACTGGAAGTTTTTAAGAAGAGACTGGACAGCCATTTGTCTGAAATGGTATAGGGTTTCCTGCCTGAGCAGGGGGTTGGACTAGATGATCTCCAAGGTCCCTGCCAACTTTATTATTATTATTATTATTATTATTATTATTATTATTATTATTATTATTATTACTACTACTAGGGCTGGACTTGGGTCTCTGGTGGCAACGTGGTGGCACGTTTAACTCAGATTTCCAGCTTTGCCTGTGTGAAAAACGGTCGTGAGTCAGGTGTTTTGAGTGTTGTTGTAACTTCGAACAGTCACTAAATGAACGGCTGTAAGTCAAGGGTTACCTGTATCTGGGAGACCTTACCATTTTCCACATAGGGATGAAAAGGCAAAACTAGTGCCAGGATGACTCGGCCTCTCGTCGGTTCCAGCACGCTCCTGATATCTTTTAAGACCGTCAGTGGCTGGTCACAGCGATCCAGCAGGTTCAAGCAACTGATGACGTCATACTGGAATCCCGTGTTCTGCCATTCGTTGATGCCAAGCACCCTGCCAAGGGTGGGGGGAGAGAGAGAAAGGCAAAGGGTTATACCTGGTGGAGTGTGGATTCTTCACTTCTCATTCAACCCGAGGAGGAAGCAAGAGAGTCACAACAACTCCGAATAGCTTTCTCCATTGGCCTTGCTGGTGGGAAGGCCTGAAGTTCAATGGGCTCGGAGAGAAGGCCGCAGTCCTCTCTGATCAAATGGTTCTTCTTAGCTATTGGCCAAATTAAAGCTTAAATTGAAGACAGAAACAAGAGAAGCAGGCAAAGGAGCTCAGTTGGTGGGAGAAGAGACAGACCAGCCAGATGTGGAGGCCAGGGTGGAGAGGGCCAGATGTGGAGGCTGTGATGGAGAGGCCCAGATATGGAGGCCAGGGTGGAAAGCCCAGATATGGAGGCTGTGACAGAGAGACTCAGGTGTGGTGGCTGTGATGGAAAGGCCCAGATGTGGAGACCAGGGCGGAAAGTCCAGATGTGGAGGCTGTGACAGAGAGGCTCAGGTGTGGAGGCTATGATGGAGAGGCCCAGATGTGGAGGCCAGGGTGGAGAGGCCCAGATGTGGAGGCCAGGGTGCACAGAGCAGTGCTTTTCAACCTCCGCAACTTTAAGATATCTGGATTTCAACTCCCAGAATTACCCAGCCAGCAAGCCTAGAGTTGCAGCCCTAGAAATTCAGAAGGGGAGGTTTTTTTTCTCTTTAACTGCAAAATCCTGCCTCTTTCTGTTTATTGGTTTGAGGGCTAGGTAGGGCAAGGAACAAGGGAACTGTCTCTTTGGATTCCCCCCCCCCCTTTCGATTTCTTGAGAGTAGAACGAAGAATTGCTAAATATTTGTTTTGGAGCGACTCTGTTGAGTTAGGATCATTACCTGTATTTCTTCTTTTGAAGCTGCCAAATCATGGTCTCAGACAACTCGGTCACGTACGTTTCTTCAAAGTGGGGACTCATGACTTTGGTGACTTCACCATCTCCGGCTCCTAAATCGAGAAGCCGACGCGACTTCCAGTCTGGGTTGATTTTGAGCAGTCTCTGAAATTGTTCAGGTGAAAACACAAACATGGAACCTCTTTCCAGCAAGCTGAAAGGTTAAAGATGGGGAGAGGTGAGTTTACGTTGGAAGGGGGCAAACGGGAGGCCGTGCTTTCTTCAACGCTGGGGGGACGCGAAGGGGACTTATCGTTACCCAGAAACTAGAACAGAGGAAAAAAAGCCTTCTCGAGACATAAGACATTGATTCATCTCTACAAAGTTATACAGCTGCTCCTCGACGTATGACCGAAATTGAGCCCACTAGTATCACCACGTTTATATCCAGGGCCGGTAAACTTTTCAAGCTCGGCTGGACACAGCGCCCAAAGGCCAAACGATAAATAAACAGACCTCCCTGTAAAAATTGCCCATTTCCTTTCAGAAATTATTATTTTTTTTTTGTTAATGAGAGGGGGCACAGGAGTCATCCAAACATGGACAGGCAGTCTTCAAATTGCAACAATTCTCGAGTGACCACTCAAAGTTACAAAAAAAATGACCGAGGACCGACTTTCACACTTAACGACCGCTGGAACGTCCCCTTGGTCAAGTGATCAAAATTCTGTCTCTGGTTTAGGATGGGTGCAATGATCAAAATTCTCTCTCTTAGGATGGGCGCAGTGTCCTGAGTCCTGCGATCCTCTTTTGCAACTTTCTGACCAGCAAAGTCAAGGGGAAACGCTTAGCCCTGTTGCCAACAGTTGGCAACCCTGTTGCCAAGGACAGCGATCCGGTTAACAACGGTGACAAGAAAGGTCATAAAACACTTAATAACTGTCTTGCTTAGCAAGGGAAATTTTGGGCTAAAATTGTGGTGGTTAAGTCGAGGACTACCTACAATGGAAGGCTTTTTTTTCCTCGTTGTTTTTGGAGGATGCCATTCCTAGCTAGTCTACCACCGGTAGTAACTGAATATATGCAAAATCGGATTGTTATTTTTAAAAAAATCAAAACTCAAAGAGGCCAATATCTTACACTCACCCATTGATAGACGTCCTGGACATGAAGAGGCTAAAAACGGAGGATACAAAGGAGTGATAAAGTTGAATGAATAACCAGCCAGATTTCTCAATACTATTGTTTAAAAAGATCCGCGTCCCTTGGTCAAGGTAACTCTGGATGAAGACAGGCTGAAGGGCTTCATACAACTGTTCCGTATTGCACAGATACCACTAGAAGGAGGAAGAGATAAGACTCGGTTATTTCAGCTCTGCCAAACCAGAAGGAGCATCATCAGATGGAACAAGAATTGCAACGCAAAGACCAACGGGAGAGAAGACTCAGCGTTATTTTAGAACACGGGATAATTTTTATCAACGGCTGGAAAAACGAGTGAGAGAGAAAGGAACGTGATATGTGACACTGAATATATATTAGTTTAAGAAGACCATTGAGCGATTAACGTATTGATTATGATAATTCATTATTATTCATTGTTTTTTAAATACACGAATCCAGACAACATGCCGTTTGCTAAATATTAATAATGTTATTTTAAAAAAACCTAACCCTAACCCCGACCCTAACCCTAATCCTATAAAAGAGCATTTTTTTTTTGCAGGCAGACGTCACTACTGCGACAATTGTAAATTCAAAATTTTGTAGCCGACAAAGAGTTAAAGGGGGACTAGTATAGCTATTTCGAGCTAGCTGATGGCTAGCTGATGAGAGCTAAATAGCTCGAAATAGCTATACTAGTCTCCTTTTAACTGTTTGTCGGCTACAAAATTTTGAATATATACATACATACATACATACATACATACATAATGCTGTATGTTACACTCTGTTGCCCAAATATGGAAGAGAGAAATCTTTTGCCTTGTATCAGCTCAAACTAAAGCCATCCACAGGCAGCAGTCACAACTGTGACATCATATACATTTCTAAAATTTGGATTGCTAGCAAAGAATTAAGGGAGATCTGGAATAGCTATTTCAAACTCTTTAGCTCTTTTCAACCAGACATACCCTTCTGAGATTCGAACCTGGGCTGTCTGCATGTTAGGCAGCTGTATTAACCTCTAGGCCACAGGTTCTGTCTCACTTTTGCAAGCTGGCTGTGGAATTCTGGGAGTTGAAGTCCACATGCCTTAAAATTGTCAAGTTTGGGAAACACTGCTCTATGGAGAAAAAGTCTAAGGCAAGGCCAGAAAGCCTCTTTTGAACTTTAGTTGATAACTTAATAAGCAAAAATGGCCATTGTCCTTGCTATTGTTTAGGAATCTACTTCAAACGAGTGTTTGCAGCTTACATTCACAGTGAAATCAGCCAGACCTGCATCCAGGTATACAATAAAAGTTTTGTCTGTTGATTAGATTATATAAGTAGTCCTCGACTTATAATAGTTCGTTTCGGGACTGTTCAAAGTTACAACGGCACTGAAAAAACTGACCATTTTTCACACTTGCGACTGGGTGTGTGGTCACGTGATCAAACTTCAGACACTTGGCAACTGACTCACATTTATGACGGTTGCAGTGTCCCGGGGTGTGCGTCACGTGATCCCCTTTTGCCACCTTCGGACAAGCAAATATTCCTGTTCCAAAAACCATTGGGGACTGGGGACAGGATGCGTCTTAAAATTGGATTTATTGTTTTGAATTCACATTAGGAATTACAGTCCCTTTGTCCGTTTCATTATCTTTTGGCTGTGGCCAAACCTAGAGTCAACAGCTGGCCCACAACTGATGACTCCTGATGGGATGTTTCCCCCCCCCCCCTTCTGACCTAGATGGGGCTACCAGAATCAGGCTGTTTCAAGCAATCTTAAGAAAAACTGTCAGCCGGGCCATTTTACAGCTCTTCCTGTTCTTGTCAAGAAATGTATTAATCTCTGACTGTAGGGCTTCCTGCTGTTCTAATTATCTTCTATAAAAGCTTATAAGTCTTCTGTGCTTTTCTTGAAAGGGTGGGAGGGATTGATTATCAGACAAGCTTCGCTTTATATAAAGGATCCCAGCCCTACAAAATTTAGCAGCAAAAGGCGGAATTGCCATCACCGGTTGAAAAAAAGGCACAATGCAGGCAAACATCCAAAGTTTCAATCCCATTGTCTTCTAGGGCGGCAGGTTTTTTTTGTTTTTTTAACTCCCCCCCCCCCAGGTTTATAATGGAAGAAATTATAGCTTTCAATGATCACCTGGATAATTTGATGGAAGGGACAAGGCCGCGTAAGATGTTAATATTGTGATCGGGAGTCTGACACACCAGTCTGACTCGGTGTGCAGGATGTCGTTATCTTACAATAAGTGAAAAATGAATTTAGAATGAACAGAAAAGCCTGACTATTAGGCACACAAAGAACTTGATATATAGGCAGTCCTTGACTTATGATCACAATTGATTAGCCCAAAATTTCTATTGCCAAGCAAGACACTTGTTAAGTGACTTTTGCCCCCTTTTATGACAATTTTTGTCATGGTCATTAAGTGGATCACTGCAGTTAAGTTAGTAACATGGTTGTTAAATGAATCTGGCTCCCCCATTGACTTGAATCACTGCAGTGTTAAGTTAGTGATGTGGTTATTAAGTGAATCTACTTCCCCTATTGACTTTGCTTGTCAGAACGTCGCAAAAAGGGATCACACAACCCCGGGATGCTGCAACTGTCATAAATGTGAGTCAATTGCCAAATGGCTGGATTTTGATCACGTGACCGACGGTCGTAAGTGTGAAAAATGATGCTAAGTCACTGTTTTCGGTGCTATTGTAACTTTGAGCAGTCACTAAATAGACTGTTGTAAGTTGAGGACAGCAGTTGAAGCTTCCTATTAGGTAAATATTTCCGCAGCTGGCAGGACTTGGTCGATACTGTCAGGCCTTATTAGATGGACGACCGCGAATATATCCCAAGGCTGTAGACTAGATTTAGAAGTAAAAATTCCAGAAAAAGAAAAGAAAAGAATGGTGAATGACTATATATATTGTTGCCAATAAACCCTGCATGGATCTAGTTAAATCCTTCATTCTCCAGAGGGAATTCATTGTTTGATTATTTGGCTTTAGAACAGTTAAACTTCACAATTCCTTTTTGGGATCAATCTGCACATTGCGGTAATATATATTAAATCCATGTCCGTCATCAAAAAGTCTTTAACCAAATGTAGGGATCCTTTCACTCCTTTGATGAATTAGCACAGGATTTCAAACGTTGGCAACCGGAAGGCAAGTGGGAATATTGATTGAGCATGCAGTCAGAGGTTCACGAGAAGCTTTTCCTGGTGAACTAACAAGGAAAACTTGTAGTTTTTTAACAATTTAACCTATTATGTATGGTACTTATTACAGCTATTTGCATATTGATCCAGTAAATTCTATTAAGTATAGTATGCCAGATAGAATCACAACCCCGAAGGATAACAACTCTAATTCAGTGAAACAAACTAAAGGTGGATTCCATTTTAGAAACCCATTTTACAAATCCATAATAGAACAGATGTCCTTTCTCGCCCCCCCCCCGCCTTTTGACCACCCAGGCCCCCTAATACCAAGATATTTCAGATAATATTTATATCTAACTCTACCTGGCACAAGTGGAATACCTATAAATCACATTTCTTTTAAAGTTCCCGCTTTCTAGCAGATGTTGGCCCTGGTTCAAGATCTGAAAACATTTACACTTATTAAGTTACTACAAAGTGTCAGGCATATAAATAATATATGTAAGATCGAAGCTGTCCAGATGTTTGCGGATACAGCGCCCATAATAGTTGAATGTGGAATACTTAGAGAGAAAAAAACAAGGAAGTAGAAAAAGATGGACCAGACCAGGGATACTGAATCAGAAAAGAGTACCTAACTTTAAGACTTGTGGACTTCAACTCCCAGAATTCCCCAGTTGGAGTCCATAAGTCTTAAAGCTGCCAAGGTTGGACACCCTGATCTAACTAAAAGGAAAGAATTTTAGAGAGAAAAACAATAAAAAAAGGCAAACAGGGTGATTATAAAGAATGTGTGAGAGAGAACAAGAAAACAACAATACAAACAAGGGCGAGTAGGTGGTATTAATGATGTATAGAAAGTAAAAGCACTGGCAGTCAAATATTACACTGGCTCAGAATGCTGGGAGTTGTAGTCCAGAGTATGCCAAGTTGGACAAACTACTTTCAGAGGGAGGACAAAAAAGATCCCTGTGGACATTTTCACAAGTCAAGATCTTGCAAACTAAAATTTGGGGGAAACGCAAATTAATTTCCTTCTAATTTACACCACCCCATTATCCATCCACAGCAGGGGCACCACTACTGCTCTGCACAAACAGGAAAAAATGAGGCTGTGCCAGGACGTGATCAAACCACAGGGGAATTTGCATCGCCAAAAAAAAAAAAAAATACTTCCAGTTCTTGAATTATTAGAGAATTGAAAAGCAGGGCTTTTTTTTTTTTAAGTCTTAGGGGACTTCACCAGCACTTGTCTTTCCTGCTCCAGACCCACAAAAGTGGGATGAGGAGGGCTGAGAAAATGTCCCACATTGTCCTAGTTGCTTCTCACCCTTCGGTTGCGGAGCCTATAAAGATATGTCATTCGATCTATTCTTTTCCAGTTCGGATTATGTGCTGCTATTGTTGCTCTCTGCACATCCATTTCCCAGGCTATGCTCTGAGTGTTTTGGAGGGGAGAAAAGAGAGGACAGGTGGTGGGACTCCCAGGATCACCTGCCTTGTCCCATCCTGTCTTTGACCCTGGCAGCTTTTCACCTTCCTGCCTTGTCTGTGGAGATTCTCCATCATACAGGTCAGGGTTGTCCCAAAGGTGCTTTTTTTCCAAAAGGCAACTAGACTTTTTTGGGTTCCCCCCCCCCTTTGAAGCAGCTTCTTGGATGAGAAGTGAAACATTTTCAAAGAAAAAAAAAAACAAGTCCTGCTGCCTTTTGAAAAAGCACCTTTGGGACACCTTCCTACCTTGTACTCCAAGAAGGAAAGCAGCAGCAGAAGAAATACCCCAACACAGATTATGCCCCTTCCTTTCTCCTCCCTCCCTCCCCTTCTCTTTCCTCCCTTCCTTCTCCCTTTCTCCTTCCTTCCTTCCTTCCTTCCTTCCTCCCTCCCTCCCTCCCTTTCTCCTTCTTTCCTTCTTCCTCCCTCTTTCCCCTTCCTTCCTTCCTTCCTCCCTCCCTCCCTCCTTCCTTCTTCCTCCCTCTTTCCCCTTCCTTACTTCCTTCGATTCATCTTCAGATCTCTGGCTCTGGGTCTTCCCTCTTAGACCTGGGGGGGGGGGTCTTTGCTTATGTGTCCAAGCAAAGGGGGGGGGAGACAGCATCGGGGCCAGACCCGGCTTGACACCCCAGGTTGGGGGTGTCCCCCCTCGATGGGCAGCGCCAGGAACTCCTTGGGGAGGGAGGCATCCCCCCACCCTCCCCTAATCCGTCCCAGAACCTTAGAAATTCACTATAAAATAAGCTGGAAGTCCTGAAGCCCCCCTCCCCTCTTGGAGGGAGGGGGCATATGAAGACCCCAAAGGGGAGGCGGCGGAGGGGGCGTCTGCCTTGGTAGCCCCCCCCCAGGCTCTCTCCTCAGACCGACCCCCCCCGCTTTCTCTCGTGGAGGGGAGGGGGCGGCGGGGGCCCTACCTGCTGGTTCTCCTTGTCGCCCGGCGCCGCCTGCCCGGGGCCGCTCATCATGTTCGCGTAGAGAGAGCGGGATAAAGGGCTCCGGAGGTAGCGCGCGGGGCCAGACCACATCCTCCTCCTCAGCAGCCACAGCGAGACGGCGAGGCAGCCCAGCCAGGCCAGGCAGAGTCTCATGGGGGGCGGGGGGAAGGGGGCCGCGCAGGAGACGGAAGAAAGGGGCGACCGATCACCCCCTCCCGCAACCACCGCCTCCTTGCTCCATGGCGGCGGCGGAGACGGCGAAGGCGGCCAGAGCCAGCGCGGAGCTCCCCATTTAGCGCCCTCGCCGGAGCGCAGCCGAGGCCGGAACCCGAGGCCCGCGGAAGGAGGGCCCGGCCGGACAGGATGGCCAGGGACACGCACGCGCCCGCCCGTTCGGTCGCTCTCTCTCTGTCTCTCTCTCTTTTTCTCGCGCGCACGCGCAGACACGGCGCGCCTCGGCCGCCTGCCTTCCGCCAAGCCGTCGGCGCGCGCGCCCCTGCGCACTCGCGCGCGCGCCCCTTCCACCCGCTCCTCCAATCCCGGAGCGGCCCGAGCAACGGCGCCCGTCGCACAATGCCCTTGCGCGGGGGCGCGCGTCGAGGGGGCGTGCCACCCCCGTGGCGCGCGCACGTCCGGACGCGTCCCTTTCCTTTCTCCCCCCCCTCCTTCCCCGTTTTCACGCCCCCGCTCGGACGTCCTGCGGGGTGGTCGTAAAACGAAACACCCCTCCTCCCCGGCGAGGAAGTCCCGTTGTTAAAACGAGCCTTTCCAAAGCCTCTGTTCCGAAGGTAGACTTGACTTGCACGGGGAGGTTCCCTTTCACATGCCTCGGGATCTCTAATATTAAAAAAAACCCAAAACAATAATTCTCATGTTTTTCCAGCCTCTCTTTCCTCTTAACAAGCCCGTCCTTGTCACGCCAGGGAAGAAACCAGCAAAATATACGCAACTAAGAGTTCATCAGATAGGCTGCGCCTACACGAGGAGGTTCCACCTGCAGGACCACAATTTTAAATGAGATAAACGACTTGATCTTTTGCCGCCAAAACAGCCCAGTTGGGCGTCTGGTGGAAGAGACTTCTTCGTATTCAATGGAAAAAAATGGGAAAGAATATTTATTTTTTTCCGAAAGAAAGTCGCCTCAAAGGAAGCCTGGTTGCGCTTGCATGGATGGGAACAGTTGTGATGGCTCATAAGGAAGCTGAACTATTGTTACCTGTTTACGAGACTTTTTTCTTAACTGTTCATTTTCATGCTCCACGTTTAAAAATAAAAACCACTTTTACAGAACAATAACTTTAAGCACCTGGAAATTACTTGCAACCCACAGCACACACACACACACAAAATCTTTATGCTCTGCAAGAAAAAAAAAGCCTTTTATTTTAAATGGAAAAACTTAATGGACGATAGTGAGTTTCCGCGTCATTCTACAAGAAGCTGAAGAGGAGATTGATATGGATTAAATTAAATTAAAAAACCTACAAAACATCGAACTTTTCCATACTCTCCGTTGCAAAGTTATTCAAAAATTTAACTGGGAGATCAAGTTTTTTTTTTTAAATTATCTACTGCTGAATTGGCATAACTCCCAACTGTAAAAGAGCTGGACAATTATGCCAAACAGGGATTGAACCTGTATTATGAAAGCACAAACTCCAGGGCAATATATACTATTGATTAGGATCTGTCTTATTCTGCCAACATAGTTTTAGGATGATTTGTGTTGCAATAAATAAATAAAAGCCATGGGCATCAGCAACTATTCTGGCAGATAACTGAGGGAAAAAAAGCATTATAATGTTATTACATATGGCAAATTGTATCTTAGCCTTGCTCACTCAGTTGAGCTGTACTGAAAAATGCTATCATTTATAACAATAATGTTTGGAGGAAGTGTTTTAAACAAATATGGGTGTTTCCAATTCTTAAGCAGTATTCCTCATTTTAAGCCTGTTCTGTTACCAGTTCTTCCGGTTTACCAAGCAAGCAGGAAAAAAGAACAGTGTTTATACAACTTACACTCCATCAAAAATATCACCTATAAAAGCCAGTTGCATTAAATTTCCTATAATATATCCAACAGCAGCAAGTAGTTAAGAATTTAAAAATGCAATTCGTTTAGAACCATTATACTGTAGTTTAATTCATAATAAAAGGTATTAAGGGTTTACTAGATTAAAAACTTTTAGGATAATGTATTAAAAGGAGATGGAAAACCACTGGCCTGGAATAGCCAAAGAATTTGATAGACCAGAACTAGTTCAACATAAAAAAAAAAAGCTAAAGCCCAACTTAGTTTTTCTAAGAGGTTCCTTCCTCTAATACTGTAATAAGAATGAAAAGAAAAAAAAGAGTTGGCTTGCATATATACATTACAAGAATAAGTAACACAATAATCCATTGGGCAAAGGATGGTACAATTTATTCTGGCATAATTCAGACTTCACCCTATCAAGCAAAATTTGTTTTCTGCTCATTACAAATACGATTGAAATAGTAAAAATGGAAGACTTGTATAAAAAGAAATCCCAAATCCCATTTTAAAATAAGGCAGAAAAAAAAAATCAAATACAAATACAGAAATCTGATGATATAAGTAAACACAACGATTATTGGCATGGCACTTAAGAAACCCCAGGCCCACTTTCCCAACAGATATTTTTCTTATGACTCTGGAAACTCAATTTTAAGTTTGACAGCTTGAGAAAACGTTTTGAGAAAGCAAGCTTTCCTTCTGCTTTTAAGCCTTTCCATCAGGTTTGTACAAAAATGTCTGCCCTTCACTTCAATTTTTCCACCAGGTGTTGCTACAGTTCCCACTTGGCCACCACTGACAAAACTACATTGTGATGTGGCAAATCACCACTGCCCTTTGGAACATAAATATATCAGTACTGCTCTCTCTATAAAGCAGCAGCTTCTATGATATTGTCAGGCTTAGTTTATGCAGCCCTCCAGATTTCCTTGTCTGCTTCAAACTTCAAACAACCATTCATGGTGGAATGGTATTTAGGTGCCCCATCCTGCAGTTATTTTCATTTCTCTCTCTCTCTCTCTCTTTGGCCTTAAAAGGAGGCATTTTATTTATCCCTTGAGTGTTAAGGTGGGATAAAAACTTAAAGAGTATGCATCCAGTTTACCTTCAAGGTTTCATTTGTCTCCATTTACCTGGTATATCAATGGAACTAAAAACAAGATTCCTACTTCACAATAAAGTATGGTAAAGATTTAAAACTACAGATGATCACAAAATGGCACAGGCTGCATTTGATTGGCTGGTTCAGAGAGTTAGGAAAATCCAGTGTGCTTGCTTGCCCATTGACACCTGTCAATTAAACACCGTTCAGCAAGGCTCCCATTTACAGTTCATAGTATTGGGGTCAGATGAGTATTCTGGATGGAAAAGGGGGTCCAGGTCAGGATCTGTATCGCCGCAATGCAAAGAGGGACCAGACAGATCATGTAGAACATGGCATCTTGGAGGCCTAAGTAGAGACTAGGAGAAAACATTTTACAATTTTCCAGCGGGATTACAGAACCAAGTATCACTACAGCCTATCCTGTACCAATTTATTTTCTACTCTTCAGAATGATCTTACTGTCTTTTGCTTGCATTCAGAACTCTGCTTTCTAAGCCAGCTCTTGAACCTATTCAGAAATTCCATTATTGATTTTACATATTGATTACCCAGGCAACCCATCCCAAATAGTCCTCTTCCTAAGGGCAGTTCATCTTTTGCAGCAAAGCCAAAACTTTGTCACCTTCAACATTAGTTGATCATTGCATGCAGAACTGTGATCCGTTCCATCAAACAGGTGGTCTGATGTGAATCAAGAGTCAAACTATGTGTGTAAAAAAACCTACACAGGTAGTTCTTGACTTAACAATTCTTCATTTAGAGACCACTTGCATTTACAGTGGCACTGAAAAAAAGTGACATAAATAGTCCTTGCTCTTACAACTGTCACAGCATTGCCCGTGGTTGCGTGTTCAAAATTTAGATGCTTGGCAAGGGGCAAGCAGAGTCCCAGGGTCACATGACCGCCATCCCAGACCATTTCCAACAAGCAAAGTCAATGGAGAAACCAGATTCGCTTAATGACTGTATGATTCCCTTAACAACTGCAGCAAAAAAGGGTCGTAAGATTGGGTGTGACTAACTTCACAACCCCCTTGCTTAGCAATGGATATTCTGGTGCCAGCTGTGATCATCAATTGACGACTTCCTATAAAACTGAACTCTTTTATGCAGATACACGGCAGGGTTGACTTTAATAATAACCGGTCACTTACGGTGAATCAGGATCGACGGCTTTACTATTCAGATCTGCATAGCCAAATTGATTTAGTACCGAAACCACAAGCATAGGAGCTAAGGACTGAGCTGGTTTTGTAAAGAGAGCATTGGTTCCAAAGACCATCGATGAGAGTGGAGATCTGAAATATGAAACAGGCCAGAGTTACCAGACATAATTATGTAAACAGTTTAGCATTTTATATCCACATGTTAAATCAGAAAGGCAATGATACCCATTGCTTCATTTAAAAGGTGGGGGCACAGTACTCACCTTCGTTTATGTTTCTTTAAATCTGCATCAACAATATCGGCCAATGGTAAATTAAACAAACTGAAGGATGCTTGAACCATCACCCTGACGAAACAAAATAATCTGGTGAATTAGCCTGCACAAGTCAAGGTTGTCCATTACCATCAAGTATATCCTTTGGGTCTCCCCCATTTTGGCAGCCTACAACTGCCAGCAGTATTTTTCAGCTCCTAAAAAAATTGATGATAAATATTTACTTACATGTTGACCGTGAGATAAATAGCCAGTAAGTAGTAATATTCTCGACCCAGAGCAAGCATGAGAATTGCAGTTATTCCTTCCAGATAGAAAGAAAATAAGACAAGCTTGTAATAACCAAATTTCACCAACAAGGGCTGACTGATGAGCACAAGACACTGAAATATAACAAGAGTAAAAAAGAGAGAGAGAGAACTACATTAAAACTATAGTTGAGTTGCATGTAGACTTTTTTTTTTAAGAAAAGTTAAAAATAGGGAAAGAAAACATACGTTGAAAGCAGACAGGCAGTGGTGCTGTATCTGAAGGGGCAACTCTCAAATCCTATCGTCATGATGGAGTTATCAAAGCAGAAAACAAAATTTCCACAAAAGTGCTTTTTGGAAACTATCCCTTATATTCTGACACAGGCTGTGTTCAAAACAAGTATGTAGAATTATTTACTGGTGTACATATGCTATAGATGTGTACAAACCAGTTGTATTTTGTGCCGGGAACAAGTGAAAAAAACCTCCATTAATTAAATCATATACAACAGTACCTCAGTACTCATCGTGAATTGATTCCTGGAAGTGCGCTGAATAACACACAGATTTTTTCCTATAAGGAATAATGTAGTGAGTCACAAGGCAACCAACACCTACAAGTTCTAGTTTGTGGGTCGAGTACCAAACAAATGATGAGTACTGGGACGAAATGTTTGCATCAAAATGTGTTGAGTACCGAATTTGACATGTTTCAAAGCAGTCACGTACCAAAGTACCACAGTATGCAAAAGTCAGGCAATTTTGGCTGAAATCAGGAGTGCCTAATCTTTGATCCCGGATCATATTTTTCTCCAAGATCTTCCCTAACTTTTTCCCAGCAAGAAGTATAACTTAAAATATGTTAGGACTCAAAACATTTTAAAAAAATGAGGAAAAGAACATACAGTTTTCTGCTTACTTGTGGACAAATGAAACCTGCCCCGTACATAAGGCTTCTGATGGAGGAAGAAAGGACTCCGTTAGGGATGAGATTATCTGCAAAGATCATCATGAAATTGTTGCAGAAGGCTAAGTGGAAGACTTGGAAAAAATTCATGAGGACAAAAAGCAGGAAGTTTTTCTGAGTCAAGATCTGGCAGGTCAACGAGAACACCGAGGACCAAGAGAGAGGAGGGATCTTGGTGCTTTCTGGATCAAGCCCCTCCATCAGGACTTCCCTTTGTTCGTACTGAGTCGTGCTGTAGAAGCCGGTGTAGGACATGCAAGCCGTCGCAATCACCGCTACCAGCACCGCGAAGGCCTGGAAGTAGGCAAAGCGCTCCATGTTGGCCGAGATCAAACCACAGAACAGGATGCTGGTCGACCCAACCAAGCTGGCCACCTGGCTGTACTTAATCAGCTGGAGGCGACTCTCGTGGCGGGTGGAGGTTTCGGCGAAAAGGGCGCACTGCGCCAGCAAGACGAACGTGAGCAGGCCGTCAAAGGCGCACAAGGCCACAATCAGATGCAGCCCACAGAGCCAGTCGCCTTCCTCGTATTGTTTCCACGGAAACCACGGGAGGAGGAAGGCCAGGGCGTACAAGGGAGCACCATACAAAATCGAAAACTGACGGCGGGAACAGCAAGGAACTTGAGAGTTGTCCTGGAGGTACCCAAAAAGGGGGTCATTGATGGCATTCCAGATCATGAAAACCACCTAGGAGCAAATGGGACCGGTCAGCTTTTCCCCAGCAAGCAAGACTGGACATTCACAAAATCCAAAGGATGCCCCATACAGGTAATCCTCGCCTTTACGACTTGTTCAGGCTTAATTTATCTACTTTGTCATTTTGTATCTGATGAGTTTAATTTTTAAAAAAAGTTTTTAGGCTGTAAGCTGCTCAGAGTCGTTTGACACAAGGTGGGCAGCAAATACATTTCATAATAAACCAGGGGTCTTAATAAACATTTCATAATAAACCAGGGGTCATAAAAGGGCCAAGTTTGAAGACCCCTGTAATAAATTACAGCTTACAACCTACCTGAAAAAGGGGACTTTTGATCTGAATCCAAAGTTCTGGTGGTTGCCCCCCTCCCAGACGTGACTGCACTTTGTGCCCTTGGCAACACAGCTGCATTTATCAGCATCTGCAGTGTCCCGTGGTCACGTGACTGTGTTTTCCAACAGTTTTGACGAAAACCTGCCCTTCTGGTTTTCAGCAAAAAATGTGCCCGTAGCGAACAATGGATTTGCACTTACGACGGCAGCATTCATTTAAGGAACGCTGCAAAAAAGCTAGTAAGTTCAGGCGTGATGATGTGATGACCCACTTAATGACTGGCGTGACTAAAAGCGGTAATTCCAGCCTCCATTACGGTCCTAAGTTGAGGCTATCTGGATACCAAAATCACTCTCAAAAACCAAATCTCCTGCTGAATTTCAAGCCAGCAGCATTCGGGTTACAATGTCGAATTTTTACTAATTACAACAATGTATGGCTGCTACCTTTGTACAGTATGTCTCATCACAAGCTGTTCCTTTTGGATGTAATAATACAACCTACTTGGAAACAAAATGTAAATAACTACATAGATACTAGGCGCTGTTACCTGTCCTTGATGGAATGCCGTTTCTGAGATCTTGTACTTGTTTAAAAAGAGTTTAACATAATAGAAATTGAAGATGCTGTTCATCATTCCAGCGCCTAACGTGGTCATCGAGTAGGCAAAAGCATTAGGGTGAAGTCTTAAGAAAGTCTTCATTTTTCTATTGTGATGTTTTTCTTCTTTCCTGTGGAACAGAAATAATATATATAAGTATATATAGCTTGCAATTCTCACAGCACAGCTTTTTAATTTTTAAAAACCTATATACAGCTGGAATCAGAACTTAATGAGTTAAGAATGAACCTCGGTTTAGAGCATAATCATAATTTTGTGAAATTTAGGACATTTTTGTGCAATATTTGATGGAACTTAACGAGACAATCCGTGGATGATTAAAACATAACACAAACATGACATCAAAGTCTTAAACACCGCTATATGTTTGCATTGGAACAAATTACAGAAACATTGCTCTTGGGAAACAACACAAAGGTTAATTAATATCATCAGACCATTTAAAAGAGCAGTTTTATGCTTTTGGATTTGGATCCACTGGTAAACTTTGATCCAACTCTTTCATTGTTTTCAAAGTATGCTATACAATATATATATATGGTATATTTAAAACACAAGGATCTGATCTTGTTAATCTGATGAGTTTAGGATGAAAAAATGTTTTATATTATCTAATGCACTGTGCTGATTTTTTTTTAAAGAAATTATTTTGCAACTATCAGCTACACAGGGTGTTTTCCTTTCCCTGTGGGAAAGGAATTAATATTTTTTTAGAAGGACTGTACTATATATTAACTGTAATTTGGTAATGAATAAGTTCAGAAAGGATTTATTTATCATTTCCAAGTATAATAATGAAGAAGAACAAGCGAGAGTATGTTGGGAGTTTGGCCAATATACATGAAGGTAGCAAGTGGAAAGAACAAAAGATGGGCGACTCATGTACATTTGACTAATAAATAATATATAAAGGCTAGAATAAGACGGTGGGTGTTAATTCTATTTCATTAATATATGGCAGAAATTGAGCATGTTACAAACCAGAAAAAGCTAGCACATAGAAACATTTATTAAATTAGCTAAAAGGACGACAGTGTGCCCGAACAAAGGTAAATGCTGATAGAGAATATAAATCTTCTTTTAATTAGAATATAGTTCACATGACCCGCTAGAGGGCAACATTTTCTCACCTACATTTAACCATGACTAGCAAGGGAGCTTAGCAATTGGACAAGATTTAACAACAGAAAATAAAGAGCATTGACCTTCATGGATCCAGAGGAAAAAAGGACCTCTTTTGCTTTCCAACTGAGCTCATACAGAAGGAGCACAAAAGAGCCTGCCCCTCCCTTTCACCTACATTTAAAAAAAATAATAATCAAATTTTAATGAACCAAAATATAGACCCAAATCCACGGTATATACAAAAAAAAAACTACAATTAAACAGAGCTACAAATTTTAAAAAGGAGATATTTAATCCACCTTACTTGTACAATATGTTACAAAAGCAAGCTAAGATCGGTTAATCGGAGAGAGGAGCACTGTCCCTTATTTATATTTATTTCAAAGCAATCCCAAGATTGATGCAATTAATGCCTGGGGTAAGAATAAGAATGGATGGCATGTAACACAGAGAATAGGGGTTGTTATCTGCCTGTAAGGCCCACCTCCCATCCCTGGTCTAATCCCACATCTTGGCTCATAGCACAATAACATCTAGTTATATGGCACATTTTCTTGCTCATATATTCTCATGGATATATTCTTAGTGCCTTGTCCAATCAAGGCAAGATTTCTACAGGACCAACGCTTCACGTTTTCAAAAACAAATGCCCCTTTATTGCTGTAAAAGGGCACCAAACAGCCCCATATTTAAAGAGTGGATAAGAAAGCAAGTTTGGATCTTTGCATAAAGCATAAAATAAATAATTCTCCCGTCTCCAAAATGCTAACACAAGACGATTGTGGTTTCTTGCTCTAACCAGCAAACAGGGATAACCCCCGTTTTTAAAATATTGATTAGACTCCATCTGGAGATGTTTGTCATTGCTCATACACACACTTTTAAAAGCCTTAAATATTTATGATTTGGAAAACTTGGGTGGACGAAAGCCGATTTCAAAAGATATTGACGCACCCTGTAATTTTTTCAGAACTCCTGGCCTTTTTTAAAAATTGCAAAGGACCCCGAGAAAGCATTGGTTGGTATGGTTTATATCAATATTTACTATATTAAAAATTAAACTCGATGCGGCTGCTGCTACTACAGCTTCTGGGGATTGTTAAATGGGATTTTAATATAGTTATTACTTTTCAACCTAGGCTGGCAAATGACTATGATTCCATAAAGCCCAGAGAGGGTCCTGGGGATGGCCCAGGGGTCCTCACACATTTTGAGAAACACTGATGGGGCAAATGAGAGTTTTAGGCAGAAAGCAATTTCTGAGTGAAAAGTTCCTGGTGCTCTTCAGACATGCTGTGAAAGGGAAGCCACAGCAGAATGGCCAAAAAGCCAGAATCCGATCATTAAAATAGCTATTATAGGTGTTCTTGACTTGCAGCCATTGATTTAGTGGATGCTCAATGTTACAGAGCACTGAAATAAGCAATTTATGATCATTTTTCACTCTTACAACCCTTGCAGCATCCCCAGGGTCATGTGGTCAAAATGCAGCCGTTTGGCAAGTGACTCGTATTTATGACAGTTGCGGTCTCGCTGGGATTGGGTGATCCTTTTTGGGGACCTCCTGACGAGCAAAGTCAATGGGAGAAGCCCGATTCACTTAACAACCATGTTACTATCTTAACTGCAGTGGTTCACTTAACATCTGTAGCAAGAAAGGTCATAACATGGGGCAAAACACACGTAACAACTGTCTCGCTTAGCAAGGGAAATTTTGGGCTCTATGGTGGGTCATAAACGGAGGAGCGCTGTGAAAGGTGGAATTCTGCATTTAACCAGACCCTGCAGTGCCAGGCGGGATTCAGAACAGAAACAGAAGAGAGCTGGAAGGGACCTCAAAGGTCTTGTAGTCCACCCCTCTGCTCAAACAGGAGACCCTTACAGAATGATAGAATAACAGAGGGGGGGAGGGACCTCAGAGGTCTTGTAGTCCAACCCCTGCTTAAGCAGGAGACCCTTACAGAATCAAAGAATAAGAGAGATGGAAGGGACCTCAAGAGATCATCTAGTCCAACCCCTCTGCTCAAATGGCTGCCCAATGTACAGTTCTAATTAGTAATCAATATAGCGCAGTAATCATGGCCAGCAGGACTTTTTCCTTTTGTGCCCCCGTTTGCTGCCAGTCAGGACCTCCGTCCCTCTGCTTTATAAGGGGGGGTCTAATTCCCGCCCCCCCCCGGTCAGCCCACCTACTTCCTGCCCTCTCCCGTCACCATTCCCACGACCGCCCTACCCGTGTCGCCCCCGCAACTTCCTTCAAGGCGACCGGAGCCCCCGAAGGGCCCGCCATGCGCTCCCCCTAGCAACCGCCCCCTCGTGACGCCTAGCAACGGCGCCCGCCCCCTCCCGCCTCCAGGTGACGCCGCACTAACCCGCACTCCGGCCTCGGGCAGCGCAGAAAAGCTCGGAGGGCGGGTCTCGTTTCCCCCCCCTCTCCCCGCCGATCGGTTGCCATTGGCCGGCGCGGGACCCCTAAGCTCGCCATTGGTCGGGCGCCCGGCGGAGGAGGCGCGCTATTGGCTGCTGCCGGCGTGGGTTCCTGCTTTTGAATCGCGCCCGGCGTCCTTGCCACGTTGCCTCGCTCGCCCTCATGGACCCGCCCCCCGAGCCCCCCGGGAGGGGCGGGGCGCGGCGCTCGGGAGAGTCCGGAGGCGCTCGGAGGCGCTCGGGGGCGGCTTTAAAGGCGGCGCGCAGCCCGGCGCCCGCAGGGACGGTGAGTGGCGGCGGCGCGATGCTCACCGACAGTCTGGTGGAGGAGTTCGAGATCCGCGAGGATGAGCCGTGGTACGACCAGCAGGACCTGCAGCAAGGTGAGGCTGCCCCGTTGAGCCCGAGACTTGGACTACACTCCCCATCATCCTCAGCCGGCACAGCCCCGCCTTCTGGCCGGGGTTCTTTTTGGCTGGTGGGAGGGGGCACTCCAGCGCCTATTATCCTCCCCCTTCCCATCTCCTGTCCTCGCTGAGATCGAGGTCTGGACTACACTCCCCATTATCCCCAACCGACGCAGTCCCATCTTCCAGCCAGCGTTCTCTTTGGCTGCTGGTGGTGGGGACTCCAGCGCCTATTATCCTCCCCCTTCCCATCTCTTATCCTCGCTGAGATCAAGGCCTGGACTACACTCCCCATTATCCCCAACCGACGCAGTCCCATCTTCTAGCCAGCGTCCTCTTTGGCTGGGGGGGGGGACTCCAGTGCTTATTATCCTCCTAATTCTCTCCTCTCCTGGACTCCAGTTCCTATTGTCCCCAATTAACCCAACCCCACCATCTGCTGGAGCGGAGGGTTTGGAACTCCAGTGCCTATTATCCTCCCCCTTCCCATTCAAACTACACTCCCTATTATCCCCAGCCAACGCAAGTCTACCTTCTAGCCACCATCCTCTAGGTTTTTTGGGGGGGGGAAGGTGTCGGGTGGAACTCTATTATCCTTGTTATCCTGCATGGAAGGCTCCCCATCATCCCCAGCGAGCTCCACCAGCCACGGGACCCCACTCCCATCACTTCCTGACTAATCCACAGGGGAGGGGCAGGGAGGGTGGGTGGGTGGGGTGGCTTCCAGCTGTAGAGAGTTCCCTGCTTTCTCTCTACTCCGGTCCCCATCCTCCCCAGCTGGGCGGGATTGGGAAGCTGCAGCATGGCGGGTTAGGGCTGGCAGAGGTGACCTCTTAACTGCCTCCTTAACTGGGGGGGGCTTCCGCACCCGCTTCCATTCCTCCCTCCTTCCTTAGGAGATTAGCATTGTCTAATTCTTCTTGCTCACCTGTGCTAGCATCCTCCCCTCTCTCATCTTTGGTTGGTTAATTCTGCCCACCCACCCCCTTTCTGCTGAAAGGAATTCCATCATCCCCAGCAGGACCCTTCTTTCCTTCCTTCCTTCCTTCCTTCCTTCCTTCCTTCCTTCCTTCCTTCCTTCCTTCCTTCCTTCCACCCGCATCTGTCCTGCCCCGCTTTGTTCCTTCATCCCATCCCCTACTCTATTATTCCATTCAGAATAATAGCCCACGGAGAATCAAATGGCACCTCCGCCTTATAAAAAGGCGTTTCACTGTGGATAAAGGGGGAAAGACGAATCCTGAAAGAGCTGACGGAGTCGAAAGGAGAATGGCAGGGAGGGGGCCCAAAAGTGAGAGGGCGGAGGACAATGAATAGAGGAGGGACATAGCTGTGAAGCCTCTTTACGGAGAAATGATGGATGAATGCTTGGTGGAAAACAAGGAAGAAATGGGAAGGTAGGCTAGGGAAGAATAGAAGGCGCATTAGGAAAAGAAGGGGGCTTTATAAAGAATAAATAACATGGGCAGAAGACCTTAGACCTCAGCAACTTTAAAATGTGTAGACATCAACTCCCAAAATTTTCCCAGCCAGTATGCTGGCTGAGGAATTCCGGAAGTTAAATTCCAACCCTCTTAAAAGTTGCTGAGGTTGAAAAACGCTGCCCTTGAAGATACGGTCTTCAAAAGCTTAAGGAAAGACTTTTAAATGCAATTAAAGATGGCTAAGCCTGAGTCCTTGCCGTGTTTAATCCTGAGTTCAACCAGAATACTAATCCTTGCTTGGGAGTAATAGAGCTAAACCCTACAAAAGACAGTTTCCAAAAGAAGGACAAGCTTCTGGAAATCAGCGAACTTTTAGCTCTTTGGGATATTTCCACAATTTAGCACAGGTATGCAAAGAGAGCTTGCTTTGAGTTTAGGGCGGGCAGAGTATCTGATTTTAGGTTAAATGGCAAATAAGCAATGCAATAAATAAATAAAGATCTCTTATTACCGGATTTTCTTGGGTACTTTTTTAGTTCAGTTCTTCAACCATGACCTGGATGATTGAGAATCTCCATAGACATGTCTTATATTACTGTTTTTAAATTTACAATTAGGGTTATCTCATGTTCCATAGGATGGAGGGGGAGAATTTACTGTAGAATTTAGAGCTTTTCAAACAATTGTGTTTGGGTGTGCCATAGTTACTGCGATGGTACATACAGTATAGAGGAGAGACAGGAATAGGGTGTGAAGTCCAGAGACTTCACAGATAAAGTTGTGATGCAGATAAAGAAAATAAGTGCTTTTTCTACAATGCTGGTGACTCTGTTCTGTTTAAGGACCCCCCCAAAAATTATATTTTGCCTTTCTCTATTATCCGATGTCTGTCTGCTTTTGGATGCTGGAAAAATATTGAAATATTTTTGAAGGGAAATATTCTTACCTGTCCTTCAAAGGTGTATAGCTGATCTGAAAACATCTCTCCTTCACTTTGAACAACAGCCTGTCACTTAAAAGGCATAGCTTTAATTTGCGATAATACATTGTTTATGAAATGCTTTATATAAAGGACTTTCTTCAAGTAGGGCTCAAACCTTTCCCTTTTCCTGGCTCTCTTGATTGATGATGCAACATCCGAGACATAGATTCATTTAATCCAAGGTTTTTATTCTCTAAATTGTCACACGGTACTGGGTTTTTAACTTATGAGTCCCAGCCCTGATTTCTTGGCTTTGGATGCAATGAAAACACAGCTGTTGTCACATCCTGCCATTTTAAGTCAGTTTCAGGTCGGTTTCAAAGTGGAAAAGGCAAATTTTCATATTTTTTAAAAAAACAAATTCACAATAAACCATTGGGACTATTGTGTAGCTTAAGATGGCCAGTTAGAAATATTGCAACATCCAAATTGCATATTCGGCTAGATTAGAAGATTATATTACCTGACAGGTAGAAATTTATCAACAATTGTGCACACTGTTTCCTTCACAACACTTCACATTGCAAACCTGATTTCTTTTACTGTACGGTACTCTGAACTTTGGCCTAATTGTTCCAGACTGTTAATGCCGTTTAAGGTTGCACTCTGGCATTTATGATTAATTTTCCAAACCATCACCCTATAGGTATGGTTTCCAAGCTATTGCAAACCATTGCCAAACAGTTTATTTCTCATTGAAGCATCCTCCTGGTCACATGATTGAAATTCAGACGTTGGCAACTGGCTCGTACTGTATTTATGACCGTTTGCAGGGTCCTGGGGTCTCGTGATCTCCTTTTGCGACTTTCTGACAAGCAAAAACCACGGGGAAGGCAGTTTCATTTAACAACCGTGTTACTAATTGAGCAACTGCAGCGAGTCACTTCACAATTGTGGCAAGCGAGGTCGTAAAATCGGGCCAAACTCACTGAACACATTTGAAATCTACCTGTCCTTGTTGTTGTTAATTGCGAAGTCGTGTCCGACCCGTCGCGACCCCATGGACAACGTTCCTCCAGGCCTTCCTGTCCTCTACCATCTTCTGGAGTCCATTTAAGTTCACACCTACTGCTTCAGTGACTCCATCCAGCCACCTCGTTCTCTGTCGTCCCATTCTTCTATTGCCCTCCATCTTTCCCAGCATTAAGCCCTTCTCCAGTGAGTCCTTCCTTCTCATTAGGTGGCCAAAGTATTTGAGTTTCAACTTCAGGATCTGGCCTTCTAAAGAGCAGTCGGGGTTGATCTCTTCTAGGACTGACCGGTTTGAACGCCTTGCAGTCCAAGGGACTCGCAGGAGTCTTCTCCAGCACCATAGTTCAAAGGCCTCATTCTTTGGCGCTCAGCCTTTCTTATGGTCCAACTTTCACAGCCCTACATTGCAACTGGGAAAACCATGGCCTGGACTATACGCACTTTTGTTGGCAGGGTGATGTCTCTGCTTTTTAGAATGCTGTCTAGATTTGCCATAGCTTTCCTCCCCAGGAGCAAGCGTCTTTTAATTTCTTGGCTGCAGTCCCCATCTGAGGTGATCTTGCAGCCCAGAAAAATAAAATCTGTCACTACCTCCATTTCTTCCCCTGTCCTTACTTGGATCGTTTGATGCAAGAAAACGATGCCTTGTAGCTTGTAGACTTTGATTGTTGCTGGATAGAGATAGTGGAGTATAATAGTGTGCAAGTTATAGATACGCAAGTAATGAACTTTGAATGATTAAGCCTGGGCTAACGTCACCATCTGTATTCCTGACAATTCTGCCGATTGTTCGAAAAGATAACACCAAACTCTAGACGGAGTGTTTTGCAAAAAAAGCATCAAGGATAGTTTTACAGTAGATCAAGAAACATAGCTTGTAGTTACCGAAGAAGAGAAATTGTCCTAGGCAGAAGCAGTTTGGGATCTCCGACATTTTAGGAAGCCCAAAATTGTTTCCTAGCATTTTTTACACTGATCAGTGCAATTGTCAAAAAGCAAATACATCCGATGTTAGCAGCGGAACCATGACAGAAATAGAGAAATTACAATGGATCGGTACGTTTTAAAGTTTGATGTCCCTTATTATGTTTGGTTTCCAGTCAACATGTATTTTTTCTCTATTTCCAATTGTCAAAGTTGTAGCAGTTTTTGTAGCATCAGTAAGCTTCTTTCCAAAACATCTTAACTTCAAGTGCAAAAATTTAACCCAAACAGCAAATATAGAGCTTAAAATTAAGCACAAAGGATGTGTATAGGTGTTACAGCCATTCTGGGGTGTGTTTAGTTTCTCCAAGAGATTGTCATTCTGTTGTACTATTTGTCAACATGACAACCTTTTGAATGAATTTGACCACAGGTCAAGTGAAATAAACTCTTCTGTATGTTACACAGTTAATGGGAAAGGTTTTAAGCTCCTTACATCTTAGATACTTAGCACCCTTTTTGCAATCTGCCAATTCTTTGCATGATGAAACTTGTACCAACTTAATACCAGAAAAGTTGGCCTGTTTAAAAATAACTTGCATTCTCTGGGACCAAGCCAGCATTAACACCACTGAGGCAAGGAACAAAAGCAGTGTTTTGAAACCGTGCATTTTAAGGGCCATGCAGTAAAATGTGATCTTGTTCGTTTGCTTCCTTTGTGGCTATTAATTTGTTGTAGTTTGGTTAATTGAATACAAAAGAAATGGGTGAAAAATAGATGCATCTGTTTTCAAAATCTTCCCTGAAAAGACTTCACTAACTCTGCACCTTTTAACATTTCATTGAGGCGCTGAAGGGCGAAGGAAGAAGCATAGATTAAGCTTTAGATAATAAAGCAATTTTGGTTTCTAAAGATTCTAAAATGGGCCATTAATCTCCATGAATGAAGCAAACCTTTATTCCTCCAGAAATTATACACTACTTGATGGTTTTGAATGCCTGTACAGTACTTAAAACAAGGTGGTGCATTAAATAAAGTTATACCCACAATTTGTTTGTAGATCTTCATCTGGCTGCTGAACTGGGGAAGACCCTTTTGGACCGAAACACGGAATTAGAATCCTCTCTGCAGCAGATGTATTCCACCAACCAGGAGCAACTGCAGGAAATAGAGGTGACTGAAGACTGGCCTACAACATTGAATTATATACCCCTTCAGCCTTCCTTTTTTCTGCTCTGATGTAGAGATTTGAAGAGGCAGGCCAACAAACCACGTTTTGCACCAAAATTCTTAAAAGTGGAGAACATCAGGAGCTGAGTCAACATGTTGCATTTGAGTTACCATGTGGTTTACTTTCAGCTTAGGGTGTTGACTGAAAGCTGTGTAGTTTGTTGAAAAAGGTGTAGATTTTAATGCCTTGTTTCCATCACCTCTTTGGCACTTGAAACGTTTCTTGCTAATAAAAACAACACCACATACTAATGGCGCAGACTGAAGGGTAGTGATGTTTTTTTCAGTTTTCAGCACGAGAAACCAATAGAAATTCATAGTTTGGTACTAAAATGCCCCCGCAGTCAAGCAGCTTTAAAACAGAACGATTAGCATTCTTACCTCAGCGGATTTGAGCTCAAGCTTCTTTGGAAGCTGTTTTTACCAGTTGGAAAAGAAGGATTTGGGGAATTAAGAGGAATCCTGCTAAGCATTTCATATAGCTTTCAATCAAGCGAGAATATTTGGGGAAGGTAAGAGAGAGTCTCCCTGAATAACTCAATTTTCCAAGAGTTGAGGCAATATTCACATTAGTGATAGCTAATGGCGTGATGTTATATTTATCACATAACTGAGATAAATATCTGTCTGTTATGATTTACAGACATTTCTTTAAGATCATGTCTTGGGATACATCAGCACTTATTGGGGAAATAAACACTAGAATTGTTTTGGAAAGCGAACACTAGAAATGCTATCCAAATATTGTTGACCGCCACTCATATTAATTGGTCATCTACGATTGAATTTAGCAATGACCATACATTGTCCAGTCTGGGCTTAAGAAGCAACTGATGTGCCCCAAGGATTTTTGACCAACAAGTTCAAACCATCTCATTTCTAAAAAGATTTACATGCAGTGGAAAAGAGGAGAAGGAAACAGTTGGTGATGCATTCGTGATTCCTTCATCTTGGATCCTGACCTTAATTTCTCCTCCTTCAGTATGCATTTTCCCAGAACATATCCTGAGTCCTAAAATTAGGCAACTCTGTTGGAAAGTCACTCTGGAGCTGCTGGTTTAACACGTGTTGTTTTCATTTTGCAGTATCTCACCAAGCAGGTGGACCTTCTCCGTCAAATGAACGATCAACACGCCAAGGTCTACGAACAACTGGACATCACGGCTCGAGATCTAGAAGATGCCAATCAAAAACTGGTTTCTGACAGCAGAGCCTCCCAGCAAAAGATAGGAAGGTAATTAAGTTGGCTGTGGCGGTATAACGTCCCTTTATCTGCCAGGTTATTATGAATGGACCCATCGCGGACCTTGTCCAGTTTTATCAGGGGATTATCTAAGCAGGAGGTTGAGTGATGGAATGGATTGTAGGCTTGCTTGCTTTCTTTTTTTTCTCTCCCCATGAAGTTCCTTGACTAAGAAATTGTGTTAGAAGGCCTGAGTTTTCGTGAGCTGTGGGTATTTCACCAGATGCATGGCAAAAAACTAATCGGAGAACAATGCAATGACGAATTTATCAGATCCATCAGATGTGATGTTCACAGGACCCCTTTGGTTAGCTGGTGGTTGTGGGAGATGGAGGTCTGAGTCAGAACATCAAACTGTACACTTTGATCAAGTGCAATCATCTCAGATACTTGAAGGGAGTTTGACAGCTCTGTCCATGCTGCTTCATGTCCTTTCTAAACTTCCTTTTAGCCTCACAGAAACCATTGATAACCTCCAGACTCACATTGATGAACTGCAGAGGCAAGTGGAAGAGTTGAAGACCTCCGGGCAAAGCCACGTAAATTACGAAAGACCTGAGCAGCCCAAATCGGTCCAGAGTTTTCCATGCCTGAAAGAACTGTATGATCTCCGCAAGTAAGTAGCAAACTCGCCAAGCAACAAGGTGGAGAATATTGAAAATTAATATTGATCTCACGTGGTATCTTTCAGCCAAAAATTCCCAATGGTTTCTTTTCATACAAGGAAGCCATAGCATGCTTGGATTGAAAACATTTAACATGCTTAACGAATATTCTAGACCAGGGGTAGGCAACCTTGGCTCTTTTACGATTCGTGGACTTAAACTCCCAGAATTCCTAAGCCAGCCATGCTGAGGGGAAAGGGAGAGGTTTTCAAGCTGAGCCATGCTGGCTCAGGAATTCTGGGAGTTGAAGTCCATGAGTCATAAAAGAGCCAAGGTTGCCTACCCGTTCTAGACAAATACACCCAAGTCTTAAAATTTGGGGTGATTTCTTCCAGACGTGATGCATCCATATGACTGGTGTTTTGATATGCAGTGGGAAACAGGATTGATTGGACAAAGCACACTAAGCATATTTCTTCTCTCTTTCTGTGTACCCCTAGATATTTCGTCTATGACCATATATTTGCCGAAAAGATTATATCAATGGATAGCCAACTAAGTCCCGCCGAAGAGGAAAACCAGAATCTGAAGAAGGCCATAACTCTCTTACAAACTCAACTCAACTTGGAGAAGGAAAAAAGATTTTCTATGGAGGAAGAGTACAGTTTTCTGCTGAAGGAAAACACGGATCTGGAGCAACGGCTGGTGGACAACCATCTATACCAGGCCAGAGTGGAGGAACTGGAGATAGAAGTGGCTGAAATGAAGCAGCTCTTTCATTCTGGGAACCCTTGTCCGAACGGGATGGAGCAACTGCCCCCAGAGTCTTTTTTCGTTACTCTCAAAGACCCCTTAGAAAGAGAACTCAGCCAGGGTCCTTGGGACGGGATGTCCTTCATCCTTCCTGAACTTCAGAAACGGTCCCTGAAAAGAAGCAGCAGCGAAGGCTGGCTCAGCGGCGGCACGGCAGGCGAGGACCTCTTCAAAGGCCACGAAGAGACCTGCATCAGGAGGGCGGAAGCCGTGAAGCAACGGGGCGTTTCCCTACTCAACGAGGTTGACGCCCAATATAATGCTTTGAAGGTCAAGTACGAAGAGCTGCTGCAGAAGTGTCAAACGGACAAAGAACTGCTGGACCACAAGGCTGTGCAGACCTCAAAACAGCGTCCCAAGGATGTCCATGGCGGGAGAGTACCCCTGGAGGGGGGTCTTAGGGAGCCCGGTTCCCCGACTGCCGATTCAGCCAACTTTTCTTCCAATGCTTCCCCTGAATATAAACTTCTCTTCAAGGAAATCTTTAATCGTATTGCGGAAACTAGGAAGGAAATTGATGAACATCGGGCAAAATATAAGCCTTTCTCTTCCCAATGTCCTTAAAAAGTATGGGTATGATGGTGGGGGTTGAAAAAAAAATTTTTTTTTTTCATGATGCAACCAACCCTTCTAATATTCCTTAAGGAATGCAACTTGGCTCAAGGTCGGCAGATTTTCTGTAAAATGGGTTGGATCCATTGGATTCGTTCTACAGAGTTGGAATCTGGTTGATTCCATCTCGCCCTGAACCAAGTTTCCCCTTGGAGGGCGAGTCCCTGGCAACCAATTTGCAAATTTTATGGCACAACTCTATTAACCGTCCTCGTTCGGTTTTAAAAGTTTGATGCGTTGTAGAAACAAGAACTACAGAGAAGATTGTATCATAGAATGAATGACAGTTCTCTGAGCTTAACCCATTCTTCCTGGGTTGGAATAAACCAAAATATAGATGATTTTTGCTAGTGTGCTATTGTCATATATATAACTGCAAGCAAGCCGTTAAAACATGGTGCACTCTGATGTTCCTTAAGCCAGGGAATCTTGACAGATCTGTTACTATTTGATATGCTTGGGCTACCATTGTCTTATTTTAAAATCCAGCGTGGCCTCTCATTTAAACGAGCAAAAAACTGAATTCAAGGATTGGAGAAATGTAGAGATGTGTATAACTTGGCTAATCAAACTCCTGGTGCCATAGCGTCCACCTTCTGCTTCATTGGAAGACTGAATATTACAAAACAGCCTCCCTATAAAAACTAAACTGATTAGCATAGAGCAAAATTAAAAACAAGAGCCCCCAATTTCACTTTAACTTAAAACCTTCCAATATGTCTTCAAGGATTTGATTTTCTGGAAATGGTCTACACACAGTCAACTCGAGGCCAAATTGATAAGGCCCTACATCAGCTTAAGCACAAAGTGACCTGTTATACCAGCAGTTGTGCTAGGTGTAGAAAAGGCCAAATTATGCTGTGATGATATTTCACCCTTTTAAACCTGCAGAAACTCACGTCTATTGCAAAGTCCAATAACTGTAGTTTTAAAGCAAGCATTTGCTATTTTTTTGTCAAAAGAAACTCCCGGGAACGTAAGCTGAGCATTTAAAGCCCCTTAAACCTTAGTTGAGTTTTTAAGAAAAATTAAGAGTACGAAGTTCAATAGTACTCTCAAAATATACAGGAATAGGTAAGCTGTGAACCAGCATTACAAAAGGTGACTTGTTTTTCGCAAACAAAAGGGATCCGTTTCATATTGCATTCCTAATTGAAAAAAAACTTGAGCTGCCTGAAAGAAAGAAAAACAAACAAACCCACAACTGCAGTTTTAAACTTTTGGCTGCTGTTACAAACGCATCTGCCTTACCTACTGAGGGTGGCTTGTACCACTTTGATTAAGAGATTCCAGGTGGAAACTCACTCTGCCACATGGTGTATTTCCATTTACCAGTTGTTTTGGTCTTGCCGGTGTTTTGCAAAGAGCAAATAAATTCTTTCTGCAATTAAGTTTGTGCATTTTATGTGCTTCCGACTTCAACCAAAGGGAAGGGTGCAGTAGAAGGGGTGTAGCAATCTTGTTGATGACTATAGGTGTGTGGTATATTAAAGAGAGGGTGTCCTTCTGTATTCACAACTCCTGCTGAAAGAGATGGTGCATCACTTACTTTTCCTGTGTTGGGAGGTCCTGCTCACGGTTACACCTGTCTCATTTGGACTTCTGCAGTGTCCTTCATTTGTGGGGGGGTGTCCTCTTAAAGTATATCTGGAAATTCCAGCTGACCCCAGAACACAGAGGTTCAAGTAGTTATGGATACTGGTTGAATGAACTCATGGAATACTAGCTGACTTCTGATGTCAATTGTCTTCTTGAAGTTGCTTTCTTGAAGGTCCTTCATGGTTTGGGACCACCTCCACCCATCTGAGAGAATTCAAGATTGAGCTTTGAGCTTCTTGAAGTCAAAGCATCAGTGGGATTTTGGAAGTGGATCTTTCAGTGTGGCCCTCCTTCCTTGCAAGATGATGTCCCTGGAGATTGGAATGTTCTCCGTTCTTATGATGTTCCATGATGCTATTAAGTCTTGACTGTTTCAGTAGAACTGTGGAGTTGAAAGATGGGACAGTTTCTCTGTTGGGGGGTGGGGTGGGGGGTTGTTAAGGATTTCCCAGGGCTGTATGTTTGTTTTTGATGAATTATGGTGACTACTAACAATTTCATACCTTCTAAAGTTACCCAAAGAGGTGTGTGATTCACGGGTTGATCACCACGGGCTATAAATCAAATTAAAAAGCTAGAGTGAGGTTTTGGTTTTAAAGCTGATGTCCCAAAAAAGGGCAGTAACTGATTACATCCATGCACATGTAACACAAATTAATGTGTCATTCCTATGCAAATGGGCTACCTAGATGTTTACTGTGTCCAGTGGCCACATGTTCTAGTTTGAAAATATGAGGATCGTGTTGCAAAAAGACCCATTTAAAACTCAGTTTTTTAAAGACTTCCATACAGGTAGTCCTCGACTTAACGACCACTCATTTAGCAACTGTTTGAAGTTAGGACTTGGACTTTTAAGTTCTGACATCTGGGCCCCCTGCAGTCACACGACTGCAGCTTGTGATATTTCCAGCAAACAAACGCCCCATAGCAAACTGGGTCTGGTTAACAAGGTTAACAACTGTGGGGTTTCTTTAACCACCACTGCAAAAAAGAGGCCATAAAAACACCTGCCTCAGGATTATTGCAACTTACAGCCATAATTGCAGGACGTATACCTGCAACTACCTATGGTTTCCATTTGTCTTCCATGTTCTTCAAGATACACAGCACTCGTGTTCCATTTCAACCCGCAAAACGGGTTAAGGGGGCGGTGTCGGTGTCTGATTTCTTGTTTCCTGACAGATGATATGTCAACATTTTCGGTCCCTATGCCAGCTTCCTCGAAGTATCTTTTTGCCCAACTTGTGCAAAGCAAGAATTCCACCTGCTTTGTTACAGAATAAAACCTGAGAAAATATACGAGTGGGTTTAGACGTAATGAAGACCTGGCCTGCATTGTTAAATCTGAACAAAGCCATCCTTTGAAAAGGAAACGGGAAACTTTAAACGAGTTAGCAGTTTTGGGTTGGGATCCCGCAATTTTATGGAACTTGGAACCCAGTCAATCTATGCCCTGCCCTCCGACAGGTGGCCACAGTTACACAAAGAAACCTCAGAGACGGAGCAAGGATGAGTCTGCAGCGTGTAAAGATAAAAATAAAATCCAGATCCCCTCCTGCAAACTCGAAATTTATTGGCCTTCGTTATAAAATGAACCGTTAGATCATGATCTGCTGACAGTTTAGCCCCCATAAGGATAGTTCATTTCGTGGTTGCTTCTAGTAAGATTTTAATCTAGGGGGATTTTAATCCAGATTTTAATCTAGGGGGACCTACAGATCCACTGTCCGTTCAAGATTAGTGGTTTGGATGCCGTTGCAAGTAGCTAGCAGGGCCACCTCTGGTAGGTCTTCCAACTGGAAGGCTTTGAAAGGATCAAGCTGTTTTCCTTTCCTACCCTTCTGGTTTCGCTTTGCCCATCCTGGGATTGAACAACGATGCAATGAAAGTGACTCCCATCGTCAAGAGCTTGGCTGCTGGACTGTCCCTTTGAGGTACCACATGCCTCCTTGACTTACACAACAATCCTGCAGGAACAGGAAGAAGGTGGTCAGAGGTTTTGCTGGCCATCAACCGAGCTTGCCCTGAAGCAACCAAAGCCATGGGTGGGGAAAACAGGAGTTGAATCCAGCTAGCATTCATGGTTTTTCAAAAATAACAAAGAGATTTCATGCACAGTTTCCATTGTAAATTAGATAACCCACAATCTTGAAGGTAAGTCCTGGCTTAAGGATGCTTCCAAAATGCAGCCAGGGATAAATATGATCTGGTTCTAGTACAGGGGGTCTTCAAACTTGGCCCTTTTATGACTCATGGACTTCGACTCCCAGAATTCCTGAGCCAGCCATGCTGAGGGAAAAGGGAGAGGTTTCCAAGCTGAGACATGCTGGCTCAGGAATTCTGGGAGTTGAAGTCCACGAGTCAAGAGCCAAGGTTGCCTACCCCTGGTATATACAAAACAAAATATTGTGGTGCCATCAAAGCAAGGACTGGTATTTAGGGATCCCCAGAGACAGCAAACAAACATTCAAACATTTCCAAGGGGATTTGATATGATCTCATTTCCCACCTCCGGAAAAAAAAAATCTGAAAACACAATGCTTTTCAATCCCTACCTGCCTGGAAGCGTAATGACAGATTCCTCCCCCACCCCCCCAAAAAAGCACGGAAGTTGCTAATTGCTGCTATTAAATAATTAACACAGTGTCTATAGATGAAAGCAAACAGAGAACACATGCCTGCTTTTTTTTCCCCCCAAATATCTGGGCTCTGCTGTCTCTCAAACTCTCCCTAAATCACTCTGACTTTTGGTATCTCGAGAGCATTCAGATCGGAAGGACAATCCAGATTCAACAACTAAAAAGACACAGCTAACTAGGCACCATATAAATACCACACAGGCATGCTGGCTGAGGAATTCTGGGAGTTGAAGTCCACAAGCCACAAAAGGACCAAGTTTAAGCCAGTCTGGCGCACGCACGCAAGCACGCACACACACACACACCTTGACTTTGGCTTATCAGAAGCCAGTTGGGAAGGTCACAAATGGTGATCATGTGATCCCAGGTCACTGCAACCGTTGTAGCCACGTGCCAGGTTGCCAAGGTCCTGAATTCTGATCACAAGATTATGGGGGGGGGGGGAATGCTGCCACGGTCATAAGTGTGAGGACTGGTGTTAAGTCAATGGTTCAATGCCATTGTAATTTCAAACGGTTCCCTAAACAAATGGCTGCTAAGGTGAGGACAACCTGTACTCTTTCCATCTCTCCCTGCTTTTCTTTTTCCACTTTTCTTCTATTGTTCAGCGGAGAGAAAAACTACTGGGGGAACAAGGAGCTGATTCTCACATGCCACCCCTAAACTAGCAGGCCGATGCCACAACTTTGTGAGTTAGGTCAACCCAGAGGACTGGTTAACACCGATGCTTTTTAGGAGTGCAACCCAGGTCCGCTTCAAATATAGAAAAAATTAATTAAATGTTCCCAGTGCCTTCAGGTAAATTAGCAGTCTGTTACGCAAGAGAATCAGGAGAACGGGTGGACTTAAAAGGCAGTGTGTCATGTGAGAACTTTCTTTGGGCTATCGCAACGCTGAACACACCCACACCCGTTGTCTCGCTCAGAATGATAAGTAGATGTGCAGGTCTATACACAGCTTCTCACAAAGATTTAAGTTCTGCATCCACAACAGAAAGGCCGATTTATGTGATGGTTGAAGAGTCCACAATGACTTCACACCACCTAATCCAATCAACAGTTGCACAGGATCCAGCCTGTTTGCATTGCGGACGCTGCTTTAAGCACATGTCAAACTTTACCTTCAAAACTTTATCCACCTCTTGTTTGTCTAGATCTTTGCCATACTCCCGGGCCAGTTGGTTCTGGATGACGTTTCGACGCACACGGTAGTTTTTGGAAAAGATTTCAAGCAAAATTTGCCGGTGCTTGAGAAAAGGAGAGAAACAGCAAGAAAAATATGAAGTAAGTGGGAGAAATACCCAACCACAGTTCATAGAAAGCGCCGTTGGTTTCATTTGGTTGAATTTACTTGTTAATTTAGCCTGAAGTTGGGTGATCAGGCTTCTGCTTAACCAGCAGAATCCCAGAAAATAAAACAGCCTCACGTTTGTACACCTTGTATTGTGGCTGTGCAAACACCAGGCTGCCCAGTACTACGCCTGTCCCTGTTCTGAAGTTCCCAATAGCTCTTGCAATTTTTGCCAGTGTTTTGTTTCTCCCAATTCCTACATGGAAGTCTCTCTAACGTGCAAGTTTGAACAGGCATCTTCGCCAGGACAATCTTAGTTCTTTTCTTGCCTACCTGATCGTAAACATCGCCAGCTTCCCAAAGAGCAAACACCTTCTGTTCGTTGGGCAATGCTGTCATCTGCGGGGGAAACTAAAAACAGAAGATTATAATTCCTGGATTGGCAGGGCTAAAACACACACACAGAAGGAACAAGTAGGGATCTTGCTCATCTGGAGCAACCTGGATACCAAGTTTGCAATTTAAGTTTGAATCTCCTAAAAACACAATAGAATCTGTCGGAAATGTATTTTTTTTTTTCCTATTCAGAGGAAGGAGAGATGGGAAGCTTTAATTTTGTCATTTCAACCCATCGTATTTTCCACCAAAGACCTATTCAAAATTAAACCCTGCAGCAATAACCTGAGTTATTTCCATAAACAGGCTGAACAAAATCACTTCCTGCTTAACAAATCAGCGATTTGCTTTAAAAACCGGAAGTTTATGGTGTTTCCAACTACATCTCGACTCAGCAAACAAACTATCTTTTTTAAGGCAACCGTCATTTGTGGCAGAATACCATCAACTGGCAAAATGATAGCTTGTCATTCGCCTGAGCCAGCCATCCAGCAAGCTGGAGATTTTTAAGCAAAGTTGCCGACTTAAACATGGGCATCGTGTGTAGTTCATTATACACGTTACTCAGCCCATCTGAGGTCTTCGCCCTAATCATGGCTTCGTTTGCTGACAGCCCAGAATGTCTAATGAGACACAATAAAAGGAGAAGCCTGACAAAACAAACAAACAACAAAAAAAACAACCCAGAAAATCTTGTTTTACAGTTGCTTGGTGCAAGACTTTTTTTTTTTTTTAAGGACATTTGCAATTGTAAACAGAGCTTGCAAACAAGCATCAACAGCATTATTGTAATCTACTGTTACAGGGCACAGAACTGTATCCCAGCTTGGAAATTTGCATGGTTCAAAACTGTGACTCAGAAATGAAAATCCCCACACTACAGACATATCACTGCCTTAAAATTTATTCCTGTTTATTTTGCTCAAGTACTGTTACAGATCACCCCCCCCCCTCTGCTCAACAGCTCTCCCAGCCAGGCAAACAAGCTTTGGCGACTGTTCCCCCCCCCCCCGCAAACAAAACCACTCCAGGAAATTCCAGGAACTCAAGCAGAGAGGCTTCATGGAACAAACAAAGCAGCGCAGCTTCTTATTTCTCATCTTTTTAAATATTGTAATCCTCTAGCTGCTTCCATATTTGGCTGGATCTCAGATCCTGAAACGCTTAACTGATACGCTGCATCTAGAAAACATAGCACGATAGGGGGAAACCTCTATCCCCAGAGTTTTCTATCTTCAGGGTGGATTGGAAAGAAAAAAAATACAGGAAGTCCTCAACTTGCGATCACAATTAAGCCCAAATTTATGTCGCTAAGTGAGACATTGGTCAAGTGAGCTTTACGACCTCATCTGCCACAGTTGTGAAATGGACTTCGCTTGTCGGAAAGTCACAAAAGGAGATCACATGACCCCAGGACATTGCAAACTGTCGTCAAGCATCTGAATTTTGATCATGTGATCACAGGGATGCTGCAACGGTTATAAGTGTGAAAACCGGTCATAAGTCATTTTTTTCAGCGCCCTTGTATCTTTTGAGCGGTCGCTAAGTGGATGTTTGGAAATTGAGGACTACCTATATTCTATCATTCCTGGGCCACCCATAATATAAGAGAAGGACGAGGGGGGACATGATAGCTGTGTTCCAGTATCTCAGGGGCTACCCCAAAGAAGAGGGAGTCAAGCTATTCTCAAAAGCGCCTGAAGGCAGGACAAGAAGCAACAGATGGAAACTAACCAAAGAGAGAAGCAACCTAGAACTAAGGAAGAATTTCCTGACAGTCAGAACAATTAACCAGTGGAACGACTTGCCTCCAGAAGTTGTGGGTGCTCCATCACTGGAGGTTTTTAAGAAGAGACTGGACAGCCACTTGTCTGAAATGGTATAGGGTTTCCTGCCTGAGCAGGGGGTTGGACTAGAAGACCTCCAAGGTCAATTTAAGTATTCAACTTAAGTTTAGAATAGGAGTATCCAACCTTGGCCACTTGTGGACTTCAACTCCCAGAATTCCTCAGCCAGCTTGGCTGGCTGAGGAATTCTAGAAGTTGAAGTCCACAAGTCTTCAAGTGGCCAAGATTGGGGACCTCTGGTTTTAGAAGATTCACTTTTAAAAATAATTGCACGAGACCTACTTACAGGCACCATGATCTGCTTGCAGCCTACGTCTAACACCATGTCTTGCAACATCTTGTCCGAAATTCCGCTGAACAAAAGATTCCCGGGAGGTAAACCAGCCAGATGAAGGTTAAATAACCGTTTTAGCTCGTTCAGAGTCAGGACGTATTGTTTCTTAAAGGTGGTCCCCACAAACGCTCGCAGTTCCTCGGTCACCCTTTCCGGGATCGGCACGTGGCCGTTGACGGAGTCCAGGCTATCTTCCAAATGGATCCCGTTGACCAGTCCATTATTGAGGTTCTCAGGGGCCGAGGTCTCCATCGGTTCCTCGTCGCTCACCGGTTCCTCCTTTATATGGACCCCAAGGAGGTCCGTCGCATGAAGAGACTCCTCCAGCCGGTTCTCGGCTTTTCTCTTTCGGTGGTCTTGGTCCAACTGGCTGTAGCTCTGGTTGACTTTGGACTTGGCCAGGTTGACCCTCTGCTCTCCAGAGATCACCAATGGAGCAGCTATGGGAAGGGGAACAAGAACCAGGTTAATTGGGGCCCTAGATGTGGCGTGCATAGGGAAGCGTAGGAGAAGGACTGCTTCCAGTGACTTTATTTATTAGGTTTTTATCCTGTCTTTACTGCTTTAGAAGAAACTCAATGCTGAGAATACACATAATATTCCTTCCTCCCCCACCATAAACCTGTGAAGTTGGGTGGGTTGAAAATGGAATAGAGAATAATGGTTGCTGGAATTGGGTACGATTAGTTTAATGAAGAGAAGGACGAGGGGTGACAAGATAGCAGTGTTCTAGTATCTCAGGGGCTGCCCTAAAGAAGAGGGAATCAAGCTATTCTCCAAAGCACCTGAAGGCAGGACAAGAAGCAACGGATGGAAACTCATCAAGGAGAGAAGCAACCTGGAACTAAGGAGAAACTTCCTGACTGTGAGAACAATTAACCAGAAGCAGTGAATGCTCCAACAAGCTTTTAAGAAGAGACTGGACAGCCACTTGTCTGAAATGGGTGTAGGGTTTCCTGCCTGAGCAGGGGGTTGGACTAGATGACCTCCAAGGTCCCTTCCAACTTTATTATTAAGAGTTGGAAGACCTTGGAGGTCTCATAGTCCCTCCTCAAGCAGGATATTTTATTGATTAAAAATAGCTCTTCAACTGCTCAGCCACTGTCACTCCTCCGGGTCTTTAAAAAAATGACACTGTGGTAAGCCATGGTTTTTATTAAACCATGATTGCCTACGAAGTCACAATAGCAGGACTGACCGAATCTAGGCCGAAGCAGCCTCTGCAAACCTCATTTGAGTCTTCTGTGACCTTTTGCTGCCTTCCGCCTTGTTCTCTCTGCTTCTCCAAAGGCCTTACCTGGCTGTGCTGCTGGTTTCTTTGAAGCCAGCTGCTCTCTGGACAGGTTGTATACTTTTTCCAACCTGAAAATAAGAGGAAAGGAAAATCCATCTCTGGAAAGCCCTTCAGTGGCTTAGTTAGCAATCACCAAGAATCTGCAGCACTTCAGATCCAAAATGGAAGAGATGGGGGGGGCTTGGGGGGGTGTGTGTGTACCCCACCTTTCAGTCTCTCTTACAAGAAAATGTGTGTGTTTTTTCAGTCTCACACAGTAGAAGTACAGGAAAAAGAAAAGAAAGGGAAGGGCAGGAGGAAGGAAGGGAAGGAAGTAAATGGATGAGGAAGGGAAAGAGAAAGGAAAAAGGGAAGGGAGTAAATGGATGAGGAAGGGAAAGGAAGAGAAGGGAGAAAGGGGAAGGGGAGGAAAGGGAAGATGGAGACTGGACGAAGAAGGGAAGAGAAAAGAATTATTTACTTGGCTTGAATGCCCATCCAAAGCATTTTTTGCCTCTGCACCACATCTGGATGCTTCTTGACAAAATCTTCGTCGTAGCGGAGCTTAAATTCCCAGCCTCGGTTTATCCTCAAAAAAGAGACGTGCTCCAGGAAGTCTTTCACATCTTCTGGACCCAGCTGCACAAAGAACAGATATTTTTTTAAATCATTTTCACAATGAAAGACGGCGAACGTCGGGCAATCTGGGTGGGTGTTCGAAACTTGTTTCAAAACATCTAGCTGCCGTTCCGATTACAGGTCGCTACAACTGGGTCCACAATTTCCATTCTTAAGCGAATTGTGCCCAAGTCCAGTTGCCTTTTGGAATAAAAGCACCTTTGGGACAACAACAAATGTACTACTTCCCTGCTCCCGTGGTTTCTTTGTCAAGCTGCGAGCAGAAAGAGGTGTTTTGAGAGTCAACACTGACATGCCAACTCTCCAGGAGAAAGATAAGCCCTAAGTCCAGTTTGCCTTTTGGAAAAAGCACCTTTTGGGACAACCCTGACCTGGATGATGGAGACTCTCCATAGACACGAAATGAACGGTTTTGTAATTATGGACTCTGTAATCAGGTCAAGAAGAGAAATTGCCCTGCTGGGAATAATGGTCACCTCAAAGTTTGGGGTGTGGTCTAACAGAGAAAACAGGGAGATAGGACTACACCCTAACAGATGCAAACTTTCCCTCAAAGGAGAAAGCTGTTCTCACTTGTTTGTGAGCTCAATTATGCACGGACGCATGCATGTACATACACAAGCACATATGCATATTAAAAGGCCAAGCTTATTTGCTTCTCAAGTATTGGGGTGTGGGTGCAAATTGCATACCAAGGACCGCAGTTGTAAAAAAAAATAATCATCTGTGGAATTTGGGGGATTGCATTTTGGGGGTTGCGTGTCCTCTTTGAAAGAGGATCCTCTGGCCTTTTCAATTTCAACTCCATCATCATGCTAATAACAAAGAGATTGAACTCTGAGGAGGACAAGCTGGGATCCGTAGTGTGAGAAAGTTTATTTCTAATTTGGAAGCCTTCGTGCGATTCTCTCTTTGCTGCTTATTGTGCAAGCAAATTACTCTAAAATAATTAACCCTATTGGAATGAATGAAGATCATTTGAAGAACCGGGGATGTTCTCATTTTAAAATATTATAAAGCAAACCTGGTTTGTCTATCACCCAGAACAGGCCTCCCATCTCAGGCACAATGGCATTTAGTGGCATTTAGAAACCCAATCCTAATTTACGCATCCTAGATCCTTTTCTGTCATCCCATCTGGGCCACTAAGATGACGATGCTTGGACTTCGACTCCCAGAATCCCTCAGCCAGCAAGGCCACTGTAGAGGATTCTGGAAAGTGATGGTCTATAAATCTGAAAAGATTGGGAAACGCCAACCAGCAAAATTCAGGGAAAGCCATCAGCTGGTTGAGGAATTCTAGGAGTTGAAGTCCACAAGTCTTAAAGTTGCCACAGTTGGAGAGCCCTGACCTAGACTGATTAAAAAACCCAACGTTTAGAAACAAACTTACTTTGGTTACAGCTGCAACTTCCTTCCGTACCACCCATCGATCCTGCGTGAATTTCCATATCTGAAAAAGAAGCAAACACTCAAGAAAGGAAGGCCCCTTTCAATCTGGCGAAGGCCTGGCTGAATACAGAGCATAACGTGGCCAGAGGACCCCTGGATATGCCTAAAATCCTCTGAGGCCGAGGAAGACGGCAAGGCTAAGCTCCCTCTGAGTTATTATTTATTGACCAAATTTCTAAAGCCCCCCCCCCCAATTCCTCTCTTCCTGTCAACTCAGGAATGTGACTCTGGGTGGGTGTACACTAAATAAACGACTGGCAGTCCTTGACTTACGAGCCCCGTGGAGCCCAAACTTTCTGGTGCTGAGCAAAGCAGTTCTTAAGTGAGCTAATGTCCCATTTTACGACCTTTCTCATTAAGCGAATCACTGCAATTGTTCAGTTAGCAACTTCACTGTTTTTAAGTGAATCTGGCCGCTCCCCATTGAATTTGCTTGCTAGAAGGTTGCAAAAGGGAATCACGTGACCCCAGGACCGCCAAGCCTCTGAATTTTGATCACGTGACCCTGAGGAGGCTTGCAGAGGCAGTAAGTGTGAAAACAAGCCGTAAGTCACTTTTTTCAGTGCCGCTAAATCCGAACGGTCACTAAACAAATGATTGTGAAGACCAGGACTACCTGTATTAGTGCAAGCGGTATGGGGACCCTCCTCTGAAGATCCCACCCCCCAGGACAGTTAAAATGCCCAAGCCCAAAATGCAAAAAAAAAGCTGTTGCTGCAGAAGGGACATTTGAGAACACAAACACAAATTCTTGGTTGGGTGTTTTGGTACTCACAACAAAATCCCTTCCTCGGCACAGGACTTCGGCTGGGACACCGCTGTGTGGGCTGGAGGTATCTTTGGGGTAAAGGATGTCACTGTGGAAAAAAAATAAACATTTATTAGCTGAAGTGCCCCATTGACCGTTGGGTTAACCACTTAACCACAAAGGTCATAAAATCGGGTTGGTTGTGTGGGGTCCTCAATTTGTGACCATCGCGAGTTATGAACCGGGATGGCTAGGACTCCATAACTCCAGGACTCCAGAAGCCACTGGGGCTGGAAATTTAGGAATTTGCAGGCCAATCTGCAATTAGCAGCATGCAATCAAATATACATAAAGCTGATTTTTTTGTTCACCTTTTCACCACCCAGTTCCCCTGGACTAGCAGCGCCACCTGCTGGATGCTTCGCAAAACTGCAGCCGGATCTGTCCCAGAGGCTAGGAGACTCATTAAACTAGCAAAGGCGATGACTTTCACTGTAGGGGGTGGAAAAAAAGCAGGGATCCATCAGCCCCAGCCAGCCATAAGCCCCCCCCCCTAAAAAAACAGGGAAATTGGGGAGCAACAGGAAGGGCTGATCAAATCCAGATGCTAAGAACCCTAACCAGGATTCATTATGGGCCCCAATCCAGAGGGTCCATTCTCGACATCTTGGTTAATATTTGGAGGGGAGACCACTCAGAGATTACTTGAGAGATGTTATAGAAGTTGGAGAAACTTCCCTCCATCCCCAAAGGCAGGAACAAATGTTAAGAGTAACAGGGCAGTCCTTGAACCCCTAAAGCTTTTGCCACTTCACCACAGACCCACTTGCTCGCTGAAGCGGGCAACACAATTTAGCGAGAATTTGCAAGGGGAAAAAAAAAGAAATAACAGAACTTACCATTCTTCATCAGAATCTTAATCTGGTCGGCCAAAGGGAGCGTCCGCAACTGAGCCATCGACAGCATATTGCTTGGCGCTACCGGTTTTTCCCTGTGCGCAAAATAAAACAGCCACTGAATGCCGGCTGCCATGGCCTCTTCAAACTATGCTTAAAGATCTCAGCTTAATATTTCTGGGCAAACCCAACCGATAAGGATCATCTGCAGAAGCAACCCCAAAGGATCTGAGGCCAAGTGAGTCAGGTTCATTCTCTAGCGTGGGGAGAAGGTTAAACTACCAGTCAACATCAGGAGGGACATTTAAAAATTACATGGTTCTAGGTCCTCCCCCCCAGAATGGGAGAGATCCCTAAACTACTTAAGAACTGAAGAAGCTTTTTGGATGAGAAATGAAATGAAACCAAGAAAGTCCAGTTGCAGAGTAGAATAGAGCTGAAAGGGACCTTGGAGGTCTTCTAGTCCAGCCCCTTGCTCAAGCAGGAGAACCTATACCATCTCAGACAAGTGACTGTCTAGGCTCTTCTTAAAAATCTCGTGATGGAGCACCCAATTTCTGGAGGCAACTTCTGTTCCACTGGTTAATTGTCCTGTCAGGAAGTTTCTCAATTCCAGGTTGCTTCTCTCTTTGATCAGTTTCCAACTATTGTTTCTCGTCTTTCCCTCTGGTACTCTGGTGAACAACCTGACCCCCTGTGCCTTGTGGCAGCCCCTAAGATACTGGAACACTGCTATCATGTCTCCCCTGTTTCTTCTTTTCTTTAGACTAGCCAAACCCAAGTCCTGCAGCCGTTCTTTGTATGTTTTAGTCTCCAGGCCTTTGATCATCTTAGTTACTCTTCTCTGAGGTTTTTTTTTCAAACTCTCAACTTTTTTTTTATGATATGGTGACCAAAATTAGCTGCAATATTCCGGGTGTGTTGTTGTTGTTTGGAAAAAGCACCTTTGAGACAACCATGACCTGGACGATGGAGAATCTCCATAGAACTAAGCTACTTACTTTTCTTCTTCTACGCTTGGTGGAACCAGCATCATCAAGTATTCACTGTGAAGAGAGAAGAAGGAATATGGATTTGCCTTGAGAACGGAACACATCCAAATTGTTATTAAAAACCAGCAGAGGGTGGCCGGCTTAGTCATCTGAAAGAAATCCAAGCCAATCAAATGCATAAAATGTGGGGCATCTCGTCCTGCGTTTCTCTAAGCAACAATATTGACAATGGTCTTGCAAGAGGAATGGTGTTTCGGCAGCGTTGCATCTCCTCCTTAGCAGCCCAACTGACCTTGGCTGGGGGAAGCGGGCTGGATTTCAATTATTTCTCTTTTCTGTCCCCTTCCTCACCTTGGCGATTTAATTAATTCCGTGTTCCCAGCCATGCTGTGTCCTTGGCTGAATAAATATTGGCGCTCGTGCTCAGAACGGCTGTCCTAGGAGAAACAGATGAGGAACATCCATTAATGGCCATTTCAGGACTATCGTATGAAAATGTACAGGCAGGAGCTGAGCTTAAACAGTTTTTCCTGTTCAGGAAAAATAACAAAGAGTTTTAGCAAGGGGAGCAGAAGAACAGAGGAAGGAGGGGGGAGAGGAGGGGACGAGAGGAGAGAGGAAGGAGAGAGGAAGGAAAGAGGAAGAGAGGAGAGGGATCATGGACTTATTTTGGAACTGACACCTATTTATTTTCCCCTCTCTAATCAACTGTCATGAAGCTGCCATAGTTTTGACAATTCTCACAAGGGAAGAACATCTGGAGAACCAAAATCTCTACCATCAGATTGTATAAGATTGTGGGGGGGGGGGAGTCAAATCAGCTTCTTTAGCAGACCATTTCTGCAGATGTAATACACACTGGCTCCACCCTCATAAAATGATCTGATTTCACCCACTGTGGCCTTTTATTCCCCTCTGCCAAACAGTGTCACTTTTGCCCCTAACAGTCTACACCCTCCAAACCGTTCCTTAAACCCCACTACGGATAGATTATTCAACAAAGTAAGGTTAAACAAACCACAGTTTAACGTGTTACGCAAACACAGTCTTGGAAACCTACTTTCAAACCGTAATAATGGAGGTGGACCCAGTGCTCTTCTGCTTGTCTTTTTTGCAGGAATTCGTAAGATTGAACTCGCCGTTGGCGGGCCTGTTCCGACTCTGGCCGGGAGAACCTCACCTGAAAAGAGACCTTCCTGTTATTATGGGATGCGATCAAAATTCCCAATGGGATGGGACTGGGTGAAGACCTCATCTTTCTAACAACTGACACCTCCTTTGGAAGAGCCACCAAAGAAGAGCAAAAAGAATCAAAATCAAAATGACTCTGGACAGTTTAGCACTAGAACCAATATATATATATATATATATATATATATATATATATAAAAAAGAAGATGCAATAGGCTGGAAGAGCAAAATAATAATAAAAAAAAGCAAGTCATTTCCCCAAACAAGACAAAATTTATTATAGGTAGCCTTTGACTTACGACCACGATTTCCACATTTACCACAGTCCTGTGATAAAATGGCTAGCCAATAAATTTTTACAAATCAATAAAATGGGATCACAATTTCCATTACTACGCAAGATGGCTGCTAAGTGAGCTGCGTCCAATTTTACAGGCTTTGTTGCCGTGGTTAACTGCAGTCGTTAAGTGAATCATGCCGCCATTAAGCGAATCTGACCCCCCATTGATTTTGTTTGTCAGAAGCCAGCTGGGACAGTCACAAGTAGTGATCACATGATCCCAGGATGCTACAACCTTTGTAAATGTGAGGATCGGTCATAAGTCCCTTTTTTCGGTGTCGTTGCAACTTCGAATGATTGCTAAACAAATGGTTGTGAGGCAAGGATCACCTGTATACTCCTGGGAATTAGACAGGTATCCCAGAACATCTTGACCTACCGTGATTTGCTTGACGTCTTCATCAGCCTCATCCTGGGAAGAATCACCATCTATGATGAGAAAAAGGGGAAGGTCAAAGCATCTGGACGGTCACCTTTTCTGCAAATGGGAACAAACACTAAAACCACAAAAACCTTATAGGCCACAAGGCTGAGCTGAAGTCCACTCATGCCAGCTGAGGAATTCTGGGAGCCTTATAGCATTAAGAGCTAGGGCCTAGCTCTTAATGCTATAAGGCTCCCAGAATTCCTCAGCCAGTATGGATGGACTTCAACTCCCAGACTTCCTCAGCCTTATAGCCTAACTGCTAGGCTACAAGGCTGAGGAATTCTGGGAGCTGAAGTCCACTCATGCCGGCTGAGGAATTCTGGGAGCCTTAAGAACCAGGCTGTAAGGCTATAAACCCTGGTTAAAACACAGCCAGCCATTTTAAACATGGAAGCTGGCCATCTTCTCTGACCCAAATACAGAGAACATGGCGTCCTACTTACGCTCATTGGCAGCTTCGCGTTCTCGGTATTTCGCATCCGCTTTGTCCAAGTAGGCAAAACTTGGCCGCATTTGCAGGATCCCATTCAACGGAGTCAAGTGAAGCTCCCCTGCAACAGAATAAAGCAGCTTTTTTTTTTTTTATTACAAGAGAAATGGCAGCATTTCTCTAGCTCCCAGAATTCCACAGCAATGCTGGCTGTGGAATTCTGGGAGTTGAAGTCCACATGCCTTAAAATTGTCAAGGTTGAGAAACACTGCAAGCTTAACAATTATAAGATGTGCAGACTTCCAACTCCCAGAATTCTCCAGTGGGCAGACTGGCTGAGGGGAGGAAGTCCACACCTGCTGGCTAGTGAGTTCTGGATTTTAAAATCCATTCATACAGGCTGAGGAATTCTGGGAGTGGAAGTCCACCTATGCTGGCTGGGGAATTCTGGGAGTTGAAGAAAACATATCTTAAAGTGGTTGAGGGTGAGAAACCCTGCTCTAAATATAGGCAGCCCTCGGGGAGACTGAGTTTGGGTATTATGACCAAACAAAGATTTCCGTCTCCTTTTCTTTTTTTAAAGAAAATTTAATGATTTTCTAGTTTTACATTTAAATATTTGAAAAGCAATGTGGCGGCTGAGTTGGTCAATAATTCAGTAATATACGAATATCTTTAGTACAGATCTCAAACTATTACATTCAATATTTCCCCTCTTTTCCCCTTGGTATTTACTGTCTCATATTTAAATTAATACAATTCTTATTGTATCGGTTAAACAAAAATAACTTTCTTACATTTATCAATCATTTTTGTTTATACATATCCTCATTGTTTTCACATTCAATTTTTTTAGGCAATCAATGTCCTGGTTAGTTTTTCCCCAATTTTTAGTTTCCCATTAATATTTAGATTTCCGTCTCCAGTTAGCTGCACTTAAAACAATTCATCTCAGGTAGAAAGACGGCAAACTTGGCAGCTGCAGTCACACCACCTGCTAAACCTGGTTAGATATTGATTGGGGCTGGAGGTATCCTACAAACTCAGCCCCTCAGAAACCTATGGAAATACAGCCTATGAATTAAATAGCTTGGATGTTGTGTTCATGCACCCAATTTTGCACCAGAATTCTGAAGATTGTGGGGTAGTTTTTTTTAAACGTTTAAGAGGCATATCACTCACCTCTTTTGTAGATAGCAGCAGCGTATCGCGAAATGTTGCTGGTGGTTTGTGAGGAACAGAACGTCTGCTTGTCCATCAGCTTCCTGGAAAACATGGAACACAAGACCTTGGTGAAATGGCATGTAGGAATGATCTTGGAATACTGGGAGAAGAGACAACGGTCAGATAAAGGAGAAACAGCCTCTGGCTGCATAAAGAGTGAAGAAAAAAGCCCCCAAAAGAGACCCTAAATTAGCTGTAAAGGAGCTAGCAAAAGAATTGCACGTTCAGATTTGCAAGATTCTGTTAACGTCGCTTTAGCATAAAGTAGAATTAGATCATCTGGTTAGGGTTCCTGTCTGGTCCACTTGGTAAGACTGACACTCAAACTAAAATGGAGGAGCTCACATTGAAATCACAGTCACAATTTGAGGCCTACCTAAAAAAACTCTAAACAGAGTGCAGAAAAGAGCAACAAAGATGACTGGAGGACTGGAAGCTAAAACATATGAAAAATGGTTTCAGGAATTGGTATGTCTAGTTTAATGAAAAGGTGTGAATGATAGCAGTGTTCCAATATCCAAGGGGTTGCCAAAAAGAAGAGGGAGTCAAGCTATTCTCCAAAACTCCTGAAGGCAGGACAAGAAGCAACGGATGAAAACTAATCAAGGACAGAAGCAACTTAGGAGACACTTCCTAACAGTGAGAAGTACTAATCAGGGGAACGGAAGTTGTCTTCAGAAGTTGTGGGTGCTCCATCATTGAAGGTTTTCAAGAAGAGGTTGGGTAGCCATTTATCTGGAATGGCTACTTGAACAGGGGGTTGGACTAGAAGATCTCCAAGGTCCTTTCCAACTGTTATTCTGCTGTTCTTCCTTCCTTCCCTTCCTCCCTCCCTCCTTCCTCCATCACTTTTAAGAAGAGACTGGACAGCAACTTCTCTGGAATGGTCTATGGTCTCCAGCTCAAGCAGGGGGTTGGACTAGAAGACCTCCAAGGTCCCTTCCAACTCTTGTTATTCTGTATTAACCTGCATTCAAAAAACCCTGAAGGAGATGGGGACTCAACCCAGTTGAATCTAGGCATCATGTAAACGCGATGCTTACGAGGAGTAAGTGTTGGTCTCATCCGTACACGTGCCATCTACGTTGAGGGCAATCTGTTCCCCTTTGCTGCGACAGTAGTTGGAATTCGACGTGTCGATGGCCATTTCCAGTTCAACCTGAAGAACAGCAGACGGTGGATCAGCTCAACCAAGAGTTTAAATGCAACCATTCACAGAACTAGAGAGAGAAAAATGGCTACAGAATTTGATCAAACTGAGACAAGCTGTGTATTTAAGCAAGCAGATTGGGTGTACTAACCCCTGGAAGGATCAATAAACTTTTCCCTTAAATAATAATTTTATTAAAGACTAAGATTAAAAAAGATAAAAACTAATCACTAATTTAAAAAACAGGAATACAAACAGCTGTCCCATCAGGGATGAGCAATCCTCAATCTCCACCTATTTTGAATTATAATTTATTTCAATCCTTCGTTATTGGATGTTCCAGGCCAGAATAAGGGATAAATGATAATCCAAAATATAGAAAGGAGAACAGATTTCCTGCCTTTACATCCTTTTAGCCCAGCAAGAAAGAAAAATTTCTAATAACAGTGAAATAACAGATTCTCAGAAAGATGTAACCAACTGGTTTCTCCCCACCATTAAAATTTCATTTTAGTTTTGAAACCACCTTTTCAATTTTTTTTTAAAGGGTTTAAACTTGCATCCACCTTTTGTTGCTTCGGTTTGATCTTCGCCGAGAGGTGAGTAACCTCATCGTAGGTCATCGAAGCTGGACGAATAGGATACTGCAACAAAGCAAGATGCAACTTCAGTTAGCTTTTAAAAGACTCTTTCAGCTGTTTTTTTTTTTTAAAGAAAAAAAAACTTGCACAGAAAAACAAAATACCTGGAACAGATACAGTTTTTCCGACAGACTTTTGGCCAGGTAGACATCGATCTAGGAAAAAGACAGACAACATATTCAGGATTATTTTTATTTTAGTTTCTGGAGCTTTGCTTTGGAGCCTTTGTAAGGCGTCTCACCCCAAACTGCAATTCAGAAGAATAAATCGGTGTTAATGAAATAACTAAAAAAAAAAAAGATAAAGAGGAAGGAAATACATTATGAATAGGTGTGAAGCCTTCTCTGAAATACAAGATGTTTTGACAAAATAATTGAAGCAGGGAGCATGACAAGATATTCAGTATCCCCGCTGAGAAAGGATTTCATTTAAAAACGATGCTTTATTTGAAAACGAAGGCCTCTGTAAAAGAAGAGACTGGTACGTAATTACAGAGGTGTGGATTTGACAAGATAAAGCGGTCCTCGTTTTCAGTTAGAGCTTCATTTTCATTTTTCACACTGGATATTAACTTTTTACCGCCAAATGGTGATAAATAAAACCGATAAACTGGGCGCTACACTTTACTACAAGCAGTCCTTGATTTACGGCAACAACAGAATTTCTGCTAAGCAAGATGGTTGTTAAGTGAATCACATGGTTGTTAAACAAATCAGCTTCCTTCCTTGAGTTTGCTTATCAGAAACCAGTTGGGAAGATCACAAAAGGAGATCGCCTGATCCAGGGACACGCATGCAAAATCATAAATGCATGCTGGTTGCCAAGCAACCGACTTTGGATCACATGATTGCAGGGACCCTGCAGAGGTCGTAAATGTGAAAAACCAGTTTTTTCCCCCATGTCGCCATAACGTAGACCGGTCACTAAATGAACAGTTGAGGATTACATGTGTATTTTCTGTGGGAGGAAAAGCTAAAGTAGATATTAAAGCTTTTTTATTTTAAAAAAAGGTCACTACTTGCCTCTTGTATAATAGGGTCGTCTTCCTCATTGGCCATAGTAGCACTGGAAAAAAACCAACCTTGCAATGTTGCTTAGTGTTAACCTGAAACAAAAACACACAATCGTCACACCACACCGGATCCAAACAAAACTTTAAAAACAGGCAACTAAAAACAGATAGGCAGTCCTCAACGTACGACCAAAACTGACCCCCCAAATTTCTGCTGTTGAGCCAGACGGTTATTAAGTGAGTTTTGCCCCGTTTTACAACCTTTCCTACCACGGTTGTTAAGTGAATCGCTGCGGCTGTCAAGTCAGGAACATGGTTGTTAAGTGGCTCCCACATGGACTTCGCTTGCCAGGTCGCAAAAGGGGATCATGCAACGCCCAGGACACAGCAACTGTCATAAATACGAGTCAGTTGCCAAGCGTCTGAATTTTGATCCCGTGATGCTGCAATGGTCATAAGTGTGAAAAATGGTTGTAAGTCACTTTTTCAGTGCCGTTGTAACTTTGAACGGTCACTAAATGAATGGTTATAAGTTGAGGACTACCTGCAGTTATCCTTTCATTTTTCTCTTCCATGTTTTGTGAAATGTACATTGAAAAATGATCCTTTTCCTCTCCCAGTTGCCTTTCCCTCTCAATATTTGTCTTTTATTTATTTTAATTTCAGTCATAGATTAGCATAAAGCTATGAACATAAATCATCTGAGAATACAGAACAGAATAGAGAATAGAATAAAATAGAATAGAATAAAATAGAATAGAATATGGGATGGAGTTAGATGGAATGGAATGGAATAGAATAGAGAATAGAACAGAATAGAAAATAGAACAGAACAGAAACAGGAAGAATAGAATGGAATAGAATAGAAAATAGAATAGAATAGATAGAATCTGGAAGGGACCTTGGAGGTCTTCTAGTCCAGCCCCCTGCTCAAGCAGGAGAACCTATACTAGAGATAGAAAAAGAAAAGACTCTATTGACAGAACAAAACAGTCCTTTCCAAACCCAACAAACTGATCCATGCGTTTCTCCAAAGTCTGGCTTTCCTTTCAAATTTGTGTGTTTTCATTTTACTGAGCAGTTTAGAGAAGAGCTATAAACGAACAAGAGCAAAACAAAAAGGATAAACAATCTCTATGCTTCAAAAATTATATATTATACAATTAGCTTTTTCCCCCCTCTGTTTTCCCCATTGATCTATATTGCTTCAGCTTTGCAAATCTCAAGCTTTAGGGAGAAGGGATCCATTTCCTTGTTCTATTACAGAGCGAAAAACTATTACCCAAGTTGTGCAGCTGCTGAAACTGTAGCACACACTGACCACCCTCCCTGCCTGGCAGCAATTCACACCGCGAAACCCCTGAAAGCTCACAAACTCCTTTCTCCTTGGGCCCAAAATCCATTTGTCTTCTTTTGAAAAAGAGTCCCAGATTCCTCTGCCCAAGTTCCCAGCATAAAAGAGAGAGAGAGAGAAAAAAATTCCATTTATCCTGCCGGATTGAGTTTCGCAGGGGCTCATTGGCAGCAAAGACTATATCCCTCTCCCGAGTAACACACCCGCTTGTGCAACACACAACCACACCTTCCGGTGGAAAAGGAGGATGGTTCAACTTCTACCCACCGAGTCCAATGCAAGCAGCCACGTCCGTGGGATGCTTGCTTCCCCCCCCCCCCAGCCCTGCTGATGATGTCGGATGAGAGTTTGATGCCAAGGCATCTTAAACCCAGTTTTAAGAATCCGGGTTAGGACATCTCCGGCTGATGCAACCTTTGGCAAGCCGGACGTTGCCAGGATTCCAGGTTTCCCTGGATTAGCCGAGGTGGGTCGCTCTTCCGGGGGGGGGGATGGCCCCAGGGCTTGGAGAGGGAGAGAGGGAGGGGGGCACAAGAGGAGCACCCCCCCCAGCTGGGACTTTTGGCCTCTGCAATCCAAAGGGGGGCGTCGTGTCCCCAGGCCAGGCCTTGCAAATCTAAACTAGTTCAACTTGCAAAAAAAGATCAAAGGAGGCTTACCGCTTTTTGTTGCAACCATGCAGCCCCCCCCAGGATAAGGTGGAGGAGGGGGGCTGAGAGGGGGGCTGTTGCTCGGGTCCGGGGGCCCCCCCTCCACCCTCTTTCTGAACCATGCAACGTGCCCGCAAAACCCGGATCTCAGCTCGCAGCCATGTTGAGGGAAACTCCTCCGAGCACGTGGGAAGGGGTTGGGACCCGCCTCTTTGTACCCATAATGCTCGCCCCTGGGAAGGGAGGCGGGCACCAGGGGGCGCTCCTCCAGGCCTGCCTTGCCTCCGACGCGTCTGAAGTGTTCGTTCGCGGGTTTTATTGATATTTGTTTATCTGTGCGTATTTATTAGGTGTAGCGCTGCGTTTGCAAAGAGCCCCCTTTTTCAAAAGGGGAAGCAGGAGGGGAAAAAAAGGGATCTTGGCAGCGGTGGGATTCGAACCCACGCCCCCGAAGAGACTGGAGCCTTAATCCAGCGCCTTAGACCGCTCGGCCACGCTACCTTATTGGAAAAGGCAGGCTGCGGAGGATATTCGTGTCTGCAAAAGTTCACAATTCCCCCCCCAGTTTTAGATATGTGTCTTCCCCCCCACCTCTAAAAAAGTCCAAATTTAGAGTGAAGTGATGGGGAAAGATGATCCTACGCGGGATCTGCCCGGAAAGGATCCCCAGGCGAGTTTTTTCTAAATATTATGGAAGGCTAAAAGTAGCAAAGATCAAAAGCTGTATAGAACGCGGAGTTTCCCCGCCGCATTCCAAAGGCCATTGTGACGTCAGCGGCTGACGTCACCTGCCCCGCCCGATTCGGGTTCCTTTGATTAGAATGGGAGATTTAAGGGGGGGGGAACCCCTTCAAACTTGATGTGGGCTTCAACTCCCAGAATTCCTCAGCCAGGCACGCTGGCTGAGGAATTCTGGGAGTTGAAGTCCACAAGTCATCAAAGGGCCAAGTTTGAAGATCCACGGTTTGAGCAAAATGGTTTCAACAGAAATCAGGGTTTGTTTGCACATTCCACGCCATCTATTAGGGCGGTCCTCGACTTACGACCATAATCGGGTCCAAAATTTCCATCGCTAAGCGAGACGGTTGTCAAGGGAGATTTTGCCCCATCCTATGACCTTTCCTGCCACAGTTGTTAAGTGAATCACTGCAATTATTAAATTAGTATCACGATTGTTAAGTGAAACTGGCTTCCCCATCAACTTGGCTTGTCAGAAGGTCGCAAAAGGGGGTTGCGTGACTCCTGGGAAGCTGCAGCCGTCATAAACACGAGTCGGTTGCCAAGCGTCTGAATTTTGATCACGTGACCGTGGGGATGCTGCAACAGTGTGAAAAACGGTCACAAGTTCCTTTTTTCAGTGAAATCGTAACTTCCAACAGTCACTAAAGGAACCGTTGTAAATCGAGGACTGCTTGTCAAAGATTGCACAAAGGGGAGTTAAGGAAAGATAGAAGGAAAGAGAAGGACCAGCAGCAAAGTGAAAGGACTCAGTTACAGTGGCAATGGACGCATTGCTGGAAGACCTGAAGGACCCGGTTGGTTCTTCAGATCATTCTTGAGGTCTTTGATGTTGTTCGTTGAGAAGTCGTGTCCAACCCATCGTGACCCCATGGACAACGTTCCTCCAGGCCTTCCTGTCCTCTACCATCTTCTGGAGTCCATTGAAGCTCACGCCTACTGCTTCAGTGACTCCATCCAGCCACCTCCTTCTCTGTCGTCCCCTTCTTCTCTTGCCCTCCATCTTTCCCAGCATTAGGCCCTTCTCCAGTGAGTCCTTCCTTCTCATTAGGTGGCCAAAGTATTTGAGTTTCAACTTCAGGATCTGGCCTTCTAAAGAGCAGTCAGGGTTGATCTCTTCTAGGACTGACCGGTTTGAACGCCTTGCAGTCCAAGGGACTCGCAGGAGTCTTCTCCAGCACCATAGTTCAAAGGCCTCCATTCTTTTACACTCAGCTTTTCTTATGGTCCAACTTTCACAGCCATACATTGCAACTGGGAAAACCGTGGCCTTGACTATACACACTTTTGTTGGCAGGGTGATGGCTCTGCTTTTTAGTATGCTGTCTAGATTTGCCATAGCTTTCCTCCCCAGGAGCAACCGTCTTTTAATCTGATAGCACGTAACAAATCAATCAACCAATGTAAAGACTTTGAAAAATCCACAATGCTGGGAAAGGTGAAGAGAGGGATGACCAGCACCAACACGGACAGATACAGTTAGTGGTGATTTAGGCATCCTTGGAAGAGCTGAAAAACCAGGTTAGGGAGCGGTCAATGTTTGTGGTCACTAAGCATTGACACAGACTTGATGGCTCATAATCAACCAATCCATTGGTTGAGATCCTGAATCCGTTTTTTTACTAGAAGAGCCTCAAACTACGGGTTGTAATTCTCCTACGCAGCTTAGAGTCCCGGAATTGTTTAAAACCCCACTGTCTGTGAATTCACGTGACGAATATATTTAACTGCAGTTATTAAATATTTCTTGACCAATACGAAACACAGAAATCATTTTATTGGGGAAGGAAAGAGAAAATTGCAGATTTCACCGTTCATCCAGACTGCAACGTTTGAGACCATCTGACATAAAGTGTCACGTTCCCCAAACTCAAAATAAATTCAAGAACATAAATGCGGTAAATCCAGGATGGTGAAGAATTCCCCCAATAAAGACGTGGACAAAATCTATCCTTGAGAAAGTTTATTGAAAACATATCACAGCATTTTCTGCCCCCCCTCTTTTTTTTCAGGTCAATGTAAACATTAATTCACAAGACTTTGAGCTCTTTTTAAAACACTCTATGCCACAAGCTCAGCCCATCTTGCTAAGGCTCATTAGCCACCATCTAATACAGTGGTTCTCAACCTGTGGGTCGGGACCCCATTTGGGGTCGAACGACCATTTCACGGGGGTCGCCAAACAACGCAGTCCGCCTTTTTTCCCCTTTTCCTTAGCTGTGCTACTGCCTTTTATTCTATTGGCTTTTGAAAGCCAATAGAATAGACTCTCTTGAATAGAGTCTAATTCTATTGGCTTTTAAAAGCCAATAGGAATTGTCCAGGCTGTCTCTTCCCTGCTGAACCCGCCAAAAGTCCCATTCTGCAAACGGTGCTGCACCAGTTGAGTAGTCCTCGACTTACAACCGGTTGAGTAGTCCTCGTCTTACGACCGGTTGGGGGTCGCAGCATTAAAAAGGTTGAGAACCACTGATCTAATATTTGCTAGCGTTTCTTACTTTACACCTGAAGCCCAGCATGTAGCACCGCTTCAAAACACTATATTCATTGCTGTTTTATAAGATTCATCAATCTGTCAAGCAAATTGAAATGAGCAGAAGCTTGTCAATGAAATCCAGGATGAGAATTCCGTCAGATGGTCTTGATAAAAATCTTCCATGTTTTTGCTGGACAGAGAGGTAGACGAAAGCATGCATCTAAGGCAGGGTGCAGAAGGAAATTGAGTTAATTGACCATCTTGTTGAAAAGCAAAAATATAATCTGAGACTGGGAACGATGTGGTTTACCAGAAAAATGCCAATTTCATCCTTCACCACTAGCCCTGCCACTGGGAATTTGGGTTCATTAGCAACAGGGTAGATTCGATTCCAGATCCCTGTCTGTAGGAGACTGGAGGGCAAAAAACAGACAACTGTCTTCTTCTGATACTTTAGCAAATGAAATGTGGCCTCTATCATCTTGGATCTAGCATAAAGATCGCATACAGAACTCGGGGCCAAATCAGAAAAGTTTTGTATAGATAGAAACCAAGACACTACAGAGAAAGTTTGAAGTTTTTTGAGTTCTGGCAGACAAAGATTCGGAGCACAGCCAAGCTCCTAACCAATCAGAACACACCTCCATCCAATCAGAACACAGCCAAGCTCTCATCCAATCAGTTCATACCCCCACTGGCAGTTAAAAGGAAGAAACAGCTACGATCACACATTGCTTCTAGAAGCACGAAGCCGAAAACACCAGCCTAAAGATGACGAATGGGACTTCGTCGAAACGTCACCAAGACACTTCCAATTTGACGTGGAAGAAAACCCGAATAACAACACCTGTCTCTCTCCTGGTTCTCCACCCAGCTTCTGAATAAAATATTTTTTTTTCTTTTTAAATTAAAAAAAGGGTTTCTGTATCAAAATCTGCAAGGGTTCTTTGTGGTTTCTCATTCTTCCATCATGGCCCAAACCTCTTCAGCTTTCTGATAGTATTGGTTGGCTAGCCGGCCCTTCATAGCTTGCATGGCGTCTTCAGCCGCTTCCGTGTAAAGCTCTCCTGGAAGGATGAATGACAGGTAAAGACCCAATCCAGTCCAGGGCTCACCTGCCTGAGACCCCTGGCCATGGGGTCTTCATGGGACCCCCTTGGACATCTGGCCAAAGGGCCACATGGCTAAGAATTTAAGGAGCTGGGATTACCAAAGGCAAAAGCCTTGAAAACGAGCCAGCCTCATACCTGATCTCTGCAGATCCTGGTCCAAATTAAACCCTCCCGTCATGAGCATCTCTGCTTCTTTTGCGAGGAGAAGATAACGAGGTTCATCTTGAGTGCCATCATACTCGCCCCCTTCGTCATAATCAGTCATGTTCAAAGCTTTGTCGTACCAAAACAAAGCTTCTTTCCAGTCCTGCTCTCTGCGGAGTTGAAAAATAACAGAAGCCAACATGAATCGTCTCCAGAGGTGCAACTGATGGATTGAGTGTGGCTTGGCAGCAAACGTGGCCGCTTTAAGATGTGTGGACTTCAACTCCCAGAATTCCCCAGCCAGCCATGCTGGAAGTTGAAGCCCACACATCTAAAAGTGGCCAAGGTTGAGAAACATTGGTGTAGACATTATCAAATCAGCTTTGATGATTTATGCACCTCATTCTCAATCAGAGCAAAACTAAAGTCAGTTTCTAAACACGTATTGGCATGCCCATTTTAGAGATGAGGCTGAGAGGAAAGCATTGGCGAAGACTAGCTTTCTAGCAAAGACTAGAAACCCATGCTGGCTAGGGAATTCTGGGAACTGAAGTCCTCAAGTCTTAAAGTTGCCAAGTTTGCTTTACAGACTAGCAAACTGTAGTAGACAGGGGGAAAGCTCTTGTTATGGGTTAAATGTCTTAGATTACAAGACAAGACCATCTGCCCCCTAGGGGGATAGTTCACTCTCCTCTTTAACCACACAAGGCTACCTGTCTGGGGCCAGGTTCATGCCCATGTCGTAAGCTCTCGCCACAAGAATCATGGAAGGACGGTCTCCAGCTTCAGCTGCTCGGCACAAATAGTCAAAGCCCTTGGTTCTGTTTTGCTTTGTGTCCTACAGAAGACATGGAAAGGGGGTGGAAGAAAAAAGAAAGACCGATATAATGGAGAATATTGGTAGCTCAGGGTTGAAATGAGGGGTCCTTGGTGGTCTCTGAGCTTGTGGTTTTCTTGTAGACATTTCATGACCCAACTAGGTAACATCATCAGTGCTTAAAGGGAATGGGTTTGTGGAGAGGAGGAGGAGGAGGAGAGGTCCTTGATAGTCTCTGAGCTTGGTGGTTTTCTTGTAGACATTTCATGACCCAGCTAGGTAACATCATCAGTCCTAGAAGGGAGTGGGGTTTGTGGGGAGGAGGAGGAGGAAGAGGAGGAGGTCATCCTTGGTGTTCTCTGAGCTTGGTTGCTTGCTTGAAATGAGGGGTCCTTGGTGGTCTCTGAGCTTGGTGGTTTTCTTGTAGACATTTCATTACCCATCTAGGTAACATCATCAGTGGTAGAAGGGAATGGGTTTGTGGAGAAGAGGAGGAGGAGGAGGAAGAGGAGGGGGAGGGCGAGGAGGACTGTGAGGTCCTTGATACACCCTAAGCTTGATGGTTTTCTTCCAGACCTTCACCCAAACTAGGAAACACCCATCAGTGCTGATGAAGAACAAAATAACATATGGACCTTTGCTGAACTGTCTCACTCACTTAGCAACGAAAAAATTTGGGGGTCAGTTGCGGCTGTAAGTCCAGGACTGCCTGTAGTTACCTGCAGAATGACCTCTGAAAGAATGTGATGAGGTAGCTGAGAATACATGAGGCCCAGCCCTACAATGGCTTCCAGTTCTCCACACTCGGCTGCATGTGCCAGGTGGAAGAGCGCCGAGTCTTGGTCCCACTCCTGATCCTTTTCGCAAAACCGGCCGGCTTCGTGGTAGCGAACCATCGCCAGGTGAACCTGTTGGGAGAAAAGTGGTAAGGGGACGTCGGAAAGACCTTGACCGACGGGCGAAGAGATGCTGCCTAGGGGATGATTAGACTAGAGACAGCATAGCCCTCACTTTTCCAAGGATGGACTTTCCGATCTTCTTCTCCAGCTCCAGGCCGTTGAGTCTCTGAACTTCTACGGCAACGCAAGAAGGTCTGTGAATGTGAACTCGGGCGGCGTTGTAGAGATTCCATTTCTCCACGCTGACCTAGAAGAGGGACAGTCCACCAGAACATCAGTCTGAAGTGTTAAGAGAAAGGAAGCGAGGAGAAACCAAAAAAAAAAAAAAAGGTGTCCTACTTCACATCTTCACCATCTTTCTTCTCAATGAGCTTCTTCACAATCTTCACAGCAGCAGAATATTAGTCTGGCCAAAAATGGCTCCATGGTGGAACCGCGAAACTTCTTTCGTTAAGTTAAAAAAAAAAATCCCTCCAGACTGAAATCTTAAGAGAGCTTTTCTCAGCCATGGACCGTGTACACTCATCATGCTAAACCACAGCTTGTTGGGTCAGCCAGACTGTCTGAATTCACCCTTAACTGTCCTTTTGTGGCCCAGCTAAGCAGACCAGACCAGAAAAATCAACTCCAGCAGAAGACCACAATAACACTTTATTAAAATTGGCTAGAACTGTTTTTCTCAACCTTGGCAACTTTAAGATGCATGGACTTCAACTCCCAGAATTCCCCAGCCAGCCAGGAAGCCAGGACAATATCCCTAAAAAAAATTCACAGACACACACACATGCACACATTGATATCTCTGCAGCGAGGGCAAGGAGATACAAACAAACTGAGCGCACACTGCACACATCAAAGGGGAGAGAGTTAAAACGATTCCCAGTACACAAAATGTTCATCAGAATGACAAAAGGCGCATTGCAACATCATGACTTAAGTTCTGCTCCTTAAGAACATCACAACAAGTGTCCCACGGGGGCGAAGTTTGTTGTGTGACAATGCAATGCGTATTTTATCCTTCACTTCCCTGCAGACATGTGCCCCTCTGCATATCTGATCCTGAAAATCTGGGCTGCGCGGTCCTTGGATTTGAAGGCAATTCTGAAAAAGAGCGGCTGTTACAGCTGTACCTTCTTGCCTGGTAGCTAAAACGGTGCCTGCCCTACTTTTCAATTTATAGACCAACCTGTTCTACCACTCATAAAATGCCCAAGCAAGGCTAAACATACAGGCATGGTTTTCCCGAAACCATTCACACATATAAAAGCACCGACGTTTATGATTATTTCAAACATAAGCATCCTAGCTATGCTTTCCAAAAACAATAGCTTCACATACAACAGGCTATTAGAGTCCTGGTGGCGCAGTGGTTAGAATGCAGTATTGCAAGCTGACTCTGCCCACTTCTAGGAGTTCGATCCTGCCTGGCTCAAAGTTGACTCAGCCTTGCATCTTTCCGAGGTGGGTAAAATGAGGACCTAGATTGTTGGGGACAACAGGCTGACTCTGAAAACTGCTTAGAGAGGGCTGTAAAGCACTATGAGGCAGTATATAAATGCTATTGCTATTAGGTGGCATGATGGCTCAGGAATTTGAGACACTGAGCTTGTCATCTGGAAAACTGACAGCCTGGGTTCGAGACCCGAGCATCACGCGATGGGATAAGCTCCCGTTCCTTGCTCCAGCTCCTGCCCAACTAGCAGTTCGAAAGCATGCAAATACAAATAGATAAATAGGTACCACTTCAGTGGGAATTAATAGCATTCCATGCGCCTTTGGCATATAGCCAGCTGGCCACATGACCACGGAAATGTGTTAGGACAATACTGGCTCCCTCGGCCAAGAAACGGAGGTGAACACCACGCTCTAAAGTCAGACACAACTGGACAGGGAAACCTTTACCTTTACAACAGACTTAAAGCAAAGATCAGCCTACATGCTGCATTGTGGGTTGAACCCAGCAAAGCATTTAAGCACATTCTCACATTTAGCTGCATAGGAAGAAGTCTCAAAGGAGCTACCATGTCCACTCTGGACTACAACTTTAAAAACATTTTAAAACTGCGACGCTGAGGCACACTCCAAGATCTGGAATTGTTTGCCAAGAACAAAAAAAAAGAAGCAGAGGAGAAGAGCAAGCCAAAATCCCAGGGATAGAATAAAATGCATGCAGAATCACCCTTTTGTTCCTGAGAATTGGTTTAGCGGTCTCAGACACTTTATTTAGAACAGCATTTCTCTAGTTGGAAAAGACAGAGAATTAAACAGGGAAGGAAAAAGGAAAAGAGGTGTAAACCCCAGGAAATGATTCTTCAGGAATTCAGGGGAAATTAAGCAGCTTTGGTGAAGAGGTCATCTGGAGCAGAGTGTGATTTTTTTTGGAAAAGATCGGATTTATTTACCCGGGCGGAACTGCCCAAGCTGTCTTCGTCAGATTCGTGTCTCCGGTTGCAGTTAAGATGACACTAAATGAATGGAGGGAACAAAAAAAAAAGAGAGAACAATTTAATTCAGGTTTGGATGAAAAGCATTTTTAAAAGCTTCATGTTCTAAAAAAAAGTTGGGCCAGTGTTACGGAGGGACTAACTTACAAATGAGGCAAGTTAAATATTTAAAAGATCTAAATCAGTGGTTCTCAACCTTTTTAATGCCGTGACCCCCCAACCGGTCGTAAGTTGAGGACTACTCAACCGGTCGTAAGTCGAGGACTACTCAACTGGTGCAGCACCGTTTGCAGAATGGGACTTTTGGCGGGCTCAGCAGGGCAGAGACAGCCTGGACAATTCCTATTGGCTTTTGAAAGCCAATAGAATTAGACTCTGTTCAAGAGAGTCTATTCTATTGGCTTTCAAAAGCCAATAGAATAAAAGGGAGTAGCACAGCTAAGGAAAAGGGGGAAAAAAATGGCGGACTGCGTTGTTTGGCGACCCCCGTGAAATGGTCGTTCGACCCCAAATGGGGTCCCGACCCACAGGTGGAGAACCACTGATCTAAATGGATGCTGTGAAGAATAAGCATTTTTGTGTTCCTATTCTAATGCCAGTCTCTAGAACAGGGGTCTTCAAACTTGGCAAGGGGATCACATGACCCACCCACCCCCGGGATGTTACAACCGTCATAAATACGAGTCAGTTGCCAAGTGAATTTTGATCACGTGGCCATGGGGGGGGAATGCCGCAAGGGTTGTGTGAAAAACGGTCATAAGTCCCTTTTTTCAGGGCCGTTCGGTCACTAAATGAATGTTGTAACTCAAGGACTACCTCTACAAGAACATGAGGAGGGTGATGTGTATTGTACCCAGACTAAAGGCAATGAATTGTCTTCTGCTCAGAAGCCAAGTCAGGATGTCCATCCAATTGCAAATTGCACGATGTATTTGAAAAATAATAATAATCAGGAATCGGGGCATGAAATGGGGAAAAAAAAGACATTACCTTTTCACGGTGATCCATATCTTCGTGGTCACTCCTTTTCTCACTGGGGCACCCACTGTCACCTCCATTTTCAGAGTCCTAAGGATAAACACAGGAGAGAAAAATAAGAGTTCTTCCTTTGCAGTTATCCTTATTTTATAGATGGAGACTTTGTCCTTCTCTTCTACCAAATTGGAAATGGTACTATCAACCCTCATGGTTTGAGCACCTCCAGCACAAATTAGGAAGCCGGATTTAAAATAAAGGGGATCCAGCTTCCAGATTACGACAGGGGATTTCACCCAATAATATCACAGACACTTGGTCTACTTCTTTTGGGTGGGACAATCAAAGCAGCCCGTGGTTCTTGGCCCTGCTGGAGATGATGGTCCTGGTTCTCCGTTCATTCAGTAATGGAAACTCAAGAGGAGAGAGATATTTGAATACCGCAAATGGAGAGAACATCCTGTTTTGATATCACACTACAGCAGAGGTCTCCAACCATGGCCACGTGAAGACTTGTGGACTTCAACGCCCAGAATTCCTCAGCCAGCTATGAATTCTGGGAGCTGGAAGTCCATGGGTCTTCAAGTTGCCAAGTTTGAAGACCCCCATCCCAGAGTTCATTGGAAGATCAGGTACAGTGAGCATTTTAGGAAGTTTAAAAAAATAACACTTGCTGGTTTTTTTTTTCATCAGCCCAATGGTTGCCTCTTCCATGATCCTAAACCATGACTTGTTTCAACCACCATTTAATGAGCAAATCACAGTTTGTGTGGTTGACAAACCGCAGCAAGTCACAAACATGCTGGCTCATAAGCACCAGGGCCTGGATTTACACCTCACTCTAAACCCAGCCCAATCTTTTTAGGGCTGGAGGATAATGTGTAAATCCAGGTAGGTCTTGAGGAACTTACCCGTTGATTGTCGAGGCCTTCGTGGTCTTTGTGAACCAAGTTGTCGACTTCATTAAACACAGGCCAGTCTAGGTCAAAACAGAGAAGGATTTCACCCTTTAGGCAAGGATGCTGTAGAACAGTTGTAAATCCCCCCCCTTTTTTTAGCCCTGTCATAACTTCAAATAGTCACTAAAAGATTGGCCATTGAGTTGAGGACTTAACATTTTATTAATAAATATATATATAAATTCATGCTTAAAAATAATAATTGTGTGTCATACACCAGGAACAATATACATACACGAGCTAATACGGCTGGGTCCAACAAACCACAGTTACAGCAGAAATCAATACCTTGACATTGTGTATTTCTGTCAAGCTGGTGGGAATGACCTTACAGGTAGTCCTCGGCATACAACCACAACTGAGATCAGAATTTCCGCTACAAAGCAAGGCACGTTAAGTGAGACACACCTGGTTTTGTAATCTTTTTTGCCATGCTTGTTAAGCGAATAACGGCAGTTTTTTAAGTGAATCATACGGTCATGAAGCAGATCTGGTTTCTCCCATCGACTTTGCTTGTCAGGAAGGTCACAGGTGGTGATCACGTGACCCCAGGAGGCTGCCACTGTTGTAAATACACGCCAGTTGCCAAGCGCCCAAATTCTAAACATGTAGCTGTGGGTTGCTGCAACGGTTGCAATTACAAGGACCATCTGGGACTCACTTTTTTCAGTGTCATTGTAACTTTGAGCAGTCACTAAACAAAGGCTCGCAAGTCGAGGACTCTCTGTATTTTCCAGACTCTCATACTGTAATTGCTCTATTTTCTAAAACCAGCAGTGCCCATTGGCTGACACAAAAATATCTGCCCACGGTTGGCACTTACGAAGACCCTCCATCTTTTGGCTGTGAGGCGTGGCTGAGGACGGGGAAGAGGGGAGCGAGTCGAACGCCATGTCGCTAATGCTTTCATCCCCCGAATTTTCGGAAAGACGGGAGAGGAGCGGGGGACGACTGCCAGAGACGGTTCGCACATGGCTACTGCCACATTTCTCTTCCGTGCCCCGCAGGACAGTCTGGGCCGATTCCTGGACAGCAAAAAGTAAAACCTCAATCAGGAACTTCCAGTGCTCTCTGAGTAAATACGTCCCTGCTGAATAAGAACAGGTCCCCGCTCACACTTCTACAAGTTCAAACGATGCAAAATTGGATTTAGTGCAATTTATAAATCAATATCAGGGAGCTTTTAATGTGAGCCAAGCTTCAGCTAGTGCAAATTTGAATAATGCTGCCATTTTGTGGGATTCGCGAATCATACCATCTTCACAAAATGGCCTCCAGCAATTCAAAGCTCCTTTGCCGACAATACTTACAAGTAGTTTGATACTGCGAAACAAGGCGTCCTTCTCTTTGGAGGAGAGATCAAAAGGCATCAGCCGCATGCTTTGACAAATCCGGTTGCAGGAGTGAGAATGGAAGAACAAGGCCATCCCTCGCACACCTGGGGCAGGTAGAGAACCATCCACAGAATGAGTGAGAAAATTGTTTTGAGATGCAATGCCTTACTTACATGGAAGACTAGTGATTTTTCTCAAGTCAAGAACCATTCAGACCAACCAGCCATCAACAGACACATAGAGATTAACCACACATACACATCATTTAAATGAGGCAATAAAAACAAAAGACTAGAAAACATCTTCTCCAGCAACCAATATACCAGATAAGCATGGATTACCTAGTCAGATAATGAAACAACTGCAACCAACTTAGAAGCACCAAGGACATCCTAACAACATCACAGTATAGGTAAGTCCTCCACTTACGATCCAATTTCCATTGCTAAGTGATATTTGTTAAGTGAGTTTTGGCCCATTTTCAGCGTCGTTGTAACTTTGAACCATCACTGAATAAACTATTGTAAACTGAGGACGACCTGATGTCATTCGTTCTCATCAGCACACTGGACCCGTGTTTAAAGATTGTTTTTTCCAAGGATGGAAGTCTCCCAGAACTGAAGCTGACCCCTTCTCAAATCAAATCAAATCAAACACCATTCCCCAATCCCTGAAGAAGTTAAGCCACCCACAATGACAAATAATTGCTCTGTTTTTTTACCGAGATTCCCGTCTCCAAAATCTGTGCCACTCTCGGTATGGATCTGGGGATCTGTGTACAGGTCTCCAACGCCTTGGATGTCCACAATGATCAGCTGGTGTCCGGAGCGTTCAAAGGTGAAATGGCTAAAGGCCTGCAAGAGAATGGTCGTCGCATCAGCTCAACAGGAAGAAAAACCACATTTGCTTCTACAGGAAGTTACTGTCGCTGCACAAATGCAGAATTCTATGGGGACATTTTGCACTTTGGGAGATGCCAACAGGGACCAGCTTCTTGCCCAGACCCAATTATTCTAAAAACAGCTTTTGCAACGCTGAAGACCAAATTGAACAATTAGTGGAACAACCTGCCTCCAGAAGCTGTGAAGTTTTTAAGAAGAGACTGGACAGCCATTTGTCACTGACCTTAACTTTAACCTTACTGAACAGGCTAAGATTATCCATCATCCACCGAATTGCCAACTTGTTGAAACGAAAGCCCTACCTGTGGCGTCAGACGGATGTTGTCATCTCGTACGAATCCCGAGTTCGAATTGTACTTGATGTATTTCCCCTCAATGTAATGTTCCAGGTGATAAAGAGGCCGCCCTGGTCTGTTCTTCATTTCAATGATGCAGGTCTGGACAATATCTACCTAAGGAGAAGAAAGAGGAAGAGAAATAACCGACAGAGAAGGGGGGGGGGGAAACACACACGATTTTGAACCTTCTGGGCTTCACTAATTCTCCCCAGGATTCTGCGTGAGAATATACCTGCTTGGGGGGTTTATGGCGGTTATATTCTTCTCCCCATAACTTGGCCTCCATCTGCAGCCGCACATCCTCAAAATAGACGTCCCGGTTGACCGTCTCAATGTATCTCTTGGCCACATAATTAAAGGCCCCTTTCCAATTCTGCATGTGCAGAAAATTGGACAGTTTTTTCCTAGAAAGATCGAGAGAAACAAACATCCGGTGAAGCTAAGATGCTGAGAAAACAGTGGGCCTTCTACGAGTCCTTTGCCATTTTAAGGACCATCCTCAGCAGCTTTCTTCCGCAGTTTGTATCTACAGAAAAAAGATCTGCTTTAGAGAAAGGGGTAGATTTCCTGGCATGCCGGAGAAATCTACTCCTGGCATATCCTGATTGGACAGCTTTCTCCTAAAAGTCCTGAACAAGGATGAGCAAAACCAGATTTTCTAACTTTCAAACTTGCCGCAATCGTAGTTACTCTACTTGTGAGCTATGCAATCATCAAGCAGAATAACAGAGTTGGAAGGGGCCTTGGAGGTCATCTAGTCCAACCCCCTGCTCAGGCAGGAAACCCTATATCATTCCTGACAAATGGCTGTCCAGTCTCTTTTTAGAAATCTCCAGTGTTGGAGACTCACAGCTTCTGGAGGCAGGTTGTTCCACTGATTAATTGTTCAAACTGTCAGGAAATTTCTCCTTAGTTCTAGGTTGCTTCTCTCTTTGATTAGTTTCTGTTGCTTCTTGTCCTGCCTTCAGGTGTTTTGGAGAATAGGTTGACCCCCTTTTCTTTGTGACAACCCCCCAAATATAGGAACATTGCTATCATGTCACCCCTAATCCTTCTTTTCACTAGACATAATCAATTCCAGCAACTGTTCTTCATTATGTTTTAGCCTCCAGTCCCCTAATCATTTTTGTTGCTCTTCTCTGCACTCTTTCCAGAGTCTCAACATCTTTTTTATATACATCTTTTTTAAACTAGTGCTTTAATTCCTGGGTTATTAGTGGATTAATGTACCAGTGCTGGAAATTAATCCCTATATGAAAAGATTCTAGTAGAACATCCCCCACTGTTTGTTCCATTTCATCTCCAGGAATTGCCTCATTTCACAAAGAGTAAGAGGGTGGCAATTTTCCATGTATTTTGCAACGAGGGAAAAACAGTCGCTTCAAAAAGTGAGTCTGGCCCTTCGTTCTCTCCTTGGCACCAGGTTTCCTTTCTTGAGTTAAACCTCAAGAATAAGCGGACGTGAATGAAAACAAGAAAATGGGATTTTTTTTTCAAACCACGGAGATCTAGGAACAGCTGCACACTTACGTCCGGAAGCATTCGCGCATCGCTCCTCGGCCAAAAGGCTAGAAAAACAAACCAGGAGGTTAATACAGGTAGTCCTCACGTTACAATTCAGTAAGCAACTGTTCAGAGTAACAACGGCACTGAAAAAAAAGTGACTGAGGACCATCCTCGCAATTATGACCATCACAGCATCCCCACGATCACATGATCAAAATTTGAGCATCAGCCAACCATTTTTTGAGGGTTGCATAGTCCTGGGGTCAGGTGACAGCAACCTGCCACATTCCTAACTAGCTTTGGATAAGCAAAGTCAACAGGGGCAGCCAGATTTGCTTAATGACCATACGATTCATTTAATGACCGTGGTGATCTACTTAACAACCAAAGCCCAAAAAAAGGTCTGCTCTTCTTACCTGCGCAGCCATTTTGATCAAGACCTCATCTTCGATCCATTCTCCAGTAACAGCATTGTACCTGCCCAGTTAAAAAAAATGAAAATGCAAAAAGAGAGGAATATATTATATTCCAGATGCTTAGTCCTGAATGCTTGCTTCTTGTTTTCACAAGTTGTTAACCACCCAGAGTTGCATCTGCGAGATGGACCAGCGGCCTTTAACCAAGCCAATGGTTTGCTATGGGAGTGTTTTTGCCAAAACTCAGAAGTTTCCTAAAGCTTCAAGAAGTTAAAAAACTGTCAGAAAATGAGGTTAGATGACCATGGAAGGGGCTGACTGTTGGAACTTCGGCCTGGGTCATAAATCCCCTTTTTTAGGGGGGTTGATTGTAACTTCAAATGTTTTTAAGCCACCGTCATAACCTGAAGATCACCTGCAGAGTTATGTACACTATGACCGATAATATGCACAGGTTACTTGTGATATATGAGTTGCACACACACACATACACACACACACACAAAATGCAAGCAGGAATTATTAAGAGTTCAGGAAATAAGCATGAGGTCTTCCTTGCTTCTGGATAATGAGATTAGCTCCAATTCAGGCACCGATTAATTAATAGGGAATGATATTATAACCTGTTTTGCTAATTTGATTTGTGTTGCTTTCTTTCAGCTGTTATGGCTCCTGGTCACTTTCTCCCTTTCCAACAATATCACCACCTTTAAAAAGTGGGAGGACAGAAACAGCCAGGCACTGTTGAATAATTTAATACACTAATATATATATCTTTTGAATGCACCAGGGAGCAAAAGTAGAAATTCTTCAACCTCACATTTTCTCATCTGCAAAAAATATCGACCGACCTGTAGCGAGTGGCGTTCTCCATTTTGATGTTCTCCAGGTGAAATTCAGCCCAGGGGTCAGGCATGTGCTTGGCTTTTTCAATGGCATGCTTCCATGCTTCCTGCAAAGGTCAGAACTATTAAATGAGTTATTTATAAAGTGCTTTCAGGCAATTTGTACTCACAGAAAGTCCCCCTCGGATCGGATTCACAGCCCTGATTCTGGCTCTTGGTTAAGTCTAGTTTAGATTCAGATATTCTGCTAATCCACAAACCTTGGTTTAATAAATAAAAAAAGCTGGGCTTGCACTGAGTGGTAAACCAAAATGGTGATTTAATGCAACATCAAGATCTCGTCAAGATCTCTTTTATGTTTGGATCTAGAGACCAATGGTTTTCAACTGGCCCAGGATAAAAGATAAGTCTACCCCGGACACAAGGTCATAGTTTGACCTGTTTGAACTGAATGTATTGTATAGTCCAGAGGTGTCCAGCCCTGGTAACTTTAAGACGTGTGGACTTCAACTCCCAGAATTCCCCAGCCAGCATGGAGATGTAGAACTGACCCACTTAATTACATTGTGTAAATGAGTGTGAAAGCCAGACTTTGAAGAAATTGTTCCATCATGTTTTTGGAGGTTAATTTCATTAATTCCATATTTATTTACAATATCTTTTTTTTTAATCTTTCCCACTCTTTTGGGAAACAAAACAGAACGGCAAATAAGTCCTTTCAACCAGATGTTCATTTGTTTAAAAATGGTGTGAATTATTCATCATTTCCCCATTGTTTTACTGCTGATTCATAGACTCCAGCTCTCTTTGTTTCCCTCAAGAAAATATATGGATAACACTGGAGGGAGGGACAGGAATTTTTAAACTTCATTTTACAAAACTCAGCTTTAGGATTGAAAAGTACGTAGTAAACATGTTAATGCAAATTTAAAAAAAAAGACGTACGGGACAAAGCTGGAGGGTAAAGTGGAATCCAGATGTTGCACAAAAAAAAGTCAAGGTGCTGGCCGCTGCTTATCCAATTAAACCTTCTCCTTTTAAAATGGATTTTGCAAGTAAAAAGAGGGGGGATGATTTGGGTTATGCAATCACAGATGCCATCTTGACTTTTTTGACCAAATCCTGGATAGCCCTCCCTTTCACCATCTTGCAAAGTTGGATCCTGACTTCCATTTGGCAACCGATCTGTCCCAAAACTGCACAGAAGTACCATGATAAATGGGAGAAGAGTCACTCAGTGCATTAAATCACGTGCAAATATTTTTTTTTCTTGCACACAAAAAAAATATTTTTGTTTCTTCTACTGTCTGGGCTGGTTCTCTTCCAGCAAAAAACTTTTTCGGTTGACCTCGGATTTCTTTATATAGTCCTGCACTCTGTGTGTGTGTGTGGTTTTTTGTTTTGTTTTGTCTTTTAAATAAATATACAGTGAAACTGGAACAGGCTTTTCATGTCCAAACGAAACCACACAAACATGCCACAAGCATCAGCAAAGAAAAGAAAGCTTTTAAAAACATAAAGCCCCCAGCACAGTGGCAAGAATTCAGGCACATGTGAGTACGGAACAGAGATTAAAAACATCACAACTCTAGAATCATCCACGTTGTTACGAAATGCCATGGTAGGAAAGCCAGATTGGTGTAGTTGTTAAGGTGCTGGTTTAGAAACTAGGAGATGGTGAATTCTAGTTCTGTCTTAGGCACAAAGCCAGCTGGGTGACTTTGGGCCAATCACCAAGAGGTGGCGAGTTCTAGTTCTGCCTCAGCCATGAAAGCCAGCTGGCTGACCCTCTCTCTCAACCCAACCCACCTCACAGGGTTATTGCTCCAGTAAGAAAAACAGGAGGAAGAAGGAGTATTGTGTTTGTTTGCCACCTTTCGTTATAAAAACAATAAAGGTGGAATATAAATAAATAAAAATAGGTTGCCAAAGGAAGTTTAAATGCAATATTACTTTTATTTGATATGGTCCTCCTCTTTTATGACTCGTGGACTTCAACTCCCAGAATTCCTGAGCCAGCCATGCTGAGAAGAAAGGGAGAGGTTTCCAAGCTGAGCCATGCTGGCTCAGGAATTCTGAGAGTTGAAATCCACGAGTCATAAAAGAGCCCAGGTTGCCTATCCCTGGCCTAGTCTGATATCTTCCTAATCACGTCCATCCTTCTGTCTTGTTAAAATATCCACTGAGTCCCTGTAAAGAGATGGGCGGTCGTATAAATGGCTTAAAATAAATAACTGACAAATTAAAAATGACAGATGGGTAACTGCTTTGGGGAGAGAGTTCCCAAACCGGAATGGATAAAATGAAGATGACGTGAGATGCAAAGCAGGAATTTATTAGAGTCTGTTGGGGAACGGGAGGGGGTTTGGGGTTGACCTACCCGTCCATGGTCAGCCTGAGCGTTGCGCTTAGGGGGGTGCTGAGTCCCATTCTGAAGGACACAGACAAGACACAGTTATTGAACGACACAGCAAAACAGACAAGCCAAAACGGTTATTGCAGCTACACAAAAGTCAGCCGGCTACTAGTTTTCCAATTGCACTTTCTCTCTTCTTCCAAATTTGACAGAGATATGGTCAGTACAGGGTTACTTAGGAGCATTTGCCCTACCCTATTGTGCAAAAAAAAAAAAAAAAAAAAAAAATCAAAAAAAAATCCTGACTTATTTCAAGAAGAGCACAGTGCAACCAAAAATATTCAGGAACATGAGTTGATCTTGTGTTTTTCCCCACTGTCCAGACACAACATTTTAGGCTGGAATGAAGCTTGCAAAAATCAATACTTGGGTATGTCATCTCCGGCCAGGTCACTTGTATGCTTTACTGGACAGTTTCATGAGCAAAATATTTCTAATTACATCACCCATAGTTATTGTTTTTTTTTTTAAAGACAATTGACTTTTTTTCTGTGCAAGTACAATTATGTCATCTGTCACAAGACAAAGTGACTCTGGACGGTGTACAGCAAAAAAGTTTAAAACAATAAACATGTCAATCAGGGCAAACTAATGCAGAAAAATAGGCTTGGAAGGGACCTTGGAGGTCTTCTAATCCAATCCCCTGGAGCAGGAGACCCTACACCATTTCAGACAAATGGTTGTCTACTCAAAAACCTCCAGTGTTGGAGCACCCACAACTTCTGGAGGCAGGTTGTTCCACTGGTTAATTGTTCTCACTGTAAGGAAAGTTCTCTTTATTTCTAGGTTGCTTCTCTCCTTGGTTAGTTTCCATCTGTTACTTCTTGTCTTGCCCTTTAGAGAATAGGTTGACCCCTTCTACTCTGTGACAATCCCTCAAATCTTAGAAGACTGCTATTATTTCTTCAAACCTTGTAAGGAATCCATTGCAAATGCTGGCCAGGGAATCAACTATGGAAAATGCAAACTGGAACGGCACCCTTGTCCAAAATTTAGGAAGAGGGCAACTATACTAAAGCAGAAAAATATCCAAATTATGCTTATTGGCAGAGTTAGTTACATGCAGCCAAAGCAGACAAGAAAGCTCATTGCTGAAGAGAAAAAAAAAACAACTCTGAAGAGGCTAAAACTTACCCTAATCTGGAAGGAATTTCTGGGAGAAGAGCTGGAAGAATAACACTCGTTTTTGACCAAGTTGCTATAATAGTTATTCACTTTGTCCCCAGCTGCCTTGCTCAAAACAGGGTCATCTGTAATTGGGCAGATGTAATAATTCTCCTCCTCATCGCTGTCCACCTCGTGGCAATTCCCACAACCTGGTTTGGTTGGCGTGGCGTTGTCCAGGTACTCCATGTGAAATATCAGGTCTTCGTCCGCCATATTGGGAGAATACGGACCTCGCTCGGTGGGATGCTGGGGAAGCCAGAATTACAGGCTGGAGAGACTAGGGAAGGAAATCAAAAGGCAAATGAATAATTAGGATCGGTGGGGGTAGAAACCAGGACTGGCTGGGTGTTCGCAGGACAAAGTTACAAACGATGGTTTAGATGGGAACCTTGTCAGTTCTAACAATGCTGAGAGAGATGGATCCAGGATTCCAGAGGACTGTAAAACAAGCCAAATGCAAAACAAAGACTATGTTTGAAGACCACTGGTATAGGGTTTCCTGCCTAAGCAAGGGGTTGGACTAGAAGACCTCCAAGGTCCCTTCCAAGTTTGTTATTCTATTACTCTATTCTGTTTTTTCCAGATGTTCCGAGTCTTATCTCCAGGACCATCAAACGTTGAACAGTAAGATCGATGTGGCTTCTTGGGGAACATGCTGTTCCTTTCCTGCTTAAGGCGATCCATGCGCTGGTGCCAAGCAGGCAGATTTTTCAAACCCTCTGGCTGTCTGCCAGCTAAGATCCCTACCAGCCAATCAGGCAAGGAGGCTGCAGCTTCCCTTCACAGTACCAAGAGACAGACAAAGAGCCCTTAATAAGTCAGTTGGCTGTGCGTGGCTCCCCCAGGCACGGGGTTGAGCAGAAAAATCCTTGGTTGTATGTATGTATGTATGTATGTATGTATGTATGTATGTATGTATGTATGTAGGTCTTTGGTTGTTCGGGTTTTCTCCCGCATAAAATTGGAAGTGTCTTGGCGACGTTTCGACGAAGTCCCATTCGTCATCTTCAGGCTGGTTTTTTCAGCTTCGTGCTTCGAGCAGCTTGCACGAAACTGAAAACACCAGCCTGAAGATGACAAATGGGACTTCGTCGAAACATCGCCAAGACACTTCCAATTTTACGCGGGAGAAAACCCGAACAACCAAAGACCTACATACAAACACCCGCGAAAACCTCAGAATATATATATATAGTCCCTTTTATCTGATAGAAGAGAAATGCGCCTTTGCAAGGCATGGATCTTCCTTGCAAAAGAGAAGCTGGTTCAGAAACAATCAAGTGCCTTTTTCTCGGACAAGCGGATCGCTCAGTGGTCTACTTTTCCTTCTACATATTTCCTAGCATTCCGTAACCCTTGGGGTTTTTTCCAGATACAGGTAGTGCTCAACTTACGACCACAACTGAGCCCACAACTTTTATGTTGCTAAGTGAGAATTTTGTTGAGTGGGTCTTGCTCCCTTTTACGAATTTTCTTGCCATGTTTGTCACGCGAATAGCTACGGTTGTTAAATTAGTAACACCGTCACTTTTTTAAATACCGTTGTAACTTTGAACGGTCACTAAATGAACTGTTGTTAAGACGAAAACTACCTATACTGAAGCCAAGGAACGATGGAAACCATCGTAACAAAACACAAAAATAAAAATCAGAAAAAAATCAGCAGTCCCTCACTCCATAAGGAAGCTGGAAAAGGCTACCAAGAGAAAAAAGTTCAAGCTCTCTGGAAATAAAGCAGAAAAACAGAAACTTTTTTTTTTTTTTGGAAAGAAATTGAGAAAATGCATCTCACCTTGACCAATTTTTTTTGATGGCTTCGCCTGGTTTTCACCAGGGTTTTGCCCCAAACGAGCAATTACTGACAAAACTTCAGTCCTGGCAAACTGCTGCTTCATTTAACAACTGCAGCAGCCACTTTACAATTGTGGCGTTCGTTTAATGAGGACCACTGCAAAAAAAAAAAAAAAAAAAAAGGTTGTAAAAACAGGTCCATCACTCGGCCTGATTGACGATTGTCGTGATGGGCGGGCTCCATTACTGTCGTACTTTGAGGACTATCTGTATAAACTGAGCCCAGGGCGATGGTTCACCCAAAGTTCAGACTGCCCCTTAATCTCGGAGGAAATAAGGACAAGTACACTTTGTCTATTTACAAAAGGTGTGAATTCAAGAATCTCACCTCCTCCATTCCTCCTGCCTGATGCAAAAGCACATTTTAACAGCCTGGTAACTTTATCATGCCTTCAATACCAGCTGGAGCCAAACAAATACATTCCCTCTGCACTGAAATTAGCCATAAATTATTTACCCATTTTACCAGGGCCTTGCTTTTTGCCTTTGTAAAAACGTTCATTGCACTGGATTGTGCTGAAATGTTATTTCAGAGACCCTAAATAGGAAGGAAGGAAGGAAGGAAGGAAGGAAGGAAGGAGAGGGAGGGAGGGAGGGAGGGAGGGAGGGAAGGAAGGAAGGAAGGAAGGAAGGAAGGAAGGAAGGAAGGAAGGAAAATTACTATACTGTTTTGTGTTGAAATAGTTTGCACCCTATTTTGGTCCAAAGGTCCAAAGAATTAATTCAAGAAACATTGTTAGGCAGACTGGAACTTAAAAAAAAAAAAAAACTTACTTCCTTCCTTCTTTCCTTCTTTCTTTCCTTCCTCCCTCCCTCCTTCCCTCTTCTTTCTCTTTTCTTTCTTACTCTTTTCTGTCTCTTTTCTGTCTCTTTTTTGTCTCTCTGTCTCTTTTCTTTCTTTCTTTCTTTCTTTCTTTCTTTCTTTCTTTCTTCCCTTTTCCAAGCTTTGTGAAGCTATAAACCAACTGGGTACAACACGTCAACACAGCTGAGCCGAGAGCTATTTTTGCTACACTAGAGATGAATTGCCACAAATGCACACACAGACTTCCAGTGCAGCCAGGAGGTGGTTTACATAAGATTTTACACTCTGAGCAACACAGGCGGTTGGTTGCACACGGCTGACTTGGCTCCACCTTTCCCCAACCCCCCCCCATCATGCTGAAATCCAAGCAACACATGAGCTGATGGGAAGGCAGCTCTCCTGATGGAGTACATCCGGATATGAGGTCACCTTTTTGCTTATTAAGAAAGAACCTTTCATTTTAATGCATTGTTTTTTCCAACCTTGACAGCTTGAAGATGGGTGGACTTCAACTCCCAGAATTCCCCAGCCCTGAGAATTGAAGTCCATCCATCTTCAAACTGTCAAGGTTATGAAATGGTGATCTTACTATTTCACTTTGCATTTTCCAGCTGGGCCTTTCCTCCCCTCCCCCCCAGATTTATAGGCTGCTTCCCAGAATTCTTTGCAAGGTTGACTAGGGAATTCTGGAAGTTGAAGTCTCCACCTCTTCAAGCCCCCAAGCCTGGAAAATGGAGGGTAACTTCCTAATTTACAACCCTACTTTGCAAGAACTGGGATTGGCAAAATATAGCCAATATTGCATGTCCTTAAGAACAAATGTAGGGGGGGGGGAAAGTCCTAAAAATGTTTTCCAGCACATTTTGGGTCATATTTATTCCAGGTGAAGAAGCTTGGATTAAGTTCTGAAGAGTAAATGAGAATCAGTTATGCAGCAGGGGTGGGGCATTTCTTCAATAAGAGCTTTAAAATTGTGCAGATCAAACGTTACGTTCTCTAAAGAAGCTGTCTCAACTTGTTTTTAAAATAGGCAATTTAATGTCAGGATTCTTCAAGAACAAACAGATCATCAGTGTAGCTGTAGCCTCTTCTGGCAGCCCTGCACAGTTGGGGTTACCGCTTACGGTTAAAAAAAAAAAAAGAATTCAATTTTTAATTTGATGGGAAGGGGCTTCAGCTTATACCACTGAAGGGTGTTGCTGATGTGTCAAAATAACAACTCCTTGCCTGCAACATTTCCAAATAAAAGTAATTTCATGCAGGCAACAAACCTGCTTCATAAAAATACAGCAACTTATATAAATGGCGCTGCCAATAGAAAGAAGCTGTAAAATTCGCACACAGCCCAGACTCAAATAACAAGAGTATTTGTACGTGAATAGAAGCATGCAACTTTGGTCAATAAAGATAAAGATCTGGAACAACAGATCAGGAGGCTAGAATAGCAAAAAAGTGAAATTTGCAAGAAAAAAATCCTCAAGAGACTATCGAAAACCATTGAAGCGTAAAACTAAGACAATTATGAGAAATTAATATTTTTAATAGTTAAATTGGGTTTTACAGTTGTGTACTACATTCTCAACACTATTTAAGAGTCTTTTACATTGGGTGTAAGACTATTGAGAGATGTTAGGAATTGTTTTTAAAGTTGTGTGTCAAATTCTCAATACTGTTTGAGCATCTTTTACCCTGGTGTAAAACTAAGACAATTGTGAGATATTCCGAATGTTTTTTGTACTAAAATTGGGTTTTACAGTTGTACATTGCATTCTCAAGACTATTTAAGAGTCTTTTACATTGGGTGTGAAGACTATTGAGAGATGTTAAAAATTGTTTTTATAGTTGTGTGTCAAACTCGCAAAACTATTTAAGAGCCTTTTTACACAATTTAAGACAATTGGGAGATATTAAGATTTGTTTTAAGGGCTGTACATCGTCATAGTTTTGACAGTGGGGTGGCCATATATATCTTTAAATAAATAAGCCAAGGTGGATGATATCACAACTGTTTGGATCCCAAAGTCCCACAGCTGAGAAGGACCTCACAAGCAACACAATTCTGCTCCCTTCTCTCCTCAGAACACAACAGCCTTGACTAACCACACACACTGCAAGGCCTGTTGGATAGGGAGCTCAAGTAAGCAATCCCAGCTGCACAGAAGAGAAACAAAGAGAGAAACTGGCCAGAAATGAACCTATTTTCTCCCTAGAGGTCTCCAATTACCGTTCCTGAAATTAAGAAATGGTTTTTTACGGCAATCATGTGTACCAGCTTCCTTTCAAACGATTTAAAGAAGTCCTTCCCACCCATTTGGGAGCCCAAATGTAAGAACTCTTATTTGCCAACATAAAGAACTTTTCTTTTCAATAAATGGTGCTTGAATTGCATCCCAACCTTGTCTAAAAGGCCTAGTTTCCAAGTCAACGTTGCAAACTCATTCAGGAGAAAACTGCACCCCCACACAACCCAACAATCACACACAGATTCAAAGCAAACCCACCCCCATAATAACAGCCCACAAAGCAGAAAATAAAGCAACACGCCAGGCGCCTAATGCACACATTAAAGCTCCAGCTATAAACTTGGGACTAGCCTAACCCCAAACCAAGCCGTTCCAGATGCTTCGAGGTTCCCAGATGCTCCCATCAGCACCTCTTTTCCAGGCAGGCTGGGGATGATGGGAGCAGGAGTTGCTTCCACAAGCTATAAAGCCTCTTTTATTTTGCCTACAAAAAAAGCAACTTTGAATCTCTCTTTTCCTCCACTTGTTTTTTTTTTCCTTTTTCATGCAACACAGTAACACAACCGTTTGGGAGGGAGAGGGGGGGGTCGCCTTCTTTTATGCTGCAACCTCTCCTGTGCCTCCGCCCCCGCCCCCCAGCAAGTCTCCCCACTCACCCCAAAACAGGAAGATAAGATTTCTCCAACAAAGTTAGGGTGACAAAGCTATTCTCCCTCCCAGGGCAGAAAGTCTTGGAAGCTGATTCAGAGCAACCGACCCCCTTCCCTCTTCCCCCCTGCCCAAAGTCTCCCCCCCCGCAATTCTCCCCCAACCCTAGCCCCCCCTAATTCCCAGCGGGGAAAAAACCCGGAATTCAGAGTCAGCAGAACGGGAAGGGCGCCCGCTGGCTTTCTGCCTTTCCTGAAGGGAAGGAGGGTGGGGGGACTGCCAAGACCTGCAGGCAGGGAGCGGCCGCCTTCCCACGACCCCCTTCCCCGCTCCCTCCACGCTCCTGTCTGCAAAGGCATGCGGGCGGGGGGGCTGCGTCCCCACGACCCCCCTCCACACACACACACACACACCCCTCCCGCTGCTGTCCCTCCCCGGAGTGGCAAAGCCAGCCCACCCAGGGCGATTGGGGGAACCCCGAGCCTCCGCGCTCCCAGGTGCAGCCAGGGTTGTGGGAACGCCGCCCGGACCCTTCCCCCCCCCCCCGCTTGGCAAGAAGCGTGCACGCCCGGCGCGGGCGGGGAAGTGGGGTGGCTGGGGGGGGGCGTTGGGCTTACCTTGGCACGGGGGGAAGCGGGAGGAAACCGGTCGCGAAGCCCCGCGGAGCGAGCGGAGGAGCGGCGGCTGCAAGAAGTGGCGAGCGCGGCGCGTGACGCTTCTCGCCTTCTTCCCCGGGGAGTGGAGCTCGCCAGCGCCTCGCGCGTCCCCAGGCAGGCGGGCAGGCGCGTTGCAAGGCGGGGCTCCGTGCAAAAGCCAGCCCACCCATCCCCATTTCTCCCCCCCCCCACGGTTGCAATGCTGGAAGGGGGCCCGCCTACCACCCGCGGGCCCCCCCAGCTGGTTTAACCTCCCGTGACAGACTGGTATAAATAGGTAGGTAGGTAGGTAGATAAGCAGGCAGGCAGGCAGGCAGGCAGGCAGGCAGGCAGGCTAGACAGATTCGATAGGGTAGGTAGGTAGGTAGGTAGACAGACAGATGGACAGTAGGTAGGTAGACACAGGTAAGATAGGTAGGTAGGTAGATAGACAGAGTAGGTAGGTAGGCAGACATAGATAAGGAAGATAGGTAGGTAGGTAGACAGACAGATAGAGAAGATAGGTAGACAGACAGACAGACAGGGTAGGTAGATAGACAGATAGATTAGATCAGTGGTTCTCAACCTTTTTAATGCTGCGACCCCCAACCAGTCGTAAGTCGAGGAGTACTCAACCGGTCATAAGTCGAGGACTACTCAACTGGTGCAGCACCGTTTGCAGAATGGGACTTTTGGCGGGCTCAGCAGGGCAGAGACAGCCTGGACAATTCCTACTGGCTTTTGAAAGCCAATAGAATTAGACTCTATTCAAGAGAGACTATTCTATCGGCTTTCAAAAGCCAATAGAATAAAAGGGAGTAGCACAGCTAAGGAAAAGGGGAGAAAAAATGGCAGACTGCGTTGTTTGGCGACCCCCGTGAAATGGTCGTTCAACCCCAAATGGGGTCCTGACCCACAGGTTGAGAGCCACTGGATTAGATAGATAGGGAAGATAGGTAGGTAGACAGACAGGCAGACAGACAGACAGGGTAGGTAGGTAGGTAGGTAGGTCTGCCACAAAGAAGAGGGGGTCAAATTATTCTCCAAAGCACCCGAAGACAGGACAAAAAACCATGGCTGGAAACTACTCAAGGAGAGAAGCAGCCTGGAATTAAGAAGAATCTTCTTAACAGTGAAGACAATTAACCAATGGAACAACCTGCCTCCAGAGGTTGTGGGTGCTCCATCACTGGAGACTACTAGACAGTCACTTGTCTGGAATGGTAAAAGGTCTCCTGCCTGAGCAAGGGGCTGGACTAGAAGACCTCCAAGGTCCCTTCCAGCTCTATTCTATTCTAAAAAGGGTCATGAGATATATATATATATATATATTTTAAAAAAAACAAGACTAATGAATCCGGAGATGAAAAAAAGCTGGAGAGCAGCGCCCTCTGGTGGCCAGCGCGCGCAATAGCCAGCCTACCGTGGGAAATCCACGTTGCTCTTTTCAACATGGAGAAAGGCCGCTAAAAATATTTAGAAATATTTTTCTAAAAAAAATATTTGGGAAGGGGAGGAGAGGCTTTACAACGGCTGTGCAAAAAAGACACACTGTAAAAGGTAAAAAAATATATATATTTAATTTAAGCATTTCTGCAAGGAAAATCGGGAAAAAACCCAAAATACTCCTAAATCGGAAGATAATCTTGCAACAATAAAAAAGAAAAAAAAAGGGGGGGGGAATTGCACTATTTTTAATGTGGGAAGTTTCGTTTTGCAAAAGGAAGCCAACGGCTGCCTTTGCACGGTCTTGATCTGCGATTGAGAGTTCCTTTATGAGCAAGTGGTAGCGTGGCCGAGTGGTCTAAGGCGCTGGATTTAGGCTCCAGTCATTTCGATGGCGTGGGTTCGAATCCCACCGCTGCCAACAGAATTTTTTTTTTATTTTTTTATTTTTTGGCTTGCAAGTAATTTTCTGCCCAGGATCAAAGTGGGGCGCGATCCTTAAAAAGATCCTGGAAATGCCTGCGAGATTAGAGACTGGTCAAAAGGGGTGGAAAAAGACTTCAGCCGGTGGAAAAAGTCACTTTTGCAATCTGTAGTTTGGTGGGTAGGAAAGGAAAATATTGAAAAAAAAAAGATATATTATTTTGCAAAGCAGGAAAAGGGGGAACAGGGGAGAGGGCGGCGGGGGGAGGGGGGGAGGGAAGATATCCCCGAAGATATAAATCAAATGAGAATAAATCTTAGGACAAGAAGGGAATTATTAAAACCAAGAAGGGTAATAAATCAATAGTCCTAATAAATAATCAAAATATACAGAAAGATTATATGTTGTCTATATAATATTATATATGAATACATATTGTGTATTATTTAATTCATCTAGAAAAATATACATTATATAAATACTATATGATTACCTATGATCTATATTGTGTATGTATATATATGTGTGTAATATAATACAATATATTTAATATACATATATACATATCTAGATATATCTCTAATTAAATAACTGATATAAATATTCATCCTATATATTTATCTAGCTAGATAAATTCGGCAAATAAATAAATATACTTACCCTTATTTTATTCAGTAATTATTCTAACGTATAAATTCATTATTGTCTTTGTAAATTAAATCTTACTTATTTCTTTATTATCTTGAACAAGTGGTGCCTTTTACTTCCTTTTATTTCTTTTACTATTATTTTTTAACTACAGCACTATATTTTTTTTTCCAGAGGGAAGATAGCTTATTCCAGGATTATTATTATTATTGCATTTTAGCCAAGAAACTAATAGTGGCCTTGTGGACCCCCCTTTTGATGTGAGTGATGGCATCCTAGGGACCCCCCCCCCTTCTCTGCTGAGTCCAAGATGCCATCTGGATTCTGTAAATGGACTCCATGAATCTTGGGGGAACATCTGGACAGCTGCCACTGCCGCTTCCCACTCAAAAAGACAACCATGTTGGTCTTTTTCCCCAAGTGTTTTTATTTTAGTGCCCTGCATGGTTGATCCAAGCCAGATGGAGGTACACAGGCACAAAAGTGTCCATGGGGATCCTTCACCTAAACGGGGTCCCCACGTCATCCTTCTAGGCTCCATCTTCAGAAGGCAACACCGGTCTTGATCCTTCCAGGTGGATCTTCTCTTACGGCACCCAGGTGGGGTAGAGTGGGGTGGAGGTGGAGGGTTGAGCACCCCTCTTTTGGCTTTCGTTTTTCTTCCTTGTGCAGCCGCACAAAACTCTTGAGGATCTCAAGGGAGTTCCGGAGACGTCTGCGCGACGCTGTGCTTGGTTAACCCGTCCATTCACCGTTTTCGTTTTGGAACAACCGTCGTCGCATCCTCTTAGCCGTACCTGTTTGGCCTATGAGTTGGGGATGACTCCAAAGCCCATGTGCCACAGTTCCCATCCCTGCTTCTAAGGGCTAGCAACGTCCCAACGCTTTACCTCTTCAGAACGTACCGATATTTTTCCCAGGAATCTAGCAGGAAAGTTCGGACTTGGGTGAATTTCACATACAGCACGATCAGCCCCACGAGGAGGACCAGCAGAAAAAGGCATTTTCGTAAGAAAAAACTCCTCGGCTGGGGTCCCTTTTTCAAAAAGTGGTCCACGCAGTCAGCAAATGGGTACTTTTTCGGGGCGTAGCCAAGATGGGCCCGAGCTTTATCTATTTTGAAGGTGTGTGTGACACACATGTTATGTACCTATAAATTGGGAAGACAGACAGATCCCGTTTTTGTGGTTATCCTCAATAGCATTTTTAGAAAACGAGGCAGAAACAAATAAAATGTGCAAAAAGATTGGACCTAGGAGGAGAAAAGACATCTAGGTTTTGCTCAGGAGATGCAAAGGGGCTGATTTCTCACACAGCGAGGGACGTGTGCCTGGCTGAGGAATTCTGGGAGTTGAAGTCCACAAGTCATAAAAGGGCCAGGTTTGAAGACCCCTGCTTTAACACTTGTGCATTGTCCTTTTTGCCTTTCAAAAAGGCCGCTGGGGTCTGGCCCAATGGCGGTAACCAATACTGCTCACCAAGGAGACCTTTCAAACCCCCTCCCCAATTTCTCAGGGATGCATTACTTCATTTCTGGCGATCAGGGCTGGGATCTCCACAATGGGTAGCAATAGATTTTGTAATTTTTCCATGACAGCAGCTGTGGAAGAGAAAACACAGCTTTTGCAGTTACAGGTTTAACAGGAAGCAAAATGTTGGGCTGGCATCCATCTTAGAAAACTCTGGTATCTCCGTCTTACATACTGGGACCCTATTTTCTAAGAAAAAATAAAGGACCAATTTGAAAAAGAGGTAAACCTGAACGTGGTCCATCAGGATAAAGAACTGGTTGTGGTTTTGGGGACGTAGGGTATTTCAAGCCGAATAAGAAACCAGCATTGAGTCAATTATTGGAGTTTGTTTACCTGTTAGATGAAGCAGAAAAACAGGAATATGGATCCACGGTTTCTTGTAGCCCAGTTTTTCAAACTGAAAATAAAGGGGAAAACTGATTGACGAGGACAATTCATTACTCCTGGGGTCTCCAAAGTTAGTAACTAAGACGTGTGGACTAGTCTGGCTGGGGAATTCTGGGAGTTGAAGTCCACAAGTCTTAAAGTTGCCAGGAATGTCCGCAATGGGTGGTTTTTGCCAGAAGCCAGAATTAAACCAGTTTCTGGCAAAAGTATCGTAAATCATGGTCATGTGACCTCAGGACACTACAAACTGCCGTAAATGCCAGCCAGTTGCCAAATGCCCAAAATGTCATCTTGATGACGGACTCTTTCTCTATCAATTAAACAATTAAACAATTTACAGACGTGTCCCTGAAACCCAAGGTTTTTTTTCACTCACCAAGGGCAGCAGCCATTCAAACAGGTTGACCTTCTCCCCATCGTTGATAAAGTAGGCCTGCCCACCCTGGGAATGACACCATGGAAGGGCCAATGAGAAAGGTGACTTGGAAATCCTATGATGCTTCCATACAGTTACAAAATATAATTTAAAAAAAATAATAAATCTTTTTTTTTGTTTTAATGCTTTTTGCTGTTTTTATTGTTTTAAAAGGTTTTTAAAAATTTAATTGTAATGTACGATATAGATAGATAGATAGATAGATAGATAGATAGATAGATAGATAGATAGATAAATAGATAGATATAGATAGACAGACATAGATAGATAGATAGATAGATAGACACAGACTAGATAGATAGCTAGATAGATAAATAGATAGATAGATATAGATAGACAGACATAAATAGATAGATAGATAGATAGACACACAGACTAGATAGATAGATAGATAGATAGATAGATAGATAGATAGATAGATAAATAGATAGATAGATAGATAGATAGATAGATAGATAGATAGATAGATAGACAGACAGACAGACAGACAAGATGGATGGATGGATGGATGGACGGACGGGCGGACAGACAGACAGATATGAGATAGATAGAAAGATAGACTAGATACAGATAGATACAGATAAATAGACAGATAGACAGACTAGATATAGATAGATGGATGGATAGATAGATAGATAGATAGATAGATAGATAGATAGATAGATAATGACAGACAGACATAAAATCAATACAAAAACTTAAAACGTTTGTTCCAAAGTGACTGGCTTTCAGCTCTTAAGCAATCAATCAGAGATTCCCCCCCCCTTTTAATCTTATATAGGCAGTCCTTGACTTACAACCATTCATTTATTAACTGTTTGAATAAAGAAAAATAGGCCATCGGGGCATAAAGTTCCGGGTGAAGGCTACATATCTCTGGAAGGCCGGGAACTGAAAAACTCACTGCGATATAGTTCATTTCCGGAGTGAGAGCCTTCGCAGCAAGGATGTGGCCTTGGACCAGATTTTTCACGTGGACCCAGTTCATCAGGATCCCCGGATTGCCGAAACAGACGTTACAAAACCCTCTTTCGATATTGAGCTGTGTTGGCAAAACACGAAAATCACAAAAGCACAGCTAAACGACAAGATACGGGGGCTTAAAAAGAAGAAACATGGGACAGAAAGAGGTATCGGAGTTCTTTTATCATTTTTTTCTTTCCTTTTTTTTTTTTAACATTTTAGAGCACGGTTTCCCAAACTGGGCAACGTTAAAATCTGTGGACTTCAACTCCCAGAATTCCACAGCCAGCCAACATGGCCAACTGGGGAATTCTGGGAGTTGAAGTTCACGGGGTCTTAAAGTTGCCAAGTTTGAAAAACCGATTTAAAGCAATCCTGGAGGGGAGATATTTATATCTTGTTGTTAGACAAAGCTGGCTGAGGAATTCTGGGAGTTGAAGTTCACGGGGTCTTAAAGTTGCCAAGATTGAGAACCCCTGTATATAGAGGAAGAAAAATAATGAGTGGGTTATTTCCTTTTTTTCTCCTTTTTCTGATCTAAAACGCAGAGCTAGAGGAGAAAAAAATGTAGTGTTCCTTTTAATGGCTTCCTGTTCGTCTTGCCTGGAGGCTTCATTGACCTGACGAATAAACCAGGTTTCGAGTAGGCTAATGATAGGCAACACATTTGCAAAAGACCTTCTTAGCTTTCCCTGCAAAGGTGCTTCTGTGACCCCCCCCCCACCTCTTCATCAGGGCTGCCCGTCAAAATACATACAGCCAACCGAGACAAATGCCCCATCTCTTCCGGTCCGTAAATTCCAGGAGGGCGGATTGCACAGGTGTGTAACTTTCCTCCTCCTGTGAAGTAAAGCAAGCCAGAATGAATCCTTCAATATATGAAAGACCACTTTGAGTCCTTTGGGTGCAATCCCTAAGTGGAATTTTCCTCCAATGGGATTTTCCCATGTATTTTACCAGGAAACATAGATAGGGCAGGCTGGAAAAGTCAGTGCCCTCCTAACCATACCCAAGCACCCCAAGTTTGTTGGTGATGTCCATTTTCCTCTATGAGTTCATGCTGACTTAACCCTAACCCTAAGTGGAATTTTCCTCCAATGGGATTTTCCCATGTATTTTACCAGGAAACATAAGATAGGGCAGCCTAGAAGAGTCAGTGCCCCCCTAACCATACCCAAGCACTCCGAGTTTGTTGGCGATGTCCATTTTGCTCTATGAGTTCATGGTGACCTAACCCTAACCCTAAGTGGAATTTTCCTCCAATGGGATTTTCCCATGTATTTTACCCCGATAGATAGATAGGGCAGCCTAGAAAAGTCAGTGCCCTCCTAACCATACCCAAGCACTCCGAGCTTGTTGATGATGTCCATTTTGCTCTATGAGTTCATGCTGACCTAACCCTAACCCTAAGTGGAATTTTCCTCCAATGGGATTTTCCCATGTATTTTACCCCGATAGATAGATAGGGCAGCCTAGAAAAGTCAGTGCCCTCCTAACCATACCCAAGCACTCTGAGTTTGTTGGCGATGTCCACTTTGCTCTATGAGCTCATGGTGACCTAACCCTAACCCTAAGTGGAATTTTCCTCCAATGAGATTTTCCCATGTATTTTACCCCGATAGATAGATAGGGCAGCCTAGAAAAGTCAGTGCCCTCCTAACCATACCCAAGCACTCCAAGTTTGTTGGCGATGTCCATTTTGCTCTATGAGTTGATGCTGACCTAACCCTAACCCTAAGTGGAATTTTCCTCCAATGGGATTTTCCCATGTATTTTACCAGGAAACATAGATAGGGCAGCCTAGAAAAGTCAGTGCCCTCCTAACCATACCCAAGCACTCCAGTTTGTTGGTGATGTCCATTTTGCTCTATGAGTTCATGGTGACCTAACCCTAACCCTAAGTGGAATTTTCCTCCAATGGGATTTTCCCATGTATTTTACCAGGAAACATAGATAGGGCAGGCTGGAAAAGTCAGTGCCCTCCTAACCATACCCAAGCACTCCGAGCTTGTTGGTGATGTCCATTTTGCTCTATGAGTTCATGGTGACCTAACCCTAACCCTAAGTGGAATTTTCCTCCAATGGGATTTTCCCATGTATTTTACCCCGATAGATAGATAGGGCAGCCTAGAAAAGTCAGTGCCCTCCTAACCATACCCAAGCACTCCGAGTTTGTTGGCGATGTCCATTTTGTTCTATGAGTTCATGGTGACCTAACCCTAACCCTAAGTGGAATATTCCTCCAATGGGATTTTCCCACGTATTTTACCCTGATAGATAGATAGGGCAGGCTAGAAGAGTCAATGCCTTTCTAACCATACCCAAGCACTCCGAATTTGTTGGCAATGTCCATTTTGCTCTCCGAATTCGTGGTGACTTAACCCTAACCCTAGGGTTACGTTAAAAGAATCTTGCAATGCGTCAATGTTGTATTCTAACCAGTTGATGTAATGCAATGTGCAAATGACTTTGGGACAGTGGTGGGATTCAAATATGTGAACAACCGGTTCTCTGCATGGATGCCGCTTCCGGAAGTCCATTCTGGGCCTGGGCAACAAAAAATTAGCTACCGATTGTGCTGAAGTGCTGCGAACCAGCTGAATCCCACCACTGCCTTGGGAGACGGGAGGAAGAGCCACACACAAGACGAGGGTCGGATAAGAAGCAGCTGAGCCCTCAGAAGGAGTGCTGAAACCATCTCAGAATGGACCCTCCTCTAGTTTCATGGACTGCAAAGGTGGGGGGGGGAGAGTGGAGAGATAAAAGGCAGAACTGGTCCTGAGTTTTAATCAGGTGCGTAAACTTGCAGAGAAGTACCTGCGAGGAGTGATCCATTTGCCGCTAAGACCATTTGTTCTGCGATTGATTTTGTCCGGGAATATTCATTAACTTGCTAGAGAGAGAGAAGGGGGGGGGAGGGAGGAAGAAAGAGAGAGAGAGAGAGAGAGAGAGAGAGAGAGAGAGATTCAAAGGCTAAACAACTGTCTTTTGCCCCCTTTCCAAATGCTTTGGGAAACTAGAGTTTGAGTTGTGCAACATTTTCAACCCAGGCAGGAATCATCTGCTCAGTTCCTTCCTCTCGCGCACGGGGCATTCGAATCCAACTCCTCAGGTTCAGCCAAATGTACAGGCAGTCCTCGACTCCTTTAAAGACTGTTCGAAGTTACGACAGGGCTGAAATAAGTGACTTGCCACCAGTGCTTGCACTTACGACCGTTGCAGCATCCCCAGCGTCACGTGGTGAAAATTCAGGCACTGGGCAATTGGCACGTCTTTATGATGGTTTGTAGCATCCTGGGCTCATGTGATCATCATTTGCAACCTTCCTAGTGGCTTCCCACAAGCAAAATCAACGGGGGGAAGCTGGATTCACTTAAGAACTGCGTGGTTCACTTAGCAACGTGACAATACAGGCCATAAAATCAGACAGGATTTACTTAATGAGTGTGTCTCTTAGTCGTGTGGGTTCCCAGTCGTAAGTAGAGAACTATCTGCAATTTATTTCAGCTCACCTACCTGCTCTAAAGGGAAATAGGATACGGTCGCTTCGTCTCCATCGAGGATCGTTTGTCCTCCAAAGATCACATCGACTGTACTGGTGTAGATCAATCTGGGAATTCTTTGCCGCTTGCACACTGGGGAGGCACAGAAAAGGGGCACGGTTGCGGGTGCAAATCACGCCACCTGGCCCACATGGTGTGAAAGGGCAAGAGGTGGAAGGAGTGAGCCACCGTTGCATCACGTCTGGAAGATAACGGGGGAGCTGAGCAGGGGCTGGCCTCAAAACCTTACACGAGACAAAGCTGGGGGGAAAAGTATTGGGATGAGAGACCACAAGGAGATCTCTGGGACTGTCGGTTAATGTGAGAAGTGGGAAACTATTGGGCGAGAAGGGGAAGGGAAATTCATTTGGGCCAGAACAGGGATGTTTCCAGGAATGTCACCAGGACATCCTTCAACATGAAAGATGTTTTGTTTTAATTGGGTTGCAGAAAAGAAGGAGAAATAATTGGTTGATAGGCTCTTTTGGGGAAAAAATAAATAACATGGTGGATATGGGACGAATAGGAGTCAATGTAGGTCAGTGTTTCTCAACCTTGACAGCTGGAAGAGGGGTGGACTTCAATTCCCAGAATTCTCTTGCTGGCTGGGGAATGCTGGGAGTTGAAGTCCACATATCTTCCAGCTGCCAAGGTTGAAAAAACACTGTTGTGGCCGGTAAAAGGAGATAGAACTTATTTACTATTGTCCCAAGGAAAAGAGGAAGCAAAAACTCCAAATTGGAAAATGGGATATGGCACCACCAGGTGATCCTGAACAATAGATTTGGGAAGCCTTAATTCAGCCCTGAAACCTGCCCGCTTTCTTTTCCTATTTTGTGGGACAACCCAAGAAGAAGATTGTGGAGTTTTGTTCCCCAAAGCCTGAAGAAAATGTCTGTGCATTGAAAACACTGGGCAACAATACAACGATTGCACACTCAGTTTCTCGTGACAACAGAAGGGTGTGTTAAGTGTGTGTTTCCTAGCACACACAAAAAAGTGACAGGTCTTTCTCACCAGTGCCCAAATATACGCCTCAGATTATTTAAGCGTGGGCTCCTCTCAGTAGTTCAGTCCTGAATTTTGGCCAACAAAAGTTGATCTGTTCTTTTTTGTCGCCAACTTACCATTACAACCCCACACGAGACACCACTTACGCACCTTCAAGGACGATTCCGGTCCCTCCAATGTTGATCGACCGAATGCGTTTCTTGTGCACCTAGGAGAAGAGGAAGACTCACAATGTCACAGCCACACAGAAAGGGACTTGCTCTATTCCAGTTATTTCTTAATCTCAGCCCTTTTAAGATGTGTGGATTTCAACTCCCAGAATTCACTGGGCAGGGGAATTCTGGGAGTTGAAGTTCATGCATCTTAAAGGGACCGAGGTTGAGAAGCACGGCTCTATTCTCTTTGTATTTCCTGAACGGTGATTGGCCCAAAGTCACCCAGCCATCCCTCATGCCTAAGGCGGGACTAGAACTCACCGTCTCCTGGTGATTGGCCCAAAGTCACCCAGCCGTCCCTCGTGCCTAAGGCGGGACTAGAACTCACCGTCTCCTGCTGATTGGCCCAAAGTCACCCAGCTGACTTATGTGCCTAAAGCGAGACTAGAATTCACCGTCACCTGTTTTAGAATAACCTTCCCACATCTTCAAGAGAGCCGGCATCATTTCCAAAACTACAGAAGGAAAATCAAGCTGGACTCACTTGTTCTATGCCGGTCACCCCGTACGCAGCTGTGTGGATGAGACAATCCACACCTTCGCAGGCCGAGTATAAGTCACTGAAATTTCTCACGTCTGACTGTAAGGCAGGAGAAAACTTGCATGAGTATCTTGTAGGAGGGCCAGTGTCCATTTTTTACCAGGTGACTCATAAAACGGCCAAACTACAACTATAACTTCCAGAACCGTCTTTTTCAAGTTGGCTGGGGAATTTAAAGCTCTCCATGGCTTGGGGGCCAATTGATTTGAAGGACTGTTTTTTGTGTTACATCTATCTCAGGGGTCCCCAACCCCTGGTTTGTGGACTGGTACCGGGCCGCAGCACGCCAGCAATCAGTCTGCACAAACAAGCACTTTTTCCCAAGGCCATCCTAGCTTTGAACCACTATTAAACCAACAGTCGGTCGTAAGTCGAGGATTACCTGCAAAACTTCACCAAAGCATCTACGCTTTGGGACGGGTTTTCTCTCCCACCCCAAAGGTGAAGACTGAGCAGAAACGAGAAATAATACCCTGATCAATATTATTCCCTTTGGAATGTCCCAGATGGGCGGATTAAAATCGTACAAAATGACTTCGGTTCCTGATTTAGCCAGCGCGCAGCCGAGCGTAAAGCCGAAGTAGCCGGCGCCTCCGGTGATGACCACCTTGTCGCTGACTTTCCTCAACGGCAGCGTCAGGATTTCAGCAGTGTTTTCGACAATTTTGGCATCCTCTTTGCCGCATTTGTAGAACCGACTGGGTTTCGGGTCGTTAGGTTTTTCCATTCCGAGCCAGGAAGGATGTAGAGCCCCCAAATCTCCATCCAGAGGGGCAAAGAGTCACCTGCTGTTCACCTGCTTCAAGTGTAATAAGAGGAATCAGCCGTCATTTTACCATTCAAGGAGAAAATTTGTAATACGGGGTTGAAAGGAGGGGTCCTTGGTGTTCTCTGAGCTTGGTGGTTTTCTTGCAGACGTTTCGTGACCCAACTAGGTAACATCATCAGAGCTAGAAGGGAGTTGGGTTTACTCGCAGTTTATATTCTAGTGGCTTGCCAGATCAATGTTTGTGTATGGGGGGGGGTCTTAGAGGTTCTAGAGGTCATTTTATCCTCTTTCATCCCCCCCCCCCGGACTAAAAGCTGAACTGTTAAGGTAAAAGCAACCCTGTTTAAAAACGCTTTTGCTCCAAATTTGATCCATTAGCAGATCAATACAGAAGAATGTTTTGGTTTAATGAGGAGTGGGATAGGGAAAAATGATCCCTGGCAATTGAGCAGAATTCTACCCCGACTTTAAAAAAAAAAAAGGGGATTGATTTTAGAGATCCTGTTTCAGCAGCTTGTCTCCTTTCCTTTCTCCTCTTTTCTTTCAAACGAGAGCGTGTGTGTTTTGCTTTCCCACCCTCATAATTTAGATTTTACCCTTTGACAGAGGCTACCTCCAGCCAGATTTTTCCCCACGTTTCCAAAGGAGAAACTGGCCAGTGACAACAATTTTGGAGCACCCAAAAGACAAGCACACTTACGATGCTAGTCTGACCCCATTAATATCCCCAGAGCTGTCACGCACAAGGGATCCATTTTCAACCCATCATAAACACAGCAGGGATGAATGGCTCAGCCTGACACTTGCTGCCCTTTGCAGTGAATTAAAAAAGGTGAACTTAAAAAAATATATATCAAAAATAAAAAGCCAGCTTTGGAAAACGTCTCTGGAAAGGAGTAACTCCAGACTCGGCTGAGTAGGTGCAGTTAGTAGTTTCCACCTGCTTCCTTTTTTGACCGTAAATGAACCCAGGGGAGAGGTGGATTATTTGGGGAGAGACGGGGAGAGAGAAGGGGAAGAAGAGAGAGAGGGAAGGAGGAGAGGGGAGAGAGTGGGAGGAAGAGAGAAGGAGAGGGAAAGAGGGGAGGGAGAGAAAAAGAGGGAGAGAGAGAAAGAGAGAGGTGAACTGAAGGGGAGACAGGGAGAGGGAAAAGGGGGAAGGACAGGGAAGAAGTAGAGAGGGACAGAGGGGGAGAGAGAGGGACGGGAGTGAAAGAGAGGGGTGGGGAAAGGGGAGGGAAGGAGGGAAGGAGAGGGAGGGAGGGAGACAGGAAGGAAGAGGAAGTGAAGAATGGGAAAAGGGGAGAAGGAGAAAGGGAAGGAGGGAGGGAGAGAGAGGGACAGGGAAGGGAGAGTGAAAGAGAGGGGTGGGGAAAGGGGAGGGAAGGAAGGAAGGAGAGGGAGGAAGGGAGGGAGACAGGAAGGAAGAGGAAGCGAAGAATGGGAAAAGGGGAGAAGGAGAAAGGGAAGGAGGGAGGGAGAGGGAAGAGAGAGAGGGATGGGGAAGGAGGGGAGGGAAGAAGGAGAGAGGGAAGGAGAAGGGAGGGAAGGAAGGAAAACCAGAGGGAGAGGGAAAAGGGCAGGGAGAGAAGGAGAGGGGGTAAGAGGGAAGGAGGAATGGGGGAAGGGATAGGGGGAGGGAGGCAGAGGGACCCCAATTTCTCTCTCTAGCTAAGCAACCGTCCGCGGGGTGAATGGTTGACTTCCAGCAATTCGGAGCAGGCCAGTTTCAGTTTACCCTGGGCGGGGGGTGAAGCCGGGCGCCCCCTCCCCAAATTAGGCCCCGGCAGGGCGGTCAGCTGCAGCCGTCTCTTTTCTGCCCTCTGACCGGCGGGACCCCCCGGCAGGTCATATCCCCCCATCAAGCTCGCAGCGCCGAGCCATCCAGGGCAGCGGTGGCCGTGGGGCCCGGGGGGGGGGGGAGGAACCTGGCTGCCGCTTGCTGGGGGGGGGGGGTCGCGCAAGCTGGAAGCGAACCTAACGCCCGGCCGGCTGTGCGCAGGGTCCGGTCGTATATATCGGAGGAGAAGCGCACTCAAAAAGAAGCGCCGTCGGTCCTGCGCGTCTTCCTGTCAGTTTGGACCTCCGGGACCCTGGGATGGGCCGGGGTCCTGGAAAGAAGCGGGGGGAGGCTTTTTCTTGGGAGTTAGGCTGGACAGGGCTCAAGAAGGCCTAAGTCCTCAAGAGTTTTGAACTATTGAAAGGAGACCTGATCAACGGGTTGAGAATTTTTTTTTTTTAATTCCAAACAAAGGTAGATCAAAGGGTAGAGTTGGGTTTGGTGGCAGCTCCTCGGATCCATGTTTCAGAGTTTAAAATCAATTAGCCAATGTATCCCTTCTTCTCCACGCTCCTGACGTCTTCTCCTTCCACTGTGACTGTAAACCTTAAGCCGAGTTCCTAGTCCACTTGAGAAACCTTAAGCCAAGTTACCAGTCCATGTGAGGGCTGGGCAGGCAACCTTCCAGAGGCATCTCCCCGACCCTCTGAGGCTCCAATCAGTTCTTCAGTTCTATCCTCCAAGGCACATAGAACCACACATACAGCATGCTGCAATATACACGAATGTTTCTCAATCTCAGGAACTTGAAGATGTGTGTGGCTGGGGAATTCTGGGAGTTGAAGTCCGCGCATCTTCAAATTGCTGAGGTTGAGAAACGCAGGAGAGAGAGAGAGAGAGAGAGAGGGAGGGAGGGAGGGAGGGAGGGGAGAGAGAGGGAGGGAGGGGAACGAGAGACAGGGAGGGGAGAGAGGGGGAGGGGAGAGAGGAGGAGGGGAGAGTAGGGAGGGGAGAGGGAGAGAGGGAAAGGAGAGAGGGAGGCAGGGAGGGAAGGGAGAGAGAGGGACAGAGGGGAACGGGAGAGAGGGAGGGGAGAGAGGAGGGAGGGGAGAGAGAGAGGGAAGAGGAGGAGGAGGGGAGAGAGACAGGGAGGGGAGAGGTAGGGAGGGAGGGGAGAGAGGTAGGGAGGGAGAGAGAGGGAGGCAGAGTGGAGAGAGAGAGGAGGAGGCAGGGGGAGAGGGAGGCAGGGAGGGAGGGGAGAGAAAGAGAGGGAGGGAGGGAGGAGAGAGAGATGCACCAGCAAAACCATAGGATTCTGCACCACAATTGGCACCGGTTTATTGTTAAGCTTTGAAATCATGACATTTCTTGAAAGAGAAATTCTCCGACATCTCATGGAAGCGGTTAAAAACTGACGCCACTTCTGCCCGGGGAGCTCATCCTCAGAGGCACTTTGATCCAGGCACTTACCTGCCCCAAACTGCCTTATTTTCAAAGTGTTTCCAGGCAGTCACAGGCCTTTGAACTCCCAGTCGAATTATTCAGCATCCCAACAAACATCCCTTAACCCAGGGATCCCCAACCCCCGGGGAGCAGTAGTCATCTTGTGCTCACACCAACGGAGCTGCACAGATTCATGAGGGGGCGGGTCCCTGTCACTCACAAGGAACTATCCCCTCTGCCCCCTTCCTTGCTGGGCTGCCAAGGTTTGGGGGATCACTGCCTTACATGCAATAAATAATATTGGCTCTTCACTCAAAGGCAAGAATCAACTTCCTTATAACCAGTTTGCAGACTTATAACTGTCGCAGCATCCTCAGAAGCGATCCAAATTTGGACGCCTGGCAACTGACATGTTTTTGTGACAGTTGCAGCATCCCAGGGCCATGTGATCATCATCTGCAACCTTCCCAGCCAGCTTCCAACAAGCAAAGTCAACGGGGGAAGCCAGGTTCGCTTCACGAACGCACGATTCGCTTAAAAACTACAGTGATTCACTTCACAATGGCAAAACCAAAAAGGTGGTAAACTGAGGCCACGGGAAATTTGGGCTCAATTGTGGTCGTAAGTCGAGGGCTTCCTGTCTTCTCCACAGGCGGACAAGTTTCTGAAAACGGTTCAGTGAGGAACGAAAAGCCCCAGTGTAAAAGAAAAAAGGCCAAATATGAAAACTAAATCTCCAAGTGGCCTCAACGACTCTCAGAGAGAGTACTAACGATCAGATGACTGCAAGGAATATAAATCCTTCCGTCCTCCATCATTCAGTCAGAACTGAAGAAGCTTCTTGGATGAGAAGTGAAACGTCTTCAAGGGAAAACAAAGAGAGTCCGGTTGCCTTTTGGGGAGGAAAAAAACCATCTTTGGGCCAAATTTGAATATTAGGAGGAGGGACATCCTTTTTCTTCACACATAGACTTTCTCCGCAGATAATTGTCTATCACCTCGGCCAAGGAATATTTCTTCGGATGATAGCCCAGCTGCTTCCTTGCTTTGTCTATCTGAAAAGTGTAGGTCACAAGGAGGTGCCCCATCTAGGAAAGCAAACACACCATGACATGAATTCGTCATCCCAAAGTTAGAAGCTTCCATTTAAGACAGGTTCCCACGCTGGCGGTAAACACCCCAGTTGGAAGGAAAGAAGGAAGGAAGGAAGGAAGGAAGGAAGGAAGGAAGGAAGGAAGGAAGGAAGGAAGGAAGGAAGGAAGGAAGGAAGGAAGGAAGGGGGTCAAAAATTGAGTGATCTCTGCTCACAGCCCAATTACCTCTTTGTTGTAAGCAGAAAAGTTGTGTTTTTGGTTTTTTTTACCTCTCTTTTGGTCAGCAACGGTGTAAACTTAAATATGGGCTTAAGAACCCAGTAGAGATACTCCGCCATGGTAACTGTTAGGAGAAAAGAAGACAAACATTTAAAGAGGGGCACCAGAAAGGCACGTGGGCAGAACCCAACAGATCGGCCTGTCCTAATTCAGAGGTTGCAAAGGGCTGATGCCAACGTTTGGATCTTGAAGGCAGGGACATCTGGCTGCTCTCAGACACCTGTCCCAGGTGCTTGAACATTCCCAGAAGTTATAATCAACTGGAAGCTGCCAAACCCCAGACAAAGCATCAGCCTATCACGTGATTACTGAAGCAGTAGGTGTGAACTTAAATGGACTCCAGAAGATGGTAGAGGACAGGAAGACCTGGAGGAACGTTGTCCATGGGGTCGCGATGGGTCGGACATGACTTCGCAATTAACAACAACAAATTAACAACAACATCGCGTGATTGATGGCACATAGCTACATGGTGGTAGCGCTTTGAGTGGCGAACATGATGATGGCGATGACGATGGTGTTATCCCTTCAGTTGTGTTTGATTCTTGGCGATTCTAGGGGCCAGGTCTCTCCACAACTCATGCAGTAGGCTGCATTGCTGGTCTCATCTTTCTCGTCTTCTCATCCTTCCTACTATCTTCTCCTATTGGCATCTTGTGTTTTATCACTTGCTGTTATGATCTTATGATTATAACTATGATTTATGACCTATGACCTATGACTGCTGTTGTATGAGTGTACACTGAGAGCTGATGTACCGGAGACAAATTCCTTGGGTGTCCAATCACCCTTGGCCAATGGAGAGGAGAGGAGAGGAGAGGAGAGGAGAGGAGAAGAGAAGAGAAGAGAAGAGAAGAGAAGAGAAGAGAAGAGAAGAGAAGAGAAGAGAAGAGAAGAATTGGAAGGGACCTTGAAGGTCCTCAAGTCCCACCCCCTACTCAAGCAGGAGACCCGATACCATTTCAGACAAATGGTTGTCCAGTCTCTTCTTAAAAACCTCCAGTGTTGGAGCACCCACAACTTCTGGAGGCAGATTGTTCCACTGGTTAACTGTTCTGTCAGCAAATTTCTCCTTAGTTTTAGGTAGAATTCTATTCTATTCTATCTTCCGATATTGCACTTCTTTTTTTAATTTATTCTGCGCTCTGGCTGGTGTCAGCTTGGATGGTGTGTGGAGAACATCTCAAGGCCAAGTCATCTTCTGGTAAACAAGTTCTTCAAGGAAAGGACAGTCTTTTCTCAGAAGGGTGTGAAGCTTCCTATCCTGGGTGGGAGATTACACTAGAACACATCCACAGTCCTTTTGAACCCTGAGCTTCCACACATACTTTGAGACTGGCCAGGCCCACATGCCCACCTCTTTCCCACTAGAGACCCCATCCCCCTGGCAGCCATTTTCTAAGCCTGCTAATGCCGTATCCTCCCATTCCAATGTCTCACGGAATGACAACACAAAGTGATCTTGCCAGATATCTAAATAGGGTCTAGGCCAGGGGTAGGCAACCTTGGCTCTTTTATGACTGGTGGACTTCAACTCTCAGAATTTCTGAGCCAGCCATGCTGAGGGGAAAGGGAGAGCTTTCCAAGCTGAGCCATGCTGGCTCAGGAATTCTGGGAGTTGAAGTCCACCAGTCATAAAAGAGCCAAGGTTGCCTACCCCTGGTCTAGGTAGTCCTTGACTTACAACAATTCATCTAGTGACCATTCAAACTTACAGTAGCACTGGAAAAAGTGACTATTTTTCACACTTACGCAGCATCCTTGGGGTCACGTGATCAAAATTCGGACCCTTGGCAACGGACTCATATTTATGACGGTTGCCAGTGATTCCCTTTTGCAACCTTCTGAGAAGCAAGGCCAACGGGGAAGCCAGTTTTCACTTAACAACCGTGTTACTAGCGTGACACCTGCCGTAATTTACTTAGCCCCCGTGGCAAGAAAGGTGGTAAAATGGGGCCAAACTCACTTAGCAACCGTCTTCCTGGGCAAGAGAAATTTGGGGCTCCGTTGTGCTCGTAAGTCGAGGACTACCTGTCACTGATGTATTGATGAACAAAAGAACCTCAGTGAAATTGGAGACTTCCTAGACAAGGTAGGCCAAATATTCAGATTACCTGTGATTTTTAAAAGAACCCCAGGCAGGACCAGTCTCGGCTTCCGGAGACCCCGCGCTTTGTACTGTAAGACATAGAAAACACAACATACCTGGGGGGGGGAGGAGGGAAACACCCTTTCCCATGCCATGATGAATTAAAGGTCAATACGGGACGAGATTTACCTTAGGAGCTAGAATTCAGCAGAATCGGGTAGCAACTTTTCCAAATAACAAACTTCCTTAAAAGGCAGAAGCTTCTGTGAGCTCCATTCCTCAGGTATATGGAGAGCCTTGACCCCCCAGTTTTCTGCCACCATACGCTAATTCAGCTCTCCTATTATAGGTTCCCCCGCTTGAGCAGGGGGCTGGTCTAGAAGACCTCCAAAGTCCCTTCCAGGTTCTATTCTATTCTATAATTCTATTCTGTTCTATTTTCTGTAATTCTATTCTATTTTATTCTGTAATTCTATTCTATGTTATTCTGTAATTCTATTCTACTCTACTCCACTCCATAATTCTATTCTGTTCTGTTTTCTGTAATTCTATTCTATTTTGTTCTGCTATTCTATTCTATTCTATTCTATTCTATTCTATTCTATTCTATTCTATTCTATTCTATTCTATTCTATTCTATTCTATTCTATTCTATTCCTTCCCACAATGTCAGTTAGTCAGCAACGTTAGTTATGGGATCTTTAGTGTCCTCTGAGCTCGGTTGCTTGCTTGCTTGCTTACAGACATTTCATTACGCAAATAGATAGCCTCATCACGGAGAGTCGATGTGGGGTTTGTCCCCTATTTACTTACAATAGCTTGTCCTGTGCTAGTGTTGATGGGGGTGTGCGTGTGTGTATGGTTTTCTTCTTGATAGTTCCTTGATTAGGGGATTGTTTTTCTGCCTGATTGTTTCTCTGGTGTTAAATCCAGGATGTGTTCTGTTTCTAGTTTCCTTCTTAGCTTTTTTTATTGTCTCTTTTTAATTGTGTGTATACGTAGTCTCTCTCTAAGTGTCCGTTGATGGCTGATTTGTGTGAATGCCAAACGTCCAGAAATGCCTTAGTATTTGTGAAGTTAGCTCAGTCTAAGATGCTAATATCTCAGATTCCTTGATTTTATAACATATGGATGTTATGGTTCCGGCTAATGAAACACTTCAAAGAACTTCCAGGCATTAATTTCCCTAAAAGTCATTTATTGTTACAAAATGTCAGCACAGGCATAATGAAGGTATGCCAAGATCTAAATTCTCTTCCCCTGAGCAATTAAATTATCAGCATATTCCCTCCCTAAATTAGCTGTCATATATCACGTTATCCAATTAGTGTGAAGGTCAAAGGTTTCCTTCCTTTCTCTTTCCCAGGCTTTTCCCTCCACCCTTTTCTGCTCTGCATTAACTCTAAAAATACCAGACAGTTCTGCATAATGTCAAAGCAAGAATATACAGTATTTGCAGTGTTGACATCGGACAGATTTAATCACAGTTCCAGTCTGGTTTCAACATCTGTGAGCAATCCACCATGGACACTACAGCTCAGCCTGGGGCTACAAATACTCACTTCCACTGGAAAGTTCATTGCATTAGTAACCAGCTGCTTCTTGATACCGCAAGAAGCGCAAAATAAATCTGTTAAATGGTGGACTGGCAAGAAAACATGCCTGGCTGGGGAATTCTGGGAGTTGAAGTCCACAAGTCTTAAAGTTGCCAAGTTGGAGACCCCTGTTAGGCAATAAATTCAAAGACTTGGCCTAATCTCAAAAGATTTCCCCAAGCGAGAGAAAGGTCTTACCACAACTGACGACCATTTGAAAAAATTGACTTTTTCTCCGTCGTGTATAAAATAGGCTTGACCACTCTGGAGAAAAATAAAAAGAAGGAATGAGAGAGCAGGTTAAAAAAAATTAAAATTAAAAAGTCCCCCAGGGCAGGTGCCCTGGTTTCTGGCAGCTATTTTGGTCAAAATGGACCCAACATAAAATCAGAAATGGATTACTTACAGCAATGAAATTTCTCTCTGCTGCTAGAGCTTTGCTGGCAAGGAGGTAGGCTTGAATTACATTACAAATATAAACCCAGTTCATCCATGTGCCCGTGGTATCAAAAGTGAAGTACCTTAAATAGGTCTGGATAGTTTTCTATGGAAAAGAAATAGAAAAAGTCATCCAATTTTCGGTGTGGGATGAAATACAATTGAGGGAGAAGGAGGAGGAGGAAGAGGAGGAGAGGTGTAACTGCAAATGGTTGCAAAATGAGGCAGTCACTAAAAGGGGACTACCTATATAGTCAGTTTGATATGAGAGCATGATCTGCACCAAGGTAACTCACTGACTTTGAATGGAAATTTGATCCTGTTCAATTTTAATCCAGTCTTTCCTCCTCCTCCTCCTTCTCCTCCTCCCTTCTAGCACTGATGATGTTACCTAACTGGGTCATGAAATGTCTGCATGCAAACAACTAAGGAGAGCACCAAGGACTCCACAATGCTCCTCCTCCTCCTCCTCCTCCTCCTCCTCCACCACCACCACCACCACCACCACCACCACTCTCTTCTAGCACTGATGGTGTTCCCTAGTTGGGTCATGAAACGTCTGCAAGAAAACCACCAAGCTCAGAGAGCACCAAGGACTCCACAGTCGTCGTCCTCCTCCTCCTCCTCCATCAGCTGTGCTCACATAACGACCTGCTTAATGACCAGCACAACTTATGCCTGTTGTTCTGGGCTCAGTTTTTGTTGTAAGTCAAGGACTCCTTTTAACGGTGTGGTCATCCTAGCTTTCAGCTCCCTTTCCAGCTTTTCAGAAAATAAAAGGGTTTAGTTTGAGTTCTTTTGCACAGCACAATCAAAGGTCAGAAAAGCGATGCCTACGACGATGTGGGGAATAATTTTCTTCTCTCCCGGACCGTAGATTCCAGGCGGACGAAGTGCACAAGTTCGGAGTGTCCCTCCTCCTAAGAAACAAAATTAAATAATTCCAGGGGAATTTCTGCTGAACAAAACCGTGGAAAGGAGGGGGGGAGAGGAAGGCAAAAACAAAGCTTTAGTTTCACGGGTTTCCCCCCCCCCCCATCCAACTCAAATTGTCATACAGGTCATCTTCGTCTAGTGACAGCCTCGTTTAGCAACTGTCCACAATTACGACCGTGATAAAAAGTCACTTGTGGCCAGTCCTTGCATTTACAACTCTTTGTAGCTCTGTCAAGTAAAAGGGAAGCTGAAATCCGATCACAGCATTGTGATGTTTCCCTTCTTGGTCACTTCGCTTAACCGACCAAGTTGCTGGGCCTCATTGTGATCGTTAAACGAACACATCCTGCATAAACCAAGTAGACACTTCGAAAGAGGGAGGGAAAATTTGGAAGGCATTGCAAATTCTCTTCCGGTAACTGATAATTCTCAACTTACCACCAGAACCGAGCCCAAAATATCTGTGGCTAAGCAAGGCAGGCTGTCAAACGGGGCAAAACTGCCTTAGCAAATGTCTCCCTAGTAACAGAAATATTAGTTTTAAATTGAGAATTATCTCTTCTGTTCTGGTTTTGGGAGAGCTATCAGCCAAACAGAATCCTGAGCCCCTTTCCATAATGTTTTTGTAAGCAGCCGAGAGCCACTGAAAGTGAAAGAGCAGCCACCTACATTTCCTAGATATAATAATAATAATAATAATAATAATAATAATAATAATAATAATAATAATAATAATAATAATAATAATAGTAATAATGTTGGAAGGGACCTTGGAGGTCATCTAGTCCAACCCCCTGCTCAGGCAGGAAAACCTATACCATTTCAGACAAATGGCTGTCCAGTCTCTTCTTAAAAACCTCCAGTGTTGGAGCATTCACCACTTCTGGAGGCAGGTTGTTCCACTGGTTAATTGTTCTGATTGTCAGGAAGTTTCTCCCTAGTTCTAGGTTGCTTCTCTCCTCGATTAGTTTCCATCAGTTGTTTCCTGTCCTGCTGTAGAGAATAGCTTGACTCCCTCTTCTTTGGGGCAGCCCCTGAGATACTGGAAGACTGCTATCATTTCCCCCCTCGTCCTTCTCTTCATTAAACTAGACCTACCCAATTCCAGCAACCGTTCCTTACATGTTTTAGCCTCCAGTCCCCTAATCCTCTTTGTTGCTCTTCTCTGCACTCTTTCTAGACTCTCAACATCTTTTTTACATAAACAAAATGTGTTCTTTTTTTTCATAACATTTTTTTCTTTAATGTTTGTCAAGGTTCCTTCAGCTTGGAAAAGTAAGAAAGGAAGGAAAAACTGTTTCCGACCTACCCTGAAGTGAGGCGCCATTGGCAGCTAAGATCATCTGTTCTGCAATTGTTTTGGATCTGGAGTAATAGTCAGGTTGCTATGAGAGAGAACACCTCTGTTTGTATTTATATCTACGCCTATATAATAATAATAATAATAATAATAATAATAATAATAATAATAGCTTTTTTATCTAAATATAAAATACAAACAGAAATAAAGACCATGGAAAACAAAAGAGGAAAGGGAATAAAGGAGATAAGGCGAGGGAAGGGGAAGAAAAGAAATAAAAAAGAAACATAAGGCCATCTAACTTTTTTCGGTGCAGTAAGATACATAATAAAGTTATACGGCCCACTTTTTAGTGGAGCCAAATACTAGCCACTGGCCATTTCTGTAACAGTAACCTGCTTAAATGTCAAAACATAAAGACAAAATTTCGTATTTTTTTTTCTCTCCTCCAAGCCGAAATTCCACAAACAGCTTTTTTAAATATCCGGTGAGACCGTGTCACTTGGAGAATTCCCCCCCCCCCCAACTGGTGTCTAATTTGTGAAATTTAGAGAATTGCATTGCAAAATTTGCAAAAGGGTGAATGTTGGAGGACAAGTGAATTCTGTTTCAAGAATTAATAAGAGCCTTGTGGCAGGTAGAAAATGCCATTAAGGGAGATGGAAAAATAAACAACATTTTAATTAACAGAGGTGATGTTTTGAAAGCATTAACTAATATTATAAACTGGCTGAGTGTGATGACCTGTGTGCAATTCTATGAAGAAATATTTTTACAAGAGATGCCAACTGAAAGTCACAAATGGTGTAAGATATTACGCGTGTTGTGTAGGGGAGTATGGATTTCTGCACATTGTATAAACTTCCCTTTTTCCTAGGTGTGTGGTCTCAGGACATGAACTTCTCTCTTTTAGTGTGTTAAAGATAGATAAGTAGTCATCCCTTGGGTAAAAGCATGGGTGACAAGCTGTATAAAAATGACACCCTGGGAGTAACTCAGGGTTCAGAATTTGTCATATGAATGCTCTGAACCATTGTGCACAAATAAAACCTGTTTTCTCCAACCCTTCGTGGTCTCGTCTTCTGATGTAAGTATTGTGGTTTTTCCACTACAGCCTCGTTGGCTAAGCTTGGAAAAGTCAAAGCGCTGCAAATGCTAGGGGTGTAAAACTAGACTAGGAAATCTAGCCATTTCTGGGGGAAAAGCAAAGGCGAATCCATTTCTGTGCTGTTCGAGAGATGTCAGTTTCTAAATGGGAAATTAAGTAAATTGACATTAACGTGCAAACTCTCCTACATCCAATCTATTTCTCACCCACATACCTTTTCAAGAGGAAAGTACGGCAACGTTTCATCTCCATCTTCAATTGGATCCCCACCAAATATAACAGTCACTGAACTGCTGTAGATCAGTTTGGAAATGTTTCTTGATTTGCAAACTGCAGAGAAACAATACATTGCACCAGCATTTTGCAATCTTGGCAATTTGAAGATTTGCAGACTTCAGCTCCTAGAATCCCCCAGCCAGCATGCTTTAAAATGGGTGGACTTCAACACCCAGAATTTCCCAGCTAGCATGCCTGACCATTTTCAGATATGTGGACTTCAACTCCCAGAATTCTCCAGCCAGCATGTTTGGCAATTTTTAGATGCATGGACTTCAGCTCCCTGAATACCTCAGCCAGCATGCTTTAAGAATGATGAATTTCAACCCCCAGAATTTCCCAGCTAGCTTGTTTTAAGATAGGTGGACTTCCAGTTCCAGAATTCCCCAGCCACCATACATTAAGATTCCCCTCCTGGCTGTGGAATTCTGGGAACTGAAGTCCTCACTCATCTTAAAGTTGCTGAGGTTGAGGTACATCAGTCTAACATATCCAATTATGTTATTGCTCACAACAACACTGAAAAATGGCCTGTCACGAGACTATGAAATAAACCCAAGTATAGAACAACAAACCAGTTTTAACATTTACTGTTTTTTTTTCCCTGCAGAATGCAGTCTAGTAGTAGGCTATGGAGTTTTCTAGAAATAGGAAGGTTTTCGTGTATCGGCATAAACGAGGAAAAGGAACTGAAGCGTACCGTCAATCACAACCTTTGTTCCTCCCACGTTGATGGAGTCAATCTCTTCTTTCTGTTTGAGCTTAGAAGCCACAGAGGGGAAGAAAATAAAAATCAGAAGAATGATTGGTTTTTTTAGGTCCCATCCAATCTTACATCGTACCATTCCTAGATCATTTTCTGTACCAAACTTCTCTGCTTCATTAAACTGTCCTCTATTTTCACTTGAAGAAGGAACTGTCAGTTTTACAGAATAATTCTTGCCTACATAGCAGGGTGGCATCTAGTCTGCAACACTATTATAACCCTAAACAAAACTAACAAAGATAAAGCCAAAAAGATTACTACTACTACTACCACTACCACTATCACTACCACCACCACCATCACTACTACTAAAAATAAAAATAAAAAGTTGGAAGGGAGCTTGGGGGTCATCTAGTCCAACTCCCTGCTCAGGCAGGAAACCCTGTACCATTTTAGACAAATGGCTGTCCAGTCTCTTCTTAAAAACTTCCAGTGTTGGAGCATTCACTGCTTCTGGAGGCAGGTTGTTCCACTGGTTAATTGTCTTCACTGTGAGGAAGTTTCTCCTTAGTTCTAGGTTGCTTCTCTCCTTGATTAGTTTCCACCCGTTGCTTCAGGCACTTTGGAGAATAGCTTGACTCCCTCTTCTTTGGGGCAACCCCTGAGATATTGGAACGCTGCTATCATGTCCCCCCTTGTCCTTCTCTTCATTAAACTAGACAGACCCAATTATACTTATGAGTAGCAAGTAACTCTATATTAGCCACTTACTTGATCGGTTCCTGTCATGCCAAAGCTTGCCAAATGAAACATGGTGTCAATTCCCTCGCTAGCTTGGAAGACTTTCTCGTAATCCCGCACGTCAGCCTGGAAAAAGTTTGTGTGGGAAAAAAAAAGAATTGCACATGAAAATAAAGAAGTATCAAGAAACCTCCTTACAATCCATTGATTATATCACTATCTGTTGGTTAAACCTCCTAGTGTTGCAAGATTTTTTTTTTTACCATCAACAATACGTTGACGGTATTAGATTAATAATGAGGCTATCGCTAGTCCCTGGCTTACAACCATTTGTTTAATCACCGTTCAAAGTTACGACAGTGCTGAAAAAAGTAATTGATGACCATCCACACATGTTCAATCATGACAAAAGTTTGTGAATCTGAGGCATTATGTTACTCATCCAGTCCAAATTAAAAAAAAAATGGGCAGAGAGTTGTTGAAATGTACGAAGTCTTGCCACACCAACTGCAAGGCTTTGTCCACAAAATGTTTTGCAATATGTAAATGAAGACTCAACACATCCAGGCCAAGTTTATCTAAAACGGTTCAATTATGCAATACATTTTGGGGAGAAACCCCCACAGTTGGTGTGACAAGAGTTAATACATTCCAATGGTTCTCTGCCTAACTAATTTTTATTTTTATTTTTTGTATTTTGACTGAACAAGCTACTTGGATAAGTAATGAGACAGCTCAGATTAACAAACTTTCTTAATTGCCAAGGTTTAACCTTTTTAGATACTTTTGTCTTGGATGATTTGAGTCTTTTTTTAAAATTTATTTTATTCAAATACAAATAATACAAACATAACACATATAAATCTAAATAAAAAACAGTACTAAAAATACAAATACTACAGTGCACTCACTGACCGCAGCAAAACAGTGGTAAAGTCAGAGGTGACTCACGTCACAATTGCATCATTTTGCAATGGAGTTTCCGATGGTGATTATAAATCAAGGACTACATGTACCCAGTGGCATCCACCATCAACCATCAAGGTTCCTGGCAGGAATTTGGACCTGTGGTTCTCCCTCTCAGCTCAACCTGCCCTACAGGTTTATCGTCATGGGAAAAACCATGAAGGAAAAAGTCAACTCCCAGCTCGACTATCATGTCAAGCGTAAAACCTGGCAGCTACATGCCTAATTGCTTCACCTTGTCAGCCCTACTTCCTGGAAGACCTATGGAATAAGGACTTGGCGTCTTGCCAGCATCCTGCCATCAAATGAGAGAGAGGGCCATGGGGAGGGAACAAAAGGACAATAACCCTTTATGGGTATAGGATGGGAAACAGGGAGGGGAGGATGATAGCTTGATGAGCAGCAAAGCTCAGAACCAGTTTGTGCCAGCACTCAAGGCCAGGCACCCTGAGAAAGAATGTGGAATACCCCAAGCATTCTCAAAACACCCTAAGTGAATCTTCATTGGCCGAAGACAGACTGATCATGTGAGGAGGGCTGTGATGGGAAGGGGGAACATTCTGTATCTATTTCGTGCTGGAAACTCAGTTCTAGCCTGACTTTACTGCAACCACCATCTTTTAGTAAAAGAATCTATCATTTCACTTCCATGGAGTCGAGGGTCTTTCTTTCCTAAGGGATTGGACTGGGGCAGGTATGACACTAACAGTCAAACTGGTCCCCATCTTACCTGGAAGAAGATTGCTCCTTGGGGGAGCTCCCTTTTAGGTTCACGTCTATCCAGCAAAACCACACCGATCCCTTCCTGGAGGAGAGCACAGCCCAGGTGGAATCCAGAATATCCCGTGCCACCGGTGATCATTGCCTTTGGACCGAAGGATCCCATCTGCCTGGGGATTTTCCAGACAGATGGCTCGCCTCCGTGGATCACTTTTTCACCAGATGTTCTTTGAAGGATGTCCTCATGGTGATGAGACATGGCTGGCAAATTTCTGTTTGGCTTGTTAAGGCTTGTTAAACAGATCACTGGATTACAAGCTTTCACAAACGGGTTACAGGTGGATCTCCGAAGCCTTCCTGCATAAAATCAAAGAAACAAAAACCAATGGTTACTCCAATCTCATAGGTGCTTTACAATGTTTAGGTTTTTATTTGGCAGTGCTTCATGTTGGTTACACTATTCTTTTACCTTTCTCTTCATATGAAGTAAGTAAGGCAAGATAAAAATCTAGTCAACAAATAAATATAGTAGGCTTCCATCATTTGACACATTAGCCAAGTAACAACTCTTATTGAACAAGCTAAATAAAAGTAAAGTTCCCGTAACTTTAACTGGTTTCCTTTTAATTATAAGACTAGATTCGTGTAAATTTAAGGCTGAAATTATCCAAGGTGGGACCTGTTATGGGAAGATCCAGCTTTTTTTAAAAGGCCTCTGGGTCTTTTGGGAAAGGTAGAATGAACAAGAAGCTTGATCAATGGCTGGGTGGATGGAAACAACAAAAACTGAAGGACCTAAAACTGGGACATGTCTTCCCAAAGACAATCTCTCTTCATAGTCACCAAGAGTCAATATTGACTCAATGGCACATAATCACCCACACGTCCAAATTATGATCATGTGACCTTGGGGATGTAAGTATGACTGGTTGTAAGTGCAAGGATCAGTTGTAAGTATACAGAATAACAGAGTTGGAAGGGACCTTGGAGGTCTTCTAGTCCAACCCCCTGGTCAGGGAGGAAGCCCTATACAATTTCAGACAAATGGCTGTCCAATCTCTTCTTAAAAATCTCCAGTGATGGAGCACCCATAACTTCTGAAGGCAAGCCATTCCACTGATTAATTGTTCCCATTGTCAGGAAATGTCTCTTTAACTCTAGGTTGGTTATTTCCTTGATTGGTTTCCATCCATTGCTTCTTGTCCTGCCTTCAGGCACTTTGGAAAATAGGTTGTCCCCCCCCCCCCTTCTTTGTGCCAGATATTGGAAGACTGCTATCATGTCATCCCAGTCCTTATTTTCATTAAACTAGACATACCGAATTCCTTCAACCATTCTTCACATTTCCTTAAGTCATTTTTTTTTCAGTACCATTGTAAGCTTTGAACAGATGCTAAACGAATGTTTAAGTCTGAGAACTGCCTGTACACCCGTACCTTAAAATGAGACAGTACTTTAGTCTGAGAGTAGAACTATGTCAATTAATTCAGGAAACTTTTTCCATGCACCTAGAACAATAAGTACGGTAGAAACAAAACCAGGAATTAGGGACCCAGGAGAAGAAGCACCTAAATTAGAAATGTATATTATATTAAGATTTGCTTCCTCAGAATGGTTTGGAGAACAAATGCAAGTCCAGAAAGGGGGGGAGGATAAAAACCCTGCCATTTGGTACTTTTACTTTAAAATGTGGACTTCTTGCTCTCAAATGAACGCTTGCTCTGTCTATTGGAACTTTACAGCGGGCTACTAAGAATTTTGTAGCTGGTAAAAAGGCAAAATGACTTGTCTACTGTATTAAGGCTTGGCTCATAAACCATTAGCTTCATTTTGGTTTTGGGACTTAATAAAAAAAAAAAAGATTGAGAAACCATATGATCTTGCCTCCCCCCTCCTCAGTTTCTGAGTCTGTCTGTATCCCCAGTGGCACACATTAAAATGCATTAATAATTGCTTCATCTTAAATCATAATTACCTTTAGCCTGTGGTTGGTGTCTTCAACAATCCGGTAGCAAAGCGAGATCATGCATTTCCTTTGTTCTGGACTTTTCCAAGTATCTGTGGCACTGTTTTTCCAAAACCAGTGTGGATTTGAGAGACTCTGGGAAGAATCTCTTGTCTTTTATAGCAGCACTCTTTTGGATAAGCAAGCTATGTTTGATTGATATTATCAGTGATCATGACCTGGCTTCAGAGCCAAATAGAGACTAGTATTTCAACAATCATCCAGGATGTTTTTCAGCATTCCAATTACACATCATCATCATCATCATCATAAATTTATGTCTTGAATAAGAATGAATAAGAATAACATGGAGCAGATTAACTGCCTAAGCAAGCAAGTAATGTTGGGCTACTGTGCTTGGCACATAACCCAAAATCTGGTAACGCTGGTCTACAAGGAGAAAGCCTTGGAAATGAAAGTAGTTAATTTTTACCAGAATTGGGTCACTAATAAAGGAAAATTAAGTCCTGAGTATTAATTGGCTCCAGTTTCCAAGATACAACTTCAGGTCAAGGAAATAAACACACACCATAATTCTTCCTACTCCTATTTTCCCCACAATGACAACTCCCCGGTGGATTGGGCAGAGAGAGTGAGGGACTGACCCAAAGTCACCCAGCTGGCTTTCATGGCTAAAGTTGAACTAGAACTCACGATTTCCTGGTGATTGGCCCAAAGTCACCCAGACGGCTTTCATGGCTAAAGTTGAACTAGAACTCTCCATCTCCTGGCGATTGGCCCAAAGTCACCCAGACGGCTTTCGTGCCTAAGATGGAACTAGAACTCCCCATCTCCTGATAAATTGGCCCAAAGTCACCCAGATGGCTTTCGTGCCTAAGACTCACTGTCTCCTGCTTTCCAGCCTTGTACCTTAACCAGTAGACCAAATTATTTCTCATATTTAACTATATCTGTCCAATGAGCTTAGAACATTTTGAACTAGCATGTTGTGTAAAGTCAGACCTATTTTCACACTTTTTCTCACCCACTAGGATTCGTTTGCATCAAGGTGAACCCCATTTCCCCATTGCCAAACCTGACCCAGAAAAGGAGCAAGGATTCTGCATCTCCCAAAGATATCGAACGTGAATCAGAATGTTCTCCTCACTGTTGAGACCCACCTCATCTCCTGTGGTGGGGACATCTGGAGGTGGGCCTGATTGGAGGATCTTCAACTCAATGTGGAATTTAGGGCTTGATGAAGTTGCTTACAATTTAGGGTGCTGGTTCTGGCTTAGGGTGCATCTCCTATCCATACGGACCGGATGCTGGCTTGCTGAGTGGGGTGGGGTTGGTGGGTGGAGCACAACTATGTAAAGCACTGGGAGCAATTCACTCCCAGTGCTGACTTTTCTTTTGCATTAAAGTTTGCTGGTCACCTGTTCCTTCTGTGTTTGGAGTTTATCAGCAGCTGGCAGAGGAGAGCTGACGCTCTCTCTAAAACAGGGCATCCTAAGGGCAACTTTAAGACTTGTGGATATCAACTCCCAGAATTCCCCAGCCAACCTAGGTTTGTTTGTCTGGCTTATGAAATCAGATCGTTGATAGGTGAATAACTTGTGGACTTCAACTCCAAAAATTCAGCCCACATAGGTTTGTTTGTTCAGCTTGTGAAATCTGATTGTTGATAGGAGAATAACTTGTGGACTTCAACTCCAAGAATTCAGCCCACATAGGTTTGTTTGTTCAGCTTGTGAAATCTGATTATTCATAGGACAATAACTTGTGGATTTCAACTCCCAGAATTCCCCAGTCAGCATGGCTGATTAAGGAATTCTGGGACTTGAGTCCACAAAGTTGCCAAGTTCGGAGATCTATTCCTCCTGATTAGGTCAGCCCAGCTTCAGGGAATGATTAAATAGGGGTGAGCTAGAAACAATATTTTTAGTGAGGATAGTCCTGTCCCCATAATTCCTATCATTTTAAGCCAGAAAGATCTGGTACCTAAAAAATACCAGATTGTGGTGGAGTTGTTTTAAAACTTTAAATGTAGCAGTTTTTTTAAATTTGATCCTGTTATTTTATCTTGGTTTTGGGGGCAATTACCAAACTTTAGTATGTGCCATCCCTCCGGTCAAGCTAGCGATGTAGTTCAGACAAAAAAACATTTGCAGATGAACTGATTCTATTTTACTGTAAAATTACATGAACAGAAAGTTTCAAATCCGAAAATACATCTTTCCCCCTCACCTTTGCAGCTCAAGAAACTAGAGAGGGTCCCATTACTTCTGCAGACTCAGCTGCCTCTTATCTGACAATTGTCTGGTCTGCAGCTTTTCCTTCTTTCTCCCAAGGTTGTTTCCAGACACCACTACAACTCTAATGCGTTCAGAACTGCAACAGCTTTTCCTATCATAGCCTTACCTATAGGAGTGTGGGAGTTCATAAGGTTAGAATGCTGGGCTGACAAGCAGCAGGCTTACGTTTGAGATCCGTTGCTGCTGTGGGGTGGGTGAACTCCCGTCGCACGCTCCAGCTCCTGCTGACCCAACAGTCCGAAAGTGGGCAACCGCGAGTGGATAAATGGGTACCACTTTGGTGGGTAAGTTCACAGGGACACAAAAGGAGCCCCCAAGTGGGCGTTTCCTGGACAATGGTGATGTCCCTGGCAAATCCTTTCACCCTGGAAGCACTTTGGTGCTTCCGACACGGAAGTAGTAATAGTAGCCTTATCCATTCAAAGCAATGGTATGTAGCCTTCAACATGACTGAGTTGTATTTTGAAAATGACATCTACCCATCTGCTGTTTCAGCCCGTTGATTGGATGATTATGAATGATCATAAAGCCATTTGTACAGGCCCTTATGATGTTAATTGTATTCCTGACGCATGACATGTTGGGTTGCCAATGATACAATTAAAATTGAGCTTTTGGAGTCTGGTGAAAGCAAATAACATCTGCATACAAGCAATGGAGCATAAGTAGCAATTAATTGGAAGACATTCAGCTTCTTGGAAATGCCAGCGTAGCATAAGTAGCAATTACTTAGAAGATTATGACCATGGTGGTGAACCTATGGCACACGTGCCAGATGCGGCACTCAGAGCCCTCTCTGTGGGCACGTGCACCATGCCCTGGAGATGGCAACTGTCCCTCTTCAACCAGCCACCCACTAACTCATTGAGCTTCCACGTGGCTGAATGCATCCCAGCATGGCTGGTTTCCCTCCCTCCCATCCCATCCCTCCTGGCCTCGCATGCTCTCCTTTTCCTGGGCATGACCTCCTGGGCATCGCCTCCTCAGCTGTTGGCCGGCCATCCAGCTCAGAGATGGCTTCTCTGAACTGCTGGCGGTGGGCTGCGGAGCACCCAAATGCACCAATTGAGTGGCTGACAGGTGGTGGCTGCTGACAGACACTGTTGGCCTTCATGCACTCACTGGCCTCGCGGCAATGACACCTCTGTCCTGCCTCACCTCACCCCACAGGACGAGCCTCCTGCCCACCACCCCACCTGTCAGAGACCCCCTGGATCTCCCCTAACCCTGCCCGGCTCCCATAGGCGTCCCTCCCGACGAGCAACATCGAGGGGACCTTGGCCACACCCACCCAGTCTGCCATGACCACAACCATGACCACCCAGTGGGCCACGCCCACCCAGCAATAAATAAATGGGTTTTGGGTTGCAGTTTGGGCACTCGGGCTCTAAAAGGTTCGCCATCACTGTTATAGACTAATTTTCATGGCCAATAATCGGATTAGAAGACTAAGGTGAGTGGATGAAAATTAGCAAACTCTTTTGATGTTCCTCAAAAGAGCAGCATCCAACTATTATCTGATTTACAGAAATGTAGCAGATATGGATGCTGTGAGTCAAAAACAGTCAAGAGGACAGCTGTGATTGTGCAATACAATTCCTTCCCCTTTTATATACGGATTGTTCAATGTATATAGAACACGGATGTGACCACACGTGCTATCTTAGTCATTCCCCTGTTTTGACATCATCCCCTCCTCCCCAGATGCAACTACTAGCACACGTGACCATTAGAAGCACGGCAAGCTTTTCTTTATCATGATTGTTAATTGGCTAAATTTCCTTGAACCACACCACAATGCTACCTGCACAAAATGGTGGGGAATTCAAACACAGGACAGAATTCAATGCGTGTTGTTTTTCAAAGCCCTGGAACAGAAGACAAAGGCAGGGAAAGAGAGAGAGAGAGAGAGAGAGAGAGAGGGAGGGAGGGAGGGAGGGAGGGAGGGAGGGAGGAGGGGGAGAGAGAGAGAGAGAGAGAGAGAGAGAGAGAGAGAGAGAGAGAGAGAGAGAGAGAGAGAGAGAGAGATTCAGACTTGCAAGATTCTGTCACGGTTAACATAGGATAAAAAATGAGAGTAGCATTTGTGACTTTTGGTGTTATCCACTTCGAAGGGCTGATATTGGGGCACCAATTATTTAAAGCTGGGCAAATCTAGCAATAGGCCAATTGGTGGTGATGAGGAGCGAGGAGAGGGACAAAATGAAGAAGCAAACATGAAGAAAAACAAGTATTAAATAAAACCTATTTGCCAGGAGAACTCTTCCACAAAGTTTATTGACACTGAAAGGGTCATGAGATTCAAAATGTTCTCTTTGTCTTTCCAAAGGAAACATACAGTGACAGAGCGGTTGATTTATTCTTCTTTTTTTAAAAAAAATCAAAGAGACATACAGTTCTAGGATGGCACGCTGGCAGAATTTCAAAAAATGCAGTTTTTTGCTCCTTAGGGAGTAACGTATATCTCAGTTTTCAAGTTCTGTTTATCCGCTGCACCACACAGTGGAACAGCAGGGATGGTACCTTGCAACACACGTCCTCCTCCACCCCAAAGGTGCTTTTTTTCTAAAGGTGACTGGGCTTGCTTTGTTTTTCCTTGAAGATGTTTCGCTTCTCCTCCGAGAAGCTTCTCCAGCTCTTCTTCCTCCAAAAACGTCAGTTCAGTTCAGTTCTTCTCATCCAAGATGCTGAAGAACTGAAGAACATCTTCAAGGTAAAAACAAGGTCCAGTTGCCTTTGGGACAACCTTGACTTGGAATGACTGAGAATCTCCACTGATTTAACCTTTTTCACTGGAATCTGATGCGGGATGACGGGATCAACAACATTGAATATTTCCAGGAATGTTGATTCTTGGGCAGCAATCTGGGGAATCCATTTGAAGAGATCTGGTCTTAACTTTTGCTCTCCTTTATGTGTTTGAGAGAAAGAGGGAGGCCCAAATCCAGAAGATGATGGGAATTGTGGGAAGTGAAGTTCCCCCCCCAAAAAAAAACAGCTTCTGGGACAAATCTATCTTCAAAAAGTGCACATTCCATAAACAAACTTATAAAACTACAGTGATGTGAACGACACGTTCTTGTTGCATTTGGCAAAGCTGAAAGGATTGTAAACAGACCCCAGATTAAATCACAATTGCCTATGAGGTGCCATCATTGGGGGGGGGGTGAAACAGGGAAGAGAGGCTGTCCCAGTATTTGGGGTGGGGGGGTGGGGTGATGCAATTATTCTGTGGGCAATATAAAAAGAATGAGAAAAGTCTGAAAGATTTTTCAAACTCCTTTGTTTTCATTCCAGAATTCCTGCATGAAATGGAGGAAGATTTGTCCACGGGGATATTATAGCAGCGGTTTATGAAAAAAAAAAATGAACTCCTTTGCTGGTTCTGTTAAAAGAATGATAGAGAGTAAAGATTTTAATAGATCACTGATGCAATTCACTTGTAAGATCATTCTGCTTGATTCTGTTGGGTCAGAATGAGGTATAACCTGTAATCAGAATATAACTGTCTCAAATTTGAAACCTTTATGCTAAATTGGGTAGTTTCGTGTTGTCCTTTTTTTCTTACAGTTACCGGAAATACTCACCAATTCTAAATATATGACGCCACTGTTGGTGTTTTTGAAACTTTTTACATATTCGAAATAGATATCGTTCTGAAAAAGGCTCAGCTATTTAGCAGGAAAGATTAACAAGCAAACATTCTACCTGGAAGCCATTGGATTAAGTGAGACAGCTCTTCTCATTCGTCTTCTTTTTTTTCTAAAAGTGATCTAGTAAAAAAGAAAGATACAAAAAAATATTATCCATGATTTGCTTTCATCTCCTGCTTATTTTATGCAACAGCAGCAGCAGCAGATTCCCCCCCCCCAAAAAAAATATAATGAAAAGAAAATGAAGACCAGCAAAAAACCAACAGTCCTTCAAACAAAGGAACAAGAATTAGGGAAATTGACAAGTCCAGGACCCAAATATTAGACATTCACCTAAAAGTCTTTGCCTGCGTTAAATATTTCCTAGCTTTGTCGATTTCTTCGACAAGCTTCTTCAAATCGTCTCCTTCAAACAAAGGGAAAATGGGATCCTGAGAGAAAACAAAGGTCAAAGGTCAAAGAACCTTTGAGAATAGGGATCACGGAGAGGTGATCACTGCCAGAAATGAAATTACTAGACGAATAAGAATATAATTTGCAATTCCCAAAAGTGCTTTTTCAAAAGGCAACTGGACTTCATTTTTTTTCCCTTGAAGGCGTTTCGCTTCTTGTCCAAGAAGCTTCTTCAGCTCTGACCATCAGAGCTGAAGAAGCTGAAGGAGCATCTTGGATGAGAAGCGAAACGCCTTCAAGGAAAAAACAAAAGTCCAATTGCCTTTTGAAAAAGGACTTTTGGGACAACCATGACCTGGATAACTGATAATCTCTGTAGACAATATAATGTGTAGTGGTTTTAATGTTTGTAAACCACCACCCCCCGAGTAATCTCTGGATAAAATGGGTGGCACGTTAATTTAATAAAATAAATGAATGAATGAATAAAGTTGGTTGAATCTACAGGGGTCAACATCCCTGAGTTAAGATTCCACGCTGTCCAAGGTCCTGACCTTGCAACAGCTAATGCAGATTTTCTCAAATCGTGACAACTTGAAGATCTGTGGATTTCAACTTCCAGAATTTCCCAACCAGAATGTCACCAAGACTGATAAACATTGATTGATCATAGCTGATCTAATCCTAACCTAATCTTCTGGGCGTTGGCACAGTAGATTGCCGTGACCTCATTGTAAAATTATTGGGAATGAAGAGTAATTAACTGATTCCAAGTTGGATCAAGGAATGATACCTCCATATCTTTAAAACCTTGCGAAAGCAGTTGGTGTGCAGCCAACTGTCCGTCCACATCTCCGTGGCAACGATGGTAGCGTCCACCGGTCTGGAAGGCGAGTTTCTTGAGGAAGTCATTGGCCACTCTGTCGAAGACAACAAGGAGAAAGTCCCAAAGTGGGAGTCATTTGAGCTCAATCCTCAACAGCAAGTTCCAAGGGATCCGGAAGACTCCGGGAAGTCGGCCAACTTGCTAAGTTGGTCGTGTTGCAGAAGCTTTCCTCATCTTGGCCCAAGATTAAATTTTAAAAGACTAAATTAAAAAAAAAATCAGTTGGGGCTGCCAAGCAAGAGATACCTGTCCAAGCAATTGAAAGAAATGGTATGGATGGTAACGGCCCGACTTTTCTTAAGCGCTTCAATTTCTTTGAGAATTAAATTGCAACTGGTGTCAGGTTTTCCATCGGTCAGAATGTAGAGGGCTTCTACTTCTTCCAGACTAAAGGCTTGCTGAAAATGACAACACAACCATCTCAAATTAAACAGCAGCTTGGACGCTAGAATACTGGGGTGAAAAGTTCAGTTCACCCACCAGGTCTTGGAGGGGAAAGTGCTTTAAAACCGTCATAAATATGCAGCATTTGCCAAGCGTCTGACCACTGGGATGCTGCAATGGTCTCAAGTGTGAAAAATAGTCATAAGTCACTTTTTTTCAGTATTGTTGTAACTTTGAACAGTTACAAATAGTTGTAAGTAGAGAACTAACTATAGTTTGCAGGACCCCAAACTCAGTCCTTACTGTAGTCTGTAAGTAACCTATCTAATATCATTCTTCCATGTACTACAAATCAGGTACAAAATAGCCGACTTTCCCTCCACAATAGTCTCAAGAGAATTCCCACTAGAACAGGGGTGTCAAACTGCTGGCCTGTGGGCCAGACGCGTCATGCAGAAGCCGCGCCCACCCCGTTGCCAGCAATGGCAAAACCATCCCGATACGTTGTGTGACATCATGTGATGTTGCGAGTTTGACATGTCTGCACTAGAGTATTCCAGCAAAATTGTAATTGGAACCCAGAAAATCTATAGCAGATGATAATTTTTTTGAAGGGAAAACCCATTCTCTATGCTGGGGTCTTCAAGCTTGGCAACTTGAAGACTTGTGGACTTCAACTCCCAGAATTCACAACTGGCTGAGGAATTCTGGGAGTTGGCGTCCACAAGTTTGGAAATGCCTGCTCTGTGCCATTGGCTCCAGGATTTACGGCAACGCTACTTAACTAAGAAGCTTCTGTCCAATTGAACAAACCTGTAAAGCCTTCAAAATGGATGTATTCCCATGAGCCTGAAAGAGTGACACCCACTGGGCAGCCTCGTGGCACATTTCATCGGTGGCCTCCACAAGAGTCTTCTGCCAAAATTGGACCTCTTCTGAGAAAGCGATGAGATTGAACCTGGAGAGAAAGGTCCATCAGGAAGCCCAATCAAGGTGGACAACCACATCAGCAAAACTGTGGTGAGGATCACGTTGAGATATGTGAAATTAAGTGGCCAATAGATTATGTAATTACAATTCATTTTTCTACCCAGGCAATTTGTTGATTATGTCTATGAGATCTGGTGGTTTTTTTTTCATTATCTCTGCAACATTCCATTACTTCGTTGTTTGAGTAGCATGTTGGGAAGCCTCCTTCCAAAATGGCCTCCTTCCAAAATTTGGATTAAAGTTGCATCAACTTAGTATACTCTCTAGTCCTGTAAACCACATCTTCTACCATGTTAATGTTTTGGTAACTATTTCTGAGAGCTCTGACAGTCACACAAGTTTCTTCAGGCCACACCTTCTGCGTTATCAGGTTGGCTTGTGTTCAGGATTTCCTCGTGTATGATTTAATAACAGTAATCAACTCCAAACACATCTAGGTCAACTATTTCTTGCACGCAAGAGCAAGTGGGACTTTGGGCATTCTCACCAGAACCTTCAGCAGATCCACCATCTTCACTGAGTAGGTTTCCTCCAAAACTTCCCCGGTGCTGTAGATATATGGGGCTATCCTATAACCAGTTAGAGCTCTTATATGTCAACAGAAAACTGAGCGCTCACTTCTGGTCCCTTGTGAGAAATGTGGGGGTGAGGTCAGGAGAAGCCTGCTTATGAGGACAACTTACCAGTCTGAGACTGGTTATGACTGGAATGAGGTAAGCTACTATTCCTGCATCTTCCTTACTTGGTGGCCTTCTTCCTCAGCTGTTCCCAGATTAGGGAGGTGAGCTCTTTGGCAACCAGACTCAAGGTGTGCTCCATGGAACCAGATGTGTCAATGAGGATGCAAACTTTGGCTTCCAAGATGACTCCAAAGAATCGGCGGCTGCCTAAGAAAGAGAATTTGTCACTGTTGACCACCCTTTTTGTCTTACTTAGCACAGGGTTTAATCTAAAGAGTCGGAATCAGGATAAAAGGTAGATGGTGGCCAGGAATCCCATCAAACGAACCTTCTCCAGGCTGGTACCTTTGGGATATATAATGTCAACATCTAGAACGGTGGTCTTCAAACTTAGCAATTTTAAGACTTATGGATTTCAACTCCCAGAATTCCTCAGCCAGCCCTGGCTGGGAGTAGAAGTCCACAAGTCTTGATCAAGAATTCTCCATGCATGATCATGGTCCAGCATGGTCATGGTTGAGGATTCTAGGAAACTAAGTCCACACACTTAAAGAATATTCAGTTTGGCTGGCCTCTAAAACTGGATCAGACATGTCCCAGAGGCGCTTTTTCAAAGTGTGCTTGGCTGAGGAATTCTGGAGTTGAAGTCCACAAGTCATAAAAGGGCCAAGTTTGAAGACCCCTGACCTAGATGATTGAGAATCTCCATAGTCACGGATCAGAAATATTTGATTCAATAAGGTGGTGAGGTATGGTGTGAAAGTCATTGTTGATTCCATGACCTCTTTAGCTTCCAGCACTTGTAAGGCAGGTTGACGAAGACCATAGAATTGTCCTGTAAGCTACAATCCTAGCCTAAATGTTACAGATGAATGGAGATATAGTGGGCCCTACAAAATCTGACACTCTAATCATTTCTATAGATATTGAAATGAAGGAACCAAACTTTCTCATCAGTTGAAATCACCTAGAGCAAGGTTGGGTTGTGGCATGACCCAAAATCCCACTCTTACATTCTTGCATTATGACACGAGTTTCATCATTATTCCTCTTCCTTCGCACGTGCTATGCTATGAGCCTGAACTGGTTCAAAAGAATTAGCTTGCCCCCAGCTTTGGGGCCACATGATCCAATTCTGAATGCAAAGAGCATAAATAACTCCTGTCAAGATGGTTAATAGTGGGGCAACTCCTTGATAGGATAGACAGACCCGAGAGAAGCCACTGTAGTCTTCGGACGTAGCATTGCAACACTCTCTCCAACTGCTTCATGTAATCATCCAAATCCTTGGATTGAATCTGCAGATGCTTCACCATCCCCTGGGAGACAAGATCACAAGAGGTCACTCAAAGAGGGGATGGGAGGGTTATGTCCAATGTAGGCTAGGCTAAGAAACCCATGCGATGTAGGTCTAAGACTATTTTTACTGGAACAGCTGTTAGGAGCAGAATCTTGTACACTGGTATATGCCTCCGCCTCCCTCATTTTATCTTTGTGTGAATTAGGGAGGGGCTCGTGAATCATTCTCTCTTCTATCTTTCTATCTATCATCTCTCTGTTTATTTCTATCTGTCTAAGCTCCATTTCTGTCTGTTTATCTGTCAGTCTTTCTGTTTATCCTTGTAGTTATCATGTGTCTATTTCTATTTAATTTATATGTCTATCATGTCTGTCTGCCTGTCTTCCTGTCTGTCTGTCTGTCTGTCTGTCTGTCTGTCTATCTATCTATCTATCTATCTATCTATCTATCTATCTATCTATCTATCAATCATCTATTTACCTGTTTGGAAAGACCATGACTCTTAACTAATAACAACAGCAAATAAATAAATAAGGATTAAAAATCCAAGGCTGAGGACAGTTGGAGAAAAATGGCTATGATTACTTATATAGTAATGTTGGCTGGGGAATTCTGGGAGTTGAAGTCCACACATCTTTAGGTGGCCAGGATTGAGAAACACTGCTATATACAATCAGGATTGTTGAAGAGACGTTTCACGTTCCCTCTAAAAGAACCCACAGCGGGGACTCACCTGCATTTCTACACTTGGGAATATGTCACAATATTTTGCCGAAACTTTCTTGTGCAACGATTCCACCATCTGCTTCCGATGGACGCTCCCGGGTCCAAACACAACAGTGGCCAAATCTAGCTTCAGCTTTTTCAGGCTGCATTTACTGAGCCACTAAGGGACAGGAGGAAAAAGGGAGTCTCGTTTGAGCGAATGGAGGATGCACCGCAAGCGAAGAAGCATTTCAGTGACTTAATAATCTTTCCCTTCAGGCAGCGTGTTACGGACAATACGTACTGCCTTGGTGGAGCAGATTTCCTCCTCATTTGGCAACATCAGCGAAGCAATCAATCTTTTCCCGCTCTTTTTGAAAACTGCCTCTGGAGAGGAAGAAAGCTATGTTATTCTTGCTTCTGAAACACACCTCCTTATATTCTCCTTCCTGGAAGGAGAGAAATGTGAATTTAAAAATGCACATTTCAATCTCTCAAGTGGAAAAAGAGGCCCATCCTGTAGCCAATCTGTTGCTCAGCTTGGGATGCTAAAAGTTTTTTTTTTAATGTTTTATTGATTTTTCTAATTTTACCTTTAAGTGTTTTGGTCACCATGATGTAAAAAAAGATGCTGAAACTCTAGAAAGAGTACAGAGAAGAGCAACAAAGAAGATTAAGGGGCTGGAGGCTAAAACATATGAAGAACAGCTGCTGGAATTGGGAATGTCTAGTTTAATGAAGAGAAGGACGAGAGGGGACAGGATAGCAGTCTTCCAGTATCTGAGGGGCTGCCCCAAAGAAGAGGCAGTCAAGCTATTTTCCAAGGCGCCTGAAGGCAGGACAAGAAGCAATGGATGGAAACTAATCAAGGAGAGAAGCAACCTGGAACTAAGGAGAAACTTCCTGACAATTAGAACAATTAACCAATGGAACAACCTGCCTCCAGAAGCGATGACTGCTCCAACACTAGAAGTTTTTATGAAGAGACAGGACAGCCATTTGTCTGAAATGGTGTAGGGTTCCTGCCTGAGCAGGGGGTTGGACTAGATGAACTCTAAGGTCCCTTCCAACTTTATTATTATTAGTATTATTAGTATTATTTAAAAAGCAATGTGGCGGCTGAGTTAAATGATAATTCAATGACATACAAATATCTTTAGTACAAGTCTCAAACTATCACATTAAATATTTCCTCTCTTTTCCCCTTACTATTTGCTGCCTCATATTTAAAGTAATACAATTCTTCTTATATCAATTAAATAAAAGTAACATCCTTACATTTATCAATAATGTTTAGCTTTTACATGTCCTGGTTGTTTTAACATTCATTCTTTATAGACAATCAATGTCCTAATTAGTTTTCCCCAATTTTTAGTTTCCCATTAATAATAATGCTAAAGGTTTACAAACATCTTTGTGGGAAGAAAACCTCCCCCATTATCTGAAGAAACCCACCTATGTTTTTCCTTTGGCGGTGATCCAGCAAAGAGTCTGACATCGCTGGCTGTCTTTTTGCCTTGAGGTTCAATTTCTTTCTGGCCAGGAAAATCTCTTTTATGGGCTGAACTGCACAATAAATCAAATCATCATCAACTTCCCCATCTAAAATCAGATTACCCCATCCTTTCAAGATGGGTACGGCTTGCATTCTAAGTAGGATTAATTCATTCTTTCTCTTGTTTTGGTCTTCTCTGTATTTTTTTTTTCTTATAGCCTGCAAGCAGGATGTTTGTAATCTGTTGAAAATTTAAGACTCTGATAAAATCATTTGGATTAGTCCCATCCTATAAAAGGAAAGGGGGGGAGAGGCTATCTGATTGGTCAGCAGGCCCCCACCCCTGAAAAGACAGCGGAGACTATGTTAACTATGCAGGGAGAAAAAAAGTATTAAACACGTCACTGTATTTTAATTACAAACAAACAGGCCAGATGGATAGATAGAGAATCCACAGTCATATTCACCCAATTTTGCAAGGGGGGATTCATCCAATCTTCTAAGCCGGGAGTGTCCAACCTTGACAACTTTAAGACCAGGACTTTAAGATCCAGAATTCCCTCGCCTGCATGACCCCTAACTCATTAAAATACAGCAGATTTACCTCAGGTGTATCCAAGCTTAGCGATTTAAGTCTCGTGGACTTCAACTCCCAGAATTCCCCAGCCTGCATGAATCCTAACTCATTAAAATACAGTAGATTTACATCAGGTGTATCCCAGAATTCCCCAGCCAATATTTCTGGCTGAGGAATTCTGGAAGCCAAAGTCCACAGGTCTTACAGTTGCCAAGCTTGGACATCTGTATCCTAAGGCAAATCGAAACAAGCTATATTGTGACTTAAAAGCCATGGCAGCTTCCACACAGATGGGCTTCAGCTGACTATGGACTTAGATCTGACTTAGAGTTACGGAGCCACCCTTGCTTATCCCATCTGGTAACCATTTCGCTTCTACACACCTGGTGGGATTTCCGCTTTGCCGCTTGGAGGACGCCACGAAAGGGCCTTGGGGCTACCAGTCCTCTCGCCATCCTGGTGCTGTTCTCACGGACAATAAAGAGATGGGGGACAGAATGAGAAAAACACTCGTTCTTTCATTTCATAATAAAATTTCGCGTATTTCGGTTTCGTGTTTTTCCTGCTCCAGCAATTTTCCTTCTCCAGCAATTCTACAAAAGGTGTTTTCTTGACTCAAGGACCAGAATTGGTCAAGGGGTAAAAATACTGAACAAAGCAAGGAAGTGACAATAGATTACGGTAGAGTTCATTTTGAAATACCAGCACCAACTTACCATCCTGGCAAGGGTGAGGGCTGTCGGCTTTGGAAATGGTAATTTTGAAGGTCTGGGTTTTTTTTCTTCTTTCTTTAGTGATGACAGGTCATCTGTCATGGGAGGTGACTGGTTCCTTGAAATGTTTCCTGATCTCTGCCTTAAAGAGTCCACTAACACGGCACACTGAAAGCAAAGCAACAATCAGAAAACACACTGAGGCTTGCCTTAGAGCAGGGGTCTTCAAACGTGGCCCTTTGATGACTTGTGGGCTTCAACTCCCAGAATTCCTCAGCCAGCGTGCCTGGCTGAGGAATTCTGGGAGTTGAAGTCCACAAGCCATCAAAGGGCCACGTTTGAAGACCCCTGCTTTAGAGGCAAATTTCACGGAAGACATAACTGTAACTCTTATCAGGAACGAATTCTGAAGGAAATTAATAGCAAATCGGGGTTTTTTTTTTCCATTCCCGTTTAAAGGGAGATTCATGAAGTGTGTATTTCTAACTACCTGGGCACAGAGCAAAATTTATAAATGAATTCCTGTTCTCCACATCAAAAACACGCATACAGACATTGGTACATTTTTCTGTAAGCGTGATTTGTTGCTGTTCTTAAAATCTATTTCCATGGATGGGAAAGAAAAGACATTAAATAAATGAATGTGTTCTGAAGTCTGTGCCTACCGTAAACTGGGAAACATTCTTTTTGCTCTAACTTTGGTATTTTTTTTTTTCACAAATTACAATCACCAGATTGCTGCTGCAAAAATCTCAACCACCACTAGAGGGCCACAAGGAGTGAGAGATTTCAGGGACCCTTTGCTGCCATCGTGTGGTCATTTATATTCACCTAGTTCAGATCTAGTATATACATCTTAGAAATCGACAGGGGAACGCCCGTTGGCCTGAATGATTGTGCAAAATGCTACACCAGGTGATCAGACCACTGCATCCTCCTCATGGTAAAGAGACATAGCTTAAAATAAAGTCAATTTTTCAAAAGATCTATGATCCAACCTTGTGAGAGTAATTAACTGCTTTTTCCATTTCAGATAGGATAAGGCTGATGTCATCGCTTTCGTTGATACCTTTCCGGAAAGCAAGGAGGAATTAAAAAAAAACAACAACACACAAAATATAAACTCCTAAGTTTTGAAACATGATGCAATCCAACTTTTACAAAAAATTGTTAGCACACACAACCACACAGACGCACACCTCTTGGAACAGTTTGGGAATGTTATGATTTTTTTGGTGGAGGTCCATGCAATTCTAGGTATTTATCAATGAAGTTATTTTTACCAGTATGTTCCATCTTTCCCACAAAATTTCAAGGCAGTTCACAGAGAGGGTCTTCCCTCCGTTTTATCCACACAACCCTGGGAAGCTGTGGTAAAATATAGTGAATAACACATGGGGTTGGTTGGTCAACCAGATATCTGGATTTGAGTCTTCACTTTGCCAGAGAAAAATAAGGTTTTGATTGACCACGGGTGCTTCAGCACCTTCTTTGCAAGGCGGACATATTTGTGTGAGTTTGCGTACATTTGTGCAAAATGTTCACAGCTTCAGTTTCAGACATCTCCAAGGTTAGGTTGAGAAGGAGATGTGTTTTTGCAAAGTTGCTGCTCAGTCCGTGTTGTCCAAGGTGAGGAAGCTACAACTCTCCAGCTGTTGCTGGAGTATGATTTACATGATCCCTTGTCGTTAGTCACATCAGATTGGTTGAAGAGAACTGGGAGTGCTAGGACGTCAAGTCCAAGAACATAAAGAACATCTGGAGATACAAAAAGTTCTCCTTCCTGTGGCACCCTAAGAGCAGGACAATGGGGCAGAAGTCAAGAACTCTATGAAGGAGAAGGATCAGGAGGCCCGAAGGCCCACATTTTGAAATAAAGGATGTGTTATACAGGTACTCCTCGACCTACACTCACCATTGGGACCAAGAATGAATGAAACATCTGCAAGAAAACCACCAAGCTCAGAGAACAGCAAGGATGCCTGCCACAGTCCTCCTCCTCCTATCTCCTTCTCCTCCTCCTCCTCCTCCTTTCCACTCCTCTTTCTCCTCCTCCTTCTCGTCTTCCTCCTCCTCCTCTTCCTCCTCCTATCTCCTCCTCCTCCTTTCCACTCCTTTCTCCTCCTCCTCCTCCTCCTTCTCCTCCTTTTCACTCCTCTTTCTCCTTCTTCTCCTCCTCCTATCTCCTCCTCCTCCTTTCCACTCCTCTTTCTCCTCCTGCTCCTCTCTTCCTCCTCCCTCCTCCTCCTTCTAGGACCAAGTACCCCACAATACTGTTTCACCATGGAGCTAGATCTGATTTACTCATACAGAATAGAAGGAAAAAAAAGGTGATTTGTAATACTGTAGTCCCAACTCAAAGCTCCTCAGAACGGTAAAACAGAAAGATAAACCCTTGAAGAAGGAAGAACCCACTCCAGCAAGATTAAAGAGGTGCCCACATCCTTAAAAGGCCCAGAGACCACTTGAAAGGGTTCCCATGTGGCAGCTGGAGGCGCATTAAAAATACACCCTGAAATTCTAGCGCACCTGTTTCTCCAAAGCAATGAAAACGTCCGTTGGCGGCCTGCACAATTTCTTTGTAAGCGGTGGCGGTTTCTTCGGGACTCGCGTAGCGTGGTGGCGGGTCTTCTTCAAACGAATAAGAGTTAACACTGAAGAGGCAAACGTGGAGTTGCAAATCACAGCCCCCACAGACTTCAACCAGGTAAGAAGAGATGAGGTGCTGAAAGACAAAGAAGGTGGAAACCAAATGCGACGGACAGCATCATTTGACACGAACGTAATTGATTCCTGGCTTGAAGGCCATTCAAGGGTTTCACATTCATTAACAGAATCAGTTTTATAAAAAGCAGGGAACCAGTGTAATTGCAACCGTGGTGCAAGGGTGCACAATCCATGAGCCATGGGATCTGTGTGTGGCTCCTCCAATATGCAACAGAGGGCCACAGCTTCTAATTGCAAATCCTTGGCGATGTCCATTTTGCTCTCCTATTCAGGCTGCCTCCGTGATGCCAACGAGCCATGACCTTAAAGCAACGTTTCTCAACCTCAGCAATGTTTAAGATGGGTGGACTTAACTCCCAGAACTCTCCAGACAGCCTTTGGCCAACCAGACAAATGGCTGTCCAGTCTCTTCTTAAAAACCTCCAGTGATGGGGCTACCCACAACTTCTGGAGGCAAGTTGTTTCACTGGTTAATTGTTCTCACTGTCAGGAAATTTGTCCTTAATTCTAGGTTGCTTCTCTCTTTGTTTAGTTTCCATCTGTTACTTCTTGTCCTGCCTTCTGGTGCTTTGGAGAATAGCTTGACTTCCTCTTCTTTGTGGCAGCCCTTCAAATATTGTAACACTGCCATCATGTCACCCCGTCCGTCTTTTCATTAAACCAGACACACCCAATTCCCGCAACCATTCTTTGTATGTTTTAGCCTCCAGTCCCCTAATCCTCTTTGTTGCTCATTTTTAACGACGGTATTATCTTCATCTAACTGAGTTCACGCCCACCTGCTGATATAAAAAGAATCATGCAATCTACTTTTCCACTTCCTAGCTCTTTGCCAACCCAAACAAGTTGTGGCATATTAAGGCTTTTGGCATTTAAGATAAGATAACCTTTATTGTCATTTTTTTTTTACCGTGGGCACAACGGCACACATCAAAAAAATGAAATTTAGTTGCCCGCTCTCAAAGTGAAACACATACGTGACACGCATCTAAACATACTATATACAACATATATAATGAAGCGTTCTGCACGTTGCCTAAACTGATTTTGGAAATCCACCTACCGTCTCCTGATCTGGCACTCCAGCTGCCAGCAGATACAGGCCTTGAGATGCATGCCTGTCTTTATCTTTAAAATTCACCTCCACGGCTCTTTTGAGGGCCTTCAAAAGATTCCTGGTGCCCTTGGCACGAAGACACAGAACCCATCTAGAAAAAAACAACCAAGCGTCAGACATGTCCTTCTCGAACATTCCACGTCTGTGGGGCTGATACAAAAGGGATCAAGACTGGGACATCAAGAACAGGGGCACCACTTGAAAGTTAGAAAACGGGCAGTCGAGCACAATTTGTCCAGGTTGGACACGCCAGGTTTTGCTCGTTCATCTGGACTGAAGAAGTGGAAAAATATCTACACGTGGTCCTTTACCTCCAAGCACTCTGCAAGTTGTCTGGATGAGGTGGGACCATCTCAGGTTGCCAAGCCCTAACGTCATTTCCAAAGCTGCCAAAAAGAACGTAGAATCAACAAACATTGGCCAGGCTCACACGTGACTTGTTGGAAAGATAAATTAGTTACCCCAATTTATGTCCAACCCGCATACAGGTAGTCTTCGCGTTGAGCCCCAAATTTACGTGGCTACGTGAGTCAGTTGTTGAATGAGTTTTGCCTCCTTTCATGTCCTTTTTTCTCACAGTTGTTAAGTGATTGTGAAGTGAATCTGGCTTCCCCATTGACTTTGCTTGTCAGAAGGATGTGAAAGGAGATCATGTGACTCCGGGACACTTGCAACAGTCCTAAGTACATGCCAGTGGCCAAACATCTGAATTTTGATCAGACTGTGTGAAAAACAGTCCTACATTGCTTTTTCAGTGCTGCTGCTGCTGCTTTCAGATTAAGATTTCTTTTGTTAAGATTAGATTTCTTCGGCGGCAACCATTTTGGCTTCTTTGCAGAATAGGAAGACAGGTTCTCTCATCTCAGACCCAAGCCAGCATTTCCCGGATCACAGCTTTGTAGATCGGTAGATGAATGTATGACCTTACTTCTTTTTTCTTCCAAAACATGTCGGGTTTTTATTTTCTTAAAAATATTATCCAGTAGAAAAATGACCGAAACGAAAGAAAAGCCACTTACGCAAGGATGTTGAACAGGTCCTTACTGGCCATTTGCTCTTCTAATAAAAGGCGTAGAGAATGTTGGAGATGAAAGATGTAAGGGGAATTCGTTTTGGAGATATCAACCAGGATAACCACCCTAATGGAAAACCAAAGGCTATTAACATTTCCTCTCCCTTCTTTTTGATGCTTAGTTTTCCTGCATTTGGTTCCCTTCTTTTCAGCTTTAAGCAGCCCTGTGAGACCAGAGAAGGTGGAAGATAAACCCTGATTTATGGTTTGTTGTAGTGCTTCCAAAGCACTTTTTTCCCTTTATTATACAAAACTAGAAAGTCCTTCTTTAAATATCAGTGGTGATGGGGTAATGGGTTTGTGTGTTGTCGCTTAAAGAAAAATCACATTTGCTCAATTTTATATAATTTATCTCGATTTGGGAAGCATTGGTTGTGTTTGACCAGCCCAGACAATTACAAATAAATCCCTGACTTACAGCCACAACTGGGGTTGGAATGCCGGTCATCAATTGGTGAGATTGTAAGTCAAGTCCCCAAATGACCGGACTCAATTTATGTCCATTTTTACCTCCGTCATAAAGCAAATCCTGTGGTCCTTAATTTCTTTGCCTCTGTTTAACCGCTGAGTTTACTTCTTGCATTTCTGTTCCCGTATCATTGCCCAGAGTCAGTTGGAATTGAAATACATTCAAATAAATTATTTTGTTATTATCATCATTTCAGCGGGTGCACCAGGAGGTCTCCCTCCTGTTAAACCAGGATGCAGTCAAAGTATCAAGAGGGGATTGGCCAAGAGCAAGGGTAGGCAACCTGGGTTCTTTTATGACTCGTGGACTTCAACTCCCAGAATTCCTCAGGAAGCCATGTTGAGGGGAAAGGGAGAGGTTTCCAAGCTGAGCCATGCTGGCTGAGGAATTCTGGGAGTTGAAGTCCATGAGTCATAAAAGAGCCAAGGTGGCCTACTGACTCAGGAATTCTGGGAGTTGAAGTCCACGAGTCATAAAAGAGCCAAGGTGGCCTACCCCTGGCCAAGAGGAACAGAGAGAGGTAGAAATAAAAGGCAAGAAGGCATCTGAAACAGATGCAAAGAAGTCAACTTGGGTACCTCTTTTCACAAACTGTTCCCCAAATTCCTCTGCTGGAAAGAGATAGCCAATCAATGCGTCTCTCGTACAATTTCACCATCTGCCCCAGCTGCTTCTGTGAAGCAAAGGAGAAGAGATATCGTCTGAAGTTGCTGGCTAAGGATTAGACAAACATTTCAGGCAACAAATGTTGGGAGTTCTTTCTGAAGTCAAATTCCCATAGAAGAGTGGAGAAGGTGCTTCAAGATGTCCACACCATCCATGATCGGGAGGTTCTCCAATCTTCCACCCATCTACAGCAGGGGCCTTCAAACTTGGCCCTTTTACGACTTGTGGGCTTCAACTCCCAGAATTCCTCAGCCAGGCATTCTGGGAGTTGAAGTCCACAAGTCGTAAAAGAGCCAAGTTTGAAGAGCCCGATCTACAGCATCATGGTTGCAATCATCTTCCCCGCTCTCCTAAGATACAGGCAATCCTTGACTTATGACCACAACTGGAACCACAATTTCTGTTGTGGTTAAATGAGCCACACTGGATTTTATAACCGTTTCGCCACAGCCGTTAAAGCAAATTGTTGCGGTTGTTAAGTAACTCATGCAGTTGTTAAGCCAACCTGACTTCTTCCCACAGGCTTCGCGAGTCAGAAGCTGGCTGGGAAGCTCACAAATGATGATCACGTTATGCTACAACTGTCGTAAATACGTACCAGTTGCCAAATGAACAAATTTCGGTCACGCAATCATGGGGATACTGAAAGAATTGTGAGGACTGGTCATAAATAGCTTTTCTTAGTGCAGTTGTAGCTTCGAAGGATGCACACACAGAAAATAGTTGTAAGTCAAGGACTGCCTATATAGAAATGGGACTGTGTTGTGTGCAGCACTTCAGACCTTGATCAGCTGTTTAGCCCCAAGACAAACAATGGTTAGAACGGGTGATGTGCAATTTATTCACCTGGTAATCATATAATATTGGAGGATCTACGTGGATATTTTTCACTGTCCCATCGTGCCACTCAAACTGCATCATGGCATTCTGCAACAAAAAGGATGACCACAACATCACAAAACCAGGTGGCAGGCACTCCTTGGCTCACAGCCACCACTGAGCATTTGTGTTGTTAAGTGAAACATTTGTTAACTGAGTTTTGCCCCATTTTACAAGTGTTTTTCAGGGAGGCTGGTCTATCAGGGCAATGTGGTCTACCCCAAATGTGGGAAGGAGCCTACTGCTTCCGCTTCCACCTTTCAGCCTCAATCTAGGAGCCTTCACAGGTGGCTGCTCCTGCAACAAGACTATTTGTGTGTCAGATTTAAATTTACCGAGACAGAAATAGCTAGACTAGTCTCCTTTTAATTCTTTTTCGGAAAATTTAAATTTAACCCCATTGTACAACTTTTCTAGCCAGTGAATTGCTGGAATTGTTAAGTTAGCAACAGGGCTGTTAAATTTCCCCTTGGCTTTGCTAGTCAGAAGGTCACCAAAACTGATCACATGACCCCAGGGCACTGTAATCGTCATAAATATGAACCAGTTGCCAAGCATCCAGTATGTCTAGTTTAATGAAGAGAAGGACGTGGGGGGGGGGACATGATAGCAGCCTTCCAATATCTCAGGGGCTACCCCAAAGAAGAGGGAGTCAAGCTATTCTCCAAAGCTCCTGAAGGCAGGACAAGAAGCAACGGATGGAAGCTAACCAAAGAGAGAAGCAATCTGGAACTAAGGAGAAATTTCCTGACAGTGAGAAGAATTAACCAATGGAACAGCTTGCCTTCAGAAACCAAATCAGTTTTCCTTGACTTACCCCGTGCAGAGTGGACGATACCGTTTTGCGAAGGACAGGCACAAATTCTTCCACGGGCGAGAAGGCATTGGGTGCTAAGACTTGGTAAAGGCCAAGCTTCTTGGCTGCAGGAAGGACAGAAGAAACAGGAGTCCAGCAACTGGTCTGGATGGGTGTTGTTTCAGAGGGAAAATCTGTTTTTTTTTTTTTTTGCCTTACCTCGCAATCCATTGGCTTTTAACCATTCGGCGGAAGATTTGGCCAAGAAATTGGGGATCTGGATTGCAAGAGGGCGCTCGTGCTGGAGGGGTTTGGACAGCTGTACCAAAGAGGATGAGCTTAAACGTTCCGTTGAACTCTAAGCAGAGAGAGAGTCAACACGTCTCTGTTAAAAACAAACCTGTGTGTTCTTGTTCGTGTTGAATAACAACTGCAAAATGTTAATTAAAGGGAGAGCCTCCACCAAGGTGTTTTTTTTTTTAAAAAAAATCATTTCTAAATATATACTTGTATTGTTTCTTTACTGGACATTTCATGCAATGGCATATGAGAATAGCCTTGGGAGACAGAAGAAAGAGCTGCAGTCAAGGCAACAATTGGATAAGAGGCAGCTGAGCCCATAGAAAAAACAGAAAAACCGTCCCTAGTTTCTTGGACTGTAAAGGCGAAGGGGGGGGGGAGAGGAACTTTCAGGTTTGCAAGGTTGATACAAGCCCTTTGGAGTAATCCATATGTCAAGTCCTCCTGGGCTCGACATTCAGGAGGGGGAAAGTGAAGGAGTGCACGTGGGGGAAGAGGACGGCCAGCACCGGTTTCAAGCAGCTCATCGTCTCGACGATGCTCCGGAGGGTCCTGTTCAACCCGCCAAACAGCTGATGGGTGGTTGGCGTGCAGCAGACGCCAGGCGGAATGCCAGCAAACGCTGAGAGCCGCGCCCATGCAGAAGAGATGCCGGACCGACCAATGAGCAGCCACCGAACAGCTGACAAGTGGGAGCGGCGTGCTGTTGGGACGGGGCTTTTCAAAATGCACAGATGCAGAGAAGGGAGGGCATCAAACTGGGACAGCTGTTGCAGTTTGAACTGATTAATACTGGATGCTGGTTGGATGATTAGAGGGTGGGGTGCTGAGTGATGGGGGAGTGGAGTCGCTGGCTAATTAGGTGGAGGGTGGGGTTGTTGGCTAATTGGGCGGAGGGTGGGGTAGCACTGACGCAAATGTATTTAACCTGCACTGGGAGGCAGTTGCTCCCAGCACAAACTTTATTCAGCAAGGAGACTTGTTACTGTAGGTTTCTGCTGATGCCAACAATGCCTTAAAATAAACCGCTGCTTCCTGAGTCTGGTTGCCTTCGTGTCCTTCTTTACTCAGGGGTCCGGTAGGATTGTGGACACCATATAGGAAGCACCACCCAGGAATACCAGCTCTGTCTTTATTCTAAGGTTACATCAAGGGTCTTCCAACTGGGCCCTTTTATGACTCGTGGACTTCAACTCCCAGAATTCCTCAGCTGTCTCCCAAGGCCATTCTCACATACCATGGTTGGGATAAGGAAACGACACAAGTAAACATAATGCTCAATTATGGGATTTCCTAGCCCTGGACTATGCAGCATGCAACAAAGCCTCTCAAAAGGAATCAGGGACTTACATTTTTCACTAAATTGAAAAGCGAGTCACCCATCTTGCCCTCATAGATCTCCTCCACGATCTTGAGCAAGCTGCCTGCTTTTTGCTGCTCAGAGAGAACCAGCTGAATATCAGTGCTCTGGCAACTCTGGTTAGACGACACCAGAAAAAGAAAGAGAGAGAGAGAGGAGAGAGAGAGGAGAGAGAGAGGAGAGAGGCGAGAGGAGAGAGAGAGAGGCAAGAGAGGAGAGAAAGAGGCGAGAGAGAGGAGAGAGAGAGAGGACAGAGAGAGAGAGGAGAGAGGAGAGAGGAAAGAGAGGAGAGAGAAAGAGGAGAGAGAGAGGAGAGCGGAGAGAGAGAGAGGAGAAAAAGAGAGAGAGGAGAGAGAGGAGAAGAAGGGAGAGAGGACAGAGGAGAAAGAGGAGAGAGAGAGATATTATTGTCTTTCCTTTTGGGCACCTTCAAAAGAAAAAAAAACCACCACAATTCAGACAACCTTGGAAAACCTGAGGGGCCACATGCAGTCCTAAGGGTTAAGTCTGCACCCCTCTGCTTTACAAGAATGCACCTTAAGTCGACAGACCTACCTCAATCTCTCCTGAGTAGCAATGGTAACGGCTTCCCACCTCTTCGGCCAAGCTTTTGAGAATGGCCTAAAAGGAATGAAATAAATGAAACTCACGGGCTGTTCCCCATGAACAACAATTCTATTTTATAAAGCGCAAAGACCACCTTGGAGACGAGGAAAAGATAGAAAGTAAATTACAGATAAGTCCCTTGACTTACGACCACGATCAAGCCGAAATTTTCTATTGCTGGGTGAGACAGTTTTTAAGTGACTTTTGCCCCCATTTTATGACTTTTCTTGCCACCGTTGTTAAGGGAATCAGTTGTTAAGGGAAGCTGCTGGCGATCCCCTGAGCTACGCTTCCCTTCCCACAACCCAGAGACTCACAGGAGGCCCCTGACTGCTGCAGTTGTACGCCACAGTGTGAACCAGCAAACGTCTTCCCACAGAGCACTGCTGGATGTAATCAGACAAAATTTCCGTCGTCTGGTCTGGACTGTTTTAAAAAACAAGGAAAGAGAAAGGACGGGGCGTCGTAGGAAAGGGTGGGAGAGAAGGACGAGCTATCATTATGGGATAGGAAAGAGAAAGCTGTCATTCAAACAGGTAGTCCTCGACATTTGCATAAGCGAGACATTTGTTCAGCAAATTTCGCCCTGTTTTACGACGTTCCTTGCCCCCGTTAAGGGAATTGCTGCATTGGTTAAGTTAGTGACATGGTGCTTAAGTGGATGTGGTTTGTCAGAAGGTCGCCAGAGGGGATCCCGTGAGCCCGGGGGAACATTGCATCGGTCATAAATATGAGGCGGTTGCTAAGTGCCTGAATTTTGATCCCGTGACCATGGGGATGCTTGCCAGGGCCGTTCAAAAAAAAGTGGCTTATGACCGTTTTTCATACTTACGAACACTGCAGCGTCCCATGGTCACGTGTTCAAAATTCAGACACGCGGTTATGACTCATAGTTATGACGGTTGCAGCTTCCCGGGGTCACGTGACCCCCTTTTTTCGGCCTTCTGACAAGCGAAGTCAATGGGGATTCACTTCCCAACTTAGCAACCACAGCGATTTCCTTAACAAGGATGGTTGTCAATATTCACTGAACAACAATCTTGCTTAGCAGCAGAAATGTGGGGCTCAGTTGCGGTCCTAAGTCAAGGACTACCTGTACAGGTAAACAAGAAAGACAACGTCTGCCTTTCAACAGGTGACCTACCAGGTTCCTACTATGATCGCCACGGAGTCCAGCTCTCTCATCTCCAGGACTTTCTTTAAAGCGTTTAGCAAATTACAGCCTCGGGTAGGTTTCAGCTCCTGGACCCACTGCCTGGCTTCATTTAATCTGGGGGGGGGGAGGGTGGAAAGAAGAAGGAAAGTGAATTTTATTGCCCACCAATTTAGACACAAGCCTGGATTTAATGACAATGTTGGCGTGCCTGTCAACAAAACACATTCCAAGCAGCCAATCCCGAACAATTAAAACAGTGAAAGTCAACCAGCGATTGTGGTTAGTGAATGCAAAAGTCAACCAGCAAATGCCAGGCTGGACATGGTCAAAGATGTTGAGACTCTAGAAAGAGTACAGAGAAGAGCAACAAAGATGATCAGGGGGCTGGAGGCTAAAACATATAAGGAACGGTTGCTGGAATTGGGTATGTCTAGTTTAATGAAGAGAAGGACGAGGGGGGACAGGATAGTAGGGTTCCAGTATCTCAGGGGCTGCCACAAAGAAGAGGGAGTCAAGCTATTCTCCAAAGCGCCTGATGACAGGACAAAAAGCAACGGATGGAAACCAACCAAAGAGAGAAGCAACCTAGAACTAAGGAGAAACTTCCTGACAGTTAGAACAATTAAATCAGTGGAACAACCTGCCTCCAGAAACTGTGAATGCTCCAACACTGGACGTTTTTAAGAAGAGACTGGGCAGCCATTTGTCTGAAATGGTATAGAGGGCTGGACTAGATGACCTCCAAGGTCCCTTCCAACTTTATCATTATTATTATTATTATTATGGATCATTGCACAGTCAGCCAGATGTTCACACTGGATTTGGCATTTTGTCTACCTATTGAGTCCTAATATTATTATTATTATTAAATTGGGCATTCTAGCAAAACAACAACAATAGAAGTTCTCTTCTACTAAAAAGGATCCCCCCGAGTGAGCACCAGTATCAACATAACCATCAAGGAATTTCAAAATGGGAAACCAGAGGACCTACAGTTTCAGCCAGGGGAATAAAAACCTGAAATTTCCAGAGGCAAATAGCACTCTTACCGATCCCCATTGACTGCCCGGGGTTCCTCCCACAGAGCCGAGACCTCAGTGCCAAACGAAATCAAGTAGAGTTTCTTCGTGTAACTCAGCTGTTCGTTAATTAACGACTGGGAAGAAAATAATCAGAGTTTCAGGTTGATCCGAGCTGACCCCGTCAAAGAAAAAAGGACCCCACTCTTACAACATATGCATTATTAAATACAGGTTAGTCCCCAACTTACAACTGTTCATTTAGTGACTGTTCGATATTACAAGATCACTGAAAAAAGGGAGCAATGACCAGTTTTTACACTTAGGACCGTTGTAGCATCCCCAGGGTCATGTGATCCAAATTCGGACGCTTGGCAAATTTTGGTTCATATTTATGACGGTCGCAGTGTCCCATGGTCCCGGGATCCCCTTCTGAAACCTTCTGACAAGTGAAGTCAATGGGGAAGACAAATTCCCTTAACATCCAGGTTGCTAACTTAACCACTGCAGAGGTCACTAAACGACTGTGGCGAGAAAGCTTGTAAAAGGGGGCAAAACGCCACTTAAAAAAACTGTCTCACTTAGCAATGGAAATGTTGGCCTTCCTTGTGGCCGTCAAATACTTACCAAGAGATCCATTTGGAACCCTTGCAGTCCTGATCCATAACCTACGCTGGACGTTTCGATCAGAACGCCAACCTTGTTTCCTTGAATGACACCGAACATCTGGAGTGGGAGAAGAAGGGGAAAAACATAGAAAGAAGTGGAAAGATCTTAGAACATCATTCGTTCGTTCATCCGTTCATTCATTCATTCATTCAATCAATCCTTCATTCAATTCATATGGAATTAGGATCTTTATGGTATTGCACACAGAGAATTTTATGACAGGAGACTTTTTACAACATTGGTTCTCAACCTTTTTAATGCCGCGACCCCAACCGGTCGTAAGTCGAGGACTACTCAACCGGTCGTAAGTCGAGGACTACTCAACCGGTCGTAAGTCGAGGACTATTCAACTGGTGCAGCACCATTTGCAGAATGGGACTTTTGGCGGGCTCAGCAGGGCAGAGACAGCCTGGACAATTCCTGTTGGCTTTTGAAAGCCAATAGAATTAGACTCTATTCAAGAGAGAACCACTGTTTTACAATGTTCTACAAACCTGTGGTTGCCAGAAGGAAACCTGTATAAATACACATAGTTTTTACACTAGGCTCTAAAATGAAGATATAAGCGCCCCTGATTGCATTTTCTTCTGTTCAGATACAGCTTAGTTTCAGCCAATATTTCTAAATTGTCATGTTTTCTTCTAGTTTAGAATGTCATGAGAATCTTATAATGATAATAATAATAAAGTTGGAGGTCATCTAGTCCAACTCCCTGCTCAGGCAGGAAACCCTATACCATTTCAGACAAATGGCTGTCCGGTCTCTTCTTAAAAACCTCCAGTGTTGGAGCATTCACTGCTCCTGGAGGCAGGTTGTTCCACTGGTTAATTGTTCTCACTGTCAGGAAGTTTCTCCTTAGTTCTAGGTTGCTTCTCTCTTTGGTTAGTTTCCACCCGTTGCTTCTTGTCCTTCCTTCAGGCGCTTTGTGGAATCTTGCCGCTGGGCTTTTGATCCTGTGACCATGGAAACGATGCGACGGTTGTAAGCATGAGGACTGATCCTAGATCATATTTTCAGTGCAGTTGTAACCTGGAACCGTCGCTAAATGAAAGGCTGTAAGGCGAGGACTCTATGTCTGTGTATGTGTTCAGTGTCCAAAGCAGCCAGCCAGATATCTCAACTTTCTCATTCATATCCTGAGATTTGCTACCTTAGACCTAATATCTCTAATACAGGCAGTCCTCAACTTACGACCACAAGAGAGCCCAGAATTTTTGTTGCTAAGTGAGACATCCATTAAGTGAATTTTGCCCCGTTTTGAAACCTTTCCTGCCACGCTTATTAAGTGAATCGGTCCTAAGTCAGTTTTTTCACTGCTGTTGTAACATTAAAGGGTCACTAAACAAACTGTTGTAAACTGAGGACTACCTGAATGAGAAGTAACATTTAAACGTTATTTTTTTTAATGTTACCTTCTTAGAGCCTCGGAGAAGCCAACGCATCCGTTTGTCATATAGATCGATGGCCCTGTAAAATGAATATAATTCCCCCCCCCATGCAGATACTGCATTATATTGTAACATTACCAGCAAGTACTTTACGTATTTCTTAGTGCCCTTCCCTGAATCAACGGCCTCCAATTGGATCTGTACCCCCATGATCAGCCCCTGGCCCCAGACACTCAAATTCAACCCATCTGAAAAGGCTGGAAAATGCTGACCTAACCCATAATTCGGGGGGGGGGGGGCGGGAGAGAGAATTGGCTGAAAAGATCCAACTAGGATTACTTAATCTTGGTAACTGTAAGATACGTGTGGACTTCAATTCCCATAATTCCCCTGCCAGTCTTTGAACTGCCTGCAGCTGGCATTGGCTACAGCAAGGACTTCAGCAATGCAGGTGGATCGGGCAAGCCCTCCTCCTCAATTTATAACCATTTGTTTAGCAACTGTCCGAGGTTACAACTGGTCTTAAAAAGTGACTTAAAGCCTGTCCTCGCTCTTATGACTGTTGCACATTCCTACAGTCACATGACAAAATTTGGGCGACTAGAAATCATCATGTTTTTATTATATTTGTAGTGTCCCCGGGTCATGTGATCACCAATTTACAACCTTCCAGCCATCAAAGCTAATGGGGAATCTGGATTCGCTTAAAGACCATGGTTAAAAAAAAAGGTAATAAAATCTGATGTGTCTTATTGAACAACCGTCTTGCTTAGCAATGAAAATTCTGGTCCCATTTGTGCTCATAAATCGAGGATGATCTGTCTATAGGGATGAATGTAGTGGATTGTAGTCTGGATTCCCAGGAGGGAGGGAGGGGCTGCATTCCAGAGGACCAAGAGACAGCGAAGCTTAGATAGTCTGGTTGAGTGGAAGATGGCTAAGACGGCTCCTCCCTAGCAGCTCTCAGAGTGCAAGTCGTCCTCAATTTACGACCACAACTGAGCCCAAAATTTCCATTGCGAAGTGAAACCTTTGTTAAGTGAGTTTTTACCCCGTTTTCATAACCTTCCTTGCCACAGTTGTTGTTAAGTGAATCACTGCAGAAGTGAAGTTAGTAAGACGATGGTTAAGTGAATCCGGGTGCCCCATTGACTTGGCCTGTCAGAAGGCCACAAAAGTTGATCACATGACCCCAGGGAACATTGCGACCGTCATAAATACGAGTCAGTTGCCAAGCCTCTGAATTTCGATCGGTTGACCCTGGGGAAACTGCAACGGTCGTAAAGACGAAAAACGGTCCTCAGTCACTTTTTTTCAGCGCTGTTAACTTTGAATGGTGAACAGTTATGTTGAGGACTGCCTGTACATCTTTAACGATGCAAGTGGTTTGCCTTAATTTGGCAAGAATTCTGTCTTTAGGTGAGGAACAATAAAATAAATAGCTTAGAAGCAACTCTACATAGCCGTCTCGCTTTGTGGAGGAGTCTGACAATGGGAGACTCACATTTGCAGCTGAGATTCAAAACTGTTGACCTCCTCTTGGGTAAACTCCACCATGTTGCTCGCATCCCTAAAGGAAAACATCCAGGGTGAGCCAAGAGGAGGCGCAAGCCATTGAAAACCAGTGGGACTCGCACTTACGTGGTGGTGGCAGTGCCTTTCTTCATCAAATCCTCCAGGGAGAGTTGCAAGTTAGCCAAGCTGTAAACCTGAATCCAGTCGTCGGTGGCTTTTAAATTAGCAAACATCACCTCCGTGTTCTTGAGCCGCTGTAGGCAAAAGAAGAACAGGGATCAAGGCCAAAATTAGCCCGTGCATTTTTGTGGCGGCGCAGTGGTTAGAAGGCGGCACTGCGGGCTAACTGTGCCAATTGCCAGGAGTTCAATCCTGACCGGCTCAAGGTTGACTCAGCTTTCTATCCTTCCGAGGTCGCTAAAATGAAGACCCAGATTGTTGGGGGACAATATGGTGACTCTGTAAACCACTTAGAGAAGGCTTTAAAACACTGTAAAGCAGCATATAAGTCTAAGTGCAATTGCTATTGCCACTGACTCAGCCTTCCATCCTTCCGAGGTCAGTAAAATGAGGACCCAGATCGTTGGGGGACAATATGGTGACTTTGTAAACCGCTTAGAGAAGGCTGTAAAGCACTGTGAAGTGGCATATAAGTCTAACTGTTATTGCTATTGCTACTGACTCAGATTTCCATCCTTCCAAGGTGGGTAAAATGGGGACCCAGGTTGTTGGGGGTCCATAGGCTGACTCTGTAAACTGCTCAGAGAGGGCAAGAAAGGTTGTGAAATGGGGCAAGAGCCCCTTCACAAATGCCTCTCTTCGCTACAAAAAAATTGGGCTCAATTATGCTCATAAGTCAAGGACTCCCTGTACAGTACTTCTAGTTATCATTAACGGGAATATTCACTTACCATTAAATCCTGCGTTTGGTTAACATGGGTGACTAGTAATCCTTTATCATCCACCCAATCAGTGATAAGGATGTCCTGCCAGGATTTCTGCCTTTTGGGTGACGTCGCCTTCGATTCTGGATTTCTGCTGCAAAAATAACCGTCTGTGTATGTATGTATGTATGTATGTATGTATGTATGTATGTATATGTAGGGGTGTGGGTCTATACTTATGTTATATATAGTATGTTTAGGTGTGCGTCATGTATGTTTCACTTTGAGAGTGGGCAACTAAATTTCATTTTTGAGGTGTGCCATTGTGCCCACAGTATAAAAATGACAATAAAGGTTATCTTATCTTATCTTATCTAAAAAAGTGGGCAACGGTTTCTGGACCCCAATATATCTGGACAAGCAGATTGTAGAATTTCCTAAAGGAAGGTCAGGTGTGAACGAAGGTCCTCCTGGTCTGTTTCTTCTACACAATTTTATGTTAATTCTTTTTTTTTTTTCTGAGCAACTGCCGCAAGGCAGTCCTTGACTTACAACAGTTGATTTAGTGACCGTTTCAAGCTACAATGGCACAGAAAAAGGGGACTTATGTCCATTTTTCCACATTTAACAGCTGTTGCAGCATGCCCAGGGTCACGTGATCAAAACTTGGAGGCTTGGCAACTGCCTCGTATTTATGACGGTTGCAGCTACTAACTTAACTTAACTTAAGCAATTACAAGAAAAAATTGTAAAACGGGGCAAAACTCCCTTAACAAATCTCTCGCTTAGTAACATAAATTTTGGGGCTCAGTTACAACCATTAAGTAAACGGCTGAGTAAAGACCAAAGCCAAACCCAGGCTGCTAATCTGAAGAGCAATTCGAACCGTTTATTTACTCAGCAGTTGACCAGTAGAAGCACATTTCCATCAAACGAATTTTGCTATTTTTCCCAAAACTTGGCAACTTTAAGAAGCCTGGGCCGTCCTTCCCAGGATGACCCTGACCCTGACTTGTGATGTTTTTTTAGTTGCTAGGACCCTGCAGAAGCAGCTTGGCACTAAACAACCGCAGCCGCAACCACCTCTGCATTGATGCTTGTAAGACACACATATTCTCCTCCACTAAGACTGTTGAAAATCATGTCCCCCCCCCTTTTTCCGCAGCCCTTCCCAACTCCAAGCTGGCTCCTTCCCACCCCATTGTCCCAAGCTGATGTCCCCCAAGATCTGGGACTCACCAGGCGTCTGCCACATTTTTGCACACCTCTTCCATGTGCAGCTGATGCTCTTGAGATCTTGTGGTAGAGTCGCTGGCTGGCCCTGTGTTTTCCATCTCCAATAGCAACGGAAGCAACCATTCTCATTGGGGAGGGAAGGAAGGAAGGAAGGAAGGAAGGAAGGAAGGAAGGAAGGAAGGAAGGAAGGAAGGAAGGAAGGGCTGGGCAGACGAACAGCCAAAGGTTTTCAAGAGCTGCAGAAGCATCAGCTGGACCACCCAAAAAAGTTCTCCAGGAAATATTTCCAGGTGCTGTCAATAAAGCACGGGAAATCCCTTTTTTTTTTTCTGCACTCAGCCCTCCTTGCACAATGTAATCCTTTGTATTCATACTGTTTTTCTATTTTTATTTTTAAAGAAGCCCATTCCAATCAAGAGTTTAAGTGGCAGTGCTTGAAAGCAGGACACAAAATGGGGAGCTCTCGGGGACCACCCATAGGATCTGGGGTAAAAAAACCAAATGTGCATTTGTTTCCTTTGAAATGTGTGTTTAATTGAAGAGAGTGATTGTGGTCTCATTAAGGATGACTGTACAACTAGTCCTTCACTTACAACCGCCGCTGAGCCCACCTCTATCTATCTATCTATCTATCTATCTATCTATCTATCTATCTATCTATCTATCTATCTATCTATCTATCTACCTACCTACCTACCTACCTACCATCTATCATTCTCTATCTAATCTATTTATCTATCTCTCCTATCTATCTCTATCCTCTCCTATCTATCTATCATTCTCTATCTAATCATCTATTTATCTATCTCTCCTATCTATCTATCATTCTCTATCTAATCATCTATTTATCTATCTCTCCTATCTATCTCTATCATCTCTCCTATCTATCTATCATTCTCTAATCATCTATTTATCTATCTCTCCTATCTCTATCATCTCTCCTATCTATCATTCTCTATCTAATCATCTATCTCTATCATCTCTCCTATCTATCTATCTATCTATCTATCTATCTATCTATCTATCTATCTATCTATCTATCTATCTATCTATCTACCTATCGTATCTCTCTCGCTCTCCCTGTCTGTCTGTCTTGGGGAAGGAAGAAGGAAGCTTTGACTTCTGTTTTTGATGTTTTCATTGTTCCTATTAGAAACCAGAAATCCACTTTTTATAAAAACAAAAAAACAAATCTCCAGACCCTGGTAGATTTAGAAGTTTTAAAGCACTCAGTTTTGTCAGAAAGCTCTTAGCTTGTGTATTTTCCAGCTTTGTCTCTCCAAATCTACTTCAGTCCCGAGGATGTGTTTGTCACAAACCAACGATTGGTGTTACAAAGAGTTGAAGAAACATAGCAAAACAACAACAACAAAATCAAATCAAGCCAGTTGGGATTTCTTTCAGTAGATAATTTATTTTGATAAACTTGCTCAATAACAAAAATACAAGTGAGGAAAATCATGTCCGTTTTATACAGTTTGTATTAACAATTTGTTGGGAAATTAACCGCGAAAGAAAACAAAATTAAAATATCCCCCCCCCACTCCCCACGGATTAGAAAACAATTATTTTGGAGTTGCAGGATGGGAAGCAGTGAAAGGCGGAGGAGAAGGGACCACTGCAAAGCCCCAGTATTTTAAAATCGCACAGGGAGGCAAAGCTCACTGAAATGTCATTTCCTTCAGCCTTTGTGTCCTTCACGAAGGTTTTATACTTCTCTAACAGCAAACTGATGGGTGGGGAAAAGTTGAGTTCCTCCAAAATCCCCAGAAAGTGAAATTTTCAAGAAAATGCCTAGAGCAGTGGTTCTCCACCTGTGGGTCGGGACCCCATTTGGGGTCGAACGACCATTTCACGGGGGTCGCCAAACAACGCAGTCCGCCATTTTTTCCCCCCTTTTCCTTAGCTGTGCTACTCCCTTTTATTCTATTGGCTTTTGAAAGCCAATAGAATAGACTCTCTTGAATAGAGTCTAAATCTATTGGATTTCAAAAGCAATAGGAATTGTCCAGGCTGTCTCTGCCCTGCTGAGCCCGCCAAAAGTCCCATTCTGCAAAAGGTGCTGCACCAGTTGAGTAGTCCTCGACTTACGACCGGTTGAGTAGTCCTTGACTTACGACCAGTTGGGGGTGGCGGCATTAAAAAGGTTGAGAACCACTGGCCTAGAGGATACTTAACTGCTTATAAATTTAGATCGGATACATGTTGGCATGGCTAAACTTGTCAAATAAGGCAAAAACCTGGCTTTCCTAAATCCTGGGACTATAACTCCCGTCACCCAGTCCGGCCATCAAACTTTGTAAGTATGGTGGAAGCTTCATATCAATCCTCTAGAAATCCTCGGCCCACAGTAAAAAAAAAAAAAAAAAATGACAATAAAGGTTATCTTATCTCTTATCTAGAAAAGGCCACCTGGGAGGTTGACTCAAACCCGCTCCCCAAAGCAAGGGCTCTCAAAAGATGGTACTAAATAATGGAGAGCCAATTCTGATTTTTCTAGGCATTGAACTGCAATTCTCAACGGCCTTCACTGACTGGAGTTAATTGGGAGCTGTATTTTAGCAACTTCTGGATATCAAGTCTTCATATACATGCCAAAAATGTCTTGAATGCCATTAGGATTAATTAGAGACCGCAAGAAAAACCCAGGTTTGTTTGCTAATCTAAGTTGAGAAACTTTGATGGGAGGGGAAAAAATGCTAAAAAAAACCCCAACTTGTAAGAAACGCCTTGACTGCATAGATAAGAATCATACAAGCTTGTCAAAAAAAAAAACGCACAAAAAGGAAATCTGATTGCACCATAGCTGGGAGGTTTATATATATATGTTTTCTGAAGTTTTTGCGGGTGTTTGTATGTAGGTCTTTGGTTGTTCGAGTTTTCTCCCGCGTAAAATTGGAAGTGTCTTGGCGACGTTTCGACGAAGTCCCATTCGTTATCTTCAGGCTGGTGTTTTCAGCTTCGTGCTTCGAGGAGCAATGTGTGGTCTTAGCTGTTTCTTCCTTTTAACTGCCAGTGGGGGTATGAACTGATTGGGTGGGAGCTTGGCTGTGTTCTGATTGGGTGGAGGTGTGTTCTGATTGGTTAGGGGCTTGGCTGTGCTCTGATTGGCTGGGGGTTGGCTGTGCTCTGATTGGCTGGGGGGTTGGCTGTGCTCTGATTGGCTGGGGGAGTGTTCTGTTTGGTTGTGCTCAGGTTAGTCTGAGTTGCAGGGGGTTTAAGATTTTGGGCTGCCTTGCTATTTTTTGGCTTCGCGTTCGTGGTCGTGCCTCCTCTTCATGGAGGGTGTCAGTTTGCTTCATGTATGGATTGGAGGGGTTTAAAGTGGCTAATGATGCAGCTGTGGTCTGGCTTCTGGTTTGTGGTCGTGCCTCATCATCGGTGTGGCTTTGGGTTTGTTTTTTGCGTGGATGTGTGGTGGTGACATCCTGTGTGATTTTTGTGAGTGTGGGTCTGGTATCATTTTTTGTGTTAGGGAGTCGTTTGTCAATAAGGGCGGGTTTCCAAATGGCTGGTAGGCGGGAGGTATCATCTCGCTTGTTCATGCTGTGTGGGCGTTTTTCTATCTCGATGGCTTCTCTGATTATTCTGTTATTAAAATGTTCACTTTTGGCAATGGTTCTGGTATTTTTAAAGTCAATTTCATGTCCTGTGGCTTTAAGGTGTTGGACCAGGGAAGATGTTGGTTCCTCTTTTTTGATTGAGTTCTTATGTTCTTCAATGCGTGCACTTATTTTTCTGTTGGTTGTCCCAACACATACATCGGACAAACCAACAGAATAGCAAGGCAGCCCAAAATCTTAAACCTCCCTGCAACTCAGACTAACCTGAGCATAACCAAACAGAACACTCCCCCAGCCAATCAGAGCACAGCCAACCCCCCAGCCAATCAGAGCACAGCCAAGCCCCTAACCAATCAGAACACACCTCCACCCAATCAAAACACAGCCAAGCTCCCACCCAATCAGTTCATACCCCAACTGGCAGTTAAAAGGAAGAAACAGCTAAGACCACACATTGCTCCTCGAAGCACGAAGCTGAAACCAGCCTGAAGATGACGAATGGGACTTCGTCGAAACGTCGCCAAGACACTTCCAATTTTACGCAGGAGAAAACCCGAACAACCAAAGACCTACATACAAACACCCGCGAAAACCTTAGAAAACATATATATATATAATCTTCCTCCCAGACATTAGATGTTGAGGCATCAACGAAACAGCAGCTAACTCCTCCCCAAGGTTAATCAACTGCCTTTTATCAAAACAATCTGGCAGTTTTCAAAGGCTCAGTTCCAAGTTTTCTCCCAACCTCCATTCATATGAATTGCTTTGGACAAGATAAGTTAATGCAAGCCGAGCCAAATTGTGGGTGCAGACATTTAAAATCCAAGTAAGACGTGTTATTTAAAAAAATAAAAATAAAAAACATACCCCAGGGTAAGAGGCATAATTCATAGCACACTTGACTCCAAAGCTTTGACACGCTGCCTTCTCAAATCTGGTGCGCTGCACAAGCTGGATTGGGGAAGGCTGCGAGCAATGAAAATAAATGCACACCTACACACACATACACACATCACGCACACACACAGAGGGATCAGATATCCTCAGCGCTCCCCAAAACCCCCAATGTAACAGACAGAAAACTGACAGACATTTGCACCATATATATATATATTTTAAAAAAAACTGCTTTATATACAGTTTAGAAGATATGGCCTTTCTGCTATAAATTAATACTGCACGCTTTTGAGATTCTATTTAAAGCAAGAGTTGATTTCCCCCCCTTTAAACTCCTTTCTTTTAGAAAAAATAACCGCAGATAATTTCCCCATCCCCTTTCCAAGAAATAATTCAGTGTCACATTAAAGCCAAAAATGTAGGCGTTCTTGCCTGATGCAGCTGTGGCTGAAACGTCCATTCACGTACAAGATGCAATTGAGGATTGGCGTGAGCGAGCATGGATTCCTTAACGGTTTACGGGGAAGGGGATCGCTGCATGCTTTCCAGCCAATGTGTTTCTCAATTTTGTAGGCAGTGATTGTGAGTCACCATTTTTTATTATTTTGTTTTAGGGCATAAAAGATGTCACGTTTGACTTCTAACCAGCGGAATAACCAGTGGAACAACCTGCCTCCAGGAGCTGTGAATGCCCCAACACTGGAAGTTTTTAAGAAGAGACTGGACAGCCATGTGTCCGAAATGATATAGGGTTTCTTGCCTGAGCAGGGGGTTGGACTAGATGACCTCCAAGGTCCCTTCCAACTTTATTATTATTATAAAACTAAAACGGACGCAAACAACTGCTGGGAGTCAAGGATTCCACGTTGGCCCTTTTGGAGAACAACTGATGGGAGTGGGGCCCTAGTCCTGCATTTTTAGGGAGTCAAAATACTGCCCTGAACAAATAGGGATTGCTAAGGAGGATCCCCAAAAGGAAGTTGAGAAGATGGTAGGAACCCATCCGGTACGATGGGTCAAGCCAAGCTTGCTAGCTGTTTCCTTCAACCAATGTACAATGGGTTTTCTAAAAATTCGACATCGTTTAACTGAGAATCCATTGGTCTGCATGGCTTTGTTGGTTCGTTTGCAACAGGGAGCCCTCCCCACTGCATGACAGGGAAATGTCCTCAGCAATTCCTTCCTCCAGGAGCATTTGCCTGCAGGCAAGGAGTAGGAAGGCCTGACCTCTTGGGCTAAGATGATCAGATGCAGGATTTCTAAGACGGGGCAGCTGCGTCCGGCACAACAGTTTGCAATGTTGCTTAGCATGCTTTGGGAGAAGGGTGTTGCCTGCCTGGGGCTGCTGTGTGCCCAGTTTTGGTTGTAGCAGGCCGAACGGCAGAGTATCGGGCATAAACTGAGGAGGCAGGCTGGTATCTGGGCATTAGTGATCCTATTCTCCAAGAGAATCTGCCAAGAAAGAGAACAAAGAGCTCTGAAAATAGATAGGCCATTTAAAGAAAAAAACCTTCACCATCTAATAATCACTTTGTTCTTTTGAGAAAAAGCAACAGAAGAGTTCAAACTTCCAAAGTGGGGAGGGGGGGGGGAAAGACTTGGGCTTGCTTTACTGTAGCTTTTAGGCGAGATTTAGGGTCTACTCAATCAGATAGGCTTGCGGCAGATGATCCGGGCCAAAACCCTCCATGATGTAAAGACCAAGCTCTCCAAAAGAGGAGAGGCTATTTACACTGTTTAAATTATGCATCAAATTGTCAGGTCAGATTTCCCACTTGCTGGGGTCAAGAGCTTTCAAAAATAAGACATGATTTCATCTTTGATCATCCAGATTCAAATAAAGTACCCTAAGGAGGAGGAGGAGGAGGAGAAACAGAAGGAAGAGTAGCAGAAGGAAGAGAAGAAGAAACAGGAGGAGAAGCAGAAGGAAGAAGACAAACCTCTTAGCTTAATTTAAAATTACACCTAGGAAGGCATGGAGTTGTTGATATCTGTCACAAAAACCTGTCAAAAGCAGGAGCTGCTACAGCAAATGAGGTATACTGAAGACTTTCCCAGCGATGTAGCCTTTGAAGAAATGGCCTTTCTCTCTTTCTTTCTTTCTTTCTTTCTTTCTTTCTTTCTTTCTTTCTTTCTTTCTTTCTTTCTTTCTTTCTTTCTTTCTTTTTCTTTCTTTTTCTCTTTCTTTCCTTCCGTCTTTGCAAGCCCTAGTGTTGCACACCACAGTGTTTCCCTTGTCTCGGTCGGCATGTATGCATATGTGCGTGCTTGTGTGTAAGTACACATAGACATTCGGTGGACTGCATCATACATATAAATACACACACACACGCGCGCACCCACACACACGTACACACAAACACACACATATAAATACATATGGAAGAATTTCTCAGCCCCACCTGGAGCTTTCCTAGCAGGTCCCGAACGTCGCCGGGAGGCGGTAACCGTTAGCAAGGGTGGCGAGCAGACGGATCCTCGTAACAGATTTCCCCCACAAAATTGTCTTTTGATCTATAGGCTTCAGGATGCAGCTAATAACGTCAGACTGATTTCTTGTGTGCGTTTGTGTGTGTGTGTGTGTGGAGGGGGGGTGTAGCATGGGGGAGGGGGGAGACGAAGGGAAGGGTCAATGGCAAATGCTCCTTGCCTATCATAGAAGGAAGATGCTAAATCTCTTGAAGGTTGGGTGAGGCCCAGCCCCACCCTTGGCGAACGCCCGGTCAACCAAAGTGCATAAATACTTTTGAGACTTTCAATAGATATTTCGAAAGGGGTACAGGATGGTGATATGGAGACAGCCGGAGGGACAGGAGGGGGAAAAATAATAATAATAAAAAAAAAAACCAAAAAAGAGGAAATGATGCTGTTGAGTGCAGGAAAAAGAGCTCTCCTTCCACGCGAGGTCCGATCACAGTGCACATCTGACTGCATCCAGATGCTGAAGAGATGAGTGGTGGGCGTTTGGTTTCGGTGATGGGGACAGATGCTCCGTAAAAAGGAATAATTATAATAATAAAAAAGGGTTTTGTTTTTTTTTTAAAAAAAATAATAATAATAATCCAAAGTGCATAGTGAGAACAGAGAAACCTCCTCGTTCTGGTAAGACTGCGACGGCCTGACACCAGCGTCTTCCCGCGGATGTGCCGGGCGTCCTACTCTCCTTCATGACCGTACCCCGGAAAAAGCACTCAAGGCGGCCGTCAGCCCGGTAAGCACACTTTGCCAGCAAACAGAAGTCCCACTATCGTAAAGAAAATTGATAAAACAAAGAGTACGTAAGATGAGCCCACCACGGTGTTATTCGGAAGCTTATAGGGCTGACCTCCCACTTCATTGATGTAAAATCCTATGGGGAATATTAAGGCTGCCATACAAAAAAGGATCACTGGAGGAAGGAAGAAAAAAAAAAAAAAAAAAAGAGAGAGAGAGAGAGAGAGAGAGAGAGAGAGAGAGAGAGAGAGAGAGAGAGAGAGAGAGAGAGAGAGAAACAATAACAACAACAGATTAGTGGAGAAAGTTGTACTGATGGCTACAAGTACAGGTAGCCCACAACTTTACAACAGTTCATTTACTGGCTGTTCAAAGTTACAACGGCACTGAAAAAAGGGTTATCAACTTAGCAACTGCCACGATTAGCTTAACAATTGTTGCAAGGAAGGTCACAAAACGGGACAAAAACACCCACTTAACAAATGTCTCCTTTAGCAACGGACATTTTGGGCTCAACTAGGGCTGTAAGTCGTTCATTCATTTAGTGACCGTCTGGGAGTTGCGATGGCACTGGAAAAAAGGAACTTACGGCCATTTTTCACACTTACCCAACCACTGGAGCCTCCCCGTGGTGACGTGATCAAAATCCAGATGCTTGGGACTCGTATTTATGACGGTCTGGGTCACGTGATCCCTTTTTGCGACCTTCCGACAAGCAAAGTCAACGGGGGGGGGGAGCCATAACTTAACAGCTGCAATAATTTGCGTAACAACTGTGGCGAGAAAGGTCGTAAAATGGGGCTCTTGACAAATGTCTTGCTTAGCAACAGACATTTAGTGGTCGTAAGTGGAGAACTACCTATATTTCTTTTTTTAAAAAATTTCTTTTACAGTGAAGGCCGGTGTTTTTTTTTTTTTTTTTTTTCAACATTAGTAGCTCTTAAGGTGTCAGGACTTCAACTCCCAAAACTGACTTGTTTAGCAACGGAAACTGTGGTCCCCGTTGTGGCCATAAAACCGAGGACTATCTGTATCTCCCCATCCCACTCTAAAAGCAAGCAAACTTCGGTTTAATGGAGTGACAAAGAGCTGCTAGAGGGCGTTTAGAGCTTGCGGTTAGCCTTCGAACGTAACTCTACCACCCCAGAGATGTCCAGGCTCTAACTGGGGATTATGGGAGTTGGGGGTCCGGCCTTGGAAGGCGAACATGGACCTGGAGAAAGCAGCAAACACCGCAAACGAGGCACTAAGCGCTATCTTCTGCCATCCAGAGCTTGATCACCTGTAAATCTAATCACAGATCACAGGCAGTTCTATCAGTTTATAGGTAGTCCTCAACTTACGACACGTCACTTAGGGACTGTTTGAAGATACACCGGGCCTGCCCAGAGATATTGACAACCCGGTTTTGAAGTTCTGAAGCCCCCCCCACCCGCCGAATGGACACAGGGAAGACCTCTGTGGGCTTTGGAAAATCTAGGGCAGTGGTTCTCAACCTTTTTAATGCTGCGACCCCCAACCGGTCGTAAGTCGAGGACTACTCAACCGGTCGTAAGTCGAGGACTACTCAACCGGTGCAGCACCGTTTGCAGAATGGGACTTTTGGCAGGCTCAGCAGGGCAGAGACAGCCTGGACAACTCCTATTGGCTTTTGAAAGCCAATAGAATTGGACTCTATTCAAGAGAGTCTAATTCTATTGGCTTTCAAAAGCCAATAGAATAAAAGGGAGTAGCACAGCTAAGGAAAAGGGGGGGGGAAAATGGCGGACTGCGTTGTTTGGCGACCCCCGTGAAATGGTCGTTCGACCCCAAATGGGGTCCCGACCCACAGGTTGAGAACCACTGCTCTAGGGAGACCAGCCTGGGATGGAGGTGAGCCTTCCGGATGGACTTTTCCCAAAGGCAGCCTGCCCTCTTTGGTCTCCTGAGTGGAGGGAGAGACTTACTTCCAGTGAATGCTATCCAGCGTGCGTATTTCGTCGCTTCCCTTCGCCAGTGAGAAGCCACCAGCAAGCCACAGGTGACAGTCAGTGAAATGATTCCCATGATGATAAAAAATAAAGTTGTGATCCACTCTGGGGGCAGCCGTGGAGGAATGCAGGTCCTGTCACGTCCATGAATGGTTTGACACTGTCGCACAAGGCCAACGGTGAGAGCACCTGAAACGACACACAGACGGAGAGGACGTGGCCGTCAGTTAACGTACGTTCTGGGAGCAGGTGGCCGCCCAATTATTTGCCTGCTTTGGCGTCCTCCATCTTCTGGAACCGGAAGACAAGAACAGACCTGCTCTGCCCCGCGGCTTCTTTGGGTGAGCTCAGAGCTCCTGGTTAAGACGGCTGAATGCCACTTCACCCCACCCCTTTTGGGGAACCGCTCCTTCTGTGTCGGCCTCTCAAGGTAAACCAGACAGGAAACACAATCAGATGAGTTAATTCTATTTCACCGAAAGGCTACATCAGACATGTCAAGCTAAAGGCCCGTGGGCCAAATCCGGCCCGTGATGTCTTTAGATCTGGCCCGGAAGCAGACTAGGAGGAGGAGGATATTGAGCAGTTACCTCCTGGCTTCTTCGGGTATCTTTCTCTCCTCCTTTTCCTTCGTCTGTGCTGCACTTTCCCACGAGTAGCCGCCCGCCTGCAGACTTTTACCCAAAGACGCGAGGGAACGCAAGAAGGGAGGCTTGGGCGCACCGGGATTAATGTGATACATAAGTCTTTACGTGCAACTTGCCCTTTGAGGGCAACCGTAATGCTGATGCGGCCCTCAGTGAAATTGAGTTTGACACCCCTGGGCCACATTAACAGGATCTTGCACGTCTGAAGGTACAAACGTTTTTTAATTGCCTGATCAATTAAGGTGTGCCTTTCCTAAATTTCTTCCTCTGATAGGTAGGTAAGTAGGTATATAGATAGTTAGAGATAGATAGATAGATAGATAGATAGATAGATAGATAGATAGATAGATAGATAGATAGATAGACAGAAAGATAGATAGACAGACAGAGATAGAGATAGATAGATAGATAGCTACAGACAGACAGACAGAAGACAGAGATAGATAAATAGATAGCGACAGAGATAGATAGATAGATAGACAGAGATAGATAGAGACAGACAGAGATAGATAGATAGATAGAGACAGAGATAGATAGATAGAGACAGAGACAGATAGAAACAGATAGACAGACAGAGATAGAGATAGAGAGATAGATAGCTACAGACAGACAGAAAGACAGAAGACAGAGATAGATAGATAGATAGATAGATAGATAGATAGATAGAGACAGAGATAGATAGATAGATAGATAGATAGATAGATAGATAGATAGATAGATAGATAGATAGATAGAGATAGGTAGATACATATAGCTATATATAAATAATTGGCTTAAGCATATAAACACTCAAATCCTGAGCCAGATGGCTGGTCGGGTCACTTTAAGGACAAAGGGCTTCTTAGCTTAAGCCGCCGTTCCCATCTTAAGAAGTAGTAAGGTATAGCCGTGGGATCTGCGGAACATATAAATATTTAAAAATTTAAATAGCTTGGAAAGAAAGAGAGAGGCTTCTTGGAATTATTTTCGAGTGGAAAGAGAACTGAGCTTTCTGCTCTGTGGTTTTCCAGAAAGGAAACTATTTCAACTCCCCAAAGCAAAGACACTGACTGACACAACCACTGGCTGGTGTTTCTTTGGCAAGGAGCACGTTGGGGAGAAAGCCAACAGCTCCTTGAGGCTTGGTCTCCCAAGTTGGAGGAGCGGAGAATGTTCTGACTCACCTCCACGGCCAGCGGGCCGAAAGTGCCTCCTTCTACTGGGTTGGTGCTAGGAACATCTGCTAAGCATCAGAAGCCAAAGAAGAAGAATACCAAATAAACAGGAAGGAAGAACAGTCCTGGGAAAGTGATGAAGGGTCCACCTACATCAGCTTGGAAACCTACCGACTGAGCTCATGTTTGGATGGTTGTTGTTCCTCTGGCACTCATATCAAAAGAGAGCATCAAAGTGCTTTGGGGATTTTTTCCCCCTCCACATCCCGCTTTAGTTTGCAACTACTGGTCTCTTATCCAAGTTCTAACCGTCAACAAACTTTAACCCAAGGATGTCCAGCCTCAGCCATTTTTAAGACTTGTGGATTTCAAGTCCCAGAATTGCCCAGCCGGTCATGCATATTTCAAGAACAGCAGAAGGCAGAATCTGAAGATGAGTGATGAACAAATGAGGAATGTGTAATTGCTAAAATGTACAAGCTTTTATGGAAATTTGAAACAGAAGAAGTCAACAAGGAAGAAGAACATATGACTTGCTCATTTTCCAACGACAGTAAATATTTATTAAGCTCCTAGTGAGCATTAGATAACACAACAGTGTAAAACAAAGTAGCCATAACATTCTAAACCAGTGGTGGCGAACCTATGGCTCAGGTGCCAGAGGCGGCACTCAGGGCCCTCTCTGTGGGCACGTACGCCATCACCCCAGTCCTAGGCCTTCAGCTGGGTTTTATAAAACCTTTTCGCTTTATAAAACTTCCACCGCCGTGTGCAAAAAAAAAAAAAAAAGTTCAATCAGTCAATTTCAACCTCACGGGGGGGGGGGAAAAAAAAAGATCTTGCAAAGTTGGAATTGATTGAACTTTTTAGTCCCACCCAGTCTGCCATTACCACTGCAGCCACGCCCACCCAATGGGCCACATCCATCCAATGGGCCCCACCCATTTGGCACCCGATGATGCATAAGTGGGTTTTGGGTTGCATTTTGGGCACCCGGTCTCTAAAAGGTTCGCCATCACTGTTCTAAACCATACAGCATAAAAGAATACAAATAACTAGTATCATGAACTATTAAAGCTAAAATGAGATTTAAAAGAGGTAAATTCTCTCTCTCTTTCCCTTTCTCTACACACACACACACATACACACACACACACATCGGAATTAGAGATATACACTAACAGATATACTTTTTTTAAAAAAAGAACCCCACTGCTGATCAAAAGCAAACAAAATTATGCATTTTCAGAGAGAATTCACTTCCTTTAGCCTCTTGTCTCTCATCCTCAAATTAACCTACAGAACAGAATATAATCAGCAGTTGTGTTCCAAGATAATACATACGCGTTTAAGGAAGCACATTGAAATTTAAATTCAATGGAACTAAATACACACACACACACACCCATTAACCTTTTAAAAAATCTTGATTCGGATTTCAAAAAGTGAAGTTTTAAAATAGACTTCTCTCCCCGCTGCTTTTAATACAACGGAATGCAAAGCTATCCGGATTTTACGATGACTTACATCCCTTTGGTTGTTGTCTTTGTTTTGTTTTGTTTTAACACCAAGGGCGCATCTTCAGGGGAAACAAACTGGCAGCTGCTGAAAGGAACCCTTGTACAAACTCCCTGGGAAAACACAACAAAGCCTTTGTCCAAGCCTGGCATACCACAACAGGGGACCTGGTTCAAGCCGAAGGGTGCTTTCACCCAGCACAGAACGTTTAATTAAATGCCAGCTCCACATGGCCAAATCATTTTGGGCATGTGTTGTACGGCACCGAAGGAAGACTGGCGAGTCACAAGGGGCCCATTGTGCGTCGGAACGGCAAAAGCCAGTAAGTGGGGCACACGCATCTGCACACACAGAGGTGTCAAGAAAATCCAGAGAGCTTTGACTAGAGCAGGCCTCTCCGAACTTGGCAACTTGAAGACTTATGGACTTCAACTCCCAGAATTCCCCAGCCACCATTTCTAAGGCTTCTGGTCTTTATCCGAGAGTAGCAGAGCCAGGAACTGCAACGGCCACCCAGCCGTTCGGATCCTGCGCAGGGAGTTATATTTAGCATCCCACCCAGATGGAAAGTGTTTCTATGCTATGAGAAAACTTCAAGAGAGATCCACAGCTCTCAAAAGGGCAGAGGGGGCCTGACCCTCGGAACTTCAAATACAGTCATAAGTCAAAGTCCCCTTTTTCGGGTCAACTATAACTTTGAACGGTCACTAAGCAACTGATCGTAAGTTAATTGTAGTTAATTTGTAGTAGTTAATTTGTTCAGATTCTAGCATTGTATCTTAAGAAAGAGAGAGAGAGAAAGAAAAAGAAAGAGAGGAAGGAAGGGAGGAAGGAAGGAAGGAAGGAAGGAAGGAAGGAAGGAAGGAAGAAAGAAAGAAAGAAAGAAAGAAAGAAAGAAAGAAAGAAAGAAAGAAAGAAAGAAAGAAAGAAAGAAAGGAAGGAAGGAAGAGAGAGAGAAAGAAAAAGAGGAAGGAAGAAAGAAAGAAAGAGAGAAAGAAAGAAAGAGAAAGGAAGGAAGGAAGGAAGGAAGGAAGGAAGGAAGGAAGAAAGAAAGAAAGAAAGAAAGAAAGAAAGAAAGAAAGAAAGAAAGAAAGAAAACACACTGTCCATTTTGTGTAGATATCTGAATTGCAGACGTTTCTTTTGATTTCCTGACACTAAATTGCATTTAGTGTAGCTTAACCAGTTGAACAAGTGACGGAAGATCAAATATGTTTCTGTCTCTAGAGCCCTTACGGCATTTTTAACAGTGTTAGCTCCCTTTACAACAATGGTGATCAGGGTTCAACCCTTTGGACCACCCAACAAATATTAAAAACAAGCTGCATGGGTCGTCTGGGCAATTTCTTTTTTCTTTTTATGCCACAAGAGAAACCCCCAAAGTTTTCAGGAGCTTACATCAGCCCGCTTTGGTGAGAACAGGTGTCGTCTGCGTATAAATAGCGGCTTGCTCATTCTCAGACATACGTGCCTGTAGAAAGATACACAGACACATACACACACACACACACTGGTGCCCCATCAGAGTCAGGAGGGGAAACATCAAAGCTTTGTTTGAAGAAAAAAAAAAAGGATTGTCGTGCTCTGAAATTACAGCGTAGCTCCAAAGACCTATCCCGAAATAAGAGGGAATTTTTATCTCAGTAGCATCAGCAAGGGTGTGTGTATATGTTGTGTAAAGCAGCAGTCACATCGAGAATACATCTGATGGAAGCCGGCGTTCCTAGATGGCTCTTATTGCAAAGAGAAAAGCTAGCCAGGTTTTAAGATAGCCAGGTTTTGATGGACAAGATTTGTTTCCATCTCCACGGACACAACTAAGTTGACTATGTTGCTGGCCCAGTTTTGGTCACTCAAGGAGGACTCCTTT